GTACTGCCAGGTACTCTTTACTGGTGCAGAGCTGCGCTGGTACTCCAGTGGTACGTCGCGGCCCCTCGCTCTCCACTGAGACAAAGGCGCGGCTCGTGTCGCAAGCGGCTGCAGGCGGCTGGAGCGCTGGAGCGCTGGAGCTACGCGAGCAAATCAGTTGAGGCGTTGAAGCATCCGTGCTCCTGCAGTTTGCCGTGAATGGCCGCTACAACTGGCCGTCTGCGGAAAATCCATGCCAATGTACCCGCCAGGTAGCGAAGATCGTATCGCCTACGTGCCACTACCCGGCAGACTCGCGATGAAAACAATGCCTTCAACCGGTGTGATTCAAATACCACAAACACAGCGGTTAATTTATTTCTTGAAGCAAATTTGCCCTTGAATTGATGCAGTAAGCTATACCAGAGGCTGGTTGCGTGCGTACTACAGTCGTGCTACGATACCTATGTGAAGCTTGATAGCTCCTGACACTGTTCTTGATTTCACCCTCACCCATCCCGACTGCCATGCTCCGAAACTGGTGAAATTACAAGGAGAAGTTTGTGATTTTAAAATCAGGTTTCAACAAACAATGTTCAGAAGTACAGATGAACAAGCCAGCTCACCAGCGTAGAAAAGGCTAATTGAGTTCCGTATACACAGCTTCGAACACTGCAGCATTTGATATTGCATTATCTGCACATGCAGTCAAAGCAGCGGTAGATTCCAAAGGTAAGTACCTCACTCTACTACCTCTACTACCTCTACTACCTCTACTACCTCTACTACCTCTACTACCCACCGCTACTGTACATCAACTACGAGGCTCTGTGTAATATGTCGGAGAATAAAGAGCTATGTGGCCGAGATGAGCCGCGGCATTGACAATACTCCGGCTTCAGAAAAACAACACAAGAGAACACAGGGTATCTAGACATACCCTGAAGCGTCCCTTTGAGAAATTTTTATCCCAATGTTTGCAGAAGTAAATACGTTAGTGAAGGCCTTTGAAGAGTATCAATATTTCGAAGTTCTTGCCATATGGCTACTAAGCGCTTCTCCAGCAATCCTCTATTTCTCTGTGACGTTTTATTCCCCCTCATTGTCGTAGATTTCCTTTGCCTAACTATACTGTTTTGTGGCATTATTTTTATTCGTGAGGCGCTCCGAAGGCGAACAGTAGGCTTAAATAATAGTCATGTGATCCTCTACTCCGAAGCTTGTCCTATTTAAATTTTGTGAAGCTGCGAGCGAATGCCTATCGATTTCGCGCAAAAGTCTCTGTTCTAGAGGAAAGAGGGTAGAGTCTGGAAACTACATGTATGTATTCATAGTCTCTTACCCAGAATTGGTTGCTTTTTGACTTATTCACGAAGCCCGCGTGAGATTAGTCAGAGTGACTGAAGTTTCATGATATCTCGAAGACAAGAGATCTACTGCGTAATCAGCATCTCTTATCTGTGGGCAGCTATGACACCTGTCTACCATGATAGAATTTGGTCGCCCAAGACAGTCAAATATATGATTGTGCATGGATAGAGGACAATGACGTATTGCCACTTTGCCGATACATGTATGTTCCCAGCATGATTGCTGCTTTTGTTTGTTGGTCAAGGGAGGCTAGCGTTCAGTCGCAAGTCCCTTGCAGACGCAGCCAGATTACAGTCACAATGCGGTAGAATACTTGCCATCATGCAGCTCAACTGAAACATGAATGTGGCAGATCTTACAAATAACCGAGACATAACACCGGAAGGGTGGTAGTCAGGGAGGTAAATCTTGGAGTATCTAGATGCTCGACAGCGCGGGCACCAGTAGACTGGTAATTGGACCATAATATGGCACTTGTAAGTCAATGCTGATATCTGTCTCATATAAAATTTATGTATCTGATGGAAGACATGGTGGCTAAACAACCGAATAATGTTCTGAAGTATATCGTCTGCAGTCATCAAGACTACCCGTGCGTGGAGTCAAGTAGCCGGATTCTCGCTGATCCGGTTTCAAATTGGCAAAAGATCCTTTGTATTTGACGCCGCTGCTTGTAATTATGCTGACAGGAGTACTGCATTTGGATGGAGCCTGTTATGTCTTATTATCATAGCCCAACACCAAAGCGAGACTTCAATGTCACAATATCACAACTATTCATACCCTCTCCCGCTGAGGTTTTAACTAGCCAAGAGTTCATGTGATGAGTCCATGTGATTGCCTGACTGAGGGAATTCGAAGATACTTTTGCAGTCTTTAGCCGGCAGGTCGACACATTGAGTCTAGCTATGTAAAGACAAAGAGACAGCAGCTGGCCACAACACACAGAATCTGCTTGGTTACGGTTGAGCTGTTCCATCGCAGACTTTGTACTCTGCGCTTTGCCACCGGACCCCTTGCATAATGCAATCAAACAAGGCGTACGGAGATATTTCTACTTTTTATTGTGCTAGTACACGGACCCTTTGTAGTCGCAGAGGAATATCATGCGCTGTCAATCCTCATTTAAGCGTCCACCAGTAATGCTTTAACATCTCGAGTGAAACCCGATGGCTTCGGAGCCAAAATTGCGCCGACGTTGCTTCGGAGGCCAAAGAAATGAAGAGTTCGAACCCAACGTGCATATACTACATGTAGATGCCTGCTGCCTGCCATTAACAGCTAGCTTCAGAAGAGAAGCTGAATCGTCTCGGCTCCCGTCCGGTTGGAGCCCACCTCTGGGCGATTTAAGCCTAATGCGAGGCTATGTGGGACACAAAAACTTGGCTTTCTGGCATCTGGAGATCGGGAGCGGCGATGGTGCCTGTGAGACGCGAGGGGGTGAGTGTGTGTGTTAAGTCTCATCTCATCGTCACTCTGTAGCCCTCGCTTTGGATCTCGATGTGATTACTAGTGAGGGTTGCATATTATTGCGGATTTTATAGCCGTATCAATTTTAAAAGCTTGATCCTACTCTATTTTCTGAGACTACATACAGGCACGAAATACTTTGTCTCGATCTCGGCGCTATACAGACAGGCCTATAAGCGACTTCCCAATCGTCCTACCCGTTTGAGCCAGGTCAATCTATTAAACTGCATTTAGTCTCCGCGGGCCACGACTAGGGATTTCCACAGCGGCTAAGATTAGCTTGTTTTTACCTAGTTTCTTTCCGTCCATCTTTCCGTCCATCTTTGCTTTTTTTTGTTCGCTTTACACCTGCTTACACCCAGGTTTATGACTAGGACTAAGTCAATGTCTTGGCTTATATTTCAACCCTTCCCTACCTTAGGATCATGTAGTGGTAATAAAACAAGGCTGAAGTCTGTTACTCGTTGCTTTTCGCCCCCATCCGTCGGGCCACACCGCCCATCCAGCTGCAAGACAATCCTCTTGCCTGCTAATTGAAAGCCCGAGCTTCTGTGGTCACACATCTCCACCATCGGTCAGGCATCAGGCAATCCGTAAGGGCGAGGGAGAAAGGTTAGCATCGGAAGATGACCCTGAGCATCTCAAATGGTTTGTCATGAATTTTTGAATATACTCCAAGAAACATAGGCCTATCCGATGGCCACTTATACGCGCCCCGCTATCCGTGCGTTTTTGATACTACGTTGCTGACAGGTATACGACTCGTGTAAGACTCGAACCATGGCGGCAACCCCCGTGTCCGAGGGAGAGCCACCTCCAGCCATGAATCGATGCTAATCGGCCGGTTGGCTTGGCAATAAAAGAAGGTTGATCTCTCCCTTCCGTAGCGATCCCCTGCTAGGGTAGCGACATCCGAGTCTGGACCCCCGTCTAGAGTAGTATCAATGACGAGATCTGATGAGGCTCAGTGGAGCAGCTTCGGGACCATGGCCCGAATTGAAAAATTTGCCCTGGTCAGCTCGAATACAGGACGATGGCAGAGCAGACATGCTCCAGCGGTCGATTAGGCGTACGAGAATGGCGATTGCAGTTTCTGAGCCCCTGAACGTATCACGGGATAATGATGCTGTAGTACGGCATATGCACGTAAAATGGAGCTCCACGGCGGCACACCGGGGCAGCGCTCCGATGCTGTATCATTTTATTCCGCTAAGGCTAAAAGAGAAAGAAGAAATTGAGATGCATAGTGTGTTGGCAAGATTACTGCCCGTGCAGATGGCGACTGAACTCATGTCTCAGGCTGTGAGTTGTTGATCCGGGTAGTTGGACGCGGCGCTGGGGACGCACAAGGTCTCGGTGAGTCCAGTGAGTCGAGCTACTTTCTATGGCTGAAGTAAGAACGCGGAGAATCCATGTATATTTGAACACGATAGTGATATTATTGAGCCCAGCTGAGATGCTTTACCGTGCTGCCTTGTTTATGGCCTTCCCTTGGCCGCAGACGCGTCTCGGATGTTGTATTGCCAGATAAGAGATGTAAGTTGTCACCTAGGCAGACCTCACGTCTGTGAATAAAACAACACCAACACCAGAGGTACTATGTAGTTAGTACTGATTGTCCTATATTTACCACGGCGACAAGTATGTACACAGCTGTTGTAGTAGCGATCTTCTCTTTAATAATTTTAAAAGATACCCTACCCAAGCCTCTCTATCTCGCTCTGAATGTCCATCTTATATGTTATCCCTACATATGTCGTGATTGAGAGGAATCAATGTCTTAGACCTGGTCCCGAAAGACAAAAATCTCGCAGTGTTTCATGGCAGCACCAACTTAAACACCAACGTAATACTCAGACCGTCAAATCTATCACGGACTCATATCCAGGTAGACAAGCATCATTTTCTCCCTCGATGAGCACAGACATGGTGTTGTAGTAGTGATACACTGCGATCAAGGGCAAAGATCTATGGAAGGACTAATAAAACAAGTGAAAAGTAAACATCGCGATGCGATGACGATTTGAAGATAAATATCCGCCATCATCTGCTCCCGATCAGTTCTCTTTTCCCCATCACTCACACTCACATCTCAATCTTCAATCCCACAGTAACCTACTTCTACATACTCATTAATACTACAAAACTCACTCAAGATTCATCTTGAACCACCACTCAAAATGAAGGTCTTCGCCGTCGTCACCATTCTCGCCGTCGCTGTCAGCGCCGCTCCTACCAAGGAATTGTGCCCTGCCCCTATTGGACCCATTCCTTCTTATGGACTCCCCATCCCACCCCTCAACGGTGGAATTCCCCCTCTCAACGGCGGCAACCCACCTTTGAACGGTGTGATTCCTCCCATCAACGGTGTGATTCCTCCCGTCAACGGTGTGATTCCTCCCGTCAACGGTGTGATTCCTCCCGTCAACGGTGTGATTCCTCCTGTTGGCGGCGTGATTCCTCCTGTCGACGCTGTGATTCCTCCTGTCAGTGGCGGCAATGAATCCGACCAGTACCAGTGCCCTACCGGACTCTACTCCAACCCCCAATGCTGCGCCGCCGATGTCCTCGGCGTTGCTGACCTCGACTGCGACGTCCGTAAGTTTTCAACACTCTACACATATTCAAAGCTTGTCTCTCCGAGTCTCAACCATAGCTAACGTAAACAAAAATCCATAGCATCGAGCACTCCCAAGGACGGCGCTGATTTCGAGGCCATCTGTGCCGCGGATGGTGGCAGGACGCCCAAGTGCTGTGTTCTCCCTATTGTAAGTACTGTATCTTTTCAACTCCTTGTTCACAAGACTAGAATACTAACAAACGAAATCTCAAGCTCGGCCAAGGTGTCCTTTGCCAGGATGCCATTGGCACCGATTAAAGGCATCACTCATTTATTGGGTTGATGTGGCTTTCCCGAGGTGCTTTTGTTTAATAATGTGCCGCTGAGCTCTCGGCACGTATAACTATATAATTGGAAATTTGGACTTGGATGGATATACGAGTGATGGAACTTTTTATTTCTACATATGTGCTAGGAATGTGTATTGCTCTGTTCAAGTGGTGGACATAGGATATTATGTACATTGCAGACAAACACCTAGTTTACCAAGTTAATTAATAATGATTTATTTTTCTTATACGGCTTACCTATTTCGCTCCCTGGATCCAATCATTCACCTTTTCATGATTTGATCTTATGTACAACTCTTGTGTTGGATTGTTTTCCATGTACTTGCAGCTTCCTTCATGTAGCCAGAGTGCTTGGTATTATACAACCTGTCGCGGGCTTCCTATTCAAGCCCAAAACCCATCCACTCCAGAAAAAAAAACCCCCCCAAAAATGGCCATGTTTCATCATAGCGGGTATCGTTGTAAAAGTTCCTTCATGCGTTGCCCAAAGACTGTAACCTAGATCGACAATGCAAGGCAGGCAGGCAGGCAGGTAGGTACTATTGTAAACGCTACTCAGCCTCCTTCGCCTTCCTTCTCAGGCCCTGTTGTAATTTTTAGGGAGCAAGTAATTGGTCAATGTTGACTCGCTCCAAGAAGCTAATGTGACCGAATCCAACCCAATGCATTGCGAGTTTGTTCGGGCTGATGAGGATCAGCTGGGTTTCGATGAATTTATCTAGCACAGCCCTGTCTGTTAGCTTATATTCAAGCTAAAATTGTTAGCGAACGCATCTCTCTTGCTTACCTCTGAGAAAGCCAGTCGCGGCAATGTGACCTTCGCTTTTGACTATCCTGGCCCCAGAGAATTGAGCGTCTGTAGCAGTTTCGACGAAGCCGTCCGGGCCCAGGTCATTGGCCACAAAGGTATACTCCCCTCTCGGGATATTTGGGTCCCCTGTTAACTTGATGCCCTCTAAGCGACCTCTGTACATTCTCGCTTCCAGTCTCTTCTTCTCCCATGCCTCGTCACTATCCTGCTCGTCACGGAAAATGCCCAATTCGGCATCCGTGGCGGGTGGGTCATCAGGTTGATGTACCAACAAAAACTCGCAACCATGTGCGCTGTAGTCGCCAACCCAAATCCCTCTCCACGGCCGTTCTGGGGTCGGTGTGTATAGCGACGGGTCGAGCGTCGAGTACGTGATGAGCTCTTCGCCGATGTGCACGCCAAGGGTACCGGCCCCAGCACCCATTGCCTCTTCCTCCATAATCTCATCAACTAGAGCCTGAAGAGCTCCGGCGAGGCCTCCCTGCCCCATAAACCTGAGAGGGCTAGGCGTGCCCGTCAACTCCATCCATTGCCGGATCTGGAAAGTCTGGTCAGAAACCTGCGATCTGCTTCGAGGCCGGTCCTGCATCGAGAGAGCGGTAAGCCCTCGGCCTGACTGAGCGCCCGACACATAGTGGTTTGCCGGGACAACAGGCGATGGCCACATGTTTCCATACGGATATCCCCGTTCCAGCCGGCGGACCGCCTCCTCAGAGTCCATCGGCCTTGTGAGCAGAAAATTGCTAAACATGCCACCCAGTCGTTCGTCCAAGGCCATGGGCATCTCGTCGGCAAAGCGGTTAGCGCCGGGTCTTTTGGAGAAGCCTCCATCCTCCTGCCTATCCTGGACGCGGAACTGCAGCACCGGTTTATCGAGATGGAGCTTCACCACCGGCTCAAAGCCGTGAATAATCACGTCCTGATCTGCCGACCACTGCTCAAAGGTCGACTGATTGCTGACAGCCACCAACTGGTAGCCCTCGATGCAGCCGCGCCTGGTGTCGTAACGCACCAGAATAAGCTTCCCCGTCAGATCTCGGTCGCAGAACCAAATCTTGAACTTTGGCAGAAACCACAGCCGGTCGTGGGTTGCATACAGCTCCCGGAAGCTCGCGCACGGCCCTGAAGTTGCGACCTGGGTGCCAGGGACATTCTGCTGGACAAGGGGCTGCCACAGAAGGTCAGACAGCGCATGTTCACGCAAGGAGCGGCATGCGGCTGAGACGGCGGCGAGGTCGCATGCGGGAAGATGCGACAGGATGGTATCGATGAGCTCCGGGGGGATGGCGAGCAGTGGAGCGGTGCTATTTTTGCTTGGAGTTCCGGCCTGGTGGCGCGATCTGATCTGGGCGCCCGGCTCTGGATCTATGGCGGTGCATCGTTGGATGCGTTAGTGGCCTGGACTTGAACTTGGCTTTGGGGATGGACGCAGGGCAAAACGGGAGGAGAGGAGAAAAATTGCAAAGCGCGAGGGGATTGCCCAAGTATGTATAGCTTATAGACATGGCAGGCAGCAAAGAGCTACATTAGTTCTGCTGGCTGCACTTGGGGCAATCTGCCGGCAGTGCTGGTGTGGTGGGATGAGGTTGCAGTACCTTGCATAATGGCGTCGTCACGATGTGGTTGGGGTTGGGCGCCGGGCTGGGCCGAAGGAGATGGCCTCAGGACTTTTGCGCGACGCTCCGAAGCGCCATGCTCGCCGATGCCGTGGATGAGCTCGAGGTTGTCTTCGTTTTCGGCGTCGACCCGGCCGTAGATGATGGGCACACCTTCTGCTGGAGATGAAGCTGAGGCCGAATCCGAAGCTGGCGATGACGACGACGCTGGTGATTGATAGCGGTCCATAGCCGTAGCCTTGCCGCTAGCGAACCCTAAGACCATGGCGCAGAGCTGGCGAGATTTGGGGTCGATTTATATCGATTTATAAAGGCGATGAAATCAAAGGAACTGAAGGAGTCGGAAAAAGGAGCTTCAGAAATAAATATAAATCCAATTCGTAGCAGGTTCCGGTCAGCAGTCAAAAGCCACAAGTCACTAGAATCACTGCACTGATGTTGCTATAACTGGACAACCTGTACGGAGTGCTTTAGGCCTTGTTGGCCGCGTCGGTATGCTTTGGGGCGCTGTAAGTTCAACACTGCCATGTACAGCTACTCTTGCCAGAGTTCAAAGCTGTACGTAAACGCAACAACGCAAGGTACAGGTAACCCCTGCAAGGAAAAAGTTCAATTGTCGGTCCCGCTGGCTTCCAGAACCGTCAGTATGTGGAAAGTGTGCTGATGCCGGTCGTTTTACTGCGGGCCCGGGCAGCGGAAAATCAGGGCACTTTGCAGGCAACTCGCTTGCTCGCTGCAGGGAGTCTATAATTGGGTCGAGAGCCCAGCCTTTGGGGACTTTGTCGAGCCAGCGTAGCAGACAAGAGTCGATCAGCGTAGCAGCTGCAAATGGTCCGACAAGGAGTGCGCTTTGCAGCGGGCCAAACAGGTGGACTCTTGAGGAAATCAGAAAAGGGGGGGAAGTTGTTGTTGTTGGTTGGGGCTCGATCGAGGGTTTGAAATCCCAATTCACTATTGGGACAGCCTGAGTACCTACTAATTTAGCAGCGAGGCGATTTTCTTATACACGCCGGCCCAGCTCCGTATCATCGGCTGGATGGTGGGCAGAGACTTGCAACTCCAACCACGCGACCGCCGATTGCGCTGGGCCAACGGTGAGATATACACCGAGCACTATGGCTGCTGCCTGAAGCTCAAGTCGTACAAGCCATCTAGCAAGACGGGGAAATACGGCATGTGAGTGTTTGGATATGTTGGCTAGGTCCAACGCGAGACCACCCTCTCTGCGGGCCTCTCCTCTGCAGCTATCCCGAGAGCGCATCTGCTCCGTGGTCTGGTGGGTTAGACAGCCCTGGGGGAGGCTCTACTAGGCGCTCTTAGTCCCAACGCAGTGTTAGCAGCATGTATGTATTTTCGTATTGCTGCTGCCAGGCCCTATCGGCAGCATCATGCTGGTCTCTGGCGCACCCCTCCTCCAGAATAGCCGTCGATTTGAGCCGGGACTGGTTAAGTCTCTCGCGGTGACACAATCCTAGCCCGCTCTCTCCACACTTTCCGGCGCCGCCGTATCAACGTCTAGGGCCTCCGGCCTTGTCTTCCGGCGCCAGCTTTGCGATATTTTATCAAGGAGGGTGGTGAGGCGGTTGCAGGGGGCCAGCAAGTATTTGCCGTCAATGAGATTCGTCGTAGAGTACTATACTAGGCGCTGGTGATGCCAAGTTGATGCTAGGCTGGCATCCCCAAACGCGCCAAGCGCCTGAAGCAGCCTTCTCACCAGGCAGGTAGCTTCTTGGTTCTATGCAGTGACTGCAAATGTGATGGGTGTAGAAGCTTATGGTACATCAACACACCCAATATAAACGTAGACCAAGCCTTACAATTGGGCTGCACTAAACCATTGTTTCGTATACCCCTACCTTGCATAGATAGTATCTGCATGTGTACCTTGTATATATATACATTTTGTTCAGAATCCAGTTGTAACATTCAGCCAAGATCTCCAAGCGAGGTCAGAACTACAAAGAGCCCCAGCTCGGCAACACCTCAAAGGCCACAGAAGAGGCAATTACATATACATCGCCGCCAAGAGCATGTTTCTCGGAGACATCATCTAATACAAGAAGGCAACAGTTTGCGAGCGATCCATATCAGTCGGGCTTGGGAGCCCTATTCGGTATCTCCCTAGCAAGTTCTTAGCAAGCAGTTATGCAAACTCGAGAAGATTCCGAACTGCAATCTGTCAACTCATTCCGCATTTACGGGGCCAGCCATATCGGGCTGACGTCGTCGGTGTCTAAGTCGAATGCCGTTACCCGTCAGGACTGCCCTGTGAGCTCGACCAACAGGCCTCTGAGATCTTAGATCGACACTTTAAGCATCTTACCCACTGTTTCACCCAAAGGGCCGGTGGGCCAGCAGCGTCGGCGAATCTCGAGCCATTGGTGCTAGTGTGTGCATACACAGCTGTAGCTGCTTTGAGCACAACCAGCCGCGCCCACGGTCGATGAAGCATCCGCGCCTAGACGCTCACCTCCTCTTCTGGGCCTAACCCAGCTTCCCGTTCCAGCGGGATCGTACACTAGCCGCAGCGCCGTACAGGAGACTTTTCCATGTGCCAGCAGGGGGCCAGCAGCAGCTCTCTCAGGGATGAGCTTCGCAGAGGGCCAATGACGCTGCCGGACGCCAAAGTGTGCATAGCAGGGAGTGGTCTGGCTTGCGGCTTGGCTTTGCCGGGGGGCTGCCTTCAAATGCCCCGACCTACCTATACAAGTAGGTGACAGTACCGTAAGAGCGGATGGGAAAGGATAGTGAGCACGGGGCATTGCTTAATTCGTTGTACTATCGAACCCTACGCCTTGATTATTGATGCTGATGCTGTGATCGGGGAGCAGACGCGGCAAAGAGAGCACGAGCATTTTCGGCTGACCAGTTCCGACGGCACACACCACGGCCTGACGTCGGAGCCCTTCCAGGTAATAATCGCGACACATCATATCCAAGTTTGAGGCGCCTTCACGGTAGTTGTCACGAGCCTGTCATCGGAGAACATTTGCAGCCTCAGACGCTGGGTCACTCGGCCTTGGAGTTGAGACGAATTCCTTGTGCCAGTGGTCCAACTAAGACGTCCAGGCCATCTAGCCGCTCGGCGATACTCGCGATCCTCCAAGCCCGCCGGAGGGAATCTTTGTCGCCATCAGCAGCGAAAGTTCCTCCACTTGTAGAAAGCGGCTTCGAGATTCACCGTAGCATCATTGACGTCCGGTGTTGGTCAAAGCTCTTTTTATGCCCTTGTTGGTTCTCATTGCCTTGGCTCCAGGGGGGTTTGAGGATAGATGTGGGGTGTTTTTTCTGGAGGAACCCAGGAAGATTCTATTCTTGCCTGCACCGAACGTTTGAGGGAAAAAAGACCTTCTGCTAGCAGCCTCGTATAGATGCTCACCTTTTACCCTTGCTGGAGCGTATTAGTAGTTACTAGTAGTAAGGCAATAATGCTGGGGGCGGAGAATAATCCTAGAATACAAGGTCTATCTAAGTACTTGCGTGTCTTGCGTTGCTACCTGCACACCTACAAAGAAAAGGCCTAATGATTCCATATCGGTACGCAATATGTAATAGGTAGTAGATGCTAGATTTTTTTATAGATACTTCTCCATGGGGAATTTGTAGAGGATTATTGGTATAGTTCATAGCGGGCAGAAGAGCAGGGGAAGACGCCCCATACTATTGACGGAATTTTACAAGTATGTCGTGCTTAGACTACAACCGGCCAGTCTCCGCAAGCTTTTGCTCTTTTGAACAAGCATCAATCTATCTACGATTTGTATGTTTATTAATTCCCGCATCTTCGTTAGTCGCTTTTCCATTATGCCAGCCTAGTATGTATCGATCAGACAACACGAGAGGACCTGGATGGGCCTGTGAGAGCTACAGGTTCCTGCCCCAGGGTCCCATCCTTACGCGGTAAGGTACCCCCTGGCAAGCCTGCTCGTAGATTGGGAGCCTAAACGGAAAAACACATCCGCCGCGACCAATCACTTGCCACCCACTACTCCCATGTTAGACGCCAGCTTCTCTCCTAAACACTCCAAGTGTTGGGTATCACTCCGTCTCTGCAGCTTGATTTGGCATCATCGCAACGTCGACACGTCAGATTCTCGACCTCGGCCATCCATCGAGCCGCCTGAACTATATCCTGCTAGTCTTGTCAACTGAAGAACCCACTTGAGCATTAATCACCCCCCCTGGTCATTCTCTCTATCAAGTGTCTGGGCACGTTCTCAATCTCCAATACATATTCCCATCATTCGTTTCTTTGTCGCTATATGGTTCCAAATCCGACTCGCACCACATCACTGGCTCGCCTTCCTAGTTGGGCCTCGTCTTCCACACCCCTCCCCAACCTAAAAGGACACGCGCTGCGGGCAACCAGAAGAGGCGTCTACTACGCTTCGTGACGCTAGGAGGACCTCTCTGTTTGACGCTGTTCCAGGCCGCCAAGAGTGACATTGATCCCGCATCTTTCGTTGAATGTTTTCGGCCATGTCGTCGCTACTGCCGATCATCTCAGAGATCCTGCCCATGGTGTTGCCGTCCAAGACGGAGACGACGCCTGCAGACCAGCTCACTCCCATTTTGGACAATGAGGGACGCCCCATCCGCGAGACTGCCATTGCTGGTAAGTGTGACAAATTGTGTGCTTCGGGTGAGTCTTCTCTTTGATCCTCGGACAGAAGCGTGCCCAAAACTGCGTTGTAACTCTCTCTCTTCTCTCGGACAGTTCTTACAACACACCCACATTCTACAAGCCCCATACATCACAACAGCGAGCAAGGTAGGTGCCACATCCTGCGCTCTCTCTGAAGCGTCTCATTCCTCCGGACCCCAATTGCCTCTTTGGTTGGTTGGTTCTTGTTTCTGATAACGCTGTCAAGACGCCATCATCTATGTAGTCTCCGGTACCGGCACACTTGTCGTAAAGGAGGGTTTTAAGGGCGAATTACGACATCACGAGCTTCGGCCGGGAGACTTTGCATTCGTGCCGGCCTGGACGGAGCACCAAGCTCGAAACGATGGTGACCAGGATTTTGTTTGGGTCATCACTCAAAGCGGCCCCCGTCCTGTCGGAGCCATTTTGACTGAATGGGGGGGTCAGGAGGTCAAGACGATTGAGTGAAAGTGTTATCGAGATTGGCTCCCTGCTTCCCCAGGCGGCTTGCTTGCATTGCTGCTGCGACTTTATATACTGGTCTATCCCACTAATCCTGCACCGCAATATGACCTGATAACCCGGCATACCCGTTCGTAGTGCAGCGAGCTGGCAAATACCTGCGCATGATCCAGCATGGGGAACATGAGCACCTCCACCTCGGCCGTCCGATTAGTGCCCCCGGCCTGGTTTATTCCCGCCATCCCAGCATCTCCCAGATACTGCGCGACTCTAGATGTACCGACGAGGATATCCTTGCCAGCTAGGCAGACAGCAACCTTGCGCCGATAACCCCTCGGTTCAGCATTTTCATATGATAGCAAGTCTTCCTTCCAAATGATGTTCTCCCGCCAGAAAAAGTGACGCCCTAGAGAGTTGGCCACGCCTGGATCCGTACTGGCAAAGTACCACAACACCCATTCATATGCTTCTCGGGGCCTTCTTCGGGTGAAGTTGTAAGCGACATCGGGGAGATGCAGCATCACCGTCACCGGATCTATCAAAACAACAGATGTAATCATATGCCTCAGAGCTGGGGAGTGGAGCATGTGGGTGGTCTGCACAGACCCATACGAATGCGAAGTGATGGTAAACTTGTTCCACTGGTGATGCTCCAATATCTTGGCCATCTGGCGTAGGAATTCAGCTTTACCCAGAGGCGGGGAAGTGAGTCTGAAGGACACGGGTAGAATCTCCACAGCTATGATCCCGATAGCCTGGCCCCCATCGCTCTCTTTAGCTGCACATATACGTGCGAGGAAGCTAATGTACGTCCAGAGCCCAACGCCAATGCCGTGGAAGAAGACAACTGGGTTGCAGTCGCTGGACGTGTGAGGCCGGTGCCAGTAGCTAAGCTGAGGAGCACGCGAGCGGCGGCTTGAGAATATCTCCTGCGGCCGCGGGGGGAACGTTGCAAGAGCTGTGGCGGGCCCTCTTGCATAGAACTTGAAGCCGTGCCAGGAAAGGGCGAGATGTGTGAATTGATCCACCAAGCATATGACTGCATACCAGGTCAGGCCCCGATAGGTTGTTTCAACGTCATCCAAGGTCAGTCGAATGCACGTTGCATTGCCTCGTCCACTGCGGATAGGTCGGCCAAGCCGCTTCTCAATCTCTGTGATGAAACCCTCCAAATCTCGCTCGACAGCCTCGGAGTGTCCGTCGTTCTTTTCAACATCCTCCGCGGCCTGGTCGAAGAAGCCCCAAAGGAGGAATTCCCGCACATTATCTCGGCGGATGTCTTTGAGTTCAGCGCCGAGGAACCACCCTCTTAGATACAGCTCAAATGAGTTGACGTGTGCCAGACACTGATTAAACAGATCCCACCGTTCCTCCGACGTCAGCGGTGTAGGATGCACAGCTTTGCGGTTCAGCTGGCGCATATACGGGAGATAGATGAAGCAAAAGAAGAGCAACTCGGCAGTTATGAGCCCCCATAAAACTTGAGCAGCAAGTGTCTGACGCGTTGTTTCCCAGCCATACCAAAGGTACAAGGCTCCTAAGATGGCGGCGTAGATGAACGGCGTTCGGCGGAAAAAGAAGATGGCGAGGCGGATGATGGGAGTGTTGCTTATCATCTTCGTAAAAAAAAGATCTTTGAGTGGCCGCCACCAGCGGGACCTCTCACGCGAAAAAAAAACAAAGGGTATCGGCTGAAAATGAGTGACAGATCTTTAATTCCCAGAGTTTTGCTAAACTCTATTATCCCGCTCCTCCCTCGGTTGGCGGAGAGAGCAGAACGAAGCCTGAGTGCATTTTTGTGTGTGAGCGTGTGCCCGAGACTTTGCGATGATGGGGCAGCCATGCCAAAACCTCTCCTGATTGGGCATGACGTCAATGTCTTGCGAGGCCCAGTTTATGCTGTGGGAGTACCTTTATAAGCATGAGAGGCGCAATAAAGAACATGGACGGCTCATCCTTTTTTTGGCTGACGTGATGAGCAAAGGTGCTTCATCAAGATGCCATGTTAAGCTGCATTCTTCAATTTTCCACCTTCCTCTGATTTGAAGAAGAGTTGCTCCGGAGGGATTGAAAAGTCGTCCAGCACCCCGGTCCTGTTATTCAGCACTCCAGCTATAGCATGGGCTACTACAGTCACTACTGCTCAACTTCCAGATGTATATATTATTAAATAACATGAATGGAATTTATATACAGTCTAACTTCTCCATTGAGCTATAGCTGGAGTACTGAAATAAACTCGGGTTTTGATGGCAAACCGGGATTCCCTTCTTTTAGTACCAAGGCATACTAGTAAGTTTGCAGTGAAGCATGCGAAACTCAATTACATCATCAAGAATCTAGTTACAGCAACCGGCCAAAACGCATCAAACATGACTGGGAACTTATCTACGGATGTCTATCATTGATCGCGTTACTGTAGATACCCTCTCACATATGTCTTACTTTGCGATTGCGTGTCCAGACAATGACTGTATGAGATACATAACAGCGGCCGAGTCAGCCGAGCTGCATTTGCCCTGGCATGTGATAATTCACCCGGCGCAACAACTTGCAAATATTAGCAACAACATTGCCATTTCTCCCACATCACACCAAGCGACATCCGAGTAAGCGAACTCTTACGCAGCTTCACAAAGCACTGGTTCATGAAGATGAGGCAATGTTGAGGCACCGATAGTAGCAGACTATTCAAAGCTCTAGCGTTTCAGCAAAGTCGGTGAAACTTGGGCGATGGAGATGCTGTTTCACAGTTCTATCAACGTTCACCAAGGCGCATTTTAAATCTCGGTAGTATCTTTAAGAGCCGAAAACTTGCAAGATACATGACGAGAGTCGGGCGAATAGTTATGAAACTGTGCGAGAGAAAGTAAAAGATCACTTACGAAGCCCGATCGGGGCGATTCCAGGGTACGTGCTATTGACGTTGTTTTTTCGCCACCTTGAGACAAAAGCGCACTAAGCGAACCCCTAACGATATTAATAGCCACTTTAAGAATCTTATGATCAAGCGCTATATACCAAAAGCCACAATCGTAGGCATGATTATATGGTCCGAATCGGGGCATCAATTAAACCTTTTCCGCTCTTATATTTTCGAGATTGATTCAACGTCTTGGCAGCAATCTTGGCGTTCTTTCTCGTCAACACAATTAACAAAACAAAATGATGCAAGAAAAATATATTCTACGAGTTACGGCGGGACCGAGTTATGACGAAAGCACTCACATTCAAGTCCCGGTGAATGAACCTGCACCTCTACACATCAAGAGCAATGTGGCCGACATCGAGCTCAATGTGCGGATAAAGGGCTACAATGGACTGCCCTATGGCTCGCCGTCGACCTCTTCTTACTTTTCCACAGAGCCTCATGCCAGCAACCAGGACCAGTACAGCATATCATTCCGCTTCACGCCACTGAACCCATCCAAGTCAGACAGTGGCAAAGAATCCGGGGACGAGGATGCCGCGGGAATCAGAGCAGCAGATTTGCAGTTTGGAAATGATTTTGACCGTCCTATCCGAGACAAGCTGCCGCCCGGGTTCAACACCGCAATGAACATTGTCAAATGGTGGATCGACCCTGGCCTGGACGGAGATGCCTACGCAGACAAGCCCTATCTCTATGGCCCTGCCCTAAGCTCATTCAATGTCGTGTCCATCGGCCCTGGGACATACGACGAAGCAAGAGGCGGCCTGTGGTTTGAAGAGGGAGGAGACAAGAGGGGGATGAAGCTGCGCGAGGCAAAGGGCGTGCCCAAGGAGAGCAAGCCGAGGATGAAGTGGGCGCTGTCGGACTCGAATAAGGAGAAGTGGCTTTGGGAGTATGGGCAGACATATGGGATTGACTTTTTCAACCCGTATCTTGACTTTGCGAATCTGGCGTTGCGGCTGCCGGGCTTTCAGCTGTCGGTTGCGAGATATTTGGGTGCAGATGCTTTGAGGTAAGGCGTTATTAGCTCTGATTGCTTGTTTGCCCCGAGTAGCGATCATTTTATTAACGAGAGTATAGGAATGATGGAAGGATAGCACATCAGCTTAGATATGTCCTTCGGAACAAGGCCACCGGTGATATATATCTGGTGGTCACTTTCTCCTTGTTCCTTGAAGAAAGCGTCAATGAGGACGGGACGATTAAAGGCGCGAATGGGGCAAATTGTATCATCAATAGTCACACAAACGGTCACTCAAACGGCTCGACTTCAAACAACGGCTCCGAAAACGGATCTTACAGTGGAAGCACCAGCACGCATGAAGATGATGTGGATTAGAGAGGGAGGGAGAATTAAAATTTGTTGTCCTTTATGCACCTAGACATGACCATTGTATTTTTATATAGACTTCATGAGAATTTCTTACAAACTTGAGAGTTGGTAATGTGTGCGATGTGAATTTGACTCTGCACTCGCTATATGCGGCTGCTGTACAGTCGGCTGTCTTTATGCGCCGAGAGGGCTTCTAGGAGCGAATCCTGTAACAGCCGCTGGTGAGCTTTTAACACCTCTTAACAGACTCAGCGGACTCAGTAGGAAAATTCTTTCAAGACTCCCCATGCAGATGCAGTCATTGAGAAATAATTCGTCGCCAGAACACGAGATAGCGCGGCAGAGTATAAACTACCTATATCCTTATAAGCGCTCTCAAAAGGCTAAATGATTAATTAATCCCCTAAACAGGCACTTAATAGGTACAGACTTGTCACAGATGAAAAATCTCTTGTATCAGTGCTATAGCAATTCACGGCTTTTTAACCGAGAGTGATACACGTGCACCGATACGGCAGGAGGTAGTTGCCAAACAACGGAAGGAGCAGAGACAGGCGTTGAGAGGCTGGTTTCCCCCTTAAAAACATGGCATCAACAATGAAATCTGCTTCAGGCAGTACGAATCTCAAGATTTGGGCCATTGTCTTGCTCTTCGTTGGCTCCATGACTACCAGCAAGCCGATTCGGAACAAGCTGGGCTCTCAGTTGTCGGCATCTCGGTATTGGCTATACTAGGCATTTGCAACGACGGGGATCTTTCCTTTTGTTGTATTCGGATTTGATGAGCAGAGACTACCCAGTCATCGAACAATGGCGGCCAAGACAGCCAAGACACTCTCAAGTGGGCCTTTACGAGTGCCGTACATGCCCATGACTGTCCATGCGATTCCGTGCCCTCCCCCTATTCTCCCGGATGATTTCGACGGCTGCCGCATCCCTGGCGGCGTCGATTTGTGGTCCAAGGGGGGCTTCTATTCGCCGGGAGAGTGCTTCTCGGGATATCGTGCCATGTGTACGCAGACGTCAGCGGTGAGCAGCGGCTGGCCGATCCAAGACGGAGAGACAGTCGTCAGATGTGTTCCTGAGTAAGTCAATGCGCAATATTTATGAAGAAACAAGACTGATAGACCACTTTCAAAGAGACTACACATGCAACGACGTGACCAAAGATCAAAAGTACGCAGTGACCAACTATGACGGCACAATGTTATCCGCTCCAGCCTTTGAGATTCGTTGGAGAAGCGTGGACTTGGTTGTGAGAACTACAGAAATGAATCCGCCCGGACTCCCGACTCGAGAGTCGACAATCACCGGTCATATTCCCACGTCGATGGCATTTACTTTTACCATGACCAATGCGTTGATTACGACCCAGACGACTCCAACACCTCCAACGCCTCCAACTACTCCAACAACTCCAACCTCCCCCCCGTCAGTCTCACCCGCCACTGAACAAAAAGCTTCATCCACCGCATCATATAATGCATCGTCTCCACTCACATTACAGCCAAAGCCTATTCTTAACTCCGGGACGATTGCTGGGATAACAGTTGGGAGTTGCTTGGGGCTCCTGGCTGTGGCTTCGGCGATTATTCTTTTCTTGGTCCGTCGCCGAAGGAGACATCAGGGCCCACGACGGCTCACAGATGATACGTGGGCCCAGCAAGACACGTTCAAAGAGCCCTCAGACCTGGCAGTCACTCGATATCCTGCTGAACTAGAGAACAAGCCAATGGAGCTAAGAGAGCTTCCGGTAGAGACACACTTCCCTTCCGCGGATGCATTACCTGCACCAAGAGCGTGTCATATCAGTGTCAACACTATTCCTGTTGAAGTTGCAGCCGATCCAGTTCAAAGCATCACAAAAGCAATTAGACAGGGCGATTAAAATGGTGCTTTGGATATCTATGTCTACCTGCCGTCCTCGATGGGAATGTGGCCAGGGCTTCCATCTATGGGCCGAATCTAAGTCCACTAGTTGGACATTACCTTGCGGATTTGGGTCTGTTGGCCCACACTTTTAATGTGTATGGAACACGGCAAGAGAAGCTTTTACAATTCTAGCATGGAGAGCGGTTGATAAGCTTTGGTGGGGTTGCATTTATTCAGGGAAAAAGCGTCTTACACACGAATAGCCTATGTTTCGCTTCCGTAATAAAAACTACACTTGCGGCAATGCAAGCGTTCTGGAGCCTCTGCGGTCCAATTGAATAGCCCGCGGCCTTAGTCGGGAATAACGTGCCTGAATCTCACCAAGATCCAGGCCATAACTCTCCACCTTGCGCTTCCAGTCGACATGTCATTGGCTCACCTTGGACTTAAATCTCAAGCGGAGTCTTGAGCTAGAGCCTCAGGAATCGGAATGCTGAATCGGTAGTCGAAATTCGGATTCAACATTCGTGCCGGGCTGTTCTAAGGCTGCTTTCACATGAAGCATCATGGAGGGGAGATTAGAAATCTAGATGCGAAGCTTGGCTTGTGGAGAAGTTGTGCGTATAATTGCCGCTGTTTATTCCCGTCAAACTATTGACTAACACGGCGTAACTAGTGGATCGAAATTGTGTCACGCCTCCTCCTCGTTGGTGGCTGCGTCGAGAGAGGGCATCTCGGGCGGCTAAACCAAGCATTACGTACGTTGGAAGCATTGCTTTCAAGTTCCTCAACCCGAGCCTGGGAAGATGCCGCGCAGAAGACGCAAGGGTGCTCTTGGCACGAAAGAGAAACGGAAATCTCGTGCTAATCGCTGTCAATCGTGTAAGCCACGCGTGGGGGCTAAAAGACGCTTCGAGAGCAGATCCTGCCCATGTGGTTATTCCCGTCGTCAATACATTAGCCTCTCCACTTACTCCATACGCCTTCCGGATTCGATAAATAGCTAGACATCACCGCTCTTCATGTCTGGGCAATCCTTTCTCCAAAGTCACTGTCGGGCTCATCGCGGAGGTTCCAACCACGTCTCAAACGTTTGCGTCACGAAATTGTATCGATGTCTTGAAACTTCCAACTACGAGCTGTATCTCTTTTCTTTTTTTTCCTCCCTTGGCCTATTTCCGATGGCTGTTGAGGAAAGGGGAGACCTTGGGATGCGTGAGATGGATGGCTTTGAGATTGCTGGGAACGAGAACATTGCCTCTCGCGATGGTCCCTCCCATGATGCTGGGGACCTCTTATCGTCGAACGAAAAACCGCAGACGGAGCAGACAGAAGCGACAACACTAGATGGCAACAGCCCGATATTGTCTCTTTATCTCACATTCGATACCGTTTTACCGTCTCCGATATTGCAACAGCCCAGTTTTGGTGGTCGAGAGCCACCGCCATGTCCTGACTTGACAGCTTACGCTGATCCATTGACATGGGGGCCTGCTCGCAAAAGTATTCTGCTTATCCTGTCATGCCTGGCAACATTCTTGACAGCGTATACTGCCGGTGCCTACGCGCCGCCGGCGGCCATCATAGCCAGCGATTTTGGCACCTCAAGACTTGTTATAGTTGTGGGCATTACGACGTTCTGCATGGGATTCGCCTTTGCACCAATGGCTCTTGCACCGTTGTCTGAGATATGGGGGCGTTATCCCATCTTCATTGTTGCTGGCTTTGTCTTTGTCATTTTCCAAGCCGTCTGCTCTGTTATGCCGGATGCTGCTGGCATGATTGTGTCACGCTTCTTGGTTGGCATTGGCGGTTCGGTCTTCTCTGCCGTGGTCGGAGGCGTCTTGGCTGATTTATGGGAAAAGGAGGAAAGGAACACACCCATGGCGCTGTTTAGTGGCGCAGTATTGGCCGGCACTGGGGCTGGACCGTTGGTTTCTGCCGCCTTGATTGAAACTGTGGGAAGCAACAACCTTGCCTGGAAGTGGTCATTCTGGGTCCAAGTTATCCTCGATGTCGTTCTCCTACTTTTCCTAATCTTCTTCTTCAAAGAAAGTCGGGCCTCAGTCTTGCTCACCAGGAAGGCCAAGAAGCTTAACGAATGGTATGAAGACTTGGAAAAGCATGGAGTGTATGGGCAGTGGCTAAGTAGCGATCTGGCATTGACGGCATCTACTGCTTCTAGCCAAGTGACCATCACTCCTGTCACAAAGGAGCGTTCATCTGCCACAGGTCCCCGTTTACGACGAATTCGATGGGTAGTCAAGGCAGACGAACAGCGCGCTTCCCTAGGACAGCTCGTCTTGACCTCTGTACAGAGACCATTCCTTCTTCTTTTGACAGAGCCGGTCGTCTTCTGCTTTTCTTTATGGGCCGCCTTCTCGTGGGGTGTGCTTTATCTCTCCTTTTCAGTTGTGCCCTTCCTCTATGGCTCCAACTTTGCCATGTCAAGCCGTGTATACGTGGCAATGATGATAGCCTCGGCTGTTGCAACCGTAGTAGGAATCTACCAAGAACATCTCTTAAAGCACTCACAGTGGAAACGACAAGACGAAGACTTCCAGTACTCCAAGTCCAGATTTTGGGCCTTTATGAGACGGAGGTTTCCGGCTGAAGCGCCGGAGGCCAGACTGTATTTTACTTGCATCACTGCTCTGCTCTTACCTGTTGGATTATTCATTGCGTTCTTGGCCTCTGACGGGAAGAGAGGGTATTCAACAGCAGTTGGCATAGGGCTGGCAACTTGGGGCATCTACTCCGTTTACCTCGCCACCTTCAACTATCTCGCAGATACATATCACATATATGCATCATCGGCCTTGGCAGCGCAGAGCTTCTGCCGGAATGTACTGGGTGGCTGCTTTCCGTTGATTACGACCATCATGTTCACCAATCTTGGTCTGAAAGGCGCTGGTGGCATGCTTGGTGGAATCGCTACCGGTTTGACGATCCTACCTTGGGTGCTTTTGTTTTATGGGGAGAGGATCCGTGCAAAGAGCAAATTCGCCATAGTAAGTTCTTTTATGTACCCTGTTTTGGATGAAGGTTTGTCACTAACATTCTGAAAGACTTTAGCAAAATAAAAGGATACGATATAATGTCTGAGGGTGAAATAATTTGGTGGTTATAATTTTGGAATTAGGTGAAGCGTTCTAGCGTTACAGCGGATTCATGGGTTCACGATAAAGGCAGCATTCGATGCATATATTAGATCCTGGTAGAGCATTGCCGGCTGACAAATGTCTCTTACATATATTTGTTCTTTTTCTACACGTATATGATATAATTGTTTCTCCAAAGTAAAGAGAAATACGGAAAGATTTCCACCTATATGGCTACAATAATTCAACATACAGCTTACACACATTCTCTTCAGGGTGCAGACACCGGCCTTGGCCTCCGCCTTGACCTTTCCTTGTACTTGCCGAAAAGCTTTTGCATCCTGGACTTCTCATCGCTACGTCGGGAGTTTGTAGACGTGTTTGCGTCGTTACTGTCTATACTTCTCTGAGACGGCCAACTAGAGCCTGAGTTGGTGGCATTGTGTCTCGGGCGGTGAGCTGGTTCGCGACACCACGGCAGCGATCTGATACCCGATCTGTAAATGACTGGCGGCGGCAGCTGAATCAACCCCTCGGGGAAAATGCAAGGTTCAGGAATGACCTCGTGGTCGTCCAATACCAGTTCTCCACGGCCGGCATCGATCCAGGATTTCTGACCACGCAGGCGAGGCCAAAGCGTAGAGGGAGCGACACGGTAGGAGTGGTTTGCGAGGGGGGAAGTTTTCCACTGGGGGAATATAGTTGCTATGACGGCGTGGGAGTACTCGTCGCTGAAACCAACTATGCGGAGGGAAGTGACTTTGTTGCGGAGGCGAGCGAGATGGTTGCATATGGAGAGGTGTTTGTCTGGGCAGTAGAAGGGTTTTTCTTCGGGGATGGATGGCGTGGGGGCGAGCGAACTGTTGTCTGCGTTTGAGGATGAGTCTGAGCTTGAAGAGGAGCAGTAGCTGCTTTCGATGGAGGAGCCGTCAGTGTCGCCATCTTCATCGTCGTCGTAATATTCTTCGTCGTCGTCACCGTCTTCTGCCTCGCCGTCGTCGGGGTCCCAAGTAACGAGTTCGCTTTTTGTGTTGTCGTGAGTGATCAGTACGGACTGTCTGAAGGATTCTTGGGGGGCTGGAGAGATGGCCCGAGCGATTTTTTCTAATGAAGATTTGCTTGAATTGTCGACGCCGACAGCTGAAGATGTGTTTTGAGTGTTTTCGGAGACTTTTTTGTTCGCTGATTCTGCAGGGGGTTTAGGAATTTCCTCTCTTTCGCCGTAGAAGCGGCGACATGCGAGAATCAAGGACTCCAATGGAGCTTCTGGGGCTCTTCTAAGTTGAGACGTGCTGAAATTGAGAATGAGGTCTTGAACACGGCTAAGACTTGGGAGCAGTGTCATAGCTGAGGGACTAGGGCCAAAACCAAGATGCGATAGATCGATTTCAATGACAAGAGACCTCATAAAGGGACCGTATTTGTCGAGCCACGTAGTAGCAAGGGGATTGAGTTTCGGGGCAATAAATGGCGAAAACGTAACGTGAAAAGTATATTCTGACAAGATGGTTGTGAAAAGCTCAGCGTAAAAGTCGAAAGAGACTGCAAGATAAGAGTGGAAAGCTGCCAGGACATCGTGGAGGGGAGTAAAGTCTGAGGGCTCCCAGCAGTCTTGGTTCCAGCAGAATCGATTGAGGCTGATGGGCTTGGATCCCAACGCTGCTGACTCGTGAGATGTTATGAGGTTTTGGAGTATGAGCAGGCGAACATTTTCAGGAAATTTCTGCTAGATGCTTGCCTGACGGGCAATGTTGCTGCTTGTTTGTGAGGGCCTCTGTCTCTTGTGCAGTGAGAAGAAGTTGGCGATGGACGCCTTCAAAGCGATGTTTTTGTCTGGCTTGGCTTCTCCGCGTTTGTACCTGTGATAGACTATGTCTACTGTCCGATCCCATGGGGGGAGGCCAGCGCGACCGAAAAGCTGGTCATCGCTGCGTGAGGTGTTGGGAGAGATGGAGTAGACGGAGGCTCTGCTGCCGGATCGCTCGATGATGGACTTTGATCGAGAGAGTTTTATGGGGCTGCTTGCTGTTATTTCAAGTTGGTTATTTTTCTGCTATAATAGAAGCTGGAATATTGATGAGAAATACTAGTAGGCAGCGATAGTTGACTTACGAGGCGATGGTGGTGGCGATGGCGAGGTTATGCCGTCGCTCTCTATCGACAGATCCAGCCAGGACGTCCCATCCATCGTGATATCCTGTTTGGGAGAAGAATTTGACACGAGATCTTGGGTAGGCAAGGAGATGAGGGCAATTTTGCTGATATTTGGGAGAAAGTGGGATAGAGAAACCAAAGTTTGCAGTTGTCACCTGCGACTCGTTGATGGCGCTGGTGCCCGAGCTAGACACTTTTTGCCAGCCAGGTGGCAAACAGCTGCGGAATGCAAACAGAAAACAAACATGGCTTGCGTGAATATAACTGCTTGGGGGGTCAAAGCTTTATATCATACAGCTGTTCGAGCTGTGACCAGCGACTTTATATATCAAGAGAAAGAGTATGCCCAAGCAGGGTTATTCAAATTAGGGAGCATCTATTACCCATTTCTTCTACCTTCTCATTAGATAGAATGGCAGCTAGAGGCCATATTGCGTATTCAAACTATATCTAGGCCATTCCGGCCAAATTTCCAACAGTATAGCGATAAAAAGGCACGCGGTATAAGCAGAATTGACTTTTCTTGACTTCGTCTGTGTATAATGGGTATTTATTTGGACTTGTTCTTCTCCTCCTGTGCCTTTTCATATATCCAGTCGTTAAGGCCATTTCGGTTTCTGCTCGGATAGTCAGTCAGCGTGAATCATTAGGAATACTGCCAACGCCCTGTTGCAATACATACCGGGCGATCTCAACAGCATAGAACTGCATGCGGGGAACTATTATGCGGTCAGACAACAGTATGAATAAGGTAAACCTCCTAAAACCCACCAAAGATGGTTGTGTCCTGCTCGTATTCCGCCTTGGCATTGTTGCGCACCATGGTGCCAAAGTTGAAGTCGTCGACCGTCTTCTCGTACTTCATCATGAAGGCGCGCCACCTCTCCTTGCCGGACTTGCTCTTCATTTCGTCCTCGTCGATTGTGGCGGCGGGGTCGAACTCGGGGAAGGCCTCCTTGAGGTGGTCGTAGATTTCGTCGTCGATCTTGGTGAGTCGCAGACTTGAGCCCTTGACCTTTTCGAGGATGGCCCAGTAGGTGGCCATGTGCTGAACGACTGTATAAATAGCATGTTAGGTCGTGTATAAACAGTTTATCCGTGAAGAGTCAATATCGATTTCGTACCCTTGACTGCGAATTGCTTCTCCATCTATCGCAAGAAACACAAAAGGTCAGCTAGAAACTTCCATGAGCTGCACAGCTGGAAACGAGACGCACATCCTCCATGTTGGCCGCATTTTCGGCGTCAAAGTTCTTGGGCAGCGGCCCCCCGGTGGACATGCTCTCTAAAGGATCCATGATGGCTGCTGGTGTTGCGTAGAATATTCGCAATGTCGAAGTTGGTAGTGAGTGTAGAGAGTGGCTATTCGAGAAATCGTTATCCGGTTTGATGCATCGTCGCAAAATCTACCGTCAAAGGTGGGGCCGGGCCGTTTGGAGGGGCAGCGATGAGGTCAGGCTACAGTGTTTGCGACGCAGGTTACTGTGTTTGCGGCACTGTATCTCCATCAGCCTTGAAGGTGTCCAGCTTTGTGCTACTCCATGGCTTCAGTGGCTTTGCTCTTCCACAAGCATCAAAATCTAGGAAAATGCTTTTGTTGGGCCCTGAAACTCTCTAGAATTGCTCACCACCCCACATTTTGCCTTTTCGAGTACTAACAGCGTAATATCCCACGGCTTCTCCAATGACTCGCTTTGGCCATCTCGAGACTCTTGTGATTAGAATCACCGAGTGGTGACTGGCCATGATGTGCTAGTTAGGGCAATCATGCTGTTTCAGATTGAGATTAATGACATCTACGAGATTCTGAAGCTCATCTTTTTAATTCTTTAGCGACGACTTTTGAGCGCTTGGCCCACCCATCTTTCGTCTTCAATGCCGTGTCAGAGCAAAGTGAGCAGTGCGTTTGGGCCACTCTGCGGACACAATATCAAGGCGGCGATGGAACAATACATTGTGCATTATCCACTTATAGGCTTATACACTATGTGCCAGCTCCCTAGGGATTATTTTTACCGATCTGGCTTCCTTGCTTCATAATGGCTTGTGATACCTTCATCATCCGTAATCATCGCTTCTTGTCATTGATCCTAATGCTTATTCAAGTCATTGCCTCATGCTACTAGACATCATGGCTGCAAAAGATAGAGATTCAGTATCATTAAAAGCTTCGACGGATAATCTCAGCATAGTCCTCGATACTATCCCATCCGTCAATCATCAAACCATCGCTAATAAGCCCATTCGCTCATCATTCAAGCATCTCTTTTCTTTCACCAGATGGAAGCAGGCAGCGGCTCTTACCGCCGCCCTCACTGCTTCAGCCGCATTTGCTGCCATCAAGTCCATCTATCCCATCTTCTTGGGCAAGATCTTCAATATAGTATCCGATTTCGGTGCTGGTCGGCGCTCAGGTAGCGAGACCCTGCATGAGATATCCCACTGGAGTCAGATATTGATCAGCCTTGCAATTGTAAATTGTCTCTCAGGCTCGGCATTTCTAGCACTCTGGGTCGTCTTTGGAGAGCTTCAAGCCAAGTCTGTCCGACAAGATGTTTTCAAGAGCCTACTGTCAAAGAATATGGCATGGTTCGATTCTTTAGACCAGGGTGTCTCTAGTCTCTTGGTTAGAATCCAAACGCAAGTCTACATAACGATCCAACCTTTAAGATCAATGATAGCCAGCGACTAACCAGATCAATAGGCAAACTCGAGAACTTCAGCTCGCAACATCGCAAGTATTCGGCTTCCTAGTAACCGACTGTATCGTTTCCGTCGTCTCCCTCTCGATAGCTTTTTATTATTCTTGGAAGCTCACCTTGGTGCTACTCGCAACCCTTCCCATATCTATGATACTCCTGTCTCTTGCAACTCGACGATTACAGCCGGCTATACAAGCCCAGAAGCGCGATTTGGAAACTGCATCAAAGTTTGCTACCTCATCCATAAAGGCAATTGAAATTGTGAAACTATTCAACGGATTCGACCGCGAGCTCCGACAATACCACGAAGCAATCGTGTTAGCCAGCAAACAGTATTTGATACAGGCTCAATGCAACTGTTTCCAGATGGGATATGTTGCCTTTTGGGTTGTTGGCATATTCGTGGCGGGCTTCTGGTATGGCACCATCCTCGTCGACCAAGGACTGAGTCCTGGCCAAGTCATTACCACCTTTTTCTCTGTCCTTTCAGCGTTCCAGGGAATTGAAGCGTTGCTCCCACAGTGGCTGGTGTTATCAAAAGGCATATTTGCGGGGGGCTTTTTGTCATCTTTATCGACTACATGTGATGACGAAGCTGCCAAGGAGAATGGAGGCCACATAAGACCAAACTCTTGCATTGGCAATGTGGATCTAATAGATGTATGTTTGACTGAATACCGCTTCCCCTTTGTTTACGAGAGCTAATCAATGGCCCGTGGCAGGTCACCTTTGCCTATCCCTCCAATCCCGAAAAGCCCGTCCTCAATAAGTCAACCTTCTTTTTCCCCGCCGGCCAACTCACCTTCATTGTAGGAAGAAGCGGGTCAGGAAAAAGCACAATCGGGAATCTTATTGCTCAATTCTATGACCCCTCGTCGGGCCTCATTTGTTTAGACGGGTACCCCTTGGCCACTCTGGATGGCGATTGGGTCCGATCTAACATTGCTTTGATCCAGCAATTGAGCGTCGTGTTCGAAGATAGCGTTCTCAATAACGTAGCAGTTGGGCACAGTGACCCTGAAGCAGTGACAAAAGAGGCTGTCAGCACTGCGTGCGAATTTGCGCTACTACAATCGATGCTCAGTAATTTCCCCGAAGGCCTCAACACTCGGATCGGTTCAAATGGACACAAATTAAGCGGATGCCAAATGCAGAGAGTTGCGCTTGCCAGAGCAAGAATTCGAGATCCGGCTGTACTTATCCTTGATGAGGTGACAAGCAGCTTGGATCAGATTAACCGGAGTCTGATAGTAGATGCTATCAGAGCGTGGCGACGAGACAAAACAACAATCATCATTACGCATGATATTAGCCAAATTGAAGATGATGAATATGTTTATGTCATGCAAGACGCCACTTTGGTACAGCAGGGATTGCGGCGACAGCTAGCCAACATATCAACAGGCCCATTTGCGTCTCTGGCTCGTCAGGCTTCCCTTGAATCATCGTCTTGGAGTAAATCACAGATGGCAGTTGTGCTCTCAGGCAAGAAATTTGAAAAGACCCGGAAAAGCTCTAATACAGACAAGAGGTTAAAAAAATCTGCCGAAAACGTATCCAGCTATGGAACTGGCAAGAGACAATCATCCAGCGAGATTAGCGAATGTTTTGAGCCATCTTACAGATTCAATGCCACAGAATCTAGCTATAGATCCTCCTCAGACAGCGACTACATTATGGACTTTTCTCATGATTCTGAGCACGACATAGATGATCCAATCTATTTATTTGGAAAAGCAGATCGCCGAAGCAACATCTCCAGCTTGCGAGTCGCTTCCAACCGTGAGCAGCCTCCAACCGTTACTACAGATATAACTGCAAAGCAAACGGTGGAAAAACCGAGCACTCTATGGTCAATTTTGAAAACCGTCTGGCCAATACTCACCGCAAAAGACCGCGCAATCTTCCTCGGTGGAATTGTAATGTGTCTGATTAGCTCTGCGGCAAAACCAGTCTTCTCTTTTTGTCTCTCTCAGCTCCTGGCAGTATTGTGGCTACCAGAGAACAGAACGGCCGCAGCGAAACAAAAGGCAATATACTTGGTCATTACTGCAGTCGTTGATGGCACTGCCACTGGAATTGGACATTTAGCCCTTGAGAAAGTCGGTCAATCCTGGGTGAATGCACTTCGTCTCGAGGCTCTAAAGAGAATCTTGCGGCAGCCGAAATCATGGTTCGATCAAGATGGAAACTCGGCCAGCAGAATCAACGAATGCCTTGACAGGAACTCGGAGGAAACTCGCAACATTGTGGGGCGATTCATCCCCATCATTATAAGCGTCATCGGGATGATTACAGTCTCCATGATATGGGCTTTTATAACGTCCTGGAGGCTGACTCTCGTCACTCTTTCAGCGCTACCGCTCGTCCTCGGAATAGTCAAAGGATACACCATCATCAGCAGCAAGTGGGAAGCCAAATGCAACCAAGGAGCCTCAGATGCCAGCGCCGTCTTCAGCGAGACGTTTGTCAACATCCGCGTAGTGCGAGCGCTAATGCTTGAAAAGTACTTTGGCAAAAAGCATCAAAAACTGATTTCTGACACTTTGAGCTTGGGCCTGAAGAGGGCAGGTTATACGTGTGGACTTTTTGGACTATACCAGTCAATGAATTATCCCATGACCGCCTTGGTATTCTACTATGCCACAGTCTTATTATCTAAGAACGATGGCACCACAGTAGCCAAGATACTGCAGGTAATCAACTTACTACTATTCAGTATCGGAACGTCAACCGCTTTATTAGGCAGCATACCTCAAATGACCATGGCCACAGTAACAGCAACACAGTTACTAGCCTACGCAGAAATACCGATAAATTCCAAAGAGCGCCAAGGCAGTATTGAGATATCTTCCCCTTTACCTGTCAAGGTTAAAAACTTGCAATTTGCTTATTCACAGTCGAGCCCACGTGTCCTTCATAATGTTTCTTTCAACATCACGCAGGGAAGTTGCACCGCCATAGTTGGCTCTTCTGGCTCTGGAAAATCCACAATCATATCGCTCCTCATGGGCTTCTACCGCCCTTCAGACGATGCTCAATCTCTCACCTACGCAGGCGTTCCCCTTTCCAAACTCAACATGCAACACCTTCGCTCAAAAATGGCATACGTCTCCCAAACACCATATCTCTTCCCCGCAACAGTCACAGACAACATAGTCTACGGTCTCCCGGAAGACTCTCCTTTCAGAGACAGCCTAAGCGTACAAGCCGCAGCAAAAGCAGCCGGCATTCACAACTTCATCACCTCTCTCCCTCAAGGCTACTCTACCATCGTGGGAGATGGTGGAATCGCTCTCTCAGGTGGTCAAGAGCAGCGGCTGAGCGTCGCCAGGGCGCTCGTCCGCCATCCCCAACTTCTCATCTTGGACGAGCCGACAAGTGCTCTTGATGCTGAGTCGACAAGCATGATCCGCGAGACGATATGCGATCTTATGGAGCGGGCGAGAAAGAAGGAGAGCGGTATGGCCATCGTGATGGTAACGCATACGCCTGAAATGATGAAGATTTGTGATAGGATTGTCATGATTGACAATGGTGTCAAGGTCGAAGAGGGTAGCTATGAAGAGCTGATGAAAGCCAAAGGTCCTTTTGGGCATCTTATTAGCAAGGGGGAATGGCACGGTGGAGATTAACTAGTCGTAAGAAACATAATAAATAAGAAGACTTATATTGCGGCACGTGCGATAATTATCAAAGAAAAAGTGATCGTAAGTATAGTCGCTATAATATAAAATATAAGAATATGTATTATAACATTAAAAAGCTTTTTTTTTCTTTAGCTAGGCTTCAGACGTCCACTTTAACAAGGGAGCGTTGTGATTACAGTTTGTTATATAAGGCATAAGAAAATGCGGGGCACAGCCTTATATATATATATATATATATATATAGATAGCCAACCGGTCCTTCCTATTGTTCCCTTATTAGGGACCGACTTATTATATCAACACCGGGCCCGGCTCTATATATAGTAGGCCGAGGGATCCTTCTCCCGAAGGGGCCCGAAGGGACCCGACCTGCCTCGACCTGCCTCGAGGGGCATCGAGGCCAGGGGAGTTGCTTCCAACACGCACCAGATACTCATCGTCCTTCATGGGTATTCCATATTTGTCCAGGAGCTCCATAAAGCGTTTTTCAACCAATTCTCCAACGCGCTGTTGGAGGTGGTCTTCGCTTATCCAGGTTGTAGTGACCGAGTGACAGGGTCGGTCTGGGCGCTTCTGTTGATGAGAATAGGGGCAGGCTCGACGGGAGCGGCGACAGGCCTGGTCTAATGGGCGGCTTCCTCGGTAGGAGTCGAGAGAGGTCGAGCCGCAAGTCTTGGTGGTGGGACGGGAGCGTCGGTAGGCTCGATCTCATCAGCGGTGTCCTCGTTTGGATTCGGGAGAGGTCGATTGAGTCCAAGTGGTGGACAAAATGTACGGCTTGGAAACCTGCGTTTGAATGAAGCGGCACGCTCAGCAACCACAAGCTGGCTTATTTCAATCCCAGAGACTTTAATCTCGTCCAAGGTCGGTCGAGTTCGAGGATTCTTAGCTTTTTCTTTGTAAATGGCGCTATAGTCATTTACAATAAGTTCATCACACAGTCAGTAATGCAATGTTTCCACGACAGCATTCTGTATTGTCTATGTTAAAGTGGCATAAAGCCTAACCGTAAGATGTATTAAGCAGCTGTAATATCTATTCCATATGCAACCGCTCTGACGCATGACACCTAATGCCCTTTAGGAATAACTATAGGAGCGGGTATTATCTAGATGTCCATCAGCATCCTGCGTACTAGAATACGCCCTAAATCAGTTGAGCCATCCGGGTGGATGTCAAATATTGTAGTGAATTCATTTTCATATAAAGCAGCATTGAGCTTCGGTCCAATGCCACTTACATGTAGAATCTGAGAGATTTGGAAATGTACTCTGAAATAATCAGAATCTGGCAAGGGGATTGATGAATTTGATTGTGTCAAAGTAATTTCTGCCGGAAGTTTTTTTTGTACATCAGGACACACGGCACCTAGACAAATGGGACGATATCGATTCTTCTAGATATGAAAAGAGCACTGGTAAGCAAAGGAAGAGACAGAGAAAGGAGAAATATTAAATGACACATACTTGGCTTGTTGGCTCAAGAGTCAAGTTATACCGACCAAACTCATAGTGAGCTAGTATGGATAATGTCACAGCATTCTCCAGCTGATTAATTGTCTTCGCTTCAATTTTGCCTTTTAGAAAGGGAAAATATCTGTAGAGAGCCCACCAAATTGTCGACTTCGTCTCTCTCTAACTATTGATTAATATATGCAAGGGAAAAGAAAACGGGGTGAAGTACCTCTTGTGCGTCTTGATCATTGAACTTTCTAAGAGCAAACGGCATTAGATGTGCACATTGCGATGGAGACCAAATAAGATCTTTACGATCCTGTGGCAACATTTCTCTATAATGCGTATCATCAACTTGGCCAGTCATAATGCATTTATAGCCATCTCTGCTAAGACAGTTTTCTTTCAACTTTGTCTGATCTTTTCTTGACGACGACTCGATTTTAGTCATGATTAAGTTGATACTTCGAGCTGAATCTTTGAAAGGCGAAGGAGAAATTGTCTTTGGGGCTTTACCGCCTGCCATTCTCACTAGGCTTCTGGTTAGTTAAAAAGAATGGAGGAATGAATGAATGAATGAATGCTGAGTAGCTTACTTGGTTTTAGAATTGCATCCACTAGAAAATTGCGCAACATTCGAAGCTTCACCGGGTCCCGTCCCAGCTGTGCAATCTCATGCATCAGAATCATTTGGCCATCTTTGCAGAGATACTTGAGAAAGACGCGAAAAACAGTAACTGTATTATCTGTATCTTGAACTGGTGAATAATTGTTGAGGACGACATCAACTTCTTCGCGACGATCTCTATACTCTCCTGGGCTAGCAGGAGCTGATGAGATGTCGGTTTCGGGACTTGGATGCCTCGATACGCGGTATCCACGCAGTGGGTCGTCAAAATCAAAATCCATGGAGTTTGCTTGTGCAGAGAATAATGCGCAGGATGCGGTAAGCGCTCGATCGATCGGCTTGGGAGGACTGAAGAGGTGGGTGTGCAAGGATCAAGTTTCTGACCTGGGAAGAGCTACTAGTAATTGTTTAGTTTGGTTTGCTTTTTTGTGCGCGGGGCGGGGGGGAGTGGGGGGATGGCACGGTGGAGATTAACTAGTTGTAAGAAACATGACGAATAACTCCGTAAGAAGACTTGAGTAATACATGGAAGCAACTCCCCTGGTATCGATGCAGGTCGGTCCCTGTCGATGCAGGTCGGTCCCCATCGAGGAAGGTCCGGTCAGCCTATCATATATCTAGCTAGTTTAAACCTAGTACCTACATCATTACAATACACACATTGCGTTCACTTATGCCTCTTCCATCAAAAGAATGTTTTGAAGCATTATAAAAATTATATGATATCTACGCCTCGATGCTCATTTGATGCCAATGAATGATTTCAGTTTGATCAAGAGCTTTGTCTTGCATCAGTATATGTGCGAGTTCGTTTGACCATCTAGTAAAGTGCCCGTCATGAGAAAAGGTATGCAAAGTTATGTATCCCCTTATTGAGCGCCGATCCATCCACCCCACGATAATAATAATATAATTCGTTTGATCTCCCAAAAACCAGACATAAATTATGATGTTCATATGTAATCGTAGGATATCTGCGTTCTCCAACTCGCTAGATATATATGTGTGTATATGTGCGTACCCATGACCTTTCCAACTTGTAATTTCCATTCCGATTGTCTCTATTTGAGTGAGAGAGGATATAATGTATAGATCGCAGAAAACACGCTAATAACCGAGAGAAACAACAGCCACAGTAATAACAAAAGGCGATAGCCCAAGAGAGAAAAAAAAGGACAAGTTCGTGAGTCGTTTTATGGTCTATCGTCTTCTGGTCCTCAGCCAACCCTCCCATGAGAGCCAATCGCGTCGAGTTTGCTGCTGCCGGGTTCGAGCCGGGTCTGGTCGCCTTGGCTCAACCCAGGTGACTCGATTAGGAACTGTAGGTCTCTGAACAGGCCTCCTAGGTGGACCATGTACATCGTTCCTCACGACTCTGATGAGATGTCGGAGAATGTTGGGATCTTGGCTAGGCGGTATGCTGGTGTCTGACCGTGGTAGTAGAATCGGGTCGTCCTTCAGCGTGCGAGGGTGAATCTCCAACATCTCTTTATCTGCGAGCCTGCCCAATCTGGCGGCGTCGATCAATGCTTCTAGATCGATCTCTATCTTTTCAATCACCGACATAGAAGCCATGGCAGAGCTCTCAGCTATACTACTATGAGCAAGCTGCGTCTTGCTATCTGAGGTGGGTTGATTTGCGTGGCCAAGTCGTGAGCCAGTGTCTGTCAGCCCCACTGGACTCAGTAAAGTTGTGCCTGACCGAACGACCAAGTTCCCGACAGCGCCCAGCTCTTGTTGGGAGCCCTCGCCGATTTGCTGTTTTTTCTTCTGGAAGACTTTGGCCCACAAATTCCTGATAGGAGCCGTAATAAAAAGGAATAGTCTCTTCAATCCAAGGAAAAAGGCCAAAACGTATCGATCAGGTACTTGACGGATCAAGGCGCCGAGAGGAATGGTAAGACTGCCAAATAGCAAGCTCCATCCCCACTGGGCACCAGTCAATGGTTTGGTGTCGAAAGCTTCGCCGCCTTTAAAGACGATAAGGAACTGGCCTAAAAGTGTCAAAAGCTGCACACCAATAAACCAAGGGTTGGTGAAAAACCCTTGATGCCAGATATCAATCCCATTATCCACTCTGCGACAGTTGTGCTGGTTGAAAAGCTGCATGAAGACATAAATATTGAACACAAGCGTCTGCAGCTTATCGATCTCGTGCTTAGTACCAGGGTTGAAAATGTCCCAACCAACGTAATGTACTAAGAATACGACTAAAAGCTGATAGATGGCTTGACCAAGAATCATCTTCCACATGGTGATGCTCACAATGGCTTTATTGCGAGGCTCAGGTTTGCGCATCAGAGAATCTGACGTAGGATGGTCGGTAGCAAATGCGAGAGAAGCACATATATCCATGCTAAGATCTATCCAGAGGAGCTGTACGACTGTAAAGATGGAATCACCCACAAGTTCCGAGATGACTGTTGTGATGCTAGCTGTTATGTTGATTGTAAATTGAAACTATACAAATATGTTAGCCCTTAATGTTATGTAGAAGAAGAAGAAGAAAGCACCCACCTGGATGAACTTCTTGACCGCGTCATTCACTGTCCTGCCCCAACCGAGGGCTTTCACAATGGACGCGAATTTATCGTCAAGAAGAATGATAGAAGCAGCTTCCTTGGCCACTTCAGTGCCCTGCATACCCATAGCAAAGCCAACATCAGCAGCTTTCAAAGCTAGTGCATCGTTTGTCCCGTCACCGGTAACAGCAACGATTTCTTTCATTTCTCTCAGACGGGAGACGAGTAACACTTTATCTTCCGGGCTAGATCTCGCCAGTACCTGCAAGCGCGGAATGATGGCGTCACGCTGAGACGGCGTCAACTTTCTGAAAGTAGGGCCGTCCATAGCAACGCCGCCGGGAGTGTATATACCACACTCTGTGGCTACGGCCTTGGCAGTGAGGAAGTTGTCGCCGGTAACCATACGCACAAAGACACCGGCGTCCTGGCACTGGCGGACGGAATTAACCACCTCTGGTCGAAGCGGGTCACGGATGCCAAAGAAACCAATAAACATCATGCCAGATGCAAGCCATTCCAGGTTGACAGTGGTGGGGTCATCACCTGGATTCTCGAATACTTCATGCTCATCAAAATCTCGGAAACTAATAGCCACGGGCCGCAGCATATTCGTGGCATATTCGTAGATGGTTCTGCGGAAGCTCCTTCTGTCGGTCTCCTCGAGCCGAGAGGTAGTAAATCGAAAGGTCGGGTCATCAACGATAAACGCGCAATATTCAAACACGATTTCTGCAGCTCCTTTGACCAGTAGGCGGTATCTGCCGTTGGGAAGCTTGACTAGGACTGCCATCCATTTTCGAGCCGAGTCAAAAGGTAGCATGGCGATGATGTTGCCGTTGGCTCGTTCTTCCCGAAGCTTGCCCATGCCTAAATGCTCTCGGCCAAACTTGAGCAGGGCTGTCTCGGTGCTCGATCCGATAAAGTCGGCTCCTGCAGAGTCATCTCTCTCAAAAGCCGTGGAGTTGAGAGCTATGCTATCTTTAATCAGGCTCCGTACTTCTGGAGAGACAGTCGACATGAAGTGCTTCGATGACGGTAGCCGCGATGTAGATGAAGTACTAGCCGAGCTGGAGGTAGCGAGGGGAACATCGCTATCTTCAAAGCCACTCTCGAGTCCAACGCGGCCGGCAACAACAGACATTTTATTCTGCGTGAGGGTTCCCGTCTTGTCTGAACATATGGAAGTGGCATTGCCCATGATCTCACAGGATCGAATGAGGCGAACAAGATTGTGATCTTTGAGCATCCTCGTAGTGGCAAATGCAAGCGCGACGGTGACATTCAGCGCCAGTCCCTCAGGAATTGTGATGACCACGATGGTAACGGCAAGCATGAGGATATGGAGAAAATGTTCGGCCCTACGGGTGGGCCGGGCATGCTTGTGGTGTGGTAGCCGAACCAAGAAGCGGATGAACAGGATCACGAAGTAGATGGCGCCAGCAATGGCGCCAAATGTGATGAGCTGCTTTCCCAATCTGCCCATCTTCGCCTGAAGAGGGGTTTCTTCAACATCTTCTCGCAGAGACATGAGCATCCTCCCATAGCTTGAATGTTCACCAACAGAGAGAACCAACATGCGGCCGATACCACGACAGACAGTGGTGCCGCTGAAAATGAAGGGATCGACTGGAGTGGCCCAAGAGCGGCTGTACTCCTCCGGCACCATTTTGCGGACCAGCTGAGATTCTCCCGTGATGGAAGACTCATCGATGTATAAGCTGGAGCCCTGGACAAGAACACCGTCGGCCGCCACAACCTCGCCAGCCTCGATGTGCATGACATCTCCAACCATGACATCGTATACGGATATTTGCTGGATCCTGCCCGACCGGAGAACAGTTACTTCGCGCTGCTGCTGTCGCTCATTAAGCTTTTCGAAGCGGTGATTCTTTTGCCAGTCAGTGGCCGCGCTGGCCAAGACAATGACGACGATGGCTGCCACAACGGTCACTCCGTCAACCCATTCGATGTTGGAAGCATCCTCGTCGGCAGTCAGAGATTGGTAGAGACCAATTCCCAGAGATATAGTGGCGGCGACTGTGAGCAGAATCATCAGCTTGTCGTTGAAGGCAATCCACATGAGCTTGAAAAACGACTTTTGCCGACGTCGGGGCAGTCTGTTGGCGCCGAATATCCGCCTCCGGTCGACGAAGCGGTCTTCATCGTCAGATCTGCCTATATGAAAGCTTAAGCCCGGGCGAACATTTGGGGCGTCGGCCGGAGAGATGACAGGCGTGCGATTCGCATGAGCAGCCGCAACTGCTTCTTCAAAGTTGATGGTGCCATCGAGACTCGACTCGTCGACACTGAGACCGGCTGAGAGGTCGGTTCGGAGGCCCAGCGCAAGGCCACGGAGCCCACCAAAGACGTTGAGTGCCGCAAGGCTCCTCTGCTTCAGCAGCTTGTGCAACTGGGATGGCGTAAAAGCAAAGCTGTTGGCGGGCAGTGGCTCCTCAGCCCGCACCTCGGTGACCAGCGCCGTGGCTTGTTTGCCGGCTTCGACGTCGTGGCGCGTGGCAGCCGGCTCAACGGGCGTTATCTCGTCCATGTGGCAGACGGCCCTGATGCTGGGGCCAAAAACGAGGGAATCATCTGCGGTGCCGGGCGAACACAAAGGCAAAGCAATGCCTCTCTTCTCGCAGGCTGAGAGACGGGGTTGGAGTTGCAGAGTACTTGGATCCCATGCAACCACCGGACTGGGGGCGTGTGCCAGCAATAAAGGGCGGCTCTTTTGGCATCCGAGATCCACTGAGCGACGCCATGGGAGAGATTTACAGCGCTGAGGTAGCAGTGCCGGGGGGCAGAAGGGCGCTAATCTCGTCCAAGCTCAAGCTAGCTTGGCACAATGGGCTGTAAAAGCCACTGTAGAAGTGCTGGCGGCAGCAGCAACAATTGGCATCGGCGATTGCCCAAGCAGGTAATGATGCTCTTGGCTGAAAAGAGACTCATTTTTCTTTCTTTTTTTCTTCTTCAAGCAATTCAACGACTCAAGATCGCATAGTGTTCCTCCCCCTCGCGCCCTTCTGCATCATGCGGCTTCAGACTTATTCTCCGTAAGAGCATCAGCGGTCTTTCGGCTTCAGGCTCTCCACCGTGGCACGTCAACTAACAAACCTGCACCTCCAGGCTCTTGGCAGCTTTTCTCAACTTGGACGCCGACGAGAAAACCGGGCCTGGGGCAGCCAATGGCCACGCCCTGCCAGCTCCATCCCAGATGCTAGAGGCTTGGCTTTACGGATCCCCCGAGTTTGTTCATGAGCATACAAGTAGAAAGGCAAAAGCTCCTGGGTACGCCACCCGCCCGCCCGTCAGCAGGCCCCAGAGCGAGAACGAATCACTTGCCTTCCAGCGCCCTATTCCCAACGTCCCTGTCGCGCCCTTCACCAGCGAGTGCTGAAGCAACGGATATCGTCCGTCACTCGAGACCTGAAGAGGATATTGTCTGGAGAGGCCGTTTAATCGTCATCAGCGCCAGAAGGGGAATCGGCAAAACTACATACTACTACTATGTACATCATAGCCCATCGCACTACGAAAGAACTAGGTTATACGAGCTACCGGCCGAGTGGCACCCAACTTTTTAACCTTGATGAGCCTTGTAGCCCCATTCGGTGGGCGCAGCGCGATCGGCCAGAGCCGCTCTTGTGGCTTGCCAGTAGGGCCGACGGTAACGAGTCATCCAGACTTCTAACGAACGACATTTCCACGGGTTGATTTTTATTCGTCCATGTGGGAGCAATCACTTCAATGGGTTAAGGTTTAACTTAGGAATGATGGCTACGCTATCTCACATAATTAGCTCTTCTTTACCCCGAAACTCCTATCGGTTCGATTCTTAGCCTTCGAAGCGGCAAGGAAAACTCCGATGATTTTGAAGAAGAGTATTGCTTCTTCTCTTGGGCCAGAAATCAAGAGGATTTCACTGCTGCTAGCATGAGGGTCGAAGTTGCCATTGGTAGATTGTGATGGCGCTCCATAATGGCATCTCGACTCCAAAAGCCGAGTTCCTAGGCATCTACACAGCCCTCGCCGCATATCCGCAGCATAAAGCGTCTAGCCCTAAACAAATTCATCGAGCATGTGATCAAGTCTAATCATTGGACAAACAATGACCAATTGTCTTTTGCTGAGAAAGCATATTTGCCAACAGGTACGTAACCGCTTTTCTCTTCTTTGCCTTGATCCTTGATTCGATTGCCCTTTGCGGGGACATGTCCCATCGTTCAATGCATGATACAAACATCCACGTAGCCTTTAGATAGGCCCCGAACACCGAAGCCAGTATGCGATCATCGAGTGCTAAGAGCCAATTAAACCGGCTCCTGCTGAGCCATTTTGCGGCCTCTTGCAGGATCTCGGTCGCTTCTCCCCCGAGACAGTCGCTAGATCAAGCACAGGAGAGTTGCACAGAGCATAGTGACGGCAAACAAAACAAAGATTTTCTGTCTTGTTAAGAGACTTTTACATGTCCGCGGCTAGTACTGCTTCACAACTGCCGATTTTCAGCAAACTATGTTCGCTTCTTTCAGACCAACCCGTCAAAATGGCGCGATGCATCAGTGTCAGCTGAAAGCAGCTTCGCCTGAATAACATTCATAAACCCATTAATCGTTGTGACGAATGCTTTGAATCATAGTCCTCAATTCCATCCGCTTTTCAATTCACTTCAGCTCAAAATCATGCAGCTATCGTCTAAACATCCTTTTACAAGTTAGGCGAGGTCTCTTTGTTGGAACCGAGTGCGGTTAAAGATACCCCTTTGTTCCTTTTCCTTTTCATGCCATTTGCAGATCTGTGGACTCTCTATGAAAGATATGTTCTTGTTTGGTCTAGAATTCGGCCTATCCAAAGCAGAAATCTGTGACTTTTTACAAAGAAACGTTACATGGTAAACCAGGCAGACAGGACACGCCGCTATTGAAAGAGGCAGCCGGAACTCATCAAAAAGCCAACACATCCGAAGATCTTGTTTTAATGACGTGTTTCATCAGCCTTTCTCATTGACTAAAAGTGTGTTTCGGCCATCTTCCGCGGCTTGTTGCCGTCCTTTATTCATATTGCCCGGCTTCGGGACTCACACCAACCTTGGGTGTTAGTGAACATGGAACTCGCCGGAATAAAGCTAATGGATGAGAGTTACGAAGAGAAAACAAAGATGTATTACACCAGACATAACGTCCTCGCTTCGCCGCCGTCATGTTTTGTTCTTAATCATAGTGGCTCTGTAAATAAGCTTCATTTATAAAGTGCAACTATGCCCATCGGATGGATTCGCCAAGTGGATCGACTCCATCACCGATATGACTCTTCAGCCGCCGTCATAGTGTCCGTTCAGGGTGTTCAAGATGTTTTTCACGCTCGTTTTATCTACATTGTTGACGGTGATGGCTCATATCCCCACCGTCTATGCTCAGCCTCCTTCTAGCGTCCTCTCTCCAAAAGTCTTCATCATATCCATGGTTTGTCATCACCAGACTGCATCTTCCTTTGTCAAGTTCGAATTATGTAATTCCATTTATTCCATCACTACTTGTCTTGTATCGACATCTATACTACTGGTGGTTCTCTGCTCCCCTAACCAAATGATTCTCACTACAGTTTGACCCCGAAGGCCAGATATGGCACGACAACTTCATTCAGTCTGGCCTTGGGAATCTCTCATCCCGGGTCATCACCACTCCCGGCCTATCCATGCTCTATACACGCATCTTCTGCACTCAAACCGGCACCGTCTGCCAGCTCACCGTCGGTGAAGGCGAAATCAACTCTGCCGTTTCCATGACAGCCTTGATCCTCTCCAGCAGATTCAACCTCACACAGACATACTTCCTCCTCGCCGGCATAGCAGGCGTCAATCCTCGCTACGCAACCATCGGTAGTGTGGCGCTCGCTCGTTATTCCGTCCAAGTAGCTCTGCAATATGAAATCGATCCTCGCTCTCTCCCTGGAGACTGGCCAACGGGATATATCCCCTACGGCCGAACATACCCCTTTGAATACCCCTGCATCACATACGGCACTGAGGTCTTCGAACTCAGCGCAAATCTTCGCGATGCCGCATACAACTTTACTCAACGCGCCAAACTCGTAGACGCTGATGAGCCGCGGAGGTATCGTGCTCTGTACGGCAGCATGGGGGAATCGTACCGCATGGCCGTGCGGCCGCCCAGCGTGGTCAAGTGTGATGGTGCGACCAGCGACGTGTACTATTCGGGGGAGAAGCTTGCTCGGGCCTTTGAGAACACGACGGCTTTGTGGACCAACGGCACGGGTGCGTACTGTATGAGCGCACAAGAGGATAATGCCATACTGGAAGTGCTGGTGCGGTTCGCGATAGAAGGCTTCGTCGATTTCAGCAGAATCATTGCCATGCGAACAGGTAAGCCAATATACGCCAACTCACAAATAGAAAAGAAGTATATGCTCATACAACAATATAAAACATTTATAGGCTCTAATTTTGACCGCCCGCCCCCTTCCCTCTCCGACTGGGAACATCTCACCCGCGCAGACCAAAACGGCTTCCACATCGCCATCGCCAACCTCTACAACGCCGGCATCGAGATTGTCAGGGGCATCCTCGACAACTGGAACTGCACTTTTGAAAAGGGCGTTGCCCCTGCAAACTACATTGGTGACATATTTGGCAGCTTGGGGGGACATCCTGATTTTGGCTTTGGGAGTATCACGGGAGGGAGAAGGCTCAAGTCTGCCGCGGCAGCAGCAGCAGCAGCAGCTTCAAAAAGGGACGAAAATGATCGGGGGAGATACACGCTGGCCAGTGTGGAAATGGCGAGAAGGAGGCAATTTGGGGTTAAAGGGGGGATGAAAATGTAGGATTATGGACGGTCATATGTTACTCTTATGAATTTTCTCTTTCGTAATCAGCTTGTATTATATCACTCTCAGTTTAGATCTATCATTGAATAGCTGGATTCATTTCTTCTACGGTTTTAATTTTTAACACCCTTTCCCAATTACAACTATATAGAATGATATTGTTTTCCCTACCATTGAGCCCATTCATCATGGGAAACAGCAACGCAAAGAGCTTGCCAGTGGCCGGCCAGCCAGATTACTCCCAAATGCAATGCAAGAAACAAAAGCCTTGTTTTCAACCCCGTCTGACGAAACAAACTCGTCACGAGTTCGCTGTGGCTAGGACGTCGAGTGCGGGTAGTGCTAGTGCTGGTGGGGAGCCCCAGGTCCAGAACGGCCAGCAGCACAAGAGGCGCACTCACCTCGAGATTGACCATGTATGGCCAGCATGGACGAACTAGGGTAGCAAGCTTTATGAGAAACAGACTAAGGCGACCAAAATACTTTACAGAGTCTGGGTCGGCGCCTATCATGGTGCAAAAGCGTATCAAAAGAAGCGCTGCTCCGTGCGGTATTGTGGCCATTTCTGAGGGAGGTGGCGCGAGGAGGAGAGGCCCGTCGGGGTGCGCATGGCCATTTGTGTGTATAGAAGGGTTTCTTTGCTCAACTGACTGGAGAGTATGATTGTTGTGGCTGTGGTGTCCATTTTGGCTAATGGTTTTGACCATTGCATTGGTAGATTCTGGTACCGCTTCACCAAAGACAGAGCCATCTTGCAAGCCGTTTTCATCCTGAGCTGAGGCTGGCCATGCTGTGCTATCGTTCTTGGGAACGCTGAGGCTGCGAGAGTGGTACCGCCGTGATTCTATTCAACTATAAGATCAAGTGCTGTCAGGATTGTAGGTTAGAAAAACTCACCTGGAACTGGTGTGCTGGGCCCCGCTGAGGAATCCAAGCTCTGAACTCGATTACCTCGCAGTGCCACAGCCGGGCTAGGGACATGGTCTCTGGTAATTCCATCAAAATAAGTCTCACTTTTCATGGCATTCAAGACTTCATTGCCGCTCGGTCTCTCGGCTGGATCCAAAGCAAGCAGCTTCTTGAGGAGCATGTAGAGCTTTGGTGGAAGATCTGGCCTCTCACGTCGCTCATCCTGGAAACCAGTCCAATCAGCAATCTCGGCTCTGAGCTCATCAACATCTTCCAATTCCTCTTGGACGGCATTAGCGGCTTGATAAGGAAGCCTGCCAAAGCACATGAAATAGAGAATCATTCCGAGAGAGAAGATATCCGACTTTGTTGTAAAGTTTCCGTACTTGCCGGTTTCATCTACGCGAATGACCTCGGGTGCGCAATACGAAATGGTGCCCGTTGTGCCTGTTGATTTTCGCACTACATTCTCCGGTTGGACTTCGCCAAAATCGCTGATGAGACACCTTAATTTGCCGCCTTCTCGGTGCAAGAGGCAGTTACTGGGCTTCAGATCCCGATGAATATAGTTTGCCGCATGTAGATAGGCAACACCAGATGTGATGTCTTTGAATAAGGAGTAAATTTCTTCCACTGATAACCTGGGCTTTTCGTGCAGGCCATCTCGCGAAGCGTCAACATGACCTCGCGATCGTCGGCGGATGCGGTCTTTGAGCTCTTCTTTGGTAACCTCCCTGGGCACGCTTCCAATGACATACTGGTGAAGGTCGCCTCCATTGCAGTACTGCTGGAGAATGAATGCGCACGCAACGCTTGGCCCAAACATGGTCAGCCTGACATCCTCCAGCCAGACATGTCGATAGGATACCAAGTTGGCGTGCGACAGCTTGGCAAGGAGCTCAACCTCTATCAAGACTTTCTCAAGCCAATCATGGTCGTTGCCCACTGGTACCCTCTTGCAAGCAAAGTGGCCCAATTGACAGCCGTCAATCTCATGACGCACCAGCAAGACTACGCCCTTGCCACCTTTGCCCAAGACCTTCTCCTCGACGAAGAAAGTTTTGAAGTAGTTTGGACTAAACGCTTCCCTCTTGATTCTGCTACCCTCCGATTGTGATACGCCCGGAGCACTGGAGATGAACTCAGCGTCATCATCTACGGCGGACGAACCCCGCGACGCCGAGCCTTCGCTCCCTGGCGCAGGGCGAAACAGTCTGCGAATAAGACCCGACGCTGCGTGATCGGGTGCGGTCGAGTCGGTATGCCCTGCGCGAAGCATCCGAAAGTAGCCCGGATCAACATATGATTCTGGGTCGACGTCAAACGGGTGATCGAACGAATGCTCCGGCGGTGTTGGTCCTAGCGGGCGGTGACATGTAGGGCATTCGGGGTGGCCACGAATCTCCAGGCGCTGCGAGCTGGGATCGCGAACAACGATCGCATTGCGATGTCGTCTATGGCATACAAAGTTAGCAATCTTCAGCCTCAATCATTTTCCCGTTTCTCTCTGATATGTGTTGCGCAGAGCACAAGCGAAGATAGCGCAAAGCGGAGGGGCAATAATCTCACAGCACAATCTCGCGGCCCTCTTGAGGCTGGTATGGGATCAACGACATGGCGACAAGTTGCGAATGTCTGCCGTGCGGAAATGGGCCAGCATGGCGATTGCGGCCACCGATGCGTAGAGCGACTAGCTTCGGGGCAGTATAAATATGGCCGCGACAATGGAAGTGCGTCGAAACGGTGGGTGGAAGGGACTCGAAGCTTCCAGGATCGTGGGATGAAGGTGGTAGGTAGGTGGCGGAACGAAGCAGGTGGTTTTGGCGGAGCATAGAAGCTCGAGTGCTATGACGACAACGCAATGGCCGCTGGGGCGATCAAATGCACGTCCAGCCCTGTAATGTTAGTGGTGGCCGCTGTAGACGCAGAAACTTTGGGGGAGCCGGAGGGGCTCCCCGCAACCGAAAGGCGGCACTGTGCGATGTTGTCATGCTTGTGGCGCGACCAAATTCACTGGCTTTGCTATATGTGGCGGATGGCTTTATTGCGTGCTTGAATCTCTACAAAGATGGAACTCTTTCCTAGCGAATCGTGCCTGATAAACTCTCGGCACCTACATCTACACGCATCGGCAACAGCATCTAATCGGAATTATGTTCCATATCGCTTTTGGTGAATAGTCCAATGGCTCTGCAGCGCCTACATGCACCCAGAAATAAGCCTCGAAGCTACCAATTGCTAGATGCTGCGATGCGCCAATAGCAACGGCTGCTGCCCTCCTCGCGGGACGACTCGACGTTAGCGCCATGTAGACTAAGGTTCAGGTCCTGTAATATGGGTCGTATCCGCCGGATTGGATGCTGGTCTTCCATCTTCACGATATCCCGTAATCTTGGCCTATCAGAGCTCCCAATGAGACGAGGCTGCCGGGCACCAACCACTCGGGCGCTCTTCTCAATCTCAACTCGTATCAAAGTCATGCTCTGATTTGCCATGGATCTCCGGCAGGCCTGTGATCGATGCCATGACAAGAAACTCAGATGTCCTCGACCGCCGGGCTCTCTGTGCTGCAGCCGCTGCACCAAGGCCAATGTCACCTGCGTCTTCAGTCCGCCAACAAGGCCTCTCCGATATCCCATCAGCCACAATAGCAATGGAACCTCTGGCTTTGACTGGCCCGATCTCATGATTTTGGAGCAGCAGGGGCACCAAACGCCAAGCCAAGTGCTCGAGACACCAGCCCAGACAATTTCAGAACGCCTCACGGCTCTGCTAGCAGGCCTCGATCGCATGCTGCAAGCGCTGCCATCTTCTCTTGAGATGCACCATGTCCCAAGAGAGCAGCTGAGGGAATATGCCGATAACGTAGGGGACAATTTCGACCTTCAATCGACGATGGACGGCCTCCTCCACCACGCCCAGGACCTCGCAGCCATCTACCCTGACGCCACATCGGCCTCTTTCAGCAAACGCACAACAGCTCCCGAGTCTGATGCCCTCTGCACTGTTCCAGACTGTATACATCACGATCGCACATCCTTGCATACAACGCCCCTGCCTAAGCTGGACCACGCATTGCTAAATCTCGTCATGGCCTGTCATATCCGTTTGCTTGATATTATAGACACTCTGCAAGAGCATGGCCGGATGTGTGCCTTTATGACGGCCACCCTCCCTGAGGACTACGAACCGAAATTCGCGATTCCAGAAATCCGCGTTGGGTCTTTCATCGCTCCTGCTAACACAGCGGCATCGATGCTTCTGGGCGTGCTTTTGGAGCTTCAGACGCTGCTGGTAGAGAGAATTAGAGACATGAGTGGCGTGATTGCTCAAGTAAGAGACATTCCTGGAGCAGCCAGAGAAGCAAGAGTCGTTAGCCTGCAATGCGAAGTTCTCCAAGAGCGTGCAGAGACTACGCTTGGGGAACTGACGAACTTGAAGAAAGGGTTGGTAAGCGCCAGACTGCTAAGATGAAGGATACAAGTATGATGGAGAGCTCCATACTCTTGTGGGAGTTAATAGTTGGCGAGTACTTGATATTCTCAAGTGGATATGAATCGCATTCCTAGTTTTGATTTTACACTCAGCATCTGATAAAATTAGGCATCATTTTGCCTGATGCAAAAGGCTGCTCGACATCGAACCTATCTGGAACATGAGTTCTGGTTGACAGCAGCAGTTTGTTAATAGAAATGAAGCAGTCACATGTAGTCAAGCAAAACAGCAAGGCCGCATCTACTGGGTCATTGCAGGCTTATCTCTCCAAAGCCTTAGAGACATAAATCTAAAAATCATCATGTCTAAGTGAACTTCATCAGATCAGAGTTTCAATCCTTAGTCTCTCTACGCACGCATGCCTACAATTATACCGCGATTAACGAAATGAATTGTTGGCTACGAAAACTCTACATGCATCTACCCGTTAGATTTCAAAGCAAACACTTCCTAATATAGAATGCCGTCGCCTCACATCTGCAGATTGGGGGGCACCAGTGCAACGTATACGTACTATGGCATCCTTTGGTCGATCTGAGGGGTAAAAAGAGGCATCGTATACTACCTACTTACATATTGCAAGTTATCTGTACATATAAGTGCGCTTGTGATACACACAAACGCACCCGTCGCAAACCTACGCGAACCAACTAAAGCTCTCTGCGGCAGGGAACTTCCTTTCGCGACACATGGCGGAATTCGGAAAGGTGTCAAGGGAGCTTTTTGTGGAATGAGAGACAAAGAAGATGAGGGAATGATTGCCGCCACGTGGTGATGCCAGAGATTTTCAACGGCGTTTGTCGCAACGGATTAATGAGACATGGCGTTTGAGCAGTATGCTATAGGTATGCGAATGCTCTCGCCAATAATAGCAACAGGTCTCGGAGAAGTTACATGTACCCTTCATCGAACCAACTGTAGAGGCTGAGTATGTCTGAGACCACTTTTGACAGAGGCCAATTCTGCTAGTATGGACGAGACGGGCATTTACAGGAGTGCAGTGGCCATGATTTGCCTTGCATAAAGGGCCCGGGATGACAGACCAAGGCCGGTGCAGAAAATTGGATTCGGAGTTCAAGGAGCGGCAGTCGGATATACAGACGGAGCATTATATGCCTGTATCTACATGGGAATGACGTCTGCTGTTCGTTGCGTGGCAGCTCAAAGATCACATGAAGCCAAGGTCCAACGATGTTGTGGTGCCAATGTGCATCAATTAATAGCTCCAGACCTTTTGTACTTGGCACGAGAGTCTATCTATTTGCAAGAACCAGAGGTGCTATAAGCACATAGATTGCCGTCGCATATGCCAGGGAAAGCAAAACGTGCGGAGGGTAGTATTTCATCGACCTGTACTTGTACGAGCCCACCCATAATCCCGTAGCGATCCTTCAAAACAAAGCTAGAAACCATCCACCATCAATCCTCGTTTGCACAAGTAGCCGTCAGACGCTAAAATGCCCATCGTTGCAGCTCCCAGTCAGCCACCCGCAAGGATCATGGCCTGGCTGGCCTGCCAAAGTGACGATAGTCCATCAACCGCCGCCACATTAGCAAGGTATACTACACTACTACGACGTGCCACCACCATACAGCCAGCACTAAACGGCGACCATAGCCAGGGGGTAAGCATCTTTCTCCCCTTTTACATGACAAACCGTTTCTTTTTTTCCCGTAATAAATGGATCTGTGCTCTGTTCTCGCACGTTGTACCAAAGAGCCCGTCTTTCAAGGCGAAGCGCATGTAAGACGGCCGCCGCAGATAAGATACGCGAATTCATGTTACTCTGCGAGTAGCACAGACCGGCGTTGACCGCAGCGGCCGACTGTAGATTGGGAAATGAGCCGACACCGATAGCCCTTTTCAAGCATCAAAGCATTAGGTGAGCAAAAGAGGGAGACGTGCCGTGGGGCGTGTGTGTGTGGAGAGATTCCCCGGCTCGCTGGAGCGTCCATGGCGATCCGGTAATGGCCTCCCTGTCAATGCTTGTTTGCTGGCTCGTGGCTCACGGTCTTTGACCCCCCGCTGGCAGAAACGCGTATTCCATGGTTTAATTTCGATGCTCGTAATGGGGCACGGCAGTAATATCTGGTACGGTAAGTGCCGTAGCACACAGCCCAAGGCACAATGCGCTCCGCCGTGCAAACGCAGAGTCCACGTCCCGGCCACCATCATGGGTCCGGCTCGACGCCGTTAACCCATTCCGTTGAGAACCCTCGTTCTGTCTCAGACTACTGTGAATGCCTGCAAGCCCATCTTCATGATCCCCGGTCTAGCTGCTTCCCCTCTTAAGATCGTTTGTCGCTTTTTCTGTATCCAGTTTGCTTTTCCTCTTCCCTTCTTCATCTCTCTCTCCATCTCTTATACGGCACATTTCACTTTGATCGCAGCTCACCCGAGTACCTACCATGATCAAGCGAGCTTCAACTCGCGACAGTTTCTAGCCCAAGCCTCGGCTAGCACTGTCTATAATCTCTTTTTATTTTACAACCGCATGCTAAGAGCCAGTGCTATTGGGCTTAGCGTTCAAGGTAAGGACATGAAGCTCAGTTAGCTTAGAATCCGTCGCGGGTGGTGCCAGTGTGGCTGCAGCTGTTCCCCTTCATCCCTACATAATACCGAGCCCGCAAGATTTCCGCAGGCTTATGCCCGACCAGCGTTTAGCTGCAATGGCCTATTATTTCATGCGCTGCCCTGCCTACAATATCACCTTGAAAATTAACACCCAAAGCAATGAGAAACAAAAAAGCACTTATCATTATTATGCATCCCCAATAAGAAGAGAAGATGATACTTGCTTTGTTCTGCAGCCCCACCAACTGGCATCACCACTTACACGCAACAACACATGCATACAGCTTCACAACAGAGACACCAAAACATGCCTGACTGACTTGACAGCATGCACATTACATCGCAAACAGCCGCAATGGCTTCCTCCTCTTCATCTACAGAGACCCATACCCGCTCCAAAGAAGAAATAGAAAGACTGGATTCTCCCACCGACGAGAAACTCGACCTCGAGCGACGTTCTGCCAGCATTTCAAGAGACACCCGCGATTCCACCGATGCGCCAGACACCACATCCAACGACGCCGAGAAGCAAATCTACATTGTACAAGATGCAACTTGCGTCGACGACGACAACACCGTCTGGTGGGACGGCGACAACGACCCCGATAATCCGTACAACTGGCCGAGGTGGCGCAAAGTTCTCAACTGCGTCCTCATCAGCTGTCTGGCATTCATCACGCCTTTAGCATCTTGTATGAAATAAACCAGTCCATGGTGCGAGTACGCAGAGTTCCCTTTCAGACAGCTAATCATGTTCCTTCGCCTTAGCCATGTTTGCGCCTGGAGTACCCGACCTAATGATGGAGTTTCGCAGCACAAGTGAAGAGCTGGCTGCGTTCTGCGTGTCCGTCTACGTGCTGGGATTTGCGGCTGGCCCCATGTTCTTTGCGCCCTTGTCTGAGATTTACGGCCGGTCCATCATCTACAACATCACCAATGTTGGCTTTATCGGTAGGAATTCCCCACGGTCTTTTGTCTCTTCAAGAAACTCGAACTCAACTGACGTGACATCGCACCTCCAGTCTTCGTCATCGCCTGCGCAAAAGCCCCTTCACTCAACGCCCTCATCGTCTTCCGCTTCTTCTGCGGCATCTTCGGCTCTGTTCCGATAACCATAGGAGGAGGAAGCATAGCCGACATGATTGTGCAAGAAAAGCGCGGCGTCGCCATGGCAAGCTTCGCCATCGGCCCCATGCTCGGCCCCGTTGTTGGGCCTGTGATTGGAGGCTTCATCACTGTAGGGCTTGGATGGCGCTGGGTCTTTTGGATCATGGCCATCCTCTCTGGGACTTTCTCGCTGCTGTTCCTGGCCTTTTCCCGCGAATCATTTGCTGCTGTGCTGATAGGCCGCAAAACCATTCGGTTGCGAAAAGAAACTGGCAATCCTCTGCTGCGATCCAAGCTCGACAGGGGACTATCAAATACAGCCTACATCAAGCGCAGTATCCAAAGGCCGTTCAAGATGCTGATTATGTCTCCCATCAGCATCATATGCGGCATCTACGTGGGCATTGCCTATGCGTACCTATATCTCATGTTCACCAGCCTAACACCGCTCTTTATGGAAATCTACCATTTCAAGACCAGCACCGCCGGCCTCGCGTTCTTGGGTTTAGGTGTGGGTAGCATGATTGGTGTTATTTCCTTTTCCTTGACGAGCGATAGGAATATCAAGAAGAAGGCCGCGGAAGAGGCCGTGTTGGCAGAGGCCGAAGGTCGGGCTCCCGAAGGCATGAAGCCCGAGTATCGCCTCTCGCCGCTACCGGCCGGTGCAATCATCCTCCCCATCGGCTTCTTCATATATGGGTGGACAGCAGAGTACCAAGTTCATTGGATAGCACCTATCATTGGTACGGTAGTCATCGGAATCGGCGACCTAATCGTTTTCATGGTAATACAATTACTCCACCCCCATCCACTTTCACTCGCCTCCAAGCCAAGCATTCAGAACAACTGACCTCGTCTCATATCTTAGTCTCTGCAAATGTACCTCGTCGACACCTTCCACATCTATGCAGCCTCAGCGCTCGCAGCAAACGCAGTCGCCCGTTCCATCCTTGGATCTGTCCTCCCACTCGCCGGCTTGCCAATGTACAATCGCCTCGGCATGGGCTGGGGCAACAGTATCCTTGGCTTCATCGGCCTGGCACTGACACCAGCGGCATGGCTGTTCCTTCGGCACGGAGAGGCGCTGCGAAAGAGATTTGAGATAAAGAATTTATGAGATGGTTATCTCTTCTCTCTCTTTCCTTTTGTACTAAATTTACACATCATCTAGACTATGATGTTTAACGAACAGTTAACTTGGCATCGCCAACGGTTTTCTTCCAAAAACAAATAACCAATATCGCCTGCAGTGAGACTCTGAAATCAAAAGTCAACCGCGATTATACAGAAACTACATTTTTATTAATGAGAAGCGAGTTGAGTATTTCTATCAAGCATGTTATTTTGTAGTGAATAATGCATATGGCATCAATGAGAGGTGGGATACAACAGGCGGAAAGGGAACATATCCTTGTAATATATCCATGAGAACAATCAGTGTTTTCACAGTTTTCTTTTAATTTCATGTAAAGCCAGAGACACAATCAACTAATCAACTCTTGGAATTAGAACGCATATTGAAAGGTTACAGCTGGTTCACCTCACAAATTTGCAGTTTCAAAAGGGTGGACGCTTTGTCGCTAAGAGGCATATCCCTTAGTACTAGTACCCGTGCTATCCAAGTCGATCTCATAGCTTAAAATAAGAGTGTTTGATGGCAAAATATTAAAATCCAAGAGCTGCATGTGCCGTATATGGACACAAGAGTGCACTTGAGCTTTTACGCGCTATTCCCAACACGAAGCTTCAGTGGCACAATTAAAACACCTGCCCGCACTTGAGTGGCATGATAGCCTGCGTGTATGATTTAGCTCATGTATCAGCTGTATCAGCGTATTGCATTAATCCCTCATGGCCATGTCTACCATTCCAAATCACATCATTTTTAATCCCTTGTTTTCCTAAGCAGTTTATGTCAAAAGACTCCCAATTTCTCTATCCATCCTACTCCATCTGGCCAATACCCAGGTGGGCGGGGTCGGCGCGGACAATGCGCAGGGTGTTGGTGTTGCCCATGCCACCCTTCCAGCCCTGGACGACAACAACGGTATCGCCCTCGGCCAGAGTGCCAAGCTTAATGGCGTTGGTGACTGCCCACTTGATGCGCTTGTCAACATCCTCCTGCCAGTTGACAGTCTCAAAGTCGGGCTTCTGCTCGGGATACAGGAAAGGATAGACGCCACGATACAGGTGGCTGAATCGAGAGGTGGTGGGGTTTCGGGTCACCATGAAGATGGGGCAGACCGGGCGGTACTTGGACAGCAGACGGGCAGAGTCACCAGAGGTGGACAGGACAATGATACCGCCGGCGGCAAGATCGAGAGAGGCACGGACAGCAGCCATGGCGCAGGACTCGACGGGAGAAACGGGGCGCTTCACCAGGGTGCAAAGCTCCTCGAAGTGGGAGACGTAGGGGATGGTGTTCTCAGCCTTGAGACTGGCCTCGTGCATCTCGTGGACGGACTCGGCAGGGTAGTTACCCTTGGCGGTCTCACCTGACAGCATCACGCAGTCAGCGCCATCGGTGACGGCGTTACCAACGTCGCTGATCTCGGCACGGGTAGGACGAGGGTTCTTGATCATGGACTCCAGCATCTGGGTAGCGCAGATGACTGGCTTGCCGGCGACGTTGCACATGGCAATCATCTTCTTCTGGGCAGCAAAGACCTCGGCGGCAGGAATCTCGATACCAAGATCACCACGGGCAACCATGACACCGTCAGTAGCCTCGAGAATCTCGGCAAAGTTGTTGAGACCTTGTCGGTTCTCAATCTTGGCAATGATCTGGATTCGCTTGCCCTCCTCTCCCAAAACCTCACGGATATCCTCGATATCCTGGGCACGACGGATAAATGAGGCAAAGACCATGTCGACGTTGTTCTTGACACCAAACCGCAGATCGGCCTTGTCCTTCTCAGAGAGAGCGGGAAGGTCGACATCGGTGTTGGGCAAGTTGACCCCCTTTCGGGAGGAAATGAAGCCGTTGTTTCGGGCGCGGACCTCGATGGTCTTGTCGTCCTTGATGCTCAGGACGTCGAAAGCAAGAACACCATCGTCGACGTAGATGATACGGCCAGGCTGGATGACCTTGGTAATGTTCTTGTAGTCGACATACCTGTGACGTTGTCAGTATTCATTCAGCAGTAGTAAATGAGAACAGATTATGTCGTATTTCGTGATAGGCGAGGAATTAATCAAGACAATCAATACCACTCGCCCATTACACAAGAGACCGCGGAGATGGACGTGGCTAGAATAGAGAGCGGGGGAGTCTCATTTCCCCTCCCTCCACCTCCACCACCACCTCTTCTCCAATCGAAAAAAGCGCAAGAAAAGTGTCATCTTACATGTTGCTGGTATCACATGAGGTGCTGTACTTCTCATCGGTGGTGAAGTTCATGACAGTGCCGACGGAAATGGGAATATCGACATCGCCAGTGGTGTTACCAGTTCGGATCTCGGGGCCCTTGGTGTCCAGGGCAATGGCAACTGGTCGGCCAGCGTGGGCAGCCTCGGCGGCGCGCACATTGTCAATGACAGACTGGTGGTACTCGTAGCTGCCGTGGGAGAAGTTCATGCGGGCCACGTTCAGGCCGGCATCACGGAGCTTGTTGATGGCCTCGACCGAGTTGGTCTTGGGGCCGATGGTGCAGATGATGGAGGTGCGGCGGAAGTTGCGGGCAGGCGTGAACTCCGTCTTGAGAGAGGCAAGCCAATTGATGCGGCCGCCGATATCCAGGTGGTCCTGGGCCGTGGTAGCCATTGTGCTGAAGGATCGGGAGTGTGATTGCTGCTTGTAAAATCGCTGCGACATTGTTAAAAAGGTTTGTTCGTTGACTTTTCGAGATATTGGGAGGAGAGGGACGGCTAGAGAGAGGGACGGAATGGAGGGGCTCACGAGTAAAATATAACCGCCAAGGCTCCTATCAGAAGGAGACGACGATTGCAGCAAAAGGATGCACGGGTGCGGAGAAAATGGCAGGTTAGGAGTCGGATGAGGACGAGAGGGGAAATAAAATGGGAAGAGATGGAGGTTAAATCAGATCATGGGAGGGTGATGCTACGTCGCCTGGGCTCTGTGTGGTGGAGGAGGGGTGGGAGCGTCGGCAGCTGCCAGTGCTTTTTTCCAATTTTTTTTTTTTACTCGCTGTACCATGCCATGCAGCTGCTGTGAGCTATGCGGTATCACCAGTAACGCACGTCCGAATGTACGCCACGGGATTGGCCAGGTGCAGCTGCAAATGGCGAGGGCTGGACATTTTTTGGGGCGCGCGCTGGGCTGCAGTTGACCTGCCCCGCGCAGGCGCTGGTGAGGGGCACTAGGCGGCGATGGAGGGGCAGTTGGCAGAAAAGGCACCGGCCGCTAGTCTCACCGTTATCTCTGGCTGCAGGGCATTTGCTGCGAATAAGAGAAACCGGCCGCAGTATGTAATGCCTAGACCTATACGGGGCGGAGCGCAGAAGAAGAGTGCGGCGGCTATCATACTGGGAATTTTCTGACCGAGTCTGAAGCCCATTCAGGGTCTCACCTACGGAGCATTAGATTCTCAGTCTCGCCTCAGCTTGGTAGCATGCTATAGCAGAGTCTATCCGCCGACCTGCGTGAGAGTAAACCCGATTGACCCAAGTGAATATACCGCCAGAGCCGCTGTTTGCTGCGTTCCAAGTGGACGATGAACTCTCCCTTATCCCAAACCAAGCACCGCCCCTTGCATCTACCGCAGCAAGGGTGATCCGGTAGCAGACGGCTCCGTGTTTCGGCTGCCCTCAACAAAAAAAAATTAGAATTCGGTGCTACTATTCTCGTCCAGCCGTCTCCCCCACGCGGCGAAATCTATCTCTCTAGCGCGGGCCATGGCGAAAAGAGAAATGGACTGCGAGTTTCGGACAACGACAGGCCTGTAGCTTCGATGAGGGATAAACGGGGATGGGGGCTGACAGAGGCTACGCCAAGGTCGAGCATATAACACCTTTTCGTCTCTTTTGTGTCGTATTTCCAATCAAAACGAGGCCCTTTTCCCTCATATATCTCAAGGCGACACAGAACTGTTGGCTTTGGCTAACATGAATAATTCGCCGCTTTCAGCACTTCAACCCACTCTTATCGAGGAATCGGCCCTTGTTTGCTTTTTCTGCCCCTCTATCCTAATCGGGACTAGAGTTCCAGATGCTAGTTGGAGCTGTAGCTCCTTGAATGACTAAGCTCGCTAGCATGTGCTCCTGCTGACTCATCCGAAAGCTCTGAGAGCTGGATCCGGAAAAAAGGCGCCGATCGCCGAGATGCGCGATAGGATGGAATGCGAAAGCACGTGAGTCGGTGCGGTGCCGTCACACCTCAGCTGTTTTCTCCAGCCTCCCGAGGCTCTGTATCGTATAAGCATCTCCCTCACCGTTGCGACGACACCCCTTTGCGCTGCTCCAGGAGCTTTCCCTTCGTGACACTCACGCAAACAAACAACCCCGATTTCGATTTCGTTAAGTCTTTTGTCTGATTTATCGAAAAAATCAGTTCAAAATGGTGGTACGTCCCCCCGATCAAACTCCCCTGCCCCGGTTCTTGCTTCCGTGCTGGCGCCTCCCGGTTCAGCGCTCCCTCGTGGACGCTGCGCTTCTTTCGAGCTGCGTCAGATGTCGCCTGCTGGCCTAGCCTTTCTCTAAGACTGCTCGCAGCTTCTCGACCTGCTGACGTTGGGACTCTGGTCAAAGGTTGGACGTTTGACACACTATGCTTTTGACGCTGTTCTCCGTAAGAACCCCCGCTCTCCCATATCTCCCATATCTAACCGCTCTTTTTTTGTGTGTGCTAATTTTGCATGTGATACCCAGTCTCAGCTTTTCTTGCCGGCGTGAAGCGATCAACCGGCTTGACGTGAGTTGTTATTGAGACTCTCTTCCCTTTCTGGACTCGCCGAGTTAACAAAACGATAATCAGTTTCAAGAGCGACAAGGTTGCCGGCGAAAACAAAGACATCTCCAAGTGGATCGACAAGTATCTCGGCGTCGGCGAGTGGGTGATGGATCAGTCTGTCGCCATTGCCGGGTCCAGCGGCTTCTTTGAGCGCAAGCGATGATTTTCCTCACAAATCGATCGCATCATCTCTGTTTCCGAGGTGCCAAAAATGCCGAATATGTCGAACTGGTAGCATCGCAGCAGTGGGTGGCTCCGAGCTTTTCAGCTCGTGGGGGCAGCCTTTCTAAAGAAAGAAGAAAATCGTGCAAGGGCGTTTGGAGACCTTGCTGGATCTTTGATAGCCGTTCTTGGTCAGAGGCAGGGGAGATATGCCTCCACCGAATTCATAGCTCGTTTTGAGTTATTGATGATGGATGAACCGTATTGTGGTCAATATTTGGTACGGGCGTTTGAAGGGAAACATTCGGATGTTTTTGCTTTTTCTTTTTTCCACTCTTATTTTATTTGAATGCGGAATATGACGAAATGACTCAATTTGTTAAAAGAAGAAGAAAAATACAAAAAGAATAAAGAAAATTTATCGAGACTCTTTTGCTCTTATCCTTCCACCCGGGTTTCGTTCTGGCCTGACTGCATCTCCACAAGAGGCCGTGAATGTTTCCACATAGCCGAGGTTACCGGAGTTCCCTAGGTCAAAACACTCCGAATTATTTCCCTTGTGAACTGAGATGACAACGAGCTGGCGATTTAGCAGTCATATAGTCAGAAACAAAAGATGGGAAATTTATATATATATATATATCTAATTCATCGCTCGTATAAGTAAATTCATCCATTCGCTAGTATTTAAGAGTAACACGTCAACATCAAAAATCATCAAACTGTCCCGGGTATAGTCGCTGTTGCCCTGTAAAGCCTCAACAAACAAAGCAAAAGCAAACCAAACTGAAATAGAGAAAGAAAGTCCTCAAATGATATATCGGCGAGCAAGACGAGAAGCACTGTCTTACTATACGTGTTCTACCAGAAATTCAGGCGGCACTTCATTCTCGCTGTCGTACCTACGCAGCGTCCCTCCATCAGTGTTGTCGGCAGAAATATGCTTGTCGTCTCCATCTTCGTGGTGGTCAGGCTGAGGCCCACCAAATAGATCTGGAGGCACTTCATTGTCGCTTTCTTCGTCTACCGGGTGGTTATCTTGCTGCCTAGACGGGCCACTTGGTTCGTCTACGTCTGTAGATGCATCCTCGTCGTCACTGGGAGGTGGTGGCTGCTTCGGAGGATTGGCCATGCTTTTGAGGGCTTTATACCCGTTTTCAAAAGCCTCCAGTTCTGCGCCAATAGCACATATCAAAAGAGTCCAGTTTTGTTGTTCAGACTGTCGCATATATTCCTTCAATTCCCCCAGGACTTGTTCCATCCGCAAGAGTTGATCCGATATAACACCTTCCACAGATGGCGCCTTTTCTTTCCCTTTGACCGAAGGAGTTCCCGTACCGCTCTTAGTGGCTTGTCGAAAATCCGATTCGAATTTCGAAACCAGCTGCGTGACTTTATCCCACACTTGACCCCCTTCTTCCAGCGCTTGACAGTATCTTTCCGTGTAATCTTTGCGGCGTTCCAATATCTCGATCTCTGCTGTCCACCATGAAGCTGCCAACTGCGGTGTTCGTCTCTCGGGAATGAGTTGCATGAACTCTGCGCCTCCTGAAGTAGTTGGGCCTCCTTCAGCTTGGCTTCCGCTCAAGAAATCCGGATCCAGTGGCTGAATCGTAGGATGCCGTATGTATGCTACCGCTTCAGCAGTCAGCTCGTTTAGAGCGCCGTAGTACCCACTCAGTCCTGCCTCTCGTTTATTCCTGATGTCATCCATCCTCTCCTTCAGAAGGCGGTGTCTGGTTCGCATGCGTGATAGCTTCGCCTCGAGAAGCTGAATTTCTTCGCCCAAGACATGATGCTCCGTGTCAATTACCGTGAACTCCCTCGCCAGCGGTTCATCGCTATTGTCCGCCAAGCTTTTTATTTCTGCTTCCAATCTGGCTCTTTTGATACTGAGCTTCTTTAGATGCTTTAGAGCTTTTATTCGTTTATCCAAGGCCTCGTCTATATAAGCACTCTGGTCATGCTTGAGACTCGTCATGGACGCTATCAGCTTTCGCATACTTTCTCTGGTGGCTTTCAACCCCTGAGGCCGGTCGTTTGCCGGTTGTCGGGTCGGAACCACGTTGCCATCGCGAGTTGTCCTTGGCGGAATGTAAAGAGAGAGGGCGGCTCTTTGTTGGTAGCCCGGGGCCGAGAAAAATGAACCAGTAGGGGTGCTACTGCCTGTGCTAGAGGCATCATTCTCGATGCCAGACCCGGCTACTAAGGCGACAGCCTGTTGATCAAGCAATACTTGGACTTCTTTCTCTTGGGCCTTCTCTTGGCTAACGAAACCTCGCCAGACCGAATCAGAGTTTTGTTCAATTTCTTGACGCCTATGCTCAAGGAGTAGGCTATTAGCTTCAGTGGGACTCCCTCCGAGGAGAGTGTGCGGAGTATTTCTGTAGCGGACTGAACGACCAGCCGCAGGGTCTACCCGGATTGGGTCCTTCATTATCAGCATCGACGCTGATATCGGCGGTGGTGGACCAGCAAACATGGGCTGCGGCTTCATATTGAACGATGACATGGCCATACTAGCGTTGCCGCGCGACGAGTTTGGTGATAACCGGTGAGATGTTGAAGGTTCCTCGCCCTGATCCTGCCAAGCCTTAGGTAACCCCCCATTCGCTGATGAGGCGTCATCGGGTCGAGGATTCAGCGTGCTAAGCTGATGCTCACTAGGCGCTCGTTTCGGACCATTATGAAAAGGCAAGGCTGATTGTTCGCCGTTGGGATCACGGCGATCAAAAAGGCCCATCTTGGTATGTTGTGGTAGAGGTGGACGCTGTTGTCGTGGGGACGTTGCGTAAAGACGCGAAGCGATTGAAAAGGCAGTGAAATTGCAAAACGAGGGGAAATCAAAGCTGCTATACGTCTACGTGAAGCATCAATATGAGATCCAAGATGTAGAGAAAAGAATGTTAAGTGTTGGTGGAAGAGACGTGGAATACAGTTCAGCCTTGCTCACGAGGTCTGCTGGCTGGTGGAATGGAAGCATGTGCTCATGCAGCGCACCTTATCGAGGTATCAGGCTCCTAGCCGATAATACCGCTAAATCACCACTCAAAACTCTAGGTGCCCATTTAACTGTGGCGCGCGGAAGGTAAGGTGCATGCTGCAAGGCTGCCGAGTAGCAGTAATTTTAGGTTTCGTACAGGACTTGTAGGAGTATTGCAATGCGTTGAATGAAGAGAGTCTTTACAGAGAGTACATGTATGCCAATGTACTTACTACTCACAAGCTCCATCGATCTGTTGCGATACGTGGTACCCCACTACGGAGCTTTGCTAGTTCAAGGTTGAGCATCTACTCGATTCTCAAGCTGTAGAAGAAAATTGCCATTCTCAGCCCTCTGTATACTTGAACTACTATTATCAAGTATATAAGATAAGATAGGTAGGTAGTAGATTAGACTTGAAAAGCACTGTCGTCTATGCTCCAAAGCCCTATCTTGCCTATGATGCCCGTCTCTCTGCAATGGGCTGATTGGTGTCTCTTGTCTATCCCTGGCAACCATCTGACACAGGTTAATCGCCAACGGGGTTTGTTTGCCACGCGTCAATCCTTTATACCACAGACTGCAGTATAGAACAGTATTAGAATCGCCTTTGCACCGAATTCAACAACCATTACTGCAGCAGGAATTGCATAGGCGTCACGACTCGACTCGACTGCTCTCAATCACTCACTACAGGGGCCTTGCCAAGCAGCACCGCTAGCCGCTGTACTTTGGCGCCTCGCTAAGAAGCACTGATCTGGGGCCCCAGAACAGACGCTGACGAAAGCAAACGGGATCGACTCACTCAGTCTCTTTGCTGCTACGTATTCTTGCCCACTGCGCTTCTTTATACGATCCCATTAAATGTTTTGTCCATAAATCCCGCCCTGGTCTCCTGCAGCATCGCAGACCCGCAGCAACCAGCACCGGCTGCGAGGGGGCGTCGTCGCCAGCGCCCCGTGATCCAGGCTCGCCGCTGACTCTGCTCGCCTAACCTATCGCCATCCAGCCTCCAGCCTCCAACCAGCGCCTCGCACGCACCAGCTCCAGAACCGGTCAGCAACCGCGCCGCCAGCCTGGCCCGCCGCCATGAACCAATCACATCAGCTGCCTCCCCCGCGACGGCAACAGACTGCCACGGCTCCCTATGGCGCCCAGCACGACGAACTGCACATGTCCGGCATGAGCCCGCTGTCATCGCGAGACTTTGCTCCGCAGATCAAGCTCGAGCAGTCGCCCGCCAGCATCGCTCCCAGCTCGGTGCCCAACGTGCTCCAGCCGGGCGGCATGTCGTCGCGCCCCGTCCTGACGGCCCCGACCCTGCCCTCGATGTCGATGCAGCATCCGGGCTCTGGCTCTGGCTCTGGCTCTGGCTCCGGCGCTGGTTCTGGCCCAGGTCCAGCCTCCGCTTCAGCTTCCTCTCAACACCAGCAAGGCCCTCCTCCCGGCTACCAGTCGCCGCCCAAGCTCAACATGTCGCACACCTACTCGCGGTCCAGCCCCGCGGCAAACTACGACACGCCGGCCTCGTCGTCGTCCTACCATGCCTACACGCCAACAACCCCCAGCGGCTCGTCCTCGCAGTTCATCTCGCCTCAGGACGCCGCAAAGTACAATGCTCCGGGCTCGCAGCGCACCTTTTCCAACACGCCGCTGGGCCTTGCTGACATCCGGCCGCGCGCCGACTCCAGCATGTCTGATGGGGCTCCGGGCACGCTTGGCTACGAGCTTGCCAACACACAGCCCGGCCCAAGCAATTACCTGGCTCCGTGGCCCATCTACGCCTTTGACTGGTGCAAGTGGTCGCCCCGCGGCAATGGAGCTGGCAAGGTCGCTGTCGGCAGCTATCTCGAAGACGGCCACAACTTTGTAAGCCAATCTTCAACACCTAGGGCCCACCGCTCTGGTTTATATAGCTCTCCGTAATAGTATGCATGCTGACGGGGTCCCCAGATCCAAATCTTAGATAGCCAGATCGCCCCGACCCCTCAAGACGTATACCAGCCCGGCACGTCCAAGTTCAATCTCGAGTTTACCAAGGTTGCCGAGGCCACACATTCGTATCCCGTAACGCGGCTGCTGTGGGAGCCTCCCTCTTCGCAGAAGCAGTCCACCGATCTCTTGGCCACCTCTGGAGATCACCTAAGACTGTGGTCGCTGCCGTCCGAGACATCTGCCAACCCGGGAAACACAATCACTCGCCCGGGCCGCGACTCGGTTGTCACGAAACTGACTCCTCTGGCGCTCTTGTCAAACTCCAAGACGCCCGACCATACAGCGCCGCTGACGTCTCTCGACTGGAATACCGTTTCTCCCAGCCTCATCATCACCTCCAGCATTGATACCACCTGCACAATATGGGACATTCCATCATTGACTGCCAAGACGCAACTAATTGCACATGACAAGGAGGTATATGACGTTAGATTCTGTGCCAAGAGCGTGGATGTTTTTGTAAGCTGCGGTCAAGATGGAAGCGTACGCATGTTTGATTTGAGGAGCCTGGAACACTCGACCATCATCTACGAGCCAACAGGAAAAGAGGACCGAACAGGTTTGTCGCCCGCCTTGAGATATGTTGTATACCCGATGTTGGTTTTGGATGCTGACCAATAAATTCAGAAGCAGGAGGCCGTATGAGCCCTACAACTGCCCAGCAGACTCTTTCGAACCCTCCCCCGCTGCTGCGGTTAGCTACATCTCCTCATGATACCCATCTTCTCGCAACCTTTGCCCAGGACTCCAACGTAATTCGGATCCTAGACGTTCGACAGCCTGGCCAGGCTCTGCTTGAGCTTCGAGGACACTCCGGCCCAGTCAACTGCATAGAGTGGTCTCCGTCACGGCGAGGCACACTGGCCTCGGGAGCAGATGACTGCCAAGTGCTACTGTGGGATCTCATGAACACTTCGCCCCTCAATGGTACCCAGCAGCAGGAGAACCAAAGAAGCCCTACTGCGTGCTGGGATTGCGACTATGAGATTGGAAACCTAGGCTGGGTACCGCATTTGCAGGGCAATGACGGTGGTGATTGGCTCGGCGTTGGTGCAGGACGAGGCGTTTGGGGCGTTAAAGTATAGTGAGCGGCCTTGTGCTGGGAATTGTCCAAGAACGACTAAAGGACAAGAAATGACAAGGAAAAGGCCATCCAATGCTTTGCCTCATCCTCACTATATGCACCGGCGCCGATTGATATAGACTTGGCTGTTCAACGGAGGGTGTATGTATCACCTAAACTTGAAAAAAAGGAATTATCGGAGTTTTGTACCAGCGGCCCAGGTTGTATGATGCCGGCCACTTTGGAGTATGGAGACAGTGACGAGTAACGAATGGAAGTTTTCGGTTAAATGGGTTTGGAAGCGCAGTGCGAGGTGTGTCATGTCATACGGGGGGGCTCCTTTATCACATTTAGTTGACCGCAATTTGAAGCCGCGAGATTCTAGCAGACTCGGCCTTATAAATATAGCGATTATATGTATCACTCTCGGGTTTTTATTGTTATTGAAGTCTCTTTCGATGTCCATTGCCTTGCTGAGAGAACAGATCTAGAGCTACCATTTTGAACCCTCTCCAAACCGACAACTGTGGTGCAGACAGGGTTATGGATCAAGCGATGCCTCACTTACAAGGGCCATTTAGATACTTGAACACGATTCACACATTTACTGCAGTACGCTTGCCTCAAGCGCCAGATTTGATGCATTACAGGTTAAGTGTGACTTTGGTCTGAGGTTTGTCCAGCAGCTCTAGAGGGCTAGGAATAAGGTATTGTTGTGTTCTTTACGTGACAGGATTCGTTGGGGAAATATCTAAGCCTACTTTATAACCAAACCTGTGGTAAAGTAAATATCAATTAATGACAAGTATGAACTAAATGTTATGGTTTAAAGACCGAACGTGAAAATGACAGTATAGTACATGTTTGCTGTTGGAATGCTTGATGAGATCATGTATGTTCGCTAATAAATGCTTCACCGTCATTAGGTCAGACGCCTATTGTGAGCCATTCCGTGCTTGAGCTATCCGCTGCCGTATTTCTGTGCTGCTAATCTTTGACGCAAAGCCATTGCTCTGTGCACCATTGCCCTCTTCCGAAATATCTTGCGGATCAAGCACATCAATCTCAAAAACATCTAATGGCCTCCACCCTCTCTCGGTCCTCCTGTCATTAATCGCCTGCCCACCACTACGTGTCTCACCAGAGACCACAATGGCATCTATGGCCTCTTCCGTAATGGTCGGGCCAAAGGGATCGTGAATGTTGACACAGCGCACCAGCACCGTGCCATTGCGAAACATTGCGTGAAGCTCGTCCTGTGAGGGGGAAGATGTGGGCGGAAGGGAATTGGTGTTTGACGAGGAGGCCGAGTTGAAGATTGTGGAGAGGAATTGGAGGACATTGTTTGCGCGCACGGCCCAGGGCTGGAGGACCGCTGCGTATTTCTTGTTTGTGAGAAGCTCGTCGCCGGAGATTCCGACGATGAGGACGGCTTGATTCCCAGGAGAAGGGCGTTCGGGAATCTTCATGAGTAAGGCGGTGGCGTGGAGGAGGAGCTTGTGGCCTGGGTGGAGGTGGTCGAATGTGCCACCTAGACAGACGGTGTTGTGACCCTTGATGAAGTCGCCCTGAGTGGAGGGGGAGGTTTCACCGCTGAGGGACATTGTGATGCCGCCTTCTACAGCGACGAGCTGGCTTTGTAAAAAGGTTTGTTTGCCCTGTGAGTAGTCTAGGAATGCGTTGAGGAGCTCATAGCCTGATTCGGCGCTTGGATGGAAGACAGTCTTCCAGGGATATACCGTCGAGGCAAAAGCAGCCAGGTCCAGCACAGGAGTGCAATTTGCCTCATATTCTCCGTCATAGTTGCGGTGGTACGTCCTCCGTCGCTCATGGTCGATGAGCACGACGCGGGGATCTAGGCCGGTGCTGCTGGTGCTTGGCTCGCCGGATGTGTTGATGGAGAGCTCAGTGCAGATGACGGAGATGAGGGTGTATGTACGGGCGAGGAGGGACTGCGCGGCCTTCCAGTTTAGGGATTTGGATCTTGGTGAGGGCCCGGTGAGGATGGGACAGGCGATGGCGATGACGAGGACGTGGTTACCGCCATCATTGTTGTTGGTGTTGCTGCTGAGGCGTTTGAGGGCTGCTGTGAGAGGGGCTCGGTAGGCGGCGCTGAGGGAGCGAGGGTCGAGGGGAAATGGGGGCGCGGGGAGGAGAAGCAGTGAGGGCGCGTTGCTGGTGGATGGAGCCATGGCGGGTGAAGTATTCTGTGTGATGTCTGAATAATTCGAGAGTGAGTGAGGTATGATGAGATGAGATGATGTTGAAGCTTAGGAACGTGGGGCAGGGGTCCGGTCAAATGTGTACTCACTTTTCGCTAACTTCAAGTACTATGTGGATAGCACTCGATATTTAGCCACCCAACTCTGACTACCGTATTACCTTGAAAATCCGACTTTAGATATGGAGTAAAGTACCTTGTTTAGTGATTTACACTATTCTATAGTACCTAGGTAGGAAACGCGAACTTTGGTACCTGGGATTCTATAAGACCCACAGCCAAAGTGAGTTTATTTACAGCAAAAGTCGGATTATCCACAGCCAAAGTCAAGTTGCTGTTTGACCTCGCAGACTCGACTTTAGCTGTGGATCTAGATAAGCAGAGAGGTATCCCTCTATCAAATTATGTGCAGAAGATACCTCTATGCTTATCTAAATCCATAGCTAAAGTTAGATCCACAGCTAAAGTCAAGTTATTATTTAACCTCGCAGACCTCGCAAACTTAACTTTTGGCTGTGGACGTTGCCCTTAGTACTTCTAGCAGCCCGGGGGGTGTTTTTAGTGACCATTTCCAGAGTTACCATGGTCAAGTCACGGCTATAAAACCATTACGAAGGGTAGAAAATGGTTCCATCATCGTTTTTTAACCCCAACTTGACCATAGTAACTCTGGTAATGGTCACTAAAAACATCCCCCGGGCCGCTAGTAGTAGGTAGTTATAACCCAGTAGGATCCTAGGTACCTAACTTCGCCTTTCCTACTGTAGAATAGCGCAATACCCGAAAGAGGCTACTTTACTCCATACTACTAAGTACCTTGGTACCCAAAGTCAGATTTTGCGAGGTAATACAGTACCAGCGGCCATATCCACTCTATGCGCTGAGCCGCTGCATTGCTGGCAGCATTCAACCAAGCGCGTTTGGCCCGACAATTACCCGCTCGCCGAGTTGCCTTTCTCTTCGAGGCAGCCAGCCATTCTTCTCTATATCCCTATTTTCTTTCTCTCCTTCGCTTTCCATCTTCTAATCCCGTCTCTACAATCGCATTGCTAGTAGGACGCGTCAAACACCACAATTCAAGATGGCGTCCAACAATCGGCACCAATTCGACGAGTCCGAGGACGAGGAGGATTTCAATCCTGCGCCGGCTGACATGTCAGAAGATGAGGATGCCCATGATGGCTCAAGCCGAGCCCGGGACAGCAGCCCCAATCGCCGCCAGGATGCCGACGATGATGAAGAACTCACTCCGGCTAAATCGCGAAGAACCCACGATGAAGACGAAGAGGAGGAGGAGGAGGAAGAGGAAGAAGAGGATACTCGTCGTCGCCATGATGATGACGATGACGAGGAAGAAGAAGACGAAGATGATGAAGACGATGTTCAACAGGTACGATTTGAATGGAGATAGAATTCTGGCTCTGGAGTGTCTAACGTAGACGAAAAATAGGGCCATCGCAGAAAGCGCCAACGCGACAGGCGAAATGCCTTTATCGATATCGAAGCCGAAGTCGACGACGAGGATGAGGGTGAGGATGAGGAAAAGGATGGTGAGGAGATAGAGGACTTTATCATCGACAATGCCCACCCCGATGACCTGGTCGAAAGCTCGCGACTTGACGATGACCGGAGACACCGCGAACTCGATCGCCGCCGCGAGATGGAGTCTAGCCTGGATGCCGAAAAGCAAGCAGAGATCTTACGCCAGCGTTATGGCAATCGACGACCTGGCAAAAGCTTTGGCGACTCAGCCATCGTGCCCAAGCGACTTCTTCTCCCTAGCGTGGATGATCCCAGTATCTGGGCCGTGCGATGTAAAGAGGGCAAGGAACGCGAAGTGGTCTTGTCTATTATGAAGCGAGTCGAAGAGCGACGAGGTACAAAAGACGAGCTGGCCATTACCGCGGCCTTTGAGCGCGGCGGCCCAGATTCGGTTATGAAGAGCTTTGTCTACGTCGAGACCCAGAGGCAGACGGACATTCTCGTGGCCCTCGATGGCATTCTCAACGTCTATCCTCACTCTAAGCTGACGCTGGTGGACATCAAAGACATGCCTGAGCTTCTGCGTGTTACGAAGACACCGACGTTGGAACCCGGCGCATGGGTGCGACTCCGCAGACCTCAGAAGCACAACGGAGACTTGGCTCAGGTTATTGATGTTACCGAGAACGGCCTCGAGGCAAGAGTTCGATTTATCCCCAGACTCGACTATGGGATGCGCGATGAAGCTCTCTCCGCTGTGAGCGCAGATGGAAAGCGGAAGAGGCCGCCGGGACTGGGCCCAAAACCCCCTCAGCGGCTCTTCAGCGAGATTGAAGCACGAAAGCGCCACCCTCGTAACATTCAGGGCAACCCGACAACCAACACTTGGACTTACAATGGCGAGGAGTTCGAAAACGGATTCCAGGTCAAGGATGTCAAGATTCAGCAGCTCGTAGTCACAGATGTCAACCCGTCCCTGGAAGAGGTCACTCGATTTGCCAGCGGTGCTGACGATGGTACGGAGAATCTTGACCTGAAGGCTTTGGCTGCCAGTCTGAAGGATAGCAACACGCTAGTCACTTACCTCCCCGGCGACATTATCGAGGTGTATGCCGGAGAGCAAAGAGGTGTTATTGGAAGAGCTACCAATGTGCAGGGCGACATTGTTACAATGTTTGTCACGGAGGGCGACCTCAAAGGCCAGAGCATTGAAGTGCCCATCAAGGGCCTCCGCAAGCGGTTCAAGATTGGTGACCACGTCAAGGTGATTGGCGGCAGCAAATTCCAAGACGAAGTCGGTACGGTAGTCAAAATCTCCGAAGATCGCGTCACGCTGTTGACCGACCAGACGAATAACGAGGTTACGGTGTTCAGCAAGGATCTGCGAGAAGCCAGCGACATTGGTGGGCAGGGATCGTTAGGCCAGTACGAACTTCATGACCTTGTGCAGCTTGACCCTACCACAGTTGGCTGTATTGTCAAGGTGGATCGCGAGTCCTTGGTTGTGCTGGACCAATTCGGAGACACCCGCCAAGTCATGCCATCTCAAATCCCCAACAAGCTGCCCAAGAGAAAGCAAGCGGTTGCTGCTGATCGAGAAGGCTCAGAAATACGCCTGGACGATGTGGTCAAGGAATTTTCTGGGCAGCAGCGCCAGGGCAAGATTATCCATATCCACCGATCATACGTCTTCCTGCATACACATGCCACCAACGAGAATGCTGGTGTTTTCGTCACCAAGGCAAGCATGGTTAACACAATCGCTGCAAAGGGCGGTCGTGTTAATGCGGCCGCCTCGGGACCTGATCTTACGACTATGAACCCGGCCCTGAAGATTCACAAGAATGGTACCGAGAACAAGCCAATTGCTAAATCCTTTGGCCGAGACCGTGCCATCAACCAAACAGTCATCATCAAAAAGGGAGCCTACAAGGGCCTTCTCGGCATCGTCAAGGACACAACAGATACACACGCTCGTGTTGAGCTCCACACCAAAAACAAGACGATTACCGTTCCTCGAGACTCGCTCAACTTCAAGGACAAGAATACTGGCATCAATATTGACATCAATGGCAGAGGAGGGCGATCCGCATCAGGAGGAGCTGGGCGCGGCTCTGGGGATAGAGTCCCGGGCTGGCAGGGAGGCTCTCGCACACCTATGGGCTCTGGCGGCTCAGACCGCGTTCCCGCTTGGGGATCACGAAGTAAGTTTCATGTGATATTTCGCCATTTCGCTGTTCATTTAAACTAATGAGCATATTTAGCGCCTGCTGCGGGTGGTCGTACACCGGCGTGGAAGGGCCAAGACTACTCTGGGTCCCGAACGCCCGCTTGGGCAGATGGATCAAGAACTGTCAACCCCTATGATGGAAGCCGAACTGCCTATGGATCCGGCTCACGCACGCCTGCTTGGCAAGCTGGTGCTAGGACGCCAGCGCCGGGAGATGCGTTTGGAGCTGGTTCACGGACTCCGGCGTATGCTGGTGGTGGTGACAGCTGGAATTCTGGTTCGAAGACACCTGCCTGGGGAGCCTCTGCGCCGACGCCGGGCGCCAGCGGCAACGACTCGTGGGGCTACACTCCTGCGGCCACAAATTCATCTGCATACGATGCTCCGACTCCAGGAGGCGCCATGTCGGCCCCGACTCCTGGCGCTCTGAGTGCCCCGACTCCTGGTGCCTACAATGCTCCTACTCCTGGAGTCGCGCCCACTCCCGCCGGTGGCTGGCAAGGCGGCTGGGGAGGTCCGGACTCTGCACCGACTCCAGCAGCAGGTGCGCCGACGCCATCTGCATCTGGATACGCAGGCTTCTCAGCACCAACACCTTCTGCGTACGCTCCTGAAACGCCAGCGGCTAGCGGCCCGAGGTACACGGATGATGATTGAGCGGCCTGGTAGAGCCAGTGGGAGATGTCATTGATTTCTTGTGATTATGGATATGGCGTTTTAACATTTGAATTTTTTTTTCACTTTTCATCTTTTCCTTGGAACGAGAGCTGCAATAACATTAGTAGTTAAAGACAATGAGCAAGCTGGATGCTATGTGGCTAGCTCAAACAGACAACTTTCAAAAGGAACAATAGGAAGCGCGAGGCTGTAAAATAAAAAAAGTGAATAGGGAAAAGTTTATTTTCCAAGTATTATTAATGACAAAATCTCTTTGCATAAGAAGGCTTCGAATTGCTATTTCAAAGTGATGATGTTGTTGTAGTTTATTGCTTGGAGAGCTTGATGGATTCCGGGAATACTTGGTCCGAGTTTCGGCCGGTAGCTTCGTCACAACTGGGGAAAAAGTTGAGAGCATGTAGTTTTGCATTTTCAAACAAGCATACAACATTGCATTTAGCGAAAAAAAGAGACAATGTTTCGCTCACGGATACACGGCCGGTTATTGGAACACTACGAGAGACGGATATGCACAGAGCTTTGCGGACGGAGAGCCAATGGCACTGAGCGGTGCTTTGCAGTGGCGGCGCAGAAGAAGTGCTGCGCATCGATGGGGCGAGGATATGCCACGACAGCGACGACAAGCAGCAGGATATCGCAGAGCGCTGCCAAAGCGATAAACAAGCCTCCTCCCGGATCTGCATCTGCATCTGCCTCGTCAACACGCATATCCGGCACGTCTTCAACGACAACGACAACGACAGCCGCAGCAGTAACAGCAGAAGGACCGTCGTCCACAGCGGCGTTACGAACGGCCGAGGCTCGCGAATCCGCGCTGCGGGCGGCTCGTATGCGACGACAGGCGCAGAAGCAGGATAGGGAGGAAGAGGCGGCGAAGAAGCGGGAGGAGGAGCGGGAGTATAGGAAGAAGTACAATACGGCGGCGAGGAAGTGGGTGTCGTCGATTATAGCGCTGCCGATATTTTTTGTGACGAGCTATTATTTGTTTGATAGGTGTATGTTCTCGCGGCTCCAAATTGTGGGAGAAAAAGATGATTTGCTGACTTTGTGCGATAGTGGTGTTGGGGAAGCAGCCGAAGAGTTTGGAGGAGTACAGGGAGGAGAAGTGAGGTTCTTGCTGGGGTGTTTGAGGGGTTTGGCGATGCTGCTGATAGAGAATGCGAATTGAATCACGAAGAATAGTCTTTGGTCCAATTGTCTGCTTAGTGGTGGGCATACATTGGCACTTTCTGCTGTTACTACAGTGAGCAAACTCACGAGAGCCGTCCTCACAGATTGAGGGTCGATTATGATGGCCAAGAATGAAATGCAGAAATTTGATCATTGATGGCTGGGTTATAATCATTATCTGCTTGGAAAAGAGACTGAGCAGTGGATTGCCTTTTGAAGGGAACTCTCAGCTATGAATACTGCTTTTCGCGATTGAGCATATAGACAGACTGCTGATTTCTATACAAAAACCTTGTACATAAAGACTTGGATATATCTCAAAGACAGATGCTATACAATATTCCACCAATGGGGAAAAAAAAAAAAAGCTGCTATGCAAAAATACATGCACATTCTACAACCTCGCTCGAGGTGCCGTTCCATTTTTCAGCATCTCCTCGGCGTCTCTCTTGGACCACTGCTTCATCAGCTTTCGGATAATCTTGCCACTCGCCAGCTTCGGCACCTCATCGATGAACGTGACGCCGCCCACAAGCCGCTTATGCTTGGCCACGCGCGCGGCAGTCCAGTCTTGGATGTCTTTGGGCGTTACTTTGCCCTTTGACGTTGGCTGGATGACGACGTATGCTCGGGGCCACTCTTCCTCGTTGCTGTGGATTATTTGGTCAGCAAGTGTTCAGACTCGACGACTTCGGAGGAATAACGTACAATTTGATTTCGACAACGGCTGCGTCGGCGACGTGCTCGTTTTCTAACAGCACGGCTTCTAGTTCTGCGGGGGCGACTTGCAAGCCGTTGACTTTGATGAGTTCCTAGATGCCGGTGTTAATGACTGGCGTCCCCTCTTGATGAAATCTTAATGTTAGTTATACTGACCTTCTTCCGATCAACAATCCAAAACAGCCCCTCCTTATTGCAAACCGCAACATCGCCAGTCCTGAACCACCCGTCCTTGTCCAAACACTCTCGCGTTGCCGCCTCGTTCTTCCAGTATCCCAAGCAAACGTTTGGACCCCGAATGTGCAGCTCTCCCGGCTTCCCCGCTTCAACCTCCTTTCCGTCATCGTCGAGCAGCTTGCACTCGCAGTTGGGAAGCAGCCGGCCTACAGATCCTGCGCTGTCGCCGGCCAGGCCCTCGGCCCAGCTGATGCCGGTACAGGTCAGCTCCGTCATGCCGTAGCCCTGCGTGATGCGCAGCTTGAATTTCTCCTCGCACGCCTTCTGCAGCTCCCGGGACAGCGGCGCGGCTCCGCAGGTGATGTGCCGCACGCTGGAGAGGTTGTAGCGGCTCGTCTCGGGGCGCTTGGTGAGCATGACAATGATGGGCGGCGCGACTTGCAGCTGCGTGATTTGGTACTTTTCAATGTTGGACAGGAACTCCTCGTACTGGAACTTGGCCATGATGTACAGCGGCGTCAGCGTCTTGCCCGCCATCAGGCAGGCGTAGAGCTGGCCGTAGGCGTGGTACAGCGGCAGGAAGCCGATCCAGCGGTTGCGCGGCAGCAGATCCCACTCAGGTTTGCGGTGGACGTGGCGCAGATGCACGGCCTGGGCAAGATTGGCGATGAGGCTCGCGTGGGGGACGCAGACGCCCTTGGGCAGGCCTGTGGTTCCGGAGCTAAAGTTAATGGTGGCGATGGTGTTGCGCGCCTCTTGGGGGGTGAACTCGGGCCATTGCCAGCGGAAGGCGTCTGCGTGGGTTGCTAGGAGGGATCTCCAGTCTGGAACGCCATCTTGGACGGGGGTTTCCTCGTCTGAGAACTGGAAGATGCGGTTTCTGGGGATGCCGACTTTGACTGCGGCCTCGACAATGTTGGAGAGGACGGTGGGATGGGCAAGCACGGCTTTTGCTCCAGTGTTGGAGAGCTGATGGACCAGTTCTGTGATAAGAGGTCAGCCTTGATATCCACTTCACTTACACGATATATAGCGGTGCTGAAGATTTTCTTCTTCTTCTTCTTTGACAAGACATACCCGGAACCGTAGAAACCGGATTGGCACCGCTGAAAATGTGTCCCGAGCCCGCAATGCCCAGATACGCCACAGGCACAAAGATGTGGTTCGGCGTGCAGATCATGACGACGTCTCCTCGCTTCAAGCCCAGGCGCTGCAGGCCGAGGCCCAGCCGCCGAACCCATTGCAGCAGCTGGTGTGGTGAGAGGTTCTTTTGAGGGTTTTTGGCATCGATCCAGATGGGCTCGTTGGAGAGCAACGAGCCGTTGCCAAAGATGTAAGTCAGGACATTGCTCTGGGGGATGTCGATGTGCTCGTATACAGACTTGAACGGCATTGTGAATGTGGACGACGAGGATTTCCTTTCTTGGGATGGGGGGTGACACAAGATGAAAAGATGTGATGATAGGAAAGCAGCTTTAATAATATAGAGAATTTCCCTTTTCTTTTCTTATACCAAGGCAAAAATGACGGTTAGATCTTCAAGGCGGTAAAGCTGTTTCCCTCTTTGGGCCAAACGTTGCTTGCCTATTCCCCAGGTTAGGAAAATATCCGCGGGGACGGTAGACCGAGCCGAGGTACCCTTTTTTTGTGCGAGGTTAGCTTAGCATCTATCTCGGGGAGATGGGAATTCCACGACTTTTAAGCTCGTTTAAAAAGACAGATTTGGCCAAACTGGAGCCGAAAGAAGAAGGGAAAGGAAATATCTAGGGGAGCAGTATAGGAAATACTACTGCCAACCGGGGTTTTATACGCCGTATTTTCGAATCATGTTGCGTCGTCTAGTATTTCCACGGCAGAGATTATCCCGATGGCCACTTTTTTCAAGCTTGCTGCTAGTTCACAGTAGCTAGAGGGCAATCCCCGCCATTGAAAGTGTGGGGTGCAGGAGCTTGAGAGGGGAAGCCTGCATGGCCAAAAAGAGGAGGAATAGCGAGTTTCTATTATGGGGTTGGTTGGTTGAAAGGGCTGATTACTTAACAATTGGTGAGCTGAGATTGCGTTGAGCTGAGTTGAAGGTTGTTGGAGAGAGGAGCTGGAACAAAGAAGTTGGAAGCTTCAAGCTAGATGTAAGCCTCTAAGCATTGCTATTCCGTGGCGCTGTAGGTGCTCAAAGTATCTATGGCAGGTCAGCATTGTATCTTTAATAGGCAATAAAATCCGAATTAGTTATTGACTTTTTAGTATCGGAATGTCATTGGTGAGATGGGCGCGCAGCTAGAGGGCTAGAGGTAGCTTGGATGCTTCGATATTACTTTGATGCCAATTGAATGCATGGTGCAAATAGATGCTTCCTGGTGCACGTGTACTATATATATATTCTTGAAGAAGTATTATGATTTTTATTGGATAATTAGAAAGGGAGCTACAAGATTTATTCCTTGTTGAAATGTAGATTTATTTATTTATATACATGTCACGGTATATACACTAGATTATAAGTAGTGGTGGTTTATCAGATAGGGCTACTCATCTCATCTTGACGATATAGGGATAGCTAGATCATTTCCAGAGCAGATTCCATCGGCCATTGCTTACAACGTTGCGTTATCGAAGCTCCTTTGATAACCTTGATGCCCATTACGGTCTAATTACCATCGTCCGTTTACTGCGACATCGCCAGTCAAGCTTTCAACTACTACCAGGATACTCTACTTACAAACTCCGGAAACGTCTCATATCTCATACTTCACTGTCTGCAGTTAACCTCTTCGTCGGTAAAAGCATCCATAATGCTGATGAGTTGCTTGCGTTGGAAAGTCATCAAGGTAACGGGTACGAGTGGCGGGCTGTCGAAAAATGTCTGCTGAAGTGGGCGGATGGCTCTGGAAATTGATAAAGGGTATCAAGTTACCAAGTTGACGCTCGTTTGCGACATGGAAAGAAAGCTAACTTGCGGCCTGCCATCGTTGGTCTGTTAGGCATTGAGGCACACCATTTCCAGATACTCGATTCAACAATTTATCGCTAGATTGTGATCGGCGCTTCGATAGGGCGTCGTAGCGGCATGTAGAATTCCCTCTCAATGAGCCACGACATGGCTCTATTCTAATGAAGTTTCTTTCAGCCAAGTTAGTTGTCTCCGTTGTTATCTGATTCAATCGAAATTGCGCTCAGCCGGGAAAAGTGTCCATGCTCCTTTCGTTAAAATTTGTAATTTCAGGCATCATGTCCAGCTGCAGAAGCGGGTCAAGCAAGTCACTCGGCCACTGCTCGAAATTCCAGTCAAAGTCAAAAGTGCCGTCGGCATCATCCCGATTGACCTCGGGTTCCTGCATCAAAGGCTGCAGCTTATCGAGGTGATGTCTTATCAATTTGGAAAAGTAAGTGGCTGGATGGTGCTCATCACTCGCCGAAACATCGAGTGCTTTGGCGCAACTTTGTAAGAGACTGAACAGGCTTGGCATGTCAATGTATCGACTGCCTGGCTTCGCATGCTGCACACCAAGGGCGATGGCCTTGATGGCAAATACACATGCGCCGGAGATGCGGTAAAAAGTGCGGCAGGGATGGAATTGGAGTGTACCAGCAGCAGACCATTCGATGGCTTTCCGGAGGATCTTTTGTGCCTCTGTAACAGCCTCTAGGACTAATGGGAATTCTGGTTGTGCCTCCATAGCAACATTCCTATTCAAGTTCCGAGAAAAGATTGCTTGCATGGATAATCCGTTGATCCAAAGCTTGACGCTGTGGTATTCAGTTGACAAGATATCATGGTGAGAGCCTGAAATCATCGGGTCTTCGTTATTGTTCCGGGCTAGATGTTTATCGAACCACCCTTCCAGTCCTGACTTGAAGAACGCTGCAAGTACTGTGTATTGACCGCTGCTCAGCATCTCTTTCGCTTTAGTTTCACTGGGCAGTAGCTGCTCGTGGATAGATTTGGTGAATCTCAGGAATTCAGTCCAAGCCCCCAATGCGCTGTCGCCAAGTTTTGTTGTCCGGCTAGGAGAATCTTGACTATACAAGACTGGTATCATCGTATGCAAACCAAGTCGTGCAGCAAGGATAGTCATGTGTGCGAGCAGTAAATCGCGAATGTCTGAGCCTGCATCTGTATGGTTGCCAAAGGCGTGACGACCTTGCTCGAAGACGCCGATTTCGTGACCAAGCGAGTGGGCAGCCCCGAGGAGCATCCACCGCGTCTGATCTTGCTGCTTTAGAATGTGAGTTCTGTTTGTGGATTTGTATTTATACGAGTCACCAGCTGCCTCGTTTAGAAACCCGCCGTCTTCCTCAGTCTCATCCCATGAGCTTCGTGCGTTCAGCGGCGCCGGATACCATTCAGCCAGCAGTAGCAATGCCTCAATGGATGCGACGGAACGCAAGCCTTGCCCTTGGCCCAGCATAATTCGTTGAATAATCTGGCTAGCGCGTCCCCAGAGTTCGTCGTGGATGAAGAATCGTCGAGATGAAGATGCCGCAGCCGGTACGGAATGATGCCGCGATGAGATCAGGAGTATGGCCGTGCAAAGGAGAGGTTCCCGCAGCAGCAACTGGATGCGATCTGGTCGATGAAAGAGGCTGCGTGTTCCCACAAATGTGAGTGGCGCCAAATTGTTAAAGAAACTGCAGAATATCTGGTTAGTTATTTTGCACCATAAAGTCAAGATAATAAGGTAATCTCATACGCATCGACGAGGGTGATGGCATGTTCGGCAGATAAGAGACCAGTGCGCACAAATACAGAGCTCTTCCACGCCGACAAGGTGTTGGCCTCAATAGAGCTCTGCTTGATTAGCTTCAAGCATGAGCTCTTGGGAGATACAGACGTTGCGTCAGCCTCGAGGCCAAGTTCTTCTTGATGAAAGTCTGAGTTGGTCAATGGGTTGCCTCCTCGCGGACTGGGAGGCTGCGATGAGATGAGACTGGCTGGAGATCTCGATCCTTGTCCAGCTGCTGCCTCGAGAAGGATGTCGATTGCATCATTGCCCTTCAAGATGGTTGTATCCGTTACAAGTTTGCTGGAACGATCCGACAGTATTTGGGCATCGCCGTGCAGACCACTCCGGGGTACAGCAGACGGATCAAACGGCAAAGACGGTGGCGATGCTGTCAAACCGACCAGGTTCGTATCCATCGTCACAGCCGTGTCAATAGTCCGCGAGTGCTTGTCGGGTTGAGACGACGACTGCAGCTTCTCAGAGCGTCCATGTCGGCCCGAGGCTCTTGTGATGGGCCTGGAGCGGCCACTATAATGCCGTTTCTTCGTATCTCGAGCTTCTCGGAAAACACACTGCCGGCGCTCACGGCGACACTGGGCGCACGGCGGACCCGTGAAGCCATAGACGCCTTGCTGGTCCCCTCCAAGCTCGCATCTTTTCTTCTTGAGCCGGCAGTTGTCGCACGCCTTGTAGTTTCTTTGGAAAGGCCGCGCGTTATCCATGGCTGGACGTGCTGATGCTGTTGATCTTGATCCTGAGATGGAAATTCTATGAGGGCGGAAGGCCGATCTATTAATAGGCAACCAGCTTCATGGAGACGCGCGTGGAGTTGACGGTTAAGAGTGGAGTGTGCCGGGATGGCGAGATGCTGTGGCGTTTCGGGAATCGCGTCAGGACGTCAATGCCTAGACTTACCTGTATGAAAGCATTTTATACATAATATCGTGACAAGTGTTGGATTTCTCTTTATGGAGCCTGTCGCTGGAGGAGTAAGAAGCATGATGACGACGAGGATTTGAGCAAGGAGTTTATTCCTCAAAGGAAAAGTTATCCAGCTCACCAGTTCTATTATACAGCATCCCGGCATTAGCTCTACAAGGAAGTTCATCTACGTATAGCAATATTGATTCTGTACATATACTTGAAATATCAGTAATGGCAATTTTTACCCTTCTTAAATGGTATGTCTCCCCTTTAGAAGTTCAGTAGGCGCATGTAACTAAGAGTCTCGTGCAAACTCCAATGTCAGCCACAGGTACTAATTGCTGGCTACCAGTTTCCCTTTTGTCTGAATTATTTGTCATCCACAATTACACTATTTAGCAGCCAATTGCTCACATAAGTGACGAAGAGAACATTCACCGGTGAATACCAATATCAAAGTTTGTACTATAGCTCCTATTAGCGGCGTCATCGCCTTGTGAATTCTTCAGATCACCAGCTTACCACAAACTTTTTATTCTTTCGGTCTGTCAGATCCATGAAAGAGATCAAGCCATCGTCGTGATCACCAGAAGACCTAAGATGTCGCGCCCGCTTGTTGTTTTCAAGCCGATAGGAAAACACCAGCATACCCAAAACAAGAATTGCAAAGCCCAGAGTCGCGAGCATCGTCACTTTAGCCGCCCAGTAAGCTGGCGGCGTGGTGAAACTCAGGGGCCCCAAGGCATTTCCAAGGCAAAACGACATCATGATGAGTGCGTTCATCATGGTCTTCTTGGTGTGCCCTGCGAAGTTTGCCGCGACCCAGGAGTATACAATCGGGGCACCTTGCAGATTGTTAGTTTGCTGCCCAAGATTTGATGGACTTGATCCTCACTCTATGTACTTACTGGTAGGAATAAGATTAGTAAGATAGACACCAACTAGTCTGCCGGCCTCATCATGATCTGGCAAAAATGTCAAGAGAGCGGTGCCAAAGAACCCAAAGACTAGGAGGCCCAATATGGAGGCTGATCGAGTCTGGAAACGGTAGGCCGAGTACGACGCTGCCGCGATACCAATGATGCCCACTGCTCCGCTCGGGAGGCTGAGAAGAGCTGCCTGAGTTGGGGAAAATCCAAGGCTTGTGTATCAAGTTTGTCAGCGTTTATGCGTTTTATAAGGCGATGGGCAGGGGGTCAGAATACCTGGTTATGATTGCGGCTTGAAACGTGCTAACTGCCGCGTTGGGGATGTTGATTGCCGTATTCATGGTAAACATCATCCACGCCCGTGAATCTACTAGCAGCTCCCAAACTTGTGCGGTTTTGAAAGTCCTGTTCTCGATACCAGTTGTATCGCCTTGAAGACGCGCAATGGCAATCACTCTTTCTTTTTCAGTAAGTCTCTTGCAAGTCATGGGATTGTCGGGGAGGAAGAACACGACAAGAAGTCCAATAACGATCGTCAAGAGCCCGAAGACGAGAAACATGATCTGCAAACAGTTTCAGCACATGCACATCCAAGATTTGTCATGTGCGCAGGTTGCTATTCACCTGCCAGCTCCTGAAAGTCTTTCCATGGTAGTGCAATAGTCCATATGAACATAGCGAATCGGCGAAAATGCCAATTCCAATAGTTCCTCCCCAGATACCGAAGCGGAGTGGCTGTTCTGCGCCCACGGATATTAGTTTCCTCTTCAGAAAATGTGTCCAAAAGCTAACCTTGTCGCTTATACCACATGGCCGTGATGATGATCATGCTAACACAAAGCAAGTTACGACAAGTCTCGCGATTGTGAGGGTGACGTTTAGTCTAGAAGACATACCTTGGGGAGACGCAAGACTCAAAAATGCCGAGGACAATTCTCAAGGCGAGAAGAGATGCGTAGTTTTTGCAGACGCAGTTGAGCGCCACGACTACGCCCCAAAGAGTAACTATGATAACCTCGTTAGGCTGGTTCGTGCCCTGATCTAGTATTTGGAGGAAGACCTACCGTTCCATCCTAAGACCTTGGCAACGGGCAACTTTTGCAGCACGTATCCTGCCAGGGGCTGGGAAAGAAGATAGGTCACCCAGTATGACCAAGCGAGTGTCGTAAATTGTTTTGAGGACGTTCCTGTGTCGACACCGAGGCCCATGATGTTGGCAAAGTTGACTATGGGATTGTTAGAGAATTTCAAAACGCTACACTACCAAGAAAGTTGAGAAAGTATACTCAAGTTCTTGTCCACAAACTGCAACATGTACACCGCGGCCAACAGTGGCAGTAACATCCAATCCACTTTGCGAACGAGACTTCTGTCCTCGTCCTCAGTGAATGTCACATCACTAGCATTGTTCAAGAAAACAAGAGCAGAATCGACATTTTCCCCCGCAAACTCTACTTCCTCTGCGGTAAGTGTTGTGCGCTTGCTTCCTGTAGTCTCCATTTTAACCATTATTCGCAACGTTCGAACAAAAAGGTGTATAGTTGTCGAATAGTGTGGCCATAGACACGATGCTCAAGAAGAGGGTAAGAAGGTAAGAAAGGAAGTGTAATCGGCGGAGGAAGCTTCACGATACGGGTCTTGGCTAAAATTTTCTTTTCACCCAGCTTCCACGGCTGATGGCCTTTTTTATAGGGCTGCCATTAAGTCAATTCCATTGACAACGACAATCCCTGTCATCTCCATGCATTGGATCTTTTTTACCCCATGGGGTTTCGAGTGCCGCTCTCCGACAATATCCGCGGATATTTGCGGAGGGGCTCAAGTCATTCACTGGGGACTCGAAGTGATGGGCAACATCCGCAATTATCCGCCAGCCACATTTGATATTCCATTGCAGCATGCGCTCTCATAGAAATATAATGGCAATGCTGCTTCCACTTCGTATCTCGCAGCCGTAGTTTGCAGCCCATCCCGAGCGAAGAATCCGGAGACGCCCTCTTGGTCCACACTTACCATGTTCTTCAAATTCCTCCTGAGCCTTTGGATGGACACTTTGGCATATGTGCTCCATCTGACACCAGCAGCCGATGAGTTGAGCTTGAAGGCAGCTTCTACTATTGCTTTTATTCGGGCCTGCTCAAGAGGACTAAGACCAGGACGTCTCTCAATTGCACAACGAGATTCTCTCAACACTCGCAAAGCTGACGAAGATTATCTGACCGTCCGATGCAAGCTGCCTGTTTCTTCAAAGAATAATCTCGCGTATGTGATTTCCCAAGCTTTCAAATCACTTGGCGATGGAAGCGAGACCTACGAGCATCAAGGCTGCGAGGATATCTACGGCGACTGGGTTGGTCCATGCAAGCGTTCAGCGGTGCCGGTGTCTTTGAACTCTGCGTCCGAGAGAGAGCAATACAATACTCTGATGAGTGCGGTAACACGGAGCACTACGATTCTGTACTTTCAGGGAGGACAATTTTGGTAAGCAAGAGCCGTTTGTTCTCGCAGGCAGTAACATTAATGAAGCGCTTTCGTTGTGAGTAGGCGGAGAGGTCGAGGCGGTATCAAGATCCAAAACAAGCTTGCCCATAAAGTAGGAGGCAGGACCTTTGGGCTGCTATATCGCCTGTCGCCTCAGAATCCTTTCCCAGCCGCCTTGATAGATTGTCTTACAGCCTATCTCTGTCTCCTATACCCGACCTCCGAGCACCTCCACGATCCGATTGACGCTCGAGATATATACCTTGCTGGAGACAGTGCGGGCGGGAACCTCGCCGTGGCTCTCTTGAAACTGATTCTTGAGATTCGCAAGCTGTGCCAGAATGGAGAAGCAACCCTGTGGTGGAATGGAGAAGAAACGATAGTTCCTCTACCTGCCGGAGCTGCTGTGCTGTCGCCCTACTTGGACATGACGCGAAGTTTCCCGAGCGAAGGGGCCAACCTGCGTTTCGACATCATACCAGCTCGCGGGCCTCCATTTGCAAATCAAGATCGATGCGACACATGGCCAGCCAAACGACCTCGACACCACGTCTATGCAAACGACGATGCGCTTTTACACCCTCTGGTGTCTCCAGTGACTGTGCGAGACTGGACGGGATGCCCTCCAGTCTGGATATGCGTTGGCGAAGAGTGCCTTGCCGATGCCGGTCTCTTCATGGCGCAGAAAATGGCATCGGCCAACGTCGTGGTGTTTGTTGAGCAGTTTTCCGCCATGCCGCACAACTTTGCGCTGCTTTGCGAGTCGGATTCGACAGCGCAGGCGATACAGAGCTGGGCAGAATTTATTTGTGGCGTTAGGGATGGCTCGCTGGGAAAGCCTGTGGTGGTGAAATGGAGCCATCAGCGATCGCAGCTCGGGCGGCAGCCATTGTCTCTGGAAATGTGGCGAGGAATGTCTAGAGAGACTGTGCTGAAGCAGATGAAGGAAGAAATGGTGAAATGGGGTCCACCTTCTGCCTGAAGATATGTTCCTAGATGAAGGTGAGTACCTTTATAGCCAAGGTGCTGGTTTCCATTATAAGAGGCGATGTGAAATAGCGAGTGTTACATGAGAAAGGATTTTGTTATCTTAACAAATAGAGGATTAAGTTTTATTCAAAGGATGACTCGTGTTAATAATTTAAGTCTCATAATCACGATGATATATACATGTATCTTTCACCACCTCCTCTTTGCTGCCTCGTTGCTGCCTCTTTTAACAATAAACACACAGTCTAATCAACAGCCAGTTAACAGCAGCTATATCCACCGTCAGCCACCAGCCCAAAGCCATTAACATAGCTGCTCATTGGCGACGCCAGAAACACGATGCTATCTGCAATCTCCTCAGGCAGGCCCAGTCGTCGCAACGGCGTTTTCTGGGCATGGTGATATAGCGGATGAGCTTGATTCTTGGCACCAACGCCGTCATTGACCATGGGCGTCTTGATGAAGCCGGGGCAGATGGCGTTGATGCGGATGTTGGAGCCGGCGTAGGAGGCAGCGTCAGCTTTGGTCATTCCCATGACGGCTGTTGAAAGTCAGCATACTAATGATTGATACATGTGTGTCCTGTGAGTGATGGTGATGGTGATTTCTGATTATGCTGTGCTTGATGTCAAAATATCAAACAAGTCTTGCAATCTTACCGTGCTTGGCAGTAGAATATGCCGTGGCATGGATGGGCGACAGCGGCCCAATGGTGCCATACATGGATGATACGTTGATGATGGTGCCTCGCCCTCGTCGTGGGCCGAGATCTCTGTGGTTGGGCATCGTCAGCAAATGATGGTATCTAGAACTTGTCCGTCTATACGTACTCTTGCTTCACCATGATGCCGAGCTCCTCCTTCTGGCACCAATGGACGCCGTGCAGGTTGACGCCCAGCACTCGCTCCCAGTCCGCCTCATCCAGCTCGTGTATCTGCGCCGACTTGCCGGCCACACCGGCATTGTTGACGGCGATGTCTAATCGGCCAAACTGGGCGACAATCTGGGACAAGACCGCTTTGACTTCTTCACCCTTGCGCACGTCCATCTGCAGCGCCAAAACCTCGACGTTGGGCCATTCCTTCTGAATGCTGGCAGCCACCCTGTTCAGGCCGTCCAGGTTGATGTCTGTGATTGCCAGCTGGGAGACGCCATGCCTGGCAAAAGCATAGGCTGTATGCTCACCGAGACCTGTGGAGCAAAACGGGGAATCCACTAGGTTAGATAGGTAGATGATGGGCAGAAATTGGGGAGGAGAAAAAAATTAAGCTGCTGGTGGCGCGGCTTTGAGCTTGGACTTACCGGAGGCGGCGCCGGTCACAAAGGCTGAACCTTGGAGCAGCGAGGCCATCGTGGAGTAAGATGCAGCTGTGAGTTGGAAATCCACGATTAATATTCACATGGGAGAAGTGATTATTCCAAAAAGGAGAGAACTAGGGAGAGTTTCCAGCGGAGGTGAAGAGAAAAATAGATTGGCAATCCCAACGGGTTTTATAGCTCCATCCGAAGCCGAGGTGGTGGATTCCTGCGCTTCGTGATGGGAGCTAAAGACACGGGCGATTCTTCCCACGTTTGTCATGCTCGATTATGTGTGCAACAGTCCACTTGGCCGTTTTTGGGCGTCTGCCGGGGTTGATTACAATTCAATATATTGTGTGATTCGGTCTGCGTGTCTTTACTGGCATGTCTACCTATCAAGAGGTACCTTCGGAATAAGGACCCAAGGTGCTAAGATAAAGATCCGTTAGGTCCAGATCGTGAACATGGCCCACTGGGCTAGTGCTCCGTACGCCGAAGATGTGTCAGCTGCGTCTCCGCCAGAGATCCAGATCTAATCTAATGGATTGGCTCGTTTGAGATTGCAACGGTTTCTGTGTCCGATGGTAGACACTACATCATGTTGTGACCGTAGGTCGCGCAACAGATCGCCAAGAACTGCGTGACATGATTGGGGCTTATAAAGCAGACTCGTGGCTGCGTGAGCTGGAAAGACATGTAAGTTGGTAAAGGCTTCACAAAGAGTCTTCACACGGAGTTTTCAGTCTAAGACTTAAGCATGATTTAAATGTTTTTGTATTTATTTACGCGGCTTCGCTAATCGAAACGAAGTGCATGCAGGCATCTTAGTCAAGTACCTGAACATAAAAAAGAATTTACCAACGCCACATGGCGAGCCCATGATTTCATAGGCTCCAGCCGTCCTCAGAAACCGTCTGTCCATCCCCAGAAGAAGCCATGACAATGGTACAAAAGAAAGAAAAGGTCATGATCGGTATAGGAATTGAAGACATCACAAAAGCACATCCGTCGAGCAGCACCTTATTCTGGCTTGGGGCCACCGAAGCGATCAATCGACTTGCGGATGCCCCTCTCCATGCCCTTGGCCATCTTCTCCAGCGGCAGCTTCTCGTCCAGCTTCTTCACCACCTTTGAGATGGGGGGCTCGATGCGCTGGGCTGTGCGCTCGGCAGGGTTGGTGAAGTAGGTGATGTTGCGCTCCCAGCGAGGAGCCCACTTGGTGGTCTGCTTGGCGAGCTTCTCTTCGGCACCGGGCATGGCCATGTACAGTGGCGCCAGGACACCGACGCCGGCGGCAGAGATGCAGAACATCTCGGTGGGTCTGGCCTTGGGGAGACGAGGGACACGAGGAGCCATTGTGAAGGTGTTTTTATGGGTTGTTTGTTGTGTGTTGAGTGGTGATTGACGAGTTACGGAGAAGGAGGTTGAATTGGAACTCAAGACTGGAGCTGACTGTTGGTGGGCAAAAAGCGGCCAGTTAGCGTTCTGAAAGCGACAAAAACAATCAAAGGCGAAAAAGGGGATGATGGGGAGCAAGGTGACGTACAAATGGATGAGTTTATAAGATTCGCAGTCGTAAACTGTTGGAGTAATATCCTTGTCTCAAACAACAAGTGGATGGATGGATGGATGATGATGAAAAGAGTACAAAAAGAGACAAGAAAGCCAGTTTGCATCCCTTATATACCTGAGGTATTCTCGGCCAGCTTCCCCTCAGCAATCAGGGATGACACCACCCTCACGCGGTCCAGAAACGAGGCGGGAAATACGCCCGAGTAGGCAGTACCTGGAGGCCAAGTTGGCGACGGGCGGGGTAGCCCAGCAGTGACTTGGTCGTGAATAGGGGACAGGTATCGAGTCTGCTGCTGGAAGTCACCGCGCTGCAGGCCTCAGACGGTCGCTGAATGGATGGGACGAGGGTGGCTTCAGGTGTCGTGCGGAGAAGCCTGCGAAGGGCGGGCGTCGACTTTGATACGCTGACAAGTCTCATTTTGCAATGCCGCGTGTGAAGCAGTACATGCGTGCCTAATATCAGATACTACAGATGACAGAGTTGCGCGACAACAAGCCACACACCCCAGCAATGCACTGCAACGCAAACAGCAGCGCTTCATCATCATCACACCACACCCTCTTCATGCAGCGGCAGGAACAGGCCACAAGCGAGCGACTCTCGCCGGCCCTGGAGCATTACTCAAAACGGCAGCATCTCGAGCCTCACTTTTCTGCTTTCTTTGATCTCTTTCTTTTGCCATCTTTTTCGTCCTCCTTTTGTTGTTTCTCTCCTCTTCCGGCATTTCCTCAATTCCCATCCCCATCCCCATCCCATCCCTTCCTTCGCGGCCCCGCCCCCAGACAGCGCTACGCTTCAGGCCCACCAGTCTCCTCCTCTGGCCCACTTCCCCAGACGGCACACGATCCTCTCTGCTGTCTTCGTATCCACCGCGTCAGTCTCGCTCCCTCTTTGCCGTTGGCCGATCGTGCTGTTGGCGTGTGTCCTTCCTCTTCCGTGCTCACCGAGGCGGAGTCGAGTCAAGGCAGTCGCTCAGGGAGTCTGTCAGCAAAAAGCAGTGAAGCTCTCGATGGAACTGTCTGAATGAACATCGAAAAGAGTGACAGTGACGAGAATAATGACAAGAAAGCTGTTGATTTCAGCTGACAATTGCAGAAACAGGCACAGGCACCAACAAAGCAGGCGAAACCCCTCAATCAGCGCAGCTCGTTGCGCCATTCCTCGCCCTCCATCAGCACATGCAGACCGGGGGTCCGGGCCCTGCTGCAACGTTGGCCAGCAATTTGCCTGAAGTGCCCCCAAGCAGACGCAGCACCAAAGTTCGCCCATGCTTGGTGGCGCCCAATGGTGGCGACATGGTTGACGAAACCAGGCCGGAGTCGTCCATGTGATTGGGCCACGGCGAATCTGCGACGAAGTAAAAAGTACGGCCGAATAAAGTACCGGAAATGAAGAGTACAAGGCGCGAGGTTTGATCATGTACTGTGCCTCCCGTGCCGCGTATCTCCCTATGCAACAATGAAATCTCCAACAATGGAATCTGCTCGTGCAAAGTAGCGTGAACGATGTGGCACAACGCTTGTTGATTCGCTGCAGCTGAGGAACGCCGAGATCTCTGGCAATCTGCAGGACTGCAGAAGTACCTCGCTTGCATAAGCGCGTCCGTTTGTACTTCGCTATGGATGTGAACTTACAAAACGACGTCCTTATCTCTCGACTTCAACGAGTAGCTGGCGACGGCTCATTGATCCTTGCTATGGCTCCAAGGTACTAGCAGAACCGGCTTGCTGAGTCTCACGGCCACGGCACCGGCGGCACTCAGTCACTCTTGAGATGACGAAGCAGACGGGCATAACAACACGGAACTACTGCATTGGTAGATGCACGAGAAATATGCCATAATCACACAGTGTCCGGCTTTTACAACACTACTAGCCTTGACTTCTGTCACCGAATCTTCAAATTGAGAGAAGAAAAGAGCTTCGCCACGAGCCTTTGATCATCTGGAGTTGAATATATTCCTCTCACTACACCACTCGTCTGTTACGTTGACCGATTATAGCCGGGGCATCTCTGCATATCAAGAACAAAATATTGCAGAAAATGGACACTATATATTGCCATTGCTGACATGCCGAAATGTTCGAAAATCTGCTTTGTTTGATGCCTCTGATGTCTCATCTATAAATCGAGTTCTTGAGACTTTCTATGCTGGCCGCGCTTGTCAAAGTGGGCGTCCTGGGATTCCATCATCTACGCCTAATTAACCGGACAGTGACGATCTCTAGGGCTAGGACTTCATTACGACGCTCTAATTCTCATGGACGATTTCTTACATAATACGGCCTGGGGTAGCCTTTTCTCACCTATCCTTCACGTCACGAACTCAAAATCATCTGCGACAGAACAACTCCACGGTCAGTGTCGCCAACTTCCGCCATGTCTCTGATACCGTCATTCGCCCAAGCATCACTGGCTGCAGCTACTCTGGCTGCCACCGCTGGCACTTATGCTGCGGTTAGCCCACCCAATCCCAACACCAAGTTGGTTCCCGCGTCCAAAGATTCTCTGACCTCTTTGAACCTCACTGGGAAACACATAGCCAAGGTGGCAATGTCCCCCATCGCGATTATCGCTCTGCATACCGCCTCCTTAGCCTATTCGTATCCCAACATGCCCCCTTCACTCCTCGGCCATGGTCCTGAAAATGGCCTGGATGTGAACCTCTTGAGATGGTCACCGGACACCGCCATCCCGCTAGCCCTTGTCCTGTGTGCTGGTATCCCTCTGCGGCTCTACGCATATAGATCCCTGGGCAAAAACTTTACCTTTCAGCTCACCAAGCCAGAGCATTTGATTACAACCGGTATCCATGGCTATGTACAGCATCCAAGCTACACGGGTGCGGCGATTTTGGGATGCAGCGCTGCATTCTGGCTGCTTCGCTGGGATGGCGTCCTCAGCTGCTGGCTGCCGCCGTGGCTGTACGGGAAACTTACGTGCATGGGGGTGTTCTTAAATGCCTTTACGCTGTCTGGCCTTTATTGCTGGCTAATAAGGAAGCGGGTAAGAGAGGAGGAGAAGATGCTAAAGGCCACGTTTGGGGCTGAGTGGGAGAGATGGCATGTTACAACGCCCAGATTCTTGCCATTTTTATTCTAGGTTGGAACGAAGCCGTGCATAACAAGTGAAAGACTTCCACTCGCGGATCTGTTGCCGTACATAAAATATCACTAGGTGGATCAATATAGTTGACATTTCTTTACGTGCCATCAAGGGCAGCATCCTTAGGGGTATCGTCGGTTTGGTAAGACATTTTCATTGACAATAGATAATTCGAGTACTTGTCACATCAGTACCTCTTGGAGCGGTAGAAGTAGCAGGATAATATCAAACGTAAGCTAAAATAGGAGAAGTCGGGTATACAACCCTAATACCCGATTGCATTGCCTTTAGCTTAGGACTAGTACAAAACATCGGTTCCAGATAAGTGGTTACGAGCTACGCATGTACATGTATCTGAGTTATTTTTGGTACACAAATCCTTTCCTAGGATTCTCTCTTTTTCTCCGATAAGAGGAATCAAACTTTTCCCGTGGCTCCAGTTCTACTTTCGAACGCCAACCAGCCAATGATCCTTTCTAGAAGGCTCCGTGGCTTTTTATTCTCCCCCCAAAAGGAGAGAAAGAGTAAAGGGGCCGCTATCTCATTTGTTCTTAGATCCCCCCTTACTTTCTTGATGCCCGCGATTCGAAAACCAGGCTACAATCTTACTGTGCTGCTGATGATTTGAGATTTTCCACCATCGTAGGTAATGTATGATGTGAATCACAGTTTCTATTAGGTACAGGCAGGCAACAACACAACTCTTTCTCTCAGATGAATGTATTTAAAAGGCCACCCCATTCCAGAATAAACGCTGTATCACCAACCTTATCGTGAGAATAACTCTATCCGTTCTTCCCTGATATCGCTACACATATGTTGACCCACAAGCCTTGGTAATATTGAGTCATCCATCAGGGTTGCTGTTATGGTGTTCGGACCCTCTGCGTCGGTATTTCGGTACTCGCAAGGTATATACTCATGCTTCTAATTTCACACGATACTAGGTAGGTACAGATTCACGATACACATAAGCCTCGTGTTCTGATATGGCCGTGAACGCCTGCACGGAATGCTGAAGAATCCCCATCTTTTAAACTCTTCAAAAGCAGGATTTCTTTTTCTGAGGCATTTACTGGTGCTCTGCAACTTTTTGGTATATAATACGAATGCTTGGACTGAATCCCAGGGTTTCCATTGCTTTTCCTCTGTAATTTTCGTCTGTTGTAAGACCAAGCAGCTCATCACTCCCGCTCTACGTCTTCATCTGGTGATATTGCTCTTGAATGCTCACGAAAGCCGTTATATATTTGTCTTGCATCTTTATAGTTTCCTTTTCCTGCCCCTTTTTTACCCAAAAGACGCTCCTCTCTCACAAATGGCTCCTGTTCTAAATTCTTCTTCAGGCTCTGTCATCAGGCTTGTTCCTGGCCTTGTGGCCGTCGAAGTCGCACCCGTACACCACTACTTCGACAAGACCCCAGAAGGCCCAACGGAACTCGGCTTCTGCTATGCTTTCCTAGCAGTCGTTGGCATCGCCTTTGTCGTCCTTATCGCTGCGGATGTATATGTCAAGCACGGGCCCAAGCCGATACCAGGAGAACGTGTCTGGTACAAGAGAAAGTTTGACAAGGCAAGGGGCGGATACTATGTATGCAAGGATACGTTCAACAGGCTCTTCGTCCACAGAAAGAAGAGGCTCGATCTAGAGAGTGCAGCGGCGGTTCAGAGGACGTTTGACTCTCAAAAGATTATCGATAGGCTTGCCGCCAGGCCTGCTACTGAAAAGGCCCCAACTATGGTGGAAAACGCGGAGGCTGAGGAGAAGTGCACCGGACCGATGTCGGGCATTGAAGTCAAGGTCACACCGTTGGATATGTCGTTCCTCAGAGATGGCGCCGCCGCGGATACTGCCGCCAAAGACGGTGCTCCTAAGAGCGACAATGCAAGCGGCAGTGGAGCATTCAGGTTTTGATTAGAGAGAAGGATTCGTGGGGCCCCGATGAGGAAGAAAACAAGCTCGAGAAAAAAAAGAGCTGGCTTGTTACCGAGAGCCGTGGGGAGGGCTTTTTCGACTGGATTATGGAGATTGGGATCTTGAGCAAGGAGCTTGGTGAATTTAAAGGACAATTAATTTGGCATGAGCTCGAAATAGAGCTTGGCGCTGGGATTTACAGATGTTTTTGAAGATAAGGAGTTAAGATATTAGGTAACTTGGTAATAAAAATGGAATCTGAGAGACTTCCGAAGCAAGGGCGCGGCCTCAAACTGTCGTGATAACATAGACTGGTGTGACACTGCTCTCCTCTGTTACTTGTTTCTCCACCGGATAAACAATGCGCTACAATCACAGGGATCATCAAGTAAAAGCAGCTGATAGAGACTCTCTCGGGCCCTCGCAGTCGGCTTGTCGGTCGAGCAGGGCCTTTTGCGGTGCGCATAACGACGGTCCGACCACCGACGACCCGAAGCTGATGGCCGACAGCCGATGGTTGACGATGGAAGTGGAGGGTGCAGATGAGGCTAATGTAGGTCGAGATCCAGTTCATTTGGCGATGGAGCTTTTATAGCAGTCGCATTGTCACGCTTTTGATTGGTATGATAAGCTGTCTCGTCTGGCAGTAGAGAGTTAAACTTGAGGGCGCAGGCACCCAAAGTCTTCCGGCGATAAGAACATCGGATACAGCATCCAGGAATCGAGATAACGAATTGCCATTCAGGCCCCCAAAAATCAGAGGTGTCGGTCAACACGACGCCATGCAACCCCTAACGAGGGGGCTGCCACAAGGGCCACAAAAGAGGGTCAGCGGCAGCACAGCCGAATTTAATGAGCGCTGTAGGGCTTCCCGACCGCTGTAGCGTCGCCCAATCAGCGCTGCGTCCTCGCTGAATGGCCCCCGCCGGCGTGCCTGGGGTGCTTCTAGCCTGCAGCTGTGATGTGTTTGCCATCCATGGAAATGTTGCTTCTTACGTACTGCGAAATCCACTGCGCGGCGATCCGAGACTCAGCGCCTCTGTCTGACGTTCCGCGTGACGACGTTCCGACACCCTGTCGTCGGTAATCGTCGGTTTCCATCACTCTGTTGTTATCTGCGGAACCAGGTCTCACACTCTTTTCCTCCCTGCCTTAATCTGCTCCTGGTCATGGACAAGATTCGGCATTGCCACGGCATTGATGCCTCCTCCGCTTTCCACGATTCATTCGCCCGCCTCGCTATCGTGACCAACTTCTGATCTTGATCTCTTCCATCTCTACCTCCGCAAAAGCATCACCGTCACATCTCTCGGACCGAGCCGCTGCGAGGAGGGCCGGGATTGCACTCCTTTTGCTGCGACGACAAGCTGGTGCTTATCTCGTTTGTCTATCCAAGTAAGCAGCCTCCTGTTCTCCATTTGCCTCCATTAGCGGTGGTGTTAATCGTCAGCAGGATTACAGCCATAATCGCCTCTGCGCCTTGCGTCTACTCTCTTAACCGACCTTTTCTCTCCTTCCTCGCATCTACTCCGTTTAATAAGAACAATCAGATTGGCATGAGCATAGAGAACGTACCTCGTACATTGCTTTCTTTCCCTTGATGCCTTTCTATTCGTATCACCGCGACAATGACTTCTAGATCTTCGGTCTGCCTTGCGCGGCAGCTACACCAGACACTTCGCCCCAACAAGACCCTATCGATGCCAACATCAACGTCTAGGATTCAGACTCGTACATTTGTCAGACCAACCGCTGCCAGGAACAGCCCCGAGGCAGCCAAGTCCAAAGCGATACCTTCTCAGCAGATTTCCGCACGGGCCGTCGCTTTACTAGCCAGCATCGGCTTTCTGTCGTTTGCTTATGCTCTATATCGAACGCCTCCCGCCGCTTTTGATGCCGCGGCAGCGCTACACTCCGAACATGAGAGATATACCCCAGTGACTATCCTCGACGACCGCGACCCGAATCTTCCACGATTTCGAATGTCCGAGATTCGCAAGCATGACGGCAAGTCAGAACGTCCATGGGTCACGCACGGCGACAAAGTCTACGACATCACCGACTGGATATCGGCTCACCCCGGCGGACCGGTCATTCTGCGAGCAGCCGGCGGCGCAATTGAATCCTACTGGAACATTTTCACCATTCACAAGAACCAATATGTTTACGATATACTCGATCAGTATCATATTGGCTACATCGACCAAGCTGATTTGGTAGACGGCAAGCCGCCCCAGGAGGCGATTGAAGACCCATTCGCCGACGACCCGATAAGGCACCCGGATCTCATTACCCGGACGCTGAAGCCTCGCAATGCCGAGACTCCTGAGCAAGCGCTCAGCGCCCATTTCATCACTCCCACTGAGCTATTCTACATTCGAAACCACATGTGGGTCCCCAAACTCACACAGGACGAGGCCGAAGCGCACGTCCTAACCGTTGAGCTCCCTGACGGTACCACAAAGGAGTATACGCTGCGCGATCTCAAGACCAAGTTCCCTGAGAGAAAAGTGACAGCCGTGCTACAGTGCTCCGGAAACCGCCGAAGCCATATGAGCCAAGGATCCGGCCGGGCTACAAACGGCTTGCAGTGGGAATCTGGGGCTATTTCCAATGCGTCGTGGGAGGGCGTTTCGCTAGCCGACGTCCTTGCCGATGCTGGCTTCGATGCCAGCACTGTGAGGGATGGCACCAGCGAGGCACAGCACGTGCAGTTCTCTGGCATGGAAGCATACGGCTCATCGATACCCATAAAAAAGGCCGTAGATCCCCAGGGCGATGTACTGTTGGCATACGGTATGAATGGCAAGCCACTACCCAGAGATCATGGTTACCCGTTACGATCCATCGTGCCTGGGCATGTCGCTGCTCGATCTGTCAAGTGGCTAAGTCACATCATATTGAGCGACGAAGAGAGCCCTAGCCAGTGGCAGCGAAAGGATTACAAGTGTTTTGGCCCAAATCAGACAAAGGTTGACTGGGAGGCAGCTCCAGCAATCCAAGAGCTGCCTGTCCAGAGCGCCATAACCGGTGTCAAACTGGGCGATTGGACAGCTTCAGGTCAATCAGCATCAAGCAACTCAACTAAGCCAGCGAAAGAGGTTACTCTCAACGGATACGCCTATTCCGGCGGTGGACGAGCAGTTATCCGAGTCGATGTCTCGCTTGACGATGGCAAGACCTGGACGCAAGCAAATCTGCTCCCCGATCAAGCACCAAAGGTTGATGGTAAAGCTTGGAGCTGGAAACAGTGGAAGTTCAATGGAGACATACCCTTGGAAGCATTCAAAACTCCGGAAGACGCAGTGCCCGACCAGGAGAGCGACGAGGACAAGAACACCATTAGAAGAGGTACTGCGAGAAGGGTAGCCAACGAGAATGCCGAAGCCACGAAAACCAACAAGAGGTGTACTACAGTCGCTATCAAGGCAACAGATGAGGTTTACAATACTCAGCCCGAGAGCCATGCCGCGACGTGGAATTTTCGAGGCAATCTCGCGACTGCCTGGCATCGAGTCCAGGTCTGCACTGATTGTTCCCCCAATGCGATAATTGTGAAGAAGAAGAAGAGCGGTGATTCTCAAGATGGAAAATCATCATGAGAAAGGCCAAAGAGAGAGTGAATAAAGGGGTGAGAATAATAGAGCTGGATAGGAAAGTTCCTTTCTCCTTTCTCCCTTCGATCTTCTTTGTCTTTTTCTATCCTCCTTCTTTTCCATTTTTTTTTCCTTTGTCCCATTTCGGTCTTTGTCAATTTTTAGCTTTTTTGGTTTAGAATCATAAGTGCGCTTTGTCCAATCCAACCACGCATGTACGAGTTAGCATAGCGTAGAGAGAGCTGGATCATAGGGGCAGGAGTTTGATGTTATTTTGTTATACATCTTTATACCCTTTGGACAGATTAGAACCGCCCAATTATTAGGCTACATGACAATAGAGTTCATTAACTAATCATTCATTTCAATGGTATTTTTTCAAGGTAGACACACTTGCTTCAACAGCATATTGAAAACTCAAAGTCGTATTATCACTTTTTTGTTTTATCTCATTCCGTTCCATGCTTTCAACGCCCCCTCTTGTCTCCTATTGTCCCCTGCTCATCGTCCTTATTTTTCAAAAGACTCGCTCGAAATAGATCTAGCCAGCCAGCCACCCCGTTCTAATTCGTATGTATACTGATACAAATCTGCAAAGCCACCGCATTCCCCGCCCAGCATTCGTCGCCACTACATTAAAGCAAGGCCTACTCTTCATCTTCATCTTCTCCATCGGAGAAGTAGTCAAATGCATTGGGCACGCCAGCTTCTTCATCACCTTCGCCATCTTCATCTACGGCGGTGAGCACTCCAGCTGCCGCTGCTGCCCCCGATCCAATGTCACCACCAGGAGTGCTGGGGTCTACAAGACCGCCAAAGGGAGAGCGTCCCTGGCTCCGTAGAAGCTGCTCCATGAGGGGGTTGACGCCTCTGCTATTAGGGTCGACAATGCCCTCCAGGATAGATCTGCCAGAGCCCGCGGTGCGACCTGCGCCACCTCTGCCGGGCTGTTGCCCGGCTACAGGGGCGCGTTCGGTAGTCACCTTCTTCAGCTTCTCCTCTAGAAGAGACTTGGGTTGGTCAGGTTGGGTATCGTCAAGAAGGAGAGGGCCGCCAGTTGGCTTTGGAAAAAAAAAGTTAGCATAATTTTATATCATGTGGTCATGTAGGAGAGATTTACCTTCTTGACTGGCTTGTATCGACCAGCTGGGAAGCTGATATACTTCAGCTGGCCAGGCAGGACTCTGCTCATGTTCTCAATTTCGTAGCCGACCTTTTCTTTCTCGGGCTTCTTCTTGGCATCGGTAGATGCCGTATCCTTGTCGTCAGACTCCTTCTTGTCCTTTGTCTCTTCCTTGACCTTTTCGTCGTCCACTTCCATCTTGTCTCCACTCTTAGCTGGGGCACTGTCGATATCCATGCTTTCACGACGCTGCGCCCGTTCCTTCTTCTGGGCTCTCCTCTTAGCCTGAGCTGTCGTGGACAAAATGGCAGTCGCAATAAGAGCTGGTCCCTCTTCTGTCTTGACCTCTTGCTCAGGAGGATAATCAAATAGGCTCTGGCGAGTGGCACAGTGGAACTTGAAGTCTGGCATCTCTAGGTCGTGATCAAGGCCGATAATGGCGGTTGGTGAAAAGCTGAGAGATAAGAAGTGGGTGAAAGGGAACCAGTACCAGTACTGGGTGAAAACTGCCATACCAACGATACCGGCCATGTTCAAGTTGCCGGTCTGGGTTTGCAGGCCAATGGTGCAGTTGCGACCACCAGCGTCAATGATACCTAAAGCAAGGGCAGCACCAAACTTGGTCATGGCATCCTCGTGGCGGTCACCAACCACCTTCTTGAGCGTTTTTCGAATGGAAGACACCTTGGGGTTCATGACTTCATTTTGCTGTGCCATGATCATGGCGAGTGAGATGAGGGCACCCTGTCGGACAAAGTCGGTAGGATCCTTCATCATGGGCTCGAGAAGGTCAATGGCCTCGTCGAGTCCAGTACCAGCGCAAGAAATACCCAGTGCCATGGCGGAACCGTATCGGACGTGCGGGTTGTAAGATTCGGACAGCAGCTCAACCATACGGGGAACGCTGCCGGGCTTACGGAAGAGAATGAAGCCCAGACTCATGACGGCAATTCGGCGAACATCATCGTTGACATCGCTCACAGCAGTGTGAAGCAGCTTTCGAATGGCCTTGTTGCTGCCAGTACCGCAGTAAGCCAGAGCAACGGTCATGATACCACCATAGCGCAGAGTGGGATCAGGGTCGTTGAGCAGGCCCTCGATCAAAACATCGGCGCCCTCTTGGCGGCCGTACATGATCAGAGCCATACCAATGGCCACACCGCGGACAATCTTTTCATGGGTTGTCTCGTGAGCATACGTAATCATATCCTCCAGGGCCTTGACGTTTCCGGTACCAAGCATAATCAAGCCCATGGCCAGACCAACAGCCTCGCCATTGAGAGCAGAGTCTTGGAAGAGCACATCCTTAAGCTTCTCAAAAATCTCGCTGTCACCAGTGCCCATACCGGCAATACCCAAGCCCAGGGCACCACCATGCTGAACGACTTCTTCTTCGGCTTGGCCGAATTGCATCTTCAAGTATTCTAGGGCTCCTGCACCGTGATTGGCGTGGATGAGGCCATAGGCATACAGAGCACCTCCTTGGCTAAAGATGGACCCGTTGCTGAGGCCACCTTGCTTGGGAAGATACGGCTCGAGAAGCTTTCGAGACTGTGACAGGTTACCACGGTGGATAACTCCGAGGGCAGCTGTAGCAGTGAACTTGGACCAATTGACAGCCTTTCCGAGCCACTCGAGGTTGTCACGGAAGAACTTGTCATTTGTCGTGCCCTGGTTCATGAAAGCATTGCAAAAGGTGACAGCAGTGTGGAAGATAGAATTGCGACCCTCCAGACTGTCTCGGACCTTGTTGAGAATGCTCAGATCCGTGTGGTTGTTGCGGTAGAGGAATTCGAGGTTCAGGCGGATAGTCTTGGAGCCGTCGAGGATAGATCGAATGTTGCGGTAAACCTTGGCCACCTCTTCGGGAAGCTCATCTTCAGGTGCGCTCTGTTGGTTTGCCAAAAGCGACTCGCTCTCTTCGGTCTTGTCGCCGCCCTCAGCCCCCTCCTCCTTCTTGGGGGGCTCCCCAGAAGGAAGAGAAGTCAAAACCTTGCCCAAAAATTCTTGTGTACCGTTGTCGTAAAGATCAAACGCAATCTGATATGCGTTGGCGGTCGCAGTGCGGTCGTCCTTGGCAACAAGGTTCCGGAGCATTCGCGATGCCTCCTCGTCTGCGTTGAGGTAGACGACGCATCTGGCGATGGCGAAGTAGTCGGGGTTTGGAATGTCGCTTAGAAGATCAAGAATTAACCGCAAGATCTCTGTGCGGAAGGCTCTCTCTTGAACGACATCCATGCAGATGCCCAAAATATATTCCATCAGCTCTTCGGCGGGACCCGGCTGGCCATCAGTTCCCTTGGCCTTGGACAGTTTCTCATCCTCGCTGGCGCGCTTGATAATTCGCCTTAGGATATCGAGATTCTTGGCCTCAACAGCAATACCGACAACTTGCCTGTAACGGCCTTGCTTTAAGCAGCTCTCGAACAGGCGGTCGATGATTCTCTGCAGAGAAGCTTCGGCCACGTTGTTGGGCAGCTGAGTAATAGATCCCGAGCGGCCTTCCTTTGTTACAGGCTGGAAGGTTGCGTCTAGTATAGTGTTGTCGATAGAAGCGCGAGAAAGTAGGGATTTCGGCGGCAGCGTTGTCTGAGAGAAGGGAGTCGTGGGAGACAGGACGGCGCCCTCGGTGGAGCTGGCGAAAGTGGTTGACAGCTCAGGCAGGTCTGACGTCTTGGCGGTTTTGGGAGCGGTATGCTTGGCGGATGTGGCGGCGATGTACTGGTCCACGCACTTGGAGATGATGGTCTCCTCGAACTCGCCAGGAGCTTCGATCTTAAACAGGTCCCCCGCGGCCAGGGCAAAGACCATGCTGTCATTGTACGCCTGCAAATGGTAGTACACCTTGGCGAGCACGAGAGCTGCAAGCTGACGCTCGGAGAAGGTCTCGTCTTCGTAGAGGGCCTCGCTGAAATCGCAAACAGTCAGTAACAGACGACCCAACACTCCTCTCGGGATTGCGTAAAAACATACATCTGGCTCAAGCTGCCGGCGACCTCGGTCCAGACGGTGTCGATGTCGTCGTTGAGCGTCTGAAGGGCGAAGACTCGGAGCTCAGGCTCCTCATCGGCCAGGAAGGCGAGCACGCCGGTTGCTGATACCAAGCCAGGCATATTGAAGTGCTGGAGGCGAGGACAGCGAAGATGTTGTTGTGATGGCGAGAGTTTTCAAAGTCGGATCGAGGGGCGAGATTCGGAGATGGAAGGAAAAAGAATGCTGAGAAAGGTCCTCAATTCGAGGCTGCAAAGGTGGAATCTGCACCCCGCCGATAGGCAATTAACAAAAGAAAGAATAGAACAAGGAGCTGCAGTGCAGAGCAGCGCAGCAGAGTGATGGCGAGTGGTGTATTGAGCGAGGTTTAGCTGATGCTACGTGATGATGCTCTCAGCGTGTACAAACAAGCACACCCGAGTTCCATGTCCACGTCAGGCACAGCTCTGCCTGCCTTGCGCGGTACGTACCTCGAGGTGGGTGCACAGACCTGGTGGTTGGATGGTGGGGTACAGCTACAGGGGACAAAATAACAGAGACACGCAGCAGAGACGTTGTGTCTCAGTTGGGCGGAGCAGAAGATGATAAGAGCAGAATGGATAGGTGTTAGCACAAGACGACGGGGATTCTGATTGTTGTGCTACCGGTACTTCAAATCAATCATTGCAAAACTTCTCAAGGACAACAATGGGTAGATAGGTAGCTATAACAGCAGCATAAGGTAGCTATCATTGACGAGCTACTCGTAATTCTGTCACCGTGCTGCTCGGCACTCACCGCTTACTAATGCGCATCACAAGCTCTCAACTCCTCCACGCTGCCAGTTATGGCAATACTGCCACGTGATGTCATGCACCTTTATTGTCAGGCTGCGAGGCAAAGCACCAAACCGCAAGTCAGGCTGCTACACGCTATACTACAAGCGGCCTGGCGCCTCGATTTCATCCAGCAATTCGAGACAGAAGGCTGAGCCAGCCAGTTGGCCGAGGGCTGGGCATGCAGGAGACGGCACTAGTGAAAGCACAAGGCTAGCATTGCTATGGCGCAACCTGGACTGGCGTCGCACTCATCACACTGGACACGGCACGATAAGCGTGCACGGGTCTCCCTGCTTAAGCCACTCAATGAACTACTGCAGCGCGGTGGCAGGCAGGAGAGCAAGAAAGAGGCATTAAGCCGTGGTGCCGTGCGGTTGCGATAGGCGTCCAGGTAGAGGTACGGCTACAGGCATGGACGCGTGCGGCTGAGGCAATGTCGGGGTACCTGCTCCACCTGGTTCTCGCTGAATGGGCCTTGCGCGCTGGGCAGCATGGCCTCAGGTTTCGTTTGGGATGCAGCAGCGATGCAAGGAGGACTGAGGAGACAACGCTGGGGAGGAGAAAGCATTAAAAGGATGTTTGTGGCCAGTTCTGGGAACGAGTTGTAGCTTCTGAATCAAGTGATGCTGTGATTTCTGCCTGCATTTTATACAGCTGATTTGCGCCTGACGCCCGTTTACAAGTGCCTGCCTGCCAAATGCCCATGACTCAACTCAGCTAAAGCCTGCCAGAGTAGGTTCGAACGCAGCGCCGGAACCAGAGCCATAGGCCGGGCCACTCTAGATGGACAGCGCTTGCGTGCGCCTGTAGGGCCCCGATCGACCTACTTTAGAGCGCCGGCCAAGGCCATCACGGAACATTGAAGGGAAAAAAAAAAGCGTCCTAGGCGCATCCAACTGTCCCATCCAAACCATCCCTGCGCGAACCACTCGTGGGCTTCATAAAATCAATCCACCCCCCATAGCACCCTCAACTGCCGGACGCCTCAGACTCGACGCGCATCCCCCAGAGCTTCCAGGCCGTGCGGCCATCGTGAACAAAGAAGCAGGCGAAAACAGAGAGCGCCGGCTGAATTTCCTGCGCGCCTGCGTTTAACCCCCACCAAAAACGCATCGCGACGCCTCAGCCTCTTCAGCCTCGAACCTCGTCATCCGTGCAAGCTCGAGAATGTCCGCTTGCGACTCGGACGACTCTGCATCCCTTGCGCACTTGGTAGCTATCTAATCGAGCAGGCGACCAGCCGACGCAGCGGTGCCGTCGCTCCTCTAGGCGCACGAGAGCGCGGCTCTGGATGCTGGACAATTGAGCCCATCGTCTGAGCCATCGTCTCGCGCCGCACCAGCTTCTACCGGGAAATAAAGATACACGAGCGTGTGACAGCCTCCAGTAGCAGCCATGGATCTCCGGTCGGTCCTCAACACGTCTGACAATGGCGACCGCGCGCCCTCAAAGGCACAGGCGCCGCCGACCCCTCACCAGCAGCAGCAGCAACAGCAGCAGCAGCAACAGCAGCAGCAGCAGCAGCAGCATCAGCGCCAGCACAGCCAGCAGAGCCAGCAGCCTCGCCCGATTCACATCCCAGCCCAGTATGGCTATCGCGACTATCCCCAACAACCGCTGCCCCAGGGATCGCCGACCAAGACTCCCGTCCACGAATATCCGCCCCAGAACCATCCTCACCTCTACTCGCAGCACCAACAGCCGCCGCAGCACCCACCAAACGCCTATCCGCAGCAGTCGCCCTACCAGGCCCCAAGCCCGTATCAGACACGACCTGCGCCGCCGCCGCTCCACACGCCGACGAATGTATACCATGATGCCCGCTCGCCGGTCAGCTCCAGGTCAAACTCGGGGCCCGTGATGGCTTCACCCTACCGGCCATCGCCCACATCGGCCTCGACGCCCGGAGGCAATGCAGGCTACCCATTCCCTCCGCAGCCTCCAGAGATGGCGAGCCCAATCCAGCGCCAGCCGTACCCACCGGGCCCCCAATACCAGGACCCGAGAAGAGACAGCTACGTGCAGAGCCCGGGCGCGGGACCACCAGCACATGGTCCCGCGCAATACGTGCAACAACAGCTGCAACAGCAGCAGCAGCAGCAGCACGCCGTGCCACAGGCATCGCCGGTGAGGACGTCAAGCAGCGCATCGCATGCATACCTCCATCAACCACCGCAGCACGCACCGGCACCAGCCTCAATCCAGATCCAGACCCAGCATCAGCAGTATGGGCCCCAATACGCACAGGGCAGCCCAGTCCTTGCAGCGCAGCCTCCACTCGCGGATTACAGCCGCCACCCTTCGCAAGTCACCCCTTTGGGCCCTCCCCAGCCTAGCGTGCAGCGGCAGCCCTCTGCTCCAGGAGCCTTTGCTCAACCGCCCAGCCCATACCAGCAGCGCATGTCTTCCATAGCACACGCACCGGCACCGGCACCGGCACATGCATCTACGCCCACACAAACAACACCACCGGCACAATCACAATCACACACACAGGCACAGGCACAGGCACAGGCACAGGTGCACGTCCAGCACCATCCTCAGGCTCCGCCTCACGCCCAGTTGCAAACTCCCACGCAGACTCCGCTCCACACCACTCAGGTACAGCCGCCGCCAGCGCAGAGCCAAACTCAGCCTTCTCCCAAGCCAGCGCCGCCGCCGCCTCCACCCCCTGCCCATCGCCAGTCGAGCTCTCAATCCGCCTACGCATCGCCCGTTGCAGCGTCGGCTCAGCATCCACGACCCTCAAACGACCGAGAGCAAAGTCTGTCAGTTAGTCCCAAGACTAGGCTTGGCTCAATCCCCAGCAACCCCGACGTTACCCCGACGGCGGCGGATAGAGCCGCGAGATCTTCACTCAGTGTCCACTCCATGGCGATTGACTCGGATCGAGCTATCACGCCGGCGAAGCGCAAGCTGGAAGATCTCAACATGAGCCCTGGGGAGCTAGAGTACAAGGAGTCGAAGCCACCCCCTGGCGAAGTCAATGGAGGGTATGCAGAGCGGATCAAAAAATCGGCGTCTCCTGCGATATCACGAAAAACGCGGATTCGACGCAGTCAGCCACCTGTCTGGGCACTGAGCATTCACACACTCGGGAAAAAACTGCCATCCAGCGCCAATTACGTTCTCCAGAAAAGAATCCACTCTCACATACAACCAGCCGTCAACGGCAGACAGGAATCTACGGTCAAGACAGAGCACACCAGCCGCCAGGCTTCGCCCGAAACAAGACGAAATCAGCATGCCAGTGTTAGCCAGCAGCCATCCGCCGTCAGTCCCCCGAACCCCCAAGACCAGCTAGGTCCATGGGAAGCCAGCATCACGGGTGTCAAGCCCTCCGAAGAGCTATCCAAGAACGTGGCCGACTTTCTTTTCATCCATGTCATCAACAACCAAGATGTGCAGGAAATTACGAGCAGAGGAATACAATTTGAGATTGAGGCTAAACTGGGCACGCTCATCGACAAGGACACCAACCAGCGTGTGGATCGATGCGTCGCTACGGAATGTATTCTCGACGACAATGGCCGGGTTGCCTTCAAAAGTAGTATGACTGAAGTAAGTGCACTATGCTTTTTCTTGGGCATATTTACCCGAAAGAATACATGTTTTCTAACCTGATGCAGGCGCAACACAAGTCTTACAACGATTTCCTGAACAATATCGTCATACAGAGCGACCCGCGGAATCCCAATGCCAATCGAGTTCCCGTGATATACAAGCACAGAAGAGAGAGGGATCGCTTTTTTGAGCTGCCGCAAGAAATGCAGGCCCACCTCCCAGGATGCGTGCGATCACGTCTTGGTCATCGCAGCCGAAACGTACGAGTGCGAGTAACATATGATCAAAAGACCAACGAAGTGTTGAACAAAATTATCAAGGCGCGCGTTGCAGACATTGATCTGCACATGCCAATGTGTCCAATGGATTGCCGCATAAGCATCAACCTCGAAGCAAACTGGGAGGGCTCTGTGGAGGAGCTGGAGCAAATGTCCGCCAACAAGGCAAACCAGCAACCAGATCGCAGTAAAGATCGATTGAGCTACACACAGGGGAGCTATCAAGTCGACCTCACACAAGTCACCCACGCTGTGAATGGCCCAGGGGTACGTTCCTTCTCTCTTGTTCCTCTCCTTCTTTTTTTTTTTTCCTCTGTGACAAGCTAACATTCTGTGTGCAGAACTCACAACGCATGGACAAGGAGCACGAGCTCGAAATCGAGATGAACCCTCAGGTGCTCATTGACCAGGGACGGAAAGCCCTAAGCGGAGCGCCTCATAGATACCAAGAGTTTGTGGAAGGATTTGTGGACAACGTGCGAGTGTTGGCACGAAAAGCCAAAGAATTTAATTAATATTAATGGGCTATCCAAATCGGCCTCAAGTTTTCAATATTCGGCGCGGACGAGGGGGGTACCTCTCATCTTGCCCCTTGTCCCCGCCTTTGTCGCTCTTTTTCGACGGTTAACAGCGGGACATCATATTCTCTATGAAGAATGTGCTAGGGATGCATGGTTCGGCTTCTTTTTTACTCTTTTTACTTTTTCCATTTACCATTCTCCCCCAAGTTGGTGCTCCAGATTTGGTGCCAAGGATTTTCCTTGCCCCTTTTTTTCATTTTTTCACATAGGTAGATCATTGCTTTACTTTTCTCTTCTTTCTATGGGTACTAGGATTCATGCGGGTTATGGAAATGAAGGTGAAGAGGGGGGAAAGACGAGAAGAGAAGGGAGCGCGGCGCATATTTCGGTAAAAATTACTCAAAATTTATTGATTGCTTGGGTTTGAGAAGAGGTGCGGCGATGGGAACTAGCTTGGATTCGCAGGCAAGAAAAGGCAGACAGACATACCCCGATAGTTGATCAGACGATTGTGATGGTGAGGTGAGATATCTCTATATATACACATATATTATATCTGCACATAATAAGACTGGAACTATTTGTTTCCTCATGATAGAATGATACGTGATGAATGTGAGTTGGGGTATCCATAATACTTCACAAAAGAAGATAATCTAATGTATCAAGCAGTTTTCTTTCCACTTCTTATTCTCTCTATAATAAATCTTGTATTTCAAAATAGTTATGGGGTATACTCACGCTTGTTTCTCTCCTCTTTCAATACTGGAACCGCCCTCCCCTATATCTTGAATCTCATCACTGTCGTTGTTCTGCTCATACTTTTTAGCAGGGAAAGGGCCTGTGGTGCGAACAACATCAATATCGATATCATCGCCGTCGCCGTCGGCATCAATATCGTCTTCCATCTCTTCCTCAAGAAGCAAGTTCAGAATCATGGTCACAGCAGCCGTAACGGCAAAGCCAGTCTCCATCACGAGAACAATGGCATCGAGAAAGCCCTGGAGCGACTTGTTTCCACCCGAATAGGTAAACACGTGGTTGAAATACGTCGGCACCAGAGTTGCGCCGTAACCGAGGGCCAAGCCAGCGGTGAGGATGAAGCGGTTCCGGCGGGTAAAGGGCACTCCTCGCGATATGATTGCGATGCCAGAGACGGCCACTGAGCAGAAGAGGAACGTGGTCATGCCGCCCAGGACGGATGACGGGATGGCGACGAGAGCAGCAGCGAACTTTGCAAAGATGCCCATGACGAGGAGGAAGAAGCAGCAGGCATAGCCGGCTCTGCGGTTGGCGCAGCGGGTGAGGGCGATGACGCCGTTGTTCTGTGCAAAGGTGCTCATGGGCGTTATGGTCATGAGGGCGGCGAGACAGCCGTTGAGGCCATCGGCCAGGACGCCTCCCTGGACGCGGGACTCGAAGATCATGCCGTCGACTTCGAGGTGGGAGACGTCGCAGGTGGCGGTGATGTCGCCGATGGACTCGGTCAGGCAGACGATGAAGACGGCCAGGACGGGCAGCACCAGCGGGCCGTAGACGGATAGGGGGAATGTGTGCACCCAGATGAAGGAGGCGACGGGGGCAGAGTCGATGCCGGATCGGTCAAAGTAGCCACAGGCCGCGGCGATGATGCATCCCACCAGCAGGCCGATGATCACAGAGGTGGACTTCATGATGGGAGAGCCGAAGCGTTCACACAAGATGATTGTGGCGAAGACGCTGAAGCCTAGGCCAAGGAACTCGGCCGAACCCCAAGGCAGAGCGTGTGGTGCTCCGGGGCTGGGACACAGGCTCTGGGTGGTACAGCCGCTTCCTCCCATCCAGTCCTGGAAACCACTTTCGATGAGGTTGATGCCGATGAGCATGACCGTCGGGCCCGTAACGATGGGAGGGAACATGCGGAGTAAGATTCGAGGCGGGATAAAGGATAGCAGGATTTCGAGCAGGGCGCAGACTGCACAGGTTCCCAGCAGAGCGCCGTATCCCCGGGGACAGGGCAGAGGGTTGCCGGCAGCGTCTGATGGACAGAAGCCGTTGGCGTACATTTGGGAGATGGCGCCTTGGGCAACGGGGATGATGCTGAAGCTGATGCCGACGACGGAGATGAGGCCCGTTCCGATATAATACCTGTTGTCATGATCATGAGATACTTGGACTAGGATAAAAGGGTTTAGATTAGATTTGTTACAAAAGAACTTACGGAGTCTTATAGATGTGAAATCTTGTAATCTGTATACTCGACAAAATGCCCGACACAATCAACGCCGTCGAAACGAGATACTGCTGCTGCTCAATAGGCAGATTGACGCCACTTGATCCCGCGAGAATCAACGGCGGCGTGATGATGCCCGCCAACATGGCCAGCGCATGCTGCAGTCCCAGCAACAGGCCGAGAAACACGGGCATGCGGTCATTGAGGCCGAAGAAGGGGGTTTTTCGTCTCGATGATCCCGGTCCTCCAGCGGGTTTCGGCAGAAAGGGGATATTGGGGCGGAAGAGGAATGCATAGTCGTAGTCGCCGAGGAGGCCTTGGCGGGTAGTGAAGGCGCGGCGGATGGAGCGAAGACGGTGGGAGAGGGAGCGGCGGGGGGCGGTTGAGGGGGTGAGGGTTGAAGGGCCGGTGCCTTCGTCCATGGTGGAAGAGAATATTAAGTTTGAATGGAATCGATTAATGGAGGGTGCGAGATGAGATGCTGAGAGTGCGGGTCGTGATGCAATTCTAGCAAACGTTGATCAATGCCGTAATAAACAATCGAGGGCCATTTCACACTTCTCATCTAACACGCCGAGATAGAAGAAGCAGAAGTTGTAAATAGATGAAGAAGTATTAGAAGAAGTAGGTCACACTACGTTAAAAAGCTGCATACGAGCATTACATGTGATTCCAATAATTGGAATTCACCCCCCAGGGAGAGGAGAGGAATAGATAAGTGACCGATCATGGGCGATATATAACACGAAATTTGCCCATCTTTCCACTTTTTCGAGATGCGATAAGCAATCAGAAGAGGGCGTGCGTAACATTCTATTTAATAGTGAATAATAATGCGATCAATCAATGAGCCCTTGATTGTGACAGCGGTTGGCTGGTGGTGTGTGGGATTGATGGATGGACCAAGCTGGGGGGAGGCCCTTGCGCTGTTTTGGCTTATCTTTTGCCGGTATTGTGAGAGAGTGGGTGGACGGTTAATGGACTAGCTGCTGCCGAGTTGTCGGAGACAAGAGATGGCTATTATTCTTTCGTCTTTTTTTTATCTTTTGTATCTGCTGATGTCGGAGAATGTTACCGAAAGTGAAATAAGTCAATAGCCACAGCATCGTCCCGTGAGGTGGATGGCATGCTCAGCTGGAGACTGCGAACGCGAAATCGGCGCTGTCAAGGGGGAACAGAGCAACCAAGAAAAAATGATAGACGCTGCTACAGATAAAGGGCATGACGCTAGGATCAGCGTATCATGCGGAGCATCTGCAGCGGATAATGCCCGGCCGGCTATTCGGACGAGGGTCTCAGTCGCCAGTCTGGGGTATTAGTGCATGATGCTCGTACAGCAGATTCCCAACTCTCGCCTCGTCGGCGGCCGCCACAGTGTCTCGGATGCAGTCCAGAGGAAACATTCGCATCAGCTGTAATGCCACCCGCACAGCGTCGCATCCATCGAATCGTCTCCTCTGAAGAGATCACAGTGCTGTGGGGGAAGTCGCAGGGATTGCCGCTCCATCTCCAGGTACTCCATAGAGATAAGTCTAGTCTTGCGGGGGGGCTTGATTGCGGGTTGCATGGGGTTCAGGGAGCTGATAGATAGCAGATAGCAGACCGGCACTCTCCGAAGCTGACTGTTGCTTATTCGTATCTCTTAATCTCAGTGTATAGCTGGTATTTACTGTTACTGCATGTTATACATAACATTTGCCCATACTACTGCTTTATTGTCACGATCGAGTTCCGCAAGAAGGATCAAGTGGGCCCATCAAGCGTCTCGTTTACGAGGCCCTGGCTTGGGAGCAGTAAGGGATACTACTATATATCTCCAGTATCCCTTCATTGTATTTGAACAGGGAAGGGTTGGTTTAATCCAATATAATGTATTTAAATGATATATTCAGAAGAGGCATGATACAGTCTGCAAGACTTTGGCTTCTCTTATTCTCCAAATAGCTTGTTAAGGCGTCTCATAGTTTACATGTTGTTAAGATTATCCAACTACGGAAAATAGTATCAAGGCTTTGCAGAAAGTGAAAAGAAGCTTACACTTCTCTCACTTTGGCGGTTTCACTTTCACCTATTCACCTCACTTTGACCTCTGTCTTCAATATTTGCAGCAAATAGATCTTTGTACTACACCTTTTTCTGCCGCCTTGACCGCCCCAGGATCTATTTCAAGGCCTTCTCTTGCTTTCTTTTCTCTTTCTATTCTATTCTATTCTCCTTCTAGTACATTCTTCTTCCATTCCATTTACATATTCATCTACTCTTCAAATACAATAATATGTCTTCTTAATCTCAGTCTTTTCAGGAAACTCGACGTGCCTTATACTTACCAACCTAAGCCATGGATTGCCTCTCAGTTATCTCTGACACACCTTGCCTTTCAGCCATCTCAGATACACCTTGCATCTCAGCTATCTCAGATACACCAAAGATTGACGAAGCATCACCGCCTGCGGAGGAAAATGATACTATATCGATCAATAATCCAGACAAACATCTCACGCGCAAAGATTCGCCCGCTGCAGAGTTCGAAAACGACTTCTTCAAAGTTGACAAGTCCGCCGTTGCTGGCTGGGGCGCATTCGCAGCGAAAGATCTTGCAAAGGGAGATATTATTTTGAGAGAAATTCCTCTTTTCGTGGCCACAAACGCGGACTTGTTTGACGAATTCTATAATCTTGACAGCAACGATATGAACATCGCCCTGAGTCTCCATTCGCACGAGTATATAAAGGGAGGCACGCCCATAATTCTTGGAATTTGGCATACAAATAGGTAAATTCCTTCATCATTTCTCTCTCTACCGAATATGTGAGATGTCAAGATTGTTGACGAAGGAGGATAAAGTTTTTCTGTCGGTAGCCATACAGCTGGCTTGTATCCAATTGCTGCTCGATTCAACCATTCTTGCTACCCCGAAAACAATATTGATTACCAGGTGGACGAGGACAACAATCTTGTTATGATGGTACGCGAAGATATTGCTGCTGGGCAAGAACTCACGATTTCATATGGGAAGAATCTGAGCCGACTGGCCCTATATTTGTGCTATGGGTTTCGGTGCAGGTGTAAGCTTTGCGAAGGGCGGGCAGATGATGGGATGGCAATCTTTAAGAAGCAGTGGTGACTCTGTCTGGCTACCGTCAGGATATCTGAAACCATTTCCAGATTTGGGCGGCTGCTCAAAAATTTTGCAGCGAAGAAGCACATATGTTTTCGTTCAAGTTACTAACTGCTTGCGGAAACCGATACGATTATAGGTCGTGAAACGTCTATATCTATTTAACAAAGAAAAGCCAAATCTCAGATTGAGCTCGTATCTCATGCCGTTAACTATAAGAAGATCTCTATGTCAGGTATACTCCGTCATCATCTCTTAGAACATCAATTGGCTACCTCAATTTATCTTATCGTATGTCACCTCGAAGTCTTCAGGCGTGTCGTGTGTCTCCTCAAGACTAAATATTTCCCAGACATGGTTCAATTCTGTTGAGATAGCAGCTGCCACTGCAAATCCGCTACCAATCCTGGTTACTAACCTCGCTATCCAGTCTCGCTGCCATCGTGTTCTGGATCTGGCCCCTGCTATCCGCAGAGGGAACAAGAACAGCAGCGGCGAGAGGTTGGTGGTATCAAGAGCACGATTGGAAAGTCCAAGAATCGCATTCGTATGCATTTGAATTGTCTCTTCATCCAGTGTCGGCGGTATGAGACCGATATTATGCCAATGCGTGATTTCGTAGTCAAATATGCCCGACAAATAGATACTGATGGCGGCGAAGAATATTCTTGAGAGTAGCATGCTGTCGTTTTCTTCGATCATAATGTAGGTAGCGGGCTTATTTTCAGGCTGTGTATATGATGTATACCAACTCTCCAGCGCTTCTTTCAGTGTGCAAGCGTTGGAACATAAAGATTTGCCTCTTGGAGTGAGTTCCTCACCAGCATTTTCTTTTTGCATCTCAATGAATTCTGCCGTCCTAATGGTTGTGAGTTGAAAGAATAAGCGTATACAATATACCAAGAGACGTTTCTCACCGAACTCGTAGTTTTGATACCATAACCATGATATCCAGCAAAGAGTCCAAGGGGTGCCACTCATCCCCATGCTCGCCAGTCCACATCTGACGAGACAGATCCATCCATCTTGGCTGCGTGAGAAACGTAGATTCGTTTTCTAGAATAGTACGCGATACTTCGAAAATGCGTGCTTGAACAAAGAACTTTCGGCTTGGGCCTGCGCGACAACTTATCGGCCCGCTGGCTTCAAGTGCCTTTGCCGTTCCATATGTCATATGTTGCTGCCAACCAGTGCCAGTTTCGGCATTTATCAGCTAGTTGATGTTAGTTCTTCTTTATGAAAGCAAATTGAAAGATACTGGATAAGTATCTTCATACTTCAAATAGGCCAAGTAATAGCGTTGTCCACAGCACCGTATTCTGTCGACTATCATCCCCTTTACGAGGGCTGTTGATAGCATCGCGCAGCCCTATGATGGATTTTGAGTAGTTTTCAAGGGCAATCGTCAAGCATTCATTTCGCGGAGGGACGTCAGATGCATTTAATTTGACTGCTTGTATTGCGCCAATAGATAGCATGGCATCCATGAGATATGGGTGGGAATGAAGCCCGGACAGCTGCTTCACCTCGTCAGAAAACAGGTGCTGCTTTCCCGTGAAGTTATTCCGTTTGGCAAACACGTCAAAGTAATAAAGAAACGACAAGGCATTGTCCGTGAGCCTCGATGGAGAAGAAACTAATGAACTCCCGCTGCTAGAAGGAGACTGCCTTTTTGTTGTTCCAACATGGGATTTGAAGGTCGCAGGGGTCTTTTGCTCGCCTCTTTCAACCAGTATGATGTTGGAACTTTTCCTTTGAGTGGTAGACCCAAATATGCAGGCTATGTGCCGGCGCTCACAATTGGTACAGGGAGCTTGGCCAGAACACTGATATGCACAAGTGTTAGCGTTTAACAAGATGCCCAGATCAAATGGCAAGAAGGGTGTATGTCACTTTTAGGTGGCTCGATGAGCATGCTTGACAACGCGAACGCTTCTTGCGGCCGTCAAAGGGGCCAACAAACATGTTGGACTGTTAAAGCATTTATATACTAGCTGAAAATAGGAGACGAGAGCTAGCTATGTTGTTGGTGATGATCTAGTCATTTGACGGACGCTGGATAATACGAAAAATGAGGGGCAGTTCGGCTAGACACGTACACTGGCAGCCTGCATGTACGAATATGCCCAAGAGCCAGGTTGATTGGGTTTGGTACGAAAATGAGTGTAAGAGCTGAAGTTAATCCGCTCTTTAGTCTACAGCGGGGAGTCTAAAGCGTTATGGCAGTGCACTCTTAGCGACTGCCAAGGTGTGAGTCAGCGTGTGCTCAGCGAGACACTCTGGGATTATAAGTGCGCCATAAATGAAGAAATTCCGTACCTGCGCGCTCTGAATAATAAATTCACGTCGATGTTTTTTATAGAGGCAGAACATGCTTTTGCCAAAACATCAATTGATTCGTTAGCAAAGAGCTGAATACCAGCATAATTGCGCAATGGTGGCAGATATTACCGGGTAGGCGCCTACGGCAAAGCCTGGCTGTAATTCAAGGGAAACGTTATTTACCATCCAGCTGTAGCCCAACAAGACTGTCAGTCTCTATATTGGGATATCTTATTTCACCTATCAATGAGTTATATAACATCCAATTTGCTCGGTAAAAATATCAAGGAATGTCAATAGCCAGTCTACAACTAAACTCACAATATATAGACTAAATGCTGTCTGCTGCTCACCGGATAACAGCTTTCGCTTGTATGTGCAGAAGCGATTAGTCATCTCTGACTAGCGCACGCGCACACAATCTCAAGCACCACTAACCGCAAGCGGCCGTATACCCCACCTTTTCCCAACTTCTAGACGTCCTCCTCCGCACAGCTTCATCACGTGGCGTTATCTGCTGCAAATCGCTTCGTAAACAAGAAATCGCGTCGTCGACTCCACGCCTTTCTAGTCTCCGCATTGTCCTCGCTGCTTGGGCTAATTTCTCGCTTCTCCAGCTTCCACCTCTGCTTCTGTCGTTGCCGCTGCATCTGCCTTGACCGCTGCCCCTTCTCCTCCTCCCACATCGTCATCGTAGCTGCCATGGCTTCTCTCATCGGACAGACGTTTCTCTCGTTCGAAGAGGCCTACGACGCCATCCAGAGGGTCGAGTACTCGCAGGGCTTCATCACAATCAAGGAACGGGTCAACCGCCGCAATGGCGTCGTGGTGCGCGGCGAAGTGCGGTGTCGGCACAGTGGCATCTATCGCCAGTATCACCTGAGCCGCAACAAATACATCACCTCGACTAGAAAGACCGACTGCCCATTCTTCTTCATCGTCGCGCGCCGCACGCGCATGGCCGACTACATCATCTCTGCGCGGTCGTGCCAGCACAACCACGAGCCCGCCGAGATGGAGGAGCTGCAGAACAAGGTGCCGCGGCCCTTTGGCATCCAGGATCTGTTCTCGCTGGTCGAGACGCGGCTGCAGGCTGAAGGAGCCACGACGAGTAGCATTGCTCGTGAAATATGCGGCGAGCGCCCCACCGTCAGCATCACTGAGGCCGACATCTTCTTTATCCAACGTAAACTGCGCGAAGGCCAATTCTATGCCAACACTGAAGCCTTTATTAATAACCACAAGCCCAAGAAGAATTGAACCGGAGCCTCAGGAACCACAGTGTCTGGGCGCAAAGTTGAAACATCTGAAGAAGCATCATAGCATGAACACCTGGACTGGAAAATCATTGACTGCCTACCTACTATTACCACTCGATTGACTGGCTTGGTTGTCCTTCCGCTAGTGGGGGTATCAGCTTTAACGCAGACCAGGCCTTTGAATAGCGTGTGTGCGCATAAACCTCCCTACTTGGACTCCATCCTGCTAGTGCGGATCTGCCGACATCATCATGCTTTGCCCGAAATGGAAATCATGTCGCGACGCCATGCCTACTGCGGCTACGCAACGTTTGGCATTCGCAATTGCAGATTCCGGTTCGCAGCTGCGCCTTGTCAAACAGCATCGAAAGAGTCCTGCGCAGCTGCAAAGAGGAGTCGGGCTCTGCGTTCTCGACCAATCGCCGTACAAAGCTGGCTATTCGGCCTTCGTGGCCCTCGTGGCAATGTATACTATTTGGGAATGGCTCTTGAAGACTTATACGGCTTGGCTGTGGAACGAGGCCGTCATGTATCTCCCGAGGATGAAAAGATGTCGAGAGGTAGATATATATATATATTACGGATAGTCACCCTCTGCTGTCCAAAGTCTTAAACACCAATCCAACTCACTTCATCTCTTCACAAGTAATAGGTCTCGCTTTCAATTATACTTGACTAATACACATCTCCTGAAGCCGATACGATGCGTTTCTTCACGCCAATTTCCCTGCTTTTCTCCATCTCGGGAGCTGTCCTTGTTCCCGGCCCTACTGGCCCCTATGCCGTGGCCATGAAAGAGCAGCCTCTGACTGATACAAGCCGGGCTGACCCGTTGGATCCAACCGGCAAATCCAAATCTCGCCGCCTTTTGGTCTCTCTGTACCTGCCGGTCGATACGTCACGACGATCATGCCCTACAGTGACAGTGCCGTACATGAATCCGCCTGTGGCAGCCTCTTACGGACAGCAGGCCGCTCAGTTTGGGCTTCCTAACACTTTGTACAATGAATTCCAGATGGAGTTTTGCGACCTCAAAAAGTTCTCTCCTTGCGGCCAAGCTTCCAACAAGGGCAAGGAATACCCTTTCATCTTTTTTGACCCTGGATTTGGAGAGTCGAGGCTCATTTACAGTGCCATGGCTCGATCTTTGGCTAGCCATGGCTATGTCGTTGTCTCTGTTGACCACCCCTTTGATGCCCCTGCAGTGCAGTTCCCTGATGGAAGTGTCATTGAGGGGGTTGATCTTGATGACTCCAATCTATCGGTCCTTCAAAAAGTTCTCAAGGTATGTGTTCTTTAAAATTTATGTAAAGAAATGAATCATCTAACAATGACAGGTGCGCAATGACGACATTAGTTTCATCATCAGCCAACTCGAAGACCCCAAGATTATGAAGCCTCTTCTCGCAGACTTCCCCGGCAAAATCAACTATAAGCAGCTTGCCATCTGGGGCCACTCCTTTGGCGGCGCCACCGCAGCCGCCGTCATCCACTCCGACAAGCGAGTTGTCGGCGGCCTCGATCTCGACGGCATGCTGATCGACCCCATCCTAAGCACCGACATCACCAAGCCTTTCATCCTGGCCGGCCGCAAGGGCCACAACGCCGAAGACCCCTCGTGGAACCAGTTCTGGACTCACCTCAAGGGCAAAAGCATGGAGATTGCCATTGCCAACACGCAGCACGGTGCTTTCAAGGACGACTTGATGCTTCTTAGTACGATGAGTTTTACTGCTGAAGTCAAGGAGGCTCTTCAGGGGGTGCTGGGAAGCATTGACCCGCACCAACTGGACAAAGATCTGAATGGCATCTTGACGGCATACTTTGATCTTATCTTTTATGGGAATAAGCAGTCCCTACAGGCCATTCCTCACAATTTTGCCAATGTTACTATTGTGCGAAGCAACAACCTTTAAGATGCTGTTCAGCTTGCGGAGATGTGAGAGGCTACGGAGGCTATTCTCCTAAATTTTTGTATTCTCTTCTTATCTTCTATTCCCCACAGTTCTATTATTCACTTTATTCTATTTTCAGTCCTCCCTCATATATACCGTTCAATATACAAACACACAAATAGACTTCTTTCCTTCTATCCCGTATATCTATAACTGTTCCCCGTCTATAGTCCAAGGCCAAAGCAATTGGCATAATAAGTCACCGTGGCGCTCCAATCAGAAAACATGCCCAAGACGCCAACTTGTCGCGCCAGCACATCAACCAAGTTGTATATATCGCCATCCTTCTTCACCACGTCCTGGATGGAAGAGTAGTAGTAATCACCATTGGCATGCACGCCGGCAATGGGGCCCGAACGCTCCAAGCTCCAAGTGATGATCTTGAGGCCCAGCTTGTTCGCCCTCTTGGCATATTGGCTGGGGACAATCTTGCCGTTCTGGTTGCTTACGAGATAAGATAGCGGAGGAGCGACGAGTTTGATGCCGTCGGCCTTGTAGCGCGTGAGGTTGTGGGTGGCTGCCTCGATTCCGGCGACGTCGGCGATTTCGTCGAGATACATTGCTTGTTTGGCGAACTGGGGTTCTGCTTTCAACCAGTAGAGCAGATCGTCGTAGAGGAAGCTTTGTGGCCAGACGCGGGACGGTGGGATGCCGGCTTCTTTGAACGTGTTGATGAATTGCTGGGCGTAGTCTTGCTGCGTGTAGTTGCCGTTGAACGGCATTGGGACCTGCGGCGTCTTGAGCTCTGGTGTAAACTGTAGACCCAAAGCCTTGGTCATGGCGATATGCTCCTTTAGCGAGAGCGTAGTGCCGCAAGTGTTGTAAAGATCCGTTCTCCAGCTGAGAGTGCCGTGGAGGTAGTCTTCAGGGGTAGTGGCGCTGGCATTGAAGCCGTCCATTTTGCTGCACAGCGACTTGAACTCGGCGAGGGTGATGTCGCTAGTGCAGCATTTCGCATTCGCCGGCTTGCCGTTGGCTGCTGCTTGAAAGGGCGTGATGCATTTTGCGTTCAGCTCTGGGATGTTGACGATGTTGGTGGTGGTGTGGAGGTCGCACTGGCTGTGGCGGCACACGAGCTCGAGGTCTTTGGTGAATGCGACGTCGCATTCGAGGATGCCGGCGCCCATTCTAGCTCCGGCGAGATTGGACTCTTTGGAGTGCTCGGGGAACTGGAGAGGGCCGCCGCCGCGGTGAGCGATGGAGAAGGATGAGGACCTCATTTTCATGTTTTGACAGGATTCCAGCTTGCTCTTGAGGGGCCCGTCGTCCATGTTGTCGACGAGGTAGTAGGGCCGTGGACCGAGCTCAATCTGCGTGATGGGCTTGAGATTATCGACGGGAACAGGGAACGGCTTGGCTAGGACATGGTCAATGGCCGCAAAGCCAATGGCTGCGGTGAGAGAGGTGGTGAAGTGCATCTTTGATTGGGATGGATAGTGGATCAAAGTGGCTGGATAACCACGATTGCTACTTTACTCCAACAAGAACCTTATCAACTCAACAATCATGAATCGCTGCTGAAGCCATGAATAGACCAGCGAAGGAGGAATTAGAGCCCTTCATATAGCCCAGGCAAAACCGCATCCTTTTCGAATCGGTCAGAAATCTGCATGGCGAGCGGATACAACGGTATGCAGGGTGGATAAACAACGAAGAAAGCCAAGACTCTAGCAGAGATCCAATTGAGTAGTATTACAAGGATCGACGAATGACAGATTACTTACATGCCTACCATGTGTACATGCAACAATCTAGAATAAATGGGTAAGGCTCGGACCTTTTCCAGCCGCCATGGAATGAATCCTGCTTCACCAGTTATTATTATGAATGATGAGACATGTGTGTGCGTCTGGGATCGGAAAAGTAGGCATTGCCCGACGGTACAAGTTTACTGCATTTACAGCTTCTGTGCCGAGAAAACAACACAGCCAAGAGGACATTTCAGGAGCTGCGTTGTGTCCTAGAACTGCATAATGTCACTGGAAGTGGAGATGGCTTCAGATACTACGGAGTATCGGCGAAAGGAGCATCGATGGGCTCAGGGGAAAAGGGACAGGCCTCCACGATTTCTCCCCACATACAGCTGTCACAATGACTGCGTGGTCAGACTTGAGTCTTTGATTCGCTTAGCTTGCATTCAGTACTCTGCACCGAAGCCGTGTTTAAGCTCTAGTTACCCTTAACTGCAAGGTTAACTGCTAGCTTATGGGGTTTTCAAGCTAGCCTGCCGGTTGAGCTCGAGCTCTGCATATTCCGTCAGCACCATCCTGTCTGTTCCCTGCTATAAGACGGAAGTCTCGGGCCCACGTGCAAAGGGTTGATTGCTGCTACTTCAACTTATCAACCAATGACTACTAGTATTATATCTTACACCTTTGTTGATAGTATCGCCAAACTCCAGACTTACATTCTCCGCTGCTTATTACAATTCATCTTTCATAGCATCGTGATCTCCACGTAGATCCCGAATTCCATCAACAGTCGCCTTCAGGTGCGTAAAATGCGGAGCGTCCTCTCCCAGCCCCCAGGCAAACACCCCGCCCAGCTGCAGTTCGCCGAGAAGCCGAGGCACTTTGGCTTTGATGGTGCGAGGCGTGTCGTAGGACCACCATCTCTTCTCTTCATCGTCCCAATAGCCGTAGCTTCCATCTTCATAGTAGCGGCCATGAGCATGAGCTTTGCCGATCGAATTGGCCAGTTCTACGGGAACCTCGTCGTGCCAGCTAAAAGCTGCTGTCTTGCCAAGATCGGCTCCATTGGCGGGGTCTTCCAGAAGCTGAGTGCGGCATCCTAATGGGTGCTGTGAGTCGCATTGCTCGGTCATGAACCATTTGGCGTAGTAACCAAGCCCAAAGTTCAACTTGTGCGGAGGAGCGCCACGGTCTATATATCTCTTCATTGCCTCCCAGGAGTCAGCCACGCCGCTGTGGTGCTTGACAACCTTGTCGCGTCGGTTCATCATGTCGTAAGTCATTACACTGATAAAGTCAACTTGATCCACAATGGTCGGAATAGTCGAGTTTGTGAAAGCCATCAAGTCTCGTTCCAGCGCTGGCACCGCAATTGAGAGCAGTTTTTCTTCTCCCAAGGCGGAACGGAGCTCTTGAAGAAGGAGCATAAATGCCGGTATCTCCCATTCCCGCTGAGAATTCGGATTGAGTTTATAGTCGTCACGATTTCCCCTACAATTAATGTTAGACAACCATTGCTCTGCAGTAGGTGCTGTGATTAATCACCGACTTACCCCGGATATTCCCAGTCAATGTCAATGCCATCGGCGCCAGTTTGGTCAACCATGGCCTTTACATGGTTAACCCACCGCTTTCTCGAGGCATCATCACGCGCAGCTTCTTCGAATCCTGCGTCACCCCAGCCTCCAATTGCGACCATGATTTTGGTATCTGCGTTGAACTTCTGCCGTGTCTCAGCAACTGATGTAAAAAGCGGGAATTCAGCAGGTGTTTTGTCCACATTGAATACATCAGAGCGCATAAAGGCGAGTACCACATGTGTTACAGAATCCACGAGATGGCGATCTGAAGGGACCACCACGTGTTGCCTACAAAAGTGTCAGCTATTCCGCAAACCAAGTAGAGATCACGCCGAGTTAGAAGCTCACCCTGTGAGATACATGACGCACCGAACAGCTTCATGAGCGTCAGCTGTAAGTGAACCGGCTATCATGGCCAGCCACAGAGCCACATATGTAATTGACATCCGCATGATGAGAATCCTGAAATCGCAATTTTCAGTGCGTCTCATTAAATACAGCAAGTTTGTCAGTGATCAGTCGGCTCTTCATTATTCGAGCTGAATTCTATCGTCTGAGGAAGAGCAAGTAATCGCCGTGGTGTACAGAGCCATGTATACAGTACATGTATTTATGCGTACGGTGTACAGTGCATGAGCTCAATCGATACGGTTATCTAATCTATCAGTGCGTAACTTTTTTTTCCCTTAAGGCGCAGAATCTCGAACAAAGCATCAGCTGATCAAAGAAGAAAGTGACGAGGGCCTGAGATAATCATTCTCTGCTGCTCGGCCTGCTGGACGATGCAAACATTTTGTACAAAATTATCGCTTAAGATCCGCAGCTAAACTGCCAATTCTTTTGCACAATCATCTGCGATTGCGTCGCTGAATCGATACGAACTCGTCCAGACGAACCATGTTTGAAAACACCTGCACGCTTCCGCTTCACGCGGATATCTTCACCACCGCCTTGCACCCAACAGCACCTCTGCTGAGCGTTGGACTGTCCAATGGCGTTGTCGAAACATTTCGACTGCCACCGGGCAACTCTGCGGACGATAGCGTCGACGGAGACGCGAGCGTTCTGAGCGATGGGAGATCGACGATTGGCTCTGTCTGGCGCACCAAGAGACACAAGGGAAGCTGTCGCTGTCTGGCCAATTCCCATGATGGACAATGTGGGTGTTCTTTGGCTCTTGAAAGCCCATCTGCCTCTTACGATTATGTGGCCTCGCAAATGCTAACAGGTCAACTTCACAGACCAGTACTCTGCTGGCACGGATGCGATGATCAAGCACTACGACACCGCAACAGGCCGAGTGATCTCGAAGCTTGCGATTCCGACGAATACTTCCAAGCCTGATGGCCCAGCGCTGCTCCACGTGCTCAACCCAATGAATCTCCTTCTAGCGACCGATACGGGAGCTCTACATATCATCGACCTACGCGATGGCGCTGTGGGTAAAAAGCCGGCGCAAACACATTACCCTCATTCCGACTACGTCTCGTCCATCATGCCACTCCCGCCAACTGAAGAAAGCACCAGTGGCTTCCCCAAGCAATGGGTCAGCACGGGAGGTACAACTCTGGCTGTTACAGACGTACGACGAGGAGTCTTGGTGCGAAGCGAAGACCAAGAAGATGAGCTTTTGAGCTCTTGCTTCGTGCCTGGTCTGGGACCCAAGAAGAATCGAAATAATGGCGTCGTCGTTGTTGGGTCTGGATCCGGCGTATTGACCATGTGGGACAAAGGAGCTTGGGATGACCAGCAAGAGCGCATCATTGTAGATCCGCCAAAGGCCGGCGGAGAGAGCATTGACGCAATTGCGCTGATACCTAAAGAATTGGGACTGGGGAAGAAGGTTGTCTGCGGCGTTGGCGATGGCAGCCTGAGAATTGTCGATCTGGTACGGAGAGAAGTGAATACGTCGGTGAACTTGCGACACGACGACATGGAGGGCGTGGTCTCGCTGGCATTTGACTCGGAGAACCGTCTGATCAGTGCTGGTGGTCGAACAGTCAAAATCTGGGAAGAATTATCGGAACTTCAAGGCGATCAGGACGATAGCGAGAATGATGATGATGATGATGACGACGACGAGGACGAAGATGACTCGGATGATGAAAAGGCAGCAAATGGCAAGCGGGCTGCTGAGAGCGACAGCGACGATGATAGCGACGACGGCGTTGAGGAGATGAAGCAACGGGCCAAAAGACGAAAAGAACAGCAGCAACACAAATTGGGTCCGATGGGCGCCCATGGAATCATGGGTTTTGACGGTTTGGATTAAGAGCAGATATTTTGCTGCCAGCGAGGATATACCAGAGGCTTGTGATTACAAGAGGTTCGTGATACCTCTACCGGAGATATGGCGGAGGTGTTCAAGAAGCAGGCAACTGAACTCATAGATAGTATATTATTAATGAAGGCACTGCGTGGCCAGAGAGAATTCTGAGGCCAGCTCAAAATTCGTCTCACTACCTTATCTACTGGTGTCCTTTTCGCTTTGCTATCTAAGCTGATTTGATCGCTGATTTTGATACTGTTGACTTGACAGTCGTTACAAGGCGATGAACCGCCGGGCGCACCTAGCTCTTTCTTTATTGCTACTTGTTCCACTCGATGTAGGAGGGAGGTTAGGAGACTTACATTGCGCTTTTGCCAATTATCGGATGGTCTCATAAATGCGCAACTGCTGCGACAGGACTATGCGAAGAGCTGATGGCGCCGATCCTAATGGATCAGATCAAGAGGCTGCCGGCTTGAGCCTGCTGTGTCGTCCCTGTGGATTCGATTATTGTCGAAGAAATTGAGATAAAGAGAATTCAAACGATTGTTGTTGTCCTTCAGACGCCTGGCAGGTGGATATAACTCCACTGAGCCGTGCTACTATTGGCAGATCTCCGTTCTGATGCCTTGTTGTCTGTTAGGTCAACAGTTGCATCGTTGCAGACTGCACCAGTACCGGGCTCGAAATTCTCATCGACATCGCTGTCGGCGTCGACAAAGAAGCCTGATGGGGCAGAAATTCTCTTTGTGTGGCTCTCCGTGAATCTCTCGTCATATATAATCACCGCCGGCAGCATCTTTTTCTTACCATTGCCGCAGACATCGCTATCCTCCTGTTCCTCCTCCTCCTCTTCAAGACTTGTAGGGCTATCGAAAGCCACCTGCTGGTCTGTCCAAGCCGAAAGACCCCCAGCCGCACCGCTATGTGTCGTCGGAATACAAATATGCGGAATGGTCATCTTGGAGCTGACTCTTCTCGCCATCTCGACGGCTCGAGGCCCTCCAACACTAATTACAGAGTCGCGACCAAACATCATGGCCGAGCTGGGGCGTGTGTCTGAATCGTTGATGTGGGCGTCGAAGTTGGGCAGCAGAGTGCGGATGCGATTCGCAAGTAACAGACGAGATTGGCTGTAGATGATGAGCGGGCGGGAGAGGCAGAGCCTGTTGAGCTCGGTGGGCAGACGGGCGATGGTGCCGTGGCCGAGGACGATTCGTGGCGAGTCGGGCTTTGCAGCGGCAGACTGGGACGAGCGACGGCTGCGACGACGACGGCGCCGACGAAGAGAGCGAGAGTGCTGAGAAGAGTGCTGAGACTGTTGAGAGTGGTGGGAAGAATGAGAGTGACGAGAGAGAAGAGAATGGTGAGAGGTATGAGAGGCGTGAGAGGTATGAGAGGTGACAGAGGCAGGTGAACGAGATGATTGCTGAGTGGGACTGCCTGACCTGTGAGTAGATGGCATGACTATTTTGGGTTGCAAACTGCAGGAATCGATCTGCCAGTTGCAAAAATGCCGAACACAAACGGATGTTTTTAATGGAAAATGGTTCGCCCCCTCCCCACCAATTCTGGGAGAAACCCCATTTAACGGCAGATGTGGCGAGAAAAGGATGGGATTTTGAAATTCCCCATAGCTATGCTATTCCCGGAGAAACTAACATTCATGCATTCTTAGTCGACCAGAGACATGGAGCGCGGCTTTAATGCATGCAATTGGGTATAGTAGCAATGTGGCGGTTTTAGGCAGTTGGAAGACCCTGAAAAATGATCCAGAACGCCGGGCCGTGTCCGAAGTGGGCGATGATCTACGGACAGTGCGATCTAACTGGTGAGCGAATGAGATGCCGTGGATGGTGATTTGTGATATGTGAGATTTTGTGTAGCAGTCTATGACGGGCGACGGGTTGAGAGTGGCGATTATGGGAATAGGAGCGGGAAAATGGTCTTTTCAATTGCATTTTAGATGGTTCGTATTATAAGACTGTCTTGAAAACCTGTATCGTCAGGCAGAGGTAGATGTCATTGGTGATGCGCCATTTGTGGCGGGAAAAGCCATATTCAGACATGTAACCAGCAGGCTATGATTCTCAAGAGATGAACATCAAAGCAACCCATATTGAAGTCTAGTTGAATTGGATATTTCTGATGGTGTAAATGATGCAGCCAGCTGATTGGTTCACTTGCAACAGTTTCAGCAAACGTCCCTTGGAATAACTTCGCCTCCTATATAAACTCCATATAAAGGAGGAAATGCGCCGGTAGGTATGTGTTAAAGGTGCCTCGGTCGGACCGTCCTATTGGTAGATCGGTCCCCAACTCCTCCTAGCTGGCATAGCCTGTAAGACTACCTGAACACTGCAGCGGCAGCGGTAAAACCCGAGGCAAGGGCTTGAGGGCGTCTTTGGTTGACTGCCAATGAGTGTAGGCTAAGCATTATTACATGCGGAGCATACACTCCGTATGCATGTTGTAACCCTTACTGTACATCCGGATGCCAGCGATTAGCGTGCTTGGTATTAAAAAACCTTGTTTTTTTTGGGGGGGGGGAGAACTTTGTCCGGCATGCCAGTTCAATTACCCAGCCCTCCGGCTGTGCTAGGAGCTACCATTGCCACCGCAATCCCTGCTACTCCTGCTGCTGTTGCTGTTATTGCCACCGCTACTACTGCTGCTACCAGCTAAAGTATCTAGCAAGGGGTGGAAAGAAAACAATGCCGCCTACTATATCACATACAGATTCATATTGTAGACCGGCGGTGTTTTTGTCTACTTACTGCATGCCTAGGTACTTTTGAATACACACAATTGAAAATATTTTTTTACACCTACATGTAGGTAGGCTGCCTGCCTGCCTTGTTGAGCTATACATGATGTATCGAATAGTAGAAGCAAGGTGCACGATAATTCTCCTTTATTATAGTACGTACATTTATCATCAAACAGGATTTGATTGCGTCCTTTTAAATTTCTCTGGGTTTCTACAACATCACTTGACGTTTCGATTTTTTCCAAATTGTCGATACGTTCCCAAGGTGATGAACCTGAGTTGGGTTTATCGTAATCGCGCTGAGTCTTCTGGGCTGGCTTTGAGTCAAGCAGCCAATTACTATGTTAGGGGACACCTGCCAAACGTCCCCAGGAGGAAAGAGGCTCTGATCCGCCTTTGGGGATGTATAGGTACCTAGTTAGGTTAGGTAGCTAGCCACCTGATTCTATTACGAGAGAATCAAGCCCTTTCATCTCCCCTTCGTGTTCCCTACGCCCTGCATCGTAGAGACTGCTCCGAGGGACCAAGCTCTCTCTTCTCCAGCCGTTTGCTCTGCAATAATTGGGTAGCTGGTTTAAAAGGAGCCAATCTGACTCTTGCATCGGCGCCATATCAGCAGTTGTTGCCTACCTCCGATAGTCTAATGAGAATCTGAATGGTCTTGTACAGTAAGTTTTTGCATGTGGCTCACGGTCTAAGTGCCAACCGTCTAATGTAACCCATTTAACCTTATAAGAACTCCATCGAGCGTACATAGCGAGGCTATATATGCTCCATCCGTAATTACCCCGAGGAACCTGAATGATTCCGAAGCCATATTCTTCGTGTTTCTAGTATAGGTCGCAACTCTAGTGGCGGCTATATTACTCTCACCTAAAAAAGCAGAAGACATTAGTATTACATCTAGACAGCTTGTTACAACATAATGCTCGAGTTGATTCTTTTGGTTCATTGCCGCACAATTTCTCGCTCATTGAGTACCGTGCAGGGTAGCATCTGATTGCTTACCTTTCATTCCGCTCTCTAGAGAATGACCGCTATAGAGCATACAGCAGGAATAATTTAAACACAATTCAGTTATGAAATCTGGACATACTGTATTCGCCTCGCTTAGTGCCCATCGACTAAATGCCGATCATTACGTGTTTGGAAGTAGTACCATTCGTTTGGAAATACTTCTTTAGGAAGCACGGATGGCTAAATAATGCTTGTTTGGGAAGTATTGCAGATTTAGGAAAAATACTAAGCAGGGAAGCTGTTAAGACTGAGCGAGTAACAAAAGGGGGGGGGGGGGGGCTGCCAGCACATGAAAGTGGATAATACACATACAAAGGCGCAATTATTGGTGCTGGTATTATTACTCTCAAGTGCGCGTATTCATTTTCTCATATTCTTGTTTTTCTGTATCTGACTTGCTTACTAGGGTGTCTGCACGACCTCGTTGGGGGTGGAGTATTTTCCGGTTTTCTTTGATCTTGCTGCCCTGGGCGGGATCGAGCGTATGAATATATTTCTTTCACGGAGATGACGTGCTGCAAGACAACAGTGCTATTTTATAATACCAGTTGTAGGAATGTCGTGCTTGCGTAATCGCATGTTCCGTTTGAGCATTGCTGAAAACCTCCTTAACAACGCTTTTCTTAAGATGCATTATGCTTTCTATGTTCTTTCTCTCGGACAGCCCCCGTTATATATCAATACCTAGCTAGCACGACATAGGCAAAAGCAGGGGCTAGCTGTACTGTTGTTCATGAGCTGTTATGGATTCTGTAGCCGAGCCTATACACGACGCCTGTATTGCATACTTGGTTCTTCAGTTTCACGGTACACGTGTCTGTTCTTGTTTCCCGACCTACTCTATTTGGACAGCCCTGGCTTGCGGCTACCGAGAACACTGGTGATGCCAAATCCACTATTCGGCACTGAGCATATGTATTCTTTAGTATGGCCGATAGAACAAAGATGCGTGTAGTGCTGCCTATGCATTGCATGTATGGACTTTAAAATTCTGCTTAAGAAAAGGTTTAATAAACGTAGTATTACTCAGATAAATAAAATAGAAATAAACGTAGACTCTCGCTTGCTAGCTGAAAGCAAACTTCTTGTACATTCATAAGGTCTATAGATCTTTCGGCCATACCTCCTATTCATTGAATCTCATAAGCAAGGCCATACTGTAATATTCAAGTTGAGCTTGCCTGAGTATATGCAGTGAGCTACTGAAAGTGGTGTTAGCGGTTGATACTAAAATTCTTTTCACAAGGGATGCTTTACCCCCTGCTGCATCGGACAGTTAAGCAATTTACCAGTTACAGTTAGCACTTATTCCCGCCCAGCAGTATGGAGTCGAGACTTCTGTGTTGGCCCGATGTATTTTGCGGAAGACTTCATTCTCCATCTTGTACAACAAAGCCTGGACAACTCTATCAGCTTAAATCTTACGCATAAGCGAGTAAACTCATAAGACAGGTATCACAGCATACTGTAGAAAAGGAAGGTGGTATTGTCTTTCAATAAGGCTGTTCAGCGTAACTGTTCAGCTATATAAGGATCGTCATGTTTCCATGTAAAGTGTGTAAATCATCACCATAGACAGCCATCGCCATCACTTCTATATCAAACCATAAAACCTTGTTCTTTTATGCCAGTAGCTAACATGAAATTCTCTGCCTCCAGCCTTCTTGCCCTCACCAGCTCTGCTGCTGCCTTCAGTGGCCAATTCAGCACGTGGTATGAGGGTGGCGGCGAGGGTCCCGGCATTCTGCACATCTATGTGACCGACTACAGCACTGGATCAACCTATGAGGGAAGGGATTATGATGGGAGCTTGTCGAGCCAAGGGAAGGAAATTAGGTGAGTAAATGAGTATATAAGTTGATGGTGAGGAGGTAGCTGACCTGGAAATAGCTTCGTTGAGACCAGCGATGGTGACTACAGCTGGAACGCCTCTGTCTGGGTGACTAGCGATGGATGTTTCAATATCGATTTCCAGGGCGCCTTTGGTGTCGGCCACGGTTACTGCTGCGGCGGCTTTCCCTGCAACCTGAGCGCCTAAGCATTACGATTTGACTCTTATAGTCGTAGCCAAGCTTTCACACGGTAAGCTGATAGGAAGACTTCTTCAGCGGCCTGATTCACTAACGAGCTATAAGCTATCTTGACAGGTATCTTGAAATCTAGTTCAATTAGCTGGTTATCGATTTTTTCTTCCTATTTAATTGCTTCTTTTTTATGTACATAGTTAGTGTAACGATCCGTTATACCGTTAAGCCAACAGGACAAAAGATTAGGCCAATAACCACTATTGTAGCAGTTACTGTAACGGAACCAGCTGCTTATAAAGGGATCTATCTGTAACAGTGAACCAGGTTGTAACAGTTAGCTAATATGAAATTTGCAATGAATTTAAATGTTGGATTCTGATACTGCTAAATTTGAGTGTGACACAACAACAAGATTCGTATATGAGTCAATAGTTCTTTTTCTAGTTATAAATACCAATTCCTTTACATGATGATATTAGTAATGGTTGCCAACTCTGTAATTGCTTTGCTTCTTTTTCTTAGAACAGACTGTTATAATTCATAATCTCTTTGTCTTTGCTAAGTCCGAAAGAGCCAGCCAATCATAGCTTGAGATTTCTTGTATATTTCCTATTACACGAATGGTTTAATTCTCTAGCTTCAGCAACTATTATGAGTCCTCAGTTGACCGCGAGTTGAGAAGATGTCAACGTTAGCTGGTCAAGCTGGCGCTGACTTCAGTGCATTGTAATCTGGGTTACTGCTAGAAGTGGAGGTAGAGTGGGAAACCATGTAAATGAGTAATATTAGGCGCTTAGAGTTTGCGGATAACGAAAGTGGCACGTTAAAACAACAATTTCCTTTGTAGTTTGTTTTGTTAGCGGCTTATTGAACTTTTGCCCTTTTTATCCGTATTTTAGGCATTAGTTAGGGCGAACGGTCACATAGCTATTCTATAGACATCAATTAGCGCAAAATTGAAGTGCAGAATTATCGCCTTGGAAATAGGCTGGCTCGATGGAACAAATTGCGACAGATGCTCGGTAGACAAAATTCTTACTGTTGATGTTTTGTGTAGGAGAGATGGAATCCAAAGTAAAAGCTTTGCGACTCTTCGCTGTAAATCTTGTAAATAGCGCCTGCAAGCTTAATATAGCGCAAGCTTTATTGGGCCAGTGACTGTTCAAACTCTATCCGGTTTCGGCCGGCCGATTTATCCTCCGGGCTGTTCTCAAAACCTCCCACCTCAGATCGGAGGGGCAATTGATTGCAATCTCCAGACAATCATCAACGCTGTAAAAGTTGCGAAAAAATGGCAAACGGCGCAGAGAACAAGACTCATACCGAGTCGCAAGTCTATCTGTCTACCAGAGGCGGCGATTACGATGTTGGTGTTCCTTTCTTCTTTCCCTGCCGGGCAATAATCGCCACCACGTACTAACATCTCGAAGTTGTCATTCGAGACTGTTGTCCTCAAGGGACTCGCAGCCGACGGGGGTCTCTTTCTGCCGCATCAGATTCCAACCGCAGACAAATGGGTATGTGCGCAACAAGACAATTTTCGATATCGCATTCTGCGATTCTGTTTAATAGTCTTCACCGTGGACCAATGGCTAAGACAGACTTCAGCGCGAGTGGAAAGACCTCTCCTACCCCGAATTGGCCTTTGAGATCCTCAGCCTGTACATCTCGCGATCCGAGATCCCCGCAGACGACCTGAAAGCCATCATCGATCGAAGCTACTCGACCTTCCGCTCGAAAGATGTCGCCCCGCTGGTGCATCTAGAGAACAATCTGTATCTGCTTGAGCTGTTCCACGGTCCAAGCTACTCCTTCAAAGACTGTATGCTCCACGAATGCGGATAGGGTGACATCATTGATCTGATATTTTTAAGGCGCACTGCAATTTTTGGGCAATCTCTTTGAGTACTTCCTCGTTCGAAAAAACCAGGGCAAAGAAGGAAAAGGTAGGCTGATAGATGGACAGTTCCTGGTAGAGCTGGATTGTGTGCATATGTGCTGACTAGCTAGTAGACAGACATCATTTGACGGTTGTGGGCGCAACAAGCGGTGATGTAAGCTCGCCTTCGCCATTTTGCACGACGATGGTTCTAACACTTACCAGACCGGATCCGCTGCCATTTACGGTCTCAAGGGCAAGAAGGATGTCTCCGTCTTCATCCTGCACCCCAAGGGCCGCATCAGCCCCATCCAGGAGTTGCAGATGACAACTTGCACAGATGCGAATGTGCACAACCTTGCCATTGAAGGAACATTTGACGACTGCCAAGTGAGTATAGAGCATGGTGGGAAGGAAAAGAAGTAGAGCCATAAGCTAACAATATGAAAGGATATCGTCAAAGCTATGTTTGGCGATGCCGACGCAAACGAGGCTTTGCAGCTCGGCGCCGTCAACTCGATCAACTTTTCGAGAATCCTCGCTCAAATTGTCTATTACTTCCACGCATACTTCTCACTCGCTAGACAATCATCCTCGTTCAATGTTGGAGATGAGGTCAGATTTGTGACCCCCACCGGAAACTTTGGCAATATCCTCGCCGGATACTTTGCAAAGCAGATGGGTCTTCCCGTGGCTAAACTTGTCGGTATGTTTTCTTCACCAATCCCCTCACGTTTGAAAACCATAGCTGACTCGTGTGTAATTAGTGGCAACAAATGAGTAAGTGGACGAGCCGAAGATACCACTGCTTGTTCTTACGGACTATCGTGTCATTCGCCTGAACTATGGCGATACTCGTATGAACGCTGTTTTAAGATCAACATTTATTAATGCGATCCCTGTAGGAACGATATCCTGCATCGCTTCTGGCAGACTGGCCGATATGTTAAGAGCCCTGTTCAGGACGAGAGCAGCTCAAAAGCCGAGAACTGCAAGGAAACGTTGAGCCCAGCTATGGACATCTTAGTCTCCAGTAACTTTGAGAGATTAATGTGGTTTCTAGCCAGGGGTAAGCTCCCTTACTCGGTCCGATTTTATCGCCAAAAGCTAACTCTTCGCGTAGATTTCGCTGCAACTGTTGGCATGGATGAGGAGTTCAACAGAAAGCAAGCTGGTCAAGAGGTCTCTGCCTGGTACAAGTCCCTGAAGACCACAGGCGGATTCGGACCTGTACACGACGAGATTATGGACAACGGACGCCGCACATTTGAAAGCGAGCGTGTAAGTGATGCACAGACTGTGGAGACGATCAAGTCCAGCTACAACAAGATCAACTACGTCCTGGACCCCCACTCGGCTGTCGGAGTTACGGCAGCAGAGAGATCTATTGCACGAACCGACTCAAACGCACACCACATCTCGCTCTCAACAGCCCACCCTGCGAAATTCTCAGATGTCGTGACCAAGGCCTTGGCAGACGAGCCCAATTTCAACTTTGAGGAGCAGGTGCTTCCTGATGAGTTCAAGGCTCTCTCGACGAAAGAGAAGCGCGTTACACTTGTGGATAACTCATGGGAGAAGGTGCGGGAGCTTGTTAAGAGCCAGGTCGAGAAAGACCTCAAGGCTGAAGGTAATTAATTTGGGGGAAAAAAGTACATCAAAACTGTCGTTGCTCCGCATTCTGTTTTTGCATGCCTAGATTATAAATTGGTTAGAAAAAATATCATCTTCAATTGGGGCTTGTAGCCAACTGATTACAGCGTAGTACTGCCGACTTCAGTATTGCAAGGGAAGTGAAATGGCGCTCGACAAGCATGATCTGAAATCAATACAGAAAGTTTGGCCTATGGAAATGAAAGACAGAGAAATGTCTGCAGGGAGTTGGGTTCATTGCGCGCAGATTAATCACTTACATGGACGGCTGCAGGTTGATAGATACAGTCATGTTAGGACTTCAAAACTAAGAGTAGCTGATATTCAAGCGGCTCCGTGCGACGTAACATTCGGCTATTACATCTATCAGGTCTCTGATATTCCCCAATTTTAAAGTGCTTGTAACACACAATTTGCTTGAAATGAGGCCTCGAACGAAATAGGGAGCACGATTGCAATGGTGCAATACAGACATTTCTAATCAATACAGTACAGCCGCCTTACAGTGCGTAAGAAACAGAGTTGCAACATGGAGACCAGAGAGGAACGAATGGCCGATTTAGGTTTGCTTGACAGAGCCCTGTAGGCTGTAGTCCAATTCGAGAAGCAAGGCGAGCCCCAGGTAAATCCACGTTGTTAGAGACATTCCGAATTAGGAACTTACATGGAAGAGACCGAGACGCCCGATAAAGCTCCGCCCTCGTGCATGGGTAAATGAGGAGGGGCTAGAAGAGAGACAGAGGTAACCCTTTGAATATTGCGCGAATGCATCCATCGTGTGAGCGAGTGCCTCTTTTGGATTTGCAGCGGAGATATAACGCCGTATCGAATCGTTCATCGAGGGCAAGGATTTATGCATGAGCTGTAGGACTAATTCTCTCTATATTTTTAACCTTCCTAGAGTTTATACCATGTCTTGTCGAGTTGTCGTCGGCGAAATTGAGTTAACTCGCAGCTGGTTGAAGCGTGGAATATAATTTCCACGAATGAGATAACATGGATTGCTTGTTTTGCAGCACGCGAGTGAATGACATGTCTATCGTTTTGGGGCAATGCGCCTCACATGGCAGTGATTAGAAAATGAGTAGCTTCCTATTTCAAATATGCGTTTTGAGAGAGAGAGACTGCAACGAGCTTTCTAGCCTTCCGAACTTTATCATAATAAGATTTGTCTGAGGTTTTTGCACTTTCATATCTGTACGGTACGTTAAGGCTGAGTATCTTGGATAAAGAGGAGCTTCATCCCGATGCCGGACATAGTATTGAGAACCTTTGGTGGATCCACTCACGATATCAATTGCAAAATGAAGAAAGTCACTACAACAATGACACGCGTCTCTCTTTTTCGCTTAACGATGTTTTTCCCTCTTGTTCGTTCAACACTCTGCCGGTTTGTCCGGGGCTGCGCGTTCCGAGCCGGGGTTGCCCATTTCAGAGTGGAGCAAATATTCGGGGCCGGCGTCCGGGGCTTTGACTTGTGCCATTTTGGGCAAAAGGGAGAAATTGAGAGGAAAAGAGGGAAAAGTTCCCAAAGGTTCCAAAGGTCTTGGCCAAAACTGAGCCCCAGCGGGAGGAATGGCTACCGGTATCAGGTTTCACATGTGATTCATCGCTGCCGACTCTAAAGTCGAGAACCATCTTTTGTTTTAGAGCATAGTGACATATCCCTGGCCATTTAACCAGGGTCCGTAATCTGTAAGTGCCATCGGCAGTGCGTCTGTCCCATGTTGGTGTTTGCCGTCAGTACCGAATGCAACGCCCGCATTGGGCCTCCCAGGCCAAATCTCGTCATTTCCATCAAGAACCATTGCGGAGCTAGTATCTCGTATCTACACCAATAGCCCTATTTTCTGTATGGGTTCGTATATGCGGATGCAGCAGTTCTTTTGCGTGCTTCACCGAGTGGTGGGGACTTCATGATCATCCGCTTGCCGGTTTTAGCGAATTTCCCAAACAGCTTCTCCACAGAGCCAAAATCACCTTCTAATAAAAGGATCGGCCTCGATATCTGTAACCTAACCGTTTAAGCTTAGGTAGCCAGGTAAACAAAGAGAGACTGGCGAAACACTAGCGATTATTACCCAGAACGTCTGTGATGGCTGCACAAGCTTCTCGGCGATGGCCGAGGCAAGTGCTGCTCTGCGCGTGTCTGAGTGCGGTAAGGATCAGGCACATGAAGCTACGCGTTGAAACCCCCCATCTCTTGTTCTTTTTCTGGAAAGATTTGGGGAATGGCGTGACTGGCTGTTCTGCGGCCCCCCGTGCTAAACGTGTCTGCCCAGCTGCCCTGTGGGTTTCGGATGGCTCCGTAAAGGCAGGTGGTGTTTCAGTCGGGGTCTTTGCTGACAGACAGCGACGCCAGGATGGAGGCTTGTTGCGCTTTGACGGCGATGATCGTAGCCGAATGCTGCGTCTTTGCTCGGCTTTTCTTGTTCCTCGTGAAATTCGATTCTCTCGGCCGAGCTATATTAGAACGATGATGGCCTCACTTATGATCCTGATCTTCAGCAACAATCACTTGTCTGTTCCCCATCACAACAGTCTTATAAGCCCGGAGCTACTCTTGAGATTGCCCCTTCTTCTCAAGCAATTGAATCTGTTGTGAGAAACTTGAAGTTCCGCTAGCATCCATTATCATCATGTTTGCTAAGAGCTCTGCTTCGGCCGGCCTTTTGGTCGCTCTGTTCAGCTATGTGTCTGCGAGCCCGGTGCTCTTGAAGAGAGAGCCCGCAGCGCCGGCCAACCTGGTCTTGTCTCCGGCCGGTAACGGTGGATCGGACTTGAAGCTTGCTACCCAGGACCACTTCATCTGGACTCATGAAGATCAAGGTATGTGACTCCATCTCATCTTGTTTGTTATAGGAGAATGTCCGGAGCGTATATCTAACTCAAACTGCAGGCATCTATGCCAACTTGACCATCACAGCCAACCAGGGCGTCCGTCTCCTCAGCGCGCTCAGCTTCCAAAACGTCGTGGAATCCGTCGACTGCAGCTCCCAAGACGTCACCGTCAAGTTCGACAGCGCCACCTCCCTGAAGGCTGCCCAGACTGCCTGGGCCTGGGTCAACCAGGCGCCCGCCAACACCATCATCTACATCGCCGAAGGTGATACTTGCGCCGGCGACAGCGGCCGACAGCCCTTCTCCGTCGAGTCCGTCACCTACGACGCCACGGCCAACACGGCCACGCTGGCTGCCACCAAGGCCGCGTGGAAGAGCTTCGCCCAGGACGCCAGCATCCGAATCAGCGGCACTCCGGCCACGGGCACCAGCACTCGCTCCGTTAGCAAGGATGTGGCCATTGACGTGAGCCACGACTTCTCCGGCCCCATCTACAGCACCACCATCGACGGCGTCAACCTCGGCATCTCGTGCTCGACGTGCAACACGCAGGGCACGCTAAACGCCGACATCACGCTCTCGCTGTCCGACGGCTTCGAGGCCTCGGTCACGACGTCCAACAGCCTCGGCGCCACCTTCGAGGTCAGCCTCACTGCCAGCGGTGGCCTCACTTCGCCGCTGTCCACCAACATCCCCATTTTCAGCACCGCCCTGGCCGGCTTCACCATCGCCGACGTCGTCACCATCGGCCCTCAGCTGCAGCTCGTCGCCGAGGCCTCCATCTCCAGCTTCACCGCATCTGCTACCGCTACCGTCGGCGTCGAGGCGACCCTGCCCGACGGCTCTGGCTTCACTCTCGGCCAGGGCGTCAACATCAGCCCCGTCATCCAGGCCAAGGGCCTCGGACTCAGCGGCCAGGTCTCCATCGCCGCCAGCATCGTCCCAACCGCCACTCTGCAACTTGCCGCCACCTTCTTCGACGAGGGTCTCGTCGGAGGCATTGCCCTCAAGGCGCCTCAGCTGACTGCCAACTTTGCCGGAGCTGCTAGCACTGCTGGCGAGACTGCTTGCGGAAACAGCACTGCCGAAGTCTCTGTCGAGATTGACGCCGGTGTTGAGCTCGATGCTTTTGGTGGATTCGGAGGAGACACTGACCAGCCCAACTTGACCAAGATCTTCTCTGCTTCCACGACTCTGTGGAAGGCTTGCTTGGTTGTGTAATTGTACGAGACACAAAGTTTTGGATATTCTATCGTTCTTGAAAGCCTGGTGTATATAGCTGTGAATTTGTTTGTATAAACCGCGCTTGTATCTAGGGAGATTTAAATGTTAGGTAATTGGGTATATAAATATATTAGGAAAGAATTATTTGGAGACTATTTAAAAGCCTTTGCAGTGAATGATGAAATAAGAAATAAAGACAAAAAAAAAGTAAGAGATGAGTTTTCACAAAGGAAAACAAGTCCAGAGATTTATGGAAAAAACGCAATCTTCATGCAATATTTGAGCTACTTAGGCTTATATATAATCTCTGCGACAGACACAAAATGCACTTGAAACTGTTTCGCCAAACTACGCAGTACCCCAGTGTCTAGTCAAAAACGCATCAAGCGTAATCGGCTTCACCTCTGGAGCTTTCTGGTTAATGGTTGCTGTAAGGTCAAGATCTCCCTCTTCAATAAGCCTCAAGAACTCATAAATCATCGTCATCGTGGGTTCTTTATTCTCCGCAATCAAGCCATTGAGCTGCTCCAGAGTCAAGTAAGTCTTGTTCAGAGACTTGCCGGTGATCCGCTCAACCTTGTCCACGAATTCATTTACCGAAAGCTTTTCCCCCACAATGGAGCTGTCCTCGTCCCATTTCTCAAAGTCGAGAGCCGCGGTGACGTACTTGCCAATGTCTCTCATGTCTGTAAAGGCCACCTGGCGGGAACCATCTCCAGGAATCGAGGCGTTACCCGCCTTGATATCAATGATAATTGGCGGTCCTAAGTAGCCTGAGCGTCCAATGGCCTCTTCTCGCGGAGCATCTGCAGCCCAGATATTCAGCCAAAGACCGTTGATGAAGCGCGTGTACTCCAGCCCGGACTTCTTGACTGCTTCCCAGACGCTCTCTTTGACTTTGTAGTAGGAGACTTTGTCGTATGCGGGGACTGCCCACTCTGATGGGGCAAACCGCTTCACTTTGGCTTCCTTGGCTGCTTCTAGCAGGGCAAGCTGCGAAGTGGCAATGGTCGGACCATAAGACCAGATGCAGCTCAGGACAGTGTGAACGCCCTCTAGGGCTTTTGCGAGCTGCTCGTGGGATTCATAGTCTACGACTCTGACGATTGCGCCTTTTTCCTCAAGGTCAGGCTGTGGGGAGCGAGAAAGAACGACGAGTTGATGCTTCTTGGATGCTAGGATGGCGTTGATGATGTTTGAGGCGATGGTAGAGTTGCCTCCGGCGATTGCGACGGTGACCATTTTGGCAGTGAGAAAAGGGTCTGAAGATTAAATTGAAAAGAAGAGGTTGATGTGTTGCTTCTAGTATAGGGCTGTGGGCGTTGTTGATGCAGATGTTTTTCGTCCGGACAGGAGGACGATACTCGCCTTTATATACACCCGTCTCGTTCTCCATTTTTTAAGAAGTCCGCAGGCGTCCATGGTCTAATTTGAATAGATATTGATGTTGCGGCATTACAAAATAGTTTTCAAATTGTCTGTCTTGTCGTGTCTACAAGAAGAGCAAAGGGTCCTGATCCACTCTCCGCTCAGCTGCCATCGCGGCCGAGGGCGGCCGCGCGGGTTACTACGGGGGCCCCAGTCGATTAAGTAGCGGGTGGGGGCGTTGCCGACAAATGACAAATGATGCCTGTATAAAGCTGTCTCAAGGCTAATCTGGTATCGATATCCATTCAAGGGTCTGCATTACTATGAAGTGCAAGGAGGTTTTATACCCTTAAAGGCTCATGTAAGAATTATCAACTTCGGCTCTGAACTACTATAGACGAGATGTTCTATTTACTTGCTCCCTTTATATCCATGTTTATTGAAATTACATGTGTCTATTTCCTCTTTGTATCTCGTCATAGATCAGCTGTTAGTGAGTAAAGCGACCAAACACGGGTCATTTTGCATAGGCTGAAACGAGTTGAAGGTGGATGGTGCAGACAGCATACTTGTGAGGATACTGTCAACTGATTGGAGGTTCTTCGCTACATGAAGGAGCATAATATTAGCCAGACTGCATTCGATACCACTATAACAGGGGATTTAGTATTACATACCTGCAGCCTGCCATCTCCTGCCGTAGTTCCAGGTGGCCTCGCGTAGCGTTTCTAATGCTGTGGCCCACTCCGTGTTATCCATGTCACCATGGAAAGATATCAGCTCCAAAGTAGCACGATAGACGACATGGCTATACGATGGAGGAAAGGACAGCACATTGACGTCAAAGTAGTGGTTATTTATTGTCCGCGATATGTCGACAATCATACGGACTATAGTCTGGACAGCCAAGGATGATGCTACGGTGCAATGGGTTGGGAATCGTCCCACTTCGCCTTTGCTCAAAGCTTCTGCCGTGACGTACGGATGCCGGGTGTGAAGTAGGAGGAGGGATCTATAGCCATTAGATTTTCTCTTGTTAGTATTGTTCACAACGTTATTGAGGGTATCGAGACGGCGACTTACACGAGCACTACGGCAGAAGGTTCGCAGAAGCCACATTTGGCACCCTTGTTGAGGTCGACAAGAGTTCGCATGAGGTCTTGGAGCTCAGCGTCCAGTTTAAACTTGTCATCACCCAAGAAATCTGACTCTGAAGCTGTTGCCAGGCGTTGACGATAAGAAATTGTCCGGTCAAAAAGGCGCCACGCTTCTGCTTGGTAGCCAAATCCACCAAGGGCTCTTTTGTCACGAGCAACACCATCCTCGCCAACTCCCGTGAATGAAGCATCGAGATCGACGGCTTCAAAGGGAAGGTGCTTCGGCATTGATTGTTGGTAGTGCGCAAAAGGCTTAGTCAATGTGGCCTCGGGTAGTAGAGTCGACCTGGCTCATGTAAGTATGCGGCCAATTGATGTGCTTAAGATGATGTCCAAACCTATCGCGTATGATCAGTGCCCACCATATGTTGCATTTCTCGGCTGCCTCGGTCCATTCGTCGCTGCTTTGAGGAATTTCAGACGGGGGCTCTTCATTGTGTAGGTCCATCCAATGACCCATCCGCACGCATAGGCCAATGGTCTTATAGCATTCCTTGTGCATGCCGAAGCCATACTCGTAGCACGAAAGCAGGATCCCTGCCTGGATCATCTCCAGAGACGCATCCACAGTTGCATTCAAGTACCAGTAGATAGAGCGCACTGCTCTGTATAACGGTTCCTGTGCTGTACTACTTGTAGGATAGTGGATTGATAGGAGAATACACAGCAGTAAAATCGCAAAATCCGGACGCTTGGTTTTGCTGAATTCTGTCAACCTGCGATAGAATAGCTTCCGTGACATGATGGGCATCCATTTGTGGATGTTGTCAAAGTAACAATGAGATGCCCCATATATCTCTCCTGGGTGCGACTGAAGAAGTTGGTAGACTTCATCACCCACGTCCAGTGTTGTGGCCACTGCCTCGAGACGCGAAACGAAGTCAGCACAGTCGTCAGTTGAGCCCAGCCGGCTCGTTCTCTCAGTAGACGATATGCTAGCATCTAGCGGAGTCAAATTAGAAATCTTGGACGTTCCAGGGATGAGCAATCCCTCAAACGTCTTTAGTCTTTTCCTCAGCTGTCGGAACTCTTCTAACATGGGCATAGTATCGGCATCTTCCTCGTATATGCATTGTATATGCAACCTAAAGCGATGAGCATGGATCTAATACCACACCAGGAGGCTAGAATCAGGTGCGATTCTAAGCTCGAGCTACTCACTTCTGGCATTGGAGGCACTTGGGCAGCGCCTTGTCGCATTTCTTCTTCTTCCGGCGGCAGGACAAACAGACATTGTCTGCTCGCGATGTGGGTCTTTCGACATTCAAAGGTGGAAAAGTGGAAGCCATAGCTGCAGATCAAAGGCTGAACAGTCGAATCACACAGAAAGGACAAGTGCACAGAGTACAAAGTGTTCGATTAGGAGTTGACTACGATTGAGCGCTCTGTACCCCGTACGGAGTATTATTGCGATGTATATCGGACTTTGAGGAGATTGGCGGATATGGCCATGATTAGTAGGCGGCCGCGGTCGGCCGCCGTAGCCAAGCCCGCAATTGCTTATGAGAGCAACGTGGGCCAGGATGCTGAGCTATGCTGAGCTATGCTGAGCTATGCTGATTGTCCGACAATAATTTTGTTCAATTGTACGTAGTTGGCAAGTCGATTTGATGCGACTACAACAACCTGGCTTATAAATCGGCGAATATGACTCTTTCCTACTTGAGATGAACAGTAAGTAGACTATATGCTATAGGTGATCAATCCACACATGGAGTTTCCACCTCCGCCATGAAGTCCGCATGGTTGAGACGCTTATGAGTTGGCTTCATACGTACAACCCGGGGCCAAAGAAAATTCTATAAAAGACTGACAGTTTGTAAGACCCTTCTCATCAGGGAACAATTAAATCGAAAGCTCTGAATCCAAGTGCCATGGCCGATTTCATCCTGCTGCATCCTTCACCGCATGGCTTCCCATCGACAGGTGCGTCCTGAAGAGTCACTTTGGCTCGCGACAATGTCATGCAGTTGGTCTAGTGGCGCAATGGCAGCGCGTTGCTTTCCGGTGGCAGAGGTTCCAGGTTCGAGCCCTGGCTGGATCGAGCTTCATTCTTATTTTTTTGGCTGTGGAAGCCTTCCGTCCTTGATTGAAAGACAAGTGATGCTTTTTTTTTTTTCTTTGCGTGGGTGTGAAGGAGGCAAGACTAACTCGTCGTGGAATGCAGAGCGATGGCAGCTAAAATTGGTCATGTACTGCCAGTGTTAAGTTTAGCAGATGCAGGCCACCGTCTTCATGAGAACCAGTTTTAAGCCAATTTTTTAGGCAAGCGATCAATTAAAATCGAAAAAAGAAACATTTGTTCAGCAAAAAAGAAAGAAAAAGGTAATGAAAGAATAGGGAGCAAGAAGTTGTTTCGTCGTCCTCTCTGAATGTTACGGCCATACCATCTCCCTTTTTGTTGGCGATTTTGAACGTTGGTTGCTGAAATCTCGCTACTACCTTAGGTACCTGCATTTGCTCTACCAAAAGTACTATGTAGCTGTTCATCTTTTGGGACTTGCTCCATCATCTCAGAAAAGAATATTCCTTCGTAGATGCAGTGAAGCTCCTGTTGGCAGACAAGAGTTTATTACGCAGCTTAGAGCCGAACGGTGTGGTGATATCGAAGCTCGATTAGGTGTTACAGCACACCATCATCATGTCACAGCTTTAGACCGGCATCTGGCTCCTCTCACGGCAGCTTAGCATCCCGCATAGTGCGGCTTGCGTCGCAGTCCATCAAGTTTGGCCTATGAGACACCAACGGGTCCGAATACGCGCGCCCTATGGCTACAACCCCTGCGTGGTCGCAACTTGGGTATCAAGCCTGATGCCAGACCAGCCAATGGAACTTGTGTACCCAAGGCTTCTTACAGCCCAGAATAAGAATACTAGTACGACTTCGTGCACTGAAGCGTAACCAACAAAACGTGTAAAGCGCCAGAGAACCTCGGTGATCTGAAAATAGCATACACCGTGATTCCATCTACATGAAGCATCCACCGATGTTTACATTTTGGCTGTACGTGTATTCTTTTCTTCCTGCTTACATGGTTGACGAATTCCACAAGAAGGCGGCTAGACCAAGCCACTGCACGCCGTCATAGGTGCGTAGGCACATGGCGCTGTAGAAGAAGACGGAATCGCTCAGCCCCCGGCCAATCAAGGGCTTGCGCGTAGACTACCTAATCGCTAGGCCTTCTTTTCGCAGTGGATGCTGCCCTCGCCTCAGGACTCCACGAGACGAGCAATTAGCAGGGCATTAGCAAATTAGCAAATTTTTCTGCAACTGGCGAGGCGAGGTGGTAATGGGTGCATCATCGTGCGGAGAGCCATCGGTACTGTCTGATCATCTGCCACTTTTCGGCTGCGATTAGCTGCTGGGGCTGAGACGGGGATCAGTCCTGGCGGGTACATGGTCGATACCTGGCGTGCGATGATCGTGAAACAGGCCGCTGGCGCTTAGATTCCTTTGTGCTGCGAGTTCTTGCGAGGTCCCTTAGCGGTTGGTGACGTAGCGACAAGCCACACCGAATGACATCACGCCGCTGGCAGTAGCTCTTGCCAGGCCAAGGAATGGTTGGATGGCCGCTGTTCAAGGTGCGAGACAGAATCAAAGAGAGCCTTGATCTGTACTATTAAAGTCCTCTCTTGTCGCTGTCTCTTCTGTTCTTCTTCTTGTCGCCCATCTCTCTCTTCGCATCGTGTCTCTTCGCATCGTACCTCTCCGCAACTGCATCTTTATCGCCTAACAGAGAGCTCCATCAGCTGTAGCGTAGCATCGCCATCCATCCCCAACAACAACCAGAGCAGCAGTCTTCACCAAAGTCAGCGCATCGCATCGCAGCCCAACTAGCCCGAATTCGAGCCCCCCTTGGCCAAGTGCTCTTCGGTGACTGGACAGCCATCACACGCCATCTTTAGTCGACGCACCCTTAGAGCCAGCCAGCTCCGCAGCTTTAAACACCTAATTCGACGCCACCCGCTTTCGCTGAGACGCTCCAGGTAGCTCGGCCGCTGATAAAAACCCGTGTCTCCTCCCGCCTCCAGGCCTCTGTCGGTTTTTTTCGAGAGCTGTAGAGTCCTTGTGCGATATCAGGCGCTTTGTTTCATCGAAGAGAAGACAGTTATTTCAATTACAATCAGAAAAAAAGGGCAGCTTGCCGTCAACACCGCCCATCATGGCTCTCGGAATGATCACCATTATCCACGCCGTCCTTGCCGTTCTCGTCATCATTGAGCTAGGCATTACAGGATACCGTAAGTCTCATCATGCAACTGCATCTTTACAGTCTTAATCTTTTATATTCGCAGCTAACATGTCTTCTTCACAGTTGTTAATAAGACAGACAACTGGTTCTCTGATTCGCCGGCCACATATGCATTCCTGCTGTTCTCCTCAATCTGGAGCTTGTTCGTTCTCATCTATTTGGCCATTACACCCATCTACCTTGCTCGCCTCTACCACGCCCTTGTCGCCTTTGGCCTGCTGGTCCTTACGACGATTTTCTGGTTTGCAGGCGCCATTGCGTTTGCTTGTTTCGTTGGCGCGCCAGCATGTCACGGAAACGGCTGGTGCCAGACCAATGAAGCTGGTGTTGCCTTTGCATTCTTCTTGTGGGCTGGTTTCCTGGCGCTCACCGTTCTTGAGGGCTTGACTACCTTGAGGGGTCATGCGCGGGCTGACAAGACCACCCCCTCCACCGTTTAAATAGCAAGTGGGTGCTGATCTATATGCGACAACGATGCGACAAGCGAAACGATGCAATGAGATGTGGTGCAATGCGATGTGATGCGACGGATGTTGTGTCGATGTGGGTTTGCAAGACCCAGGCTGATTTTTTTGGTTATGATACCCTAATACTACCTTGATTCCTGATTTCTTGAATAGTTATTTCTTGAAAGGTTTATGTTGGCATTTCTTTATGCGGAGGAATTTGGCGAAGGGGGCATGTCAAAACGGCGACAGTATGAATTCAAGTATGAGCTAAAGTATGAAATACAGTATGAATTAATGAAGTACCAGATAATTACTTGTTGCGTGCCTTGATGAACGTGAAAAGGAGTGCTGCTGATACCAAGCACCTTAGTAAGGATTCATTTATTAACGATATTTTAGTTGTTTATTCTTTGACTGGAACTGCTATCTCTGCTCTGCCGGCAGAATCTTGCATGGCATCATCAGCCGATTGTTGCTCGGGTCTGTGCTGATGCCGCCGCCGCGCCGGTTTGCGTGCCGACCCCACCTAAAGCGGAGCGGTGACGGGAAGGAATCTTTCATTCACAGAGGGGCAAATATACGTGGACAAGAAACACGTAAAAAAGCGATTACTTGGCGAGCAGCTTGACAAGCATTTGTGAGATGGCGAGCATTGACGGCGAAACACGTGGCAGAGGCTGCTGGTCCAACAGCACTTTAAACAGTTGGGACTGGAAGAGCTCTCATTCTACTGCAGAGAGCGGTGTGCTTGTTTTGCATGATCGCTGCCGCATTAGCCTCGTGCGTGTCCATGGCCGATTGAAGCCATTCGATGGCAGGGTTTTCTTGATCATTCCCAAGCAAGCAGTCGTTAGTAATTAGAAATGGAAGAGCTTCTCGTGACAGCTTTTCATCAATTTAGCCTCCACCATCATATTTCAGTGGCTGGTGGCTGACTTGTCTTGATTTCTTAGCCATCCAGTCAAACCACGTTTTATAAGCCACAGGCAAATGACCCCCGGCAAGCCATCAGCCTCTCAAAGAAGACAAAAACAGGGCCCAGCCACTTATTTTTTGCCAAGAAAGTTGAATGCACCCCTGTTTTTTTGGGGGGGTCTCCACTCCGTTGCCTGGGTTTTTCTCTCTCTCTCTCTTTATGTGTGTGTGTTGCGCTTTTTGTTGTCAGTGAGCTAGCTGTCTGTCAAGCTGTATGTAAGGTACAAGGCAACAAAGAGCTTCAGTCATCCGTGTGCAACCATCTCTTGAAACTAGCTTTTAACCATTCCTTGGCTCTAGCTCCTTATCGCCAAGTAAAAAGCAATATTTTACCATTTTCTTTGTCTTGCTAGTAGTCCAATCCGGCTAAAAGGAAAGCGCGCAAAGGTCCCCAAAGTCCTTTGTTGACCTCCAATAAGCAAATCTAGAAGCTTTGGCTTCCCGTATAATGTTTAGCTCTCTCTGTCTCCCAACCACCGCGATATTTTTTCTAGCTGAACAATCCCTGGGGCGCCTTACGCACACACTCGCCATTGGCCCCCCCTTCATCTGCAGCTCATCTTGATAGGATTGAAACATTAGTAGCTTCTATATAATAAAGCGGAGTTGAGGCGCATATCGCCCACGTTTTCGCGTTTCTTACCCTTTTTCCCTTCGTCCACTCTCTCTCTTTGTGGCACGTCATTGCCAGTGATTCAAAGGCACGATATATCGTGATTCTTCTGAAAGCTTGACTGCTAGCTGTAACGTCTTGATATTATCATTGCCGGATTCTTTGCGCCCGAGGTTTCATATCGTCGCATCGTCGCCTGTCGCATCTTGCGACCCCCATCGCCCAAGATGCTTTTCGGACTCATCTTCATATGCACTCGCATCACGCAGATTATCACTCTGGTAAGAATGATACTCCCTCCTCTCACGACGTTTGTGTCTCAATACTCATTCCTCCCAGATACCTCCAGTCGGCATGCTCAGCTGGTTTGTCAAGAAATTCAACGACGCAAACATCCTAACCCCCGACGACGTCCTAGTCCTCTTCATCGTCACCGTCCTCGCCCTCGCCTGGGCCCTCCTCACGCTGCTCTACTACTCGCGATCCTCCCACAACGGCATGTTCATCTCGTTCGTCGACCTCTGCTTCCTCGGCGGCCTCATCGCCGGCATCGTCTACCTGCGCAAGATCCAGTACGCCGACTGCCAGGACCCGTCCGTCGACAGCATCTGGTACAACCACATCCACAACGTGGGCATCCCGGGCTACTCGTGGCCCATCCGCAAGCCGTGCGCCATGCTCAAGGCCTCGTGGGCGTTTGCCATTATGAACACCGTCTTCTTTGCCGTCACGGCACTTGCGGCCTGGATGCACGGAGACAGCGTCATTGTCGAGGAGCGCGTCGTGCGCCATCGCAGCTCGCATCACAGCCATCGTCATCGAAGCCGTTCTGGCTCGGGGCGCAGCTACCACTCTTCGCGCCGAGTATACGTATAGACCAGGGAGGGGGGGGGAAGGGAGGGGAATTCTGCTTCCTATTTTCTTCTGGAACTTAGAGAGAACGCGGTAAACAAGCGATTTATATGAACGACGGCTGGACGATTCGATGACTGGCGGACTAAATGATTTTTTTCCTTCTTCTTTTATGAGCGATCGCAATGGGTAAAAGAATCAGCCAGGCGCAGCGCTGATGATTTATGACTTGGAAACGGCGGCATAACTGCCTGGATAATACTCTTCTTCTGTACGGGGTATATACTGAGCAGCTTGATTGATGATTTTTGCGCGAGCTCCGTTGGCGATATATACTCTATTCTTTGTCTATGATTTGTACATATTATGAGGGCTGGCTGAGGGAAGCCCATGATGATATCTAACAGCATGTCTATGCTATGAATGAATGGTCGATGCCTCAGATTGCTAATTGATTGCTTTATTCCAGCAATGTTTTTTCCATGTAATCGTCATTTATGTAGTGTCTTGATATTTTACAACCACATCAGTGGTTTTCTGACTCTTCGCCGACGTGGTAACCCCTCGCAATCCCACTCCGTCCCTCCTCTATTACTGTGCTGGCTTCATTGTCAAAGTCACTGCCCAGCCCTTGCCACGTCCTCTGTGTTCTAAGATATTCCGCTCCAGGGCTGGCTACGCCGTTGATGCTTGCCACTTCACCCACCGTCCTCTTGATGACGGCATCTGATGACCGCTGTTCGCTGCTACCGTTCGTCGTTTGCGCCTTGTTATTCAAACTGCCGGTGGTGAGCTGCATTGGCCTGCTGTGGCTGACGAGTTTTCCCGTTCTCAAGTCGAAGACTGGAGGTAGCGATTCCTCTCCATCCACGCCGTCTTCAACACCTTCTTCTGTCGTCTCATCCGCTTCATTCTTCTCTTCCTTTATTTCCTCCTTTTTCTTTGCACTGCTATCCTCTAGTGTCAGCTTCTCAATGCCTCCCCACCATTCTTCACCCCATATTCTCTCCTCTTCGCTCATCAGAGCAACTTCCATCTCAAAGGGCGTGATAACTGGTCGCCAGTAGCCAACATCGTCTTCGATTAGACCGCTTTCCCAGCATCCCACGACAACCCAGCCCTCAATCTCAGCAAAGTTGGCCAGCTTGGCGGGATTCAGCTTGCCCACGACAACGGTATAGCTCTTCTTGCCAGCGGCGGCGATTTTCTTTCGTAAAAGTTCGATTGATGAGAGGTAGTTGGACACGGATAGCGTGTTAACCAGGATGCCGACGACGCCGGCCGAGGCGAGGGTGAGCACACGAGCGAAGCGACGGCGCAAAAGACCTGCTGTTCGGAAAGTTGGATTGTCGAGGGTGGGAGAAGTCGGCGAAGGTACGGAGAGGACGTGTAGAGAAGCGAATCGAGATTGGAGGGCGAGGAGTAGCGAAGCAGGCGGATCTGAAATGTGGAATAGTGAATGCGACTTTAGCAGCTCTTCGTCTATTGAGACGCCAGCTATTCTTCTGTTTGGTATTATTCCGGCAGGGTCTCTGACAACTTCTGTCGCTATTACGTTGCTGTAGCCCAAGTCTCTGAGGGCCTTTGTTATCGATTCCACGTGGTCCTGATATACCAAGTCTGCCATGATCACAGCCTTTGTATCTTGATCCGCGAATTCTTTCGTGAACTGCGCAACCACTGCATCGTGGTCCAGTTCATGTGATGTGTATACGTAAATGACAGGCAATCGACTCGTTGGGCTCAGACATGTTCTTCCGTAGTGGACCACGACATCCGAATTCGCATGCTCGGCCGCAATCTCGTCGACGCAGCAGGCGCTGTAGCTCGTGTCTGCTAAGATGCATATTCTCCAATCCTTGGCTCCCGCTTGCGTGCCTGTGCTTGCGAGCTCCTGTTTTAGCTCCTCGACCACCCTCGGTGCGTCGACTAGCATGTGGTCTGGAAACTGCAGGGCGACTCTTTTCCATCCGCCTTGGAGAATCTCTGCCGCAGTGCGCGGAATCTCGTAGGTCGTTCTGAGCGCATCGGGAGAGAGCGTTGATTTGGTCTCGGTTTGCGCCGGGATTTCGAGGATGTGGTCGTCTGGAGTGGACAGCACGGGCGCGGAAGCGAGCTCACTCATGATTGCTTATTTTCTTGTCTGAGGTAAACGTATGGCATCCAGGCTGGGTAATTCTATATTGATATGGAGTTCAAAGCTTGTAGGACGAATAGTTAGAAGAAATTTCAGAATCTCAGGTCATCACAAATGGATGCTAGCACAAAAAGTTGGAGGGGCAATCGGCCCTGTGTAATGGTGGGGTATGTGTGTTAATTTGGGCCTTAGGTGGTGAGAGGGCGGGTGTAAATTACATACAGCCACTGCGCTCTCCTTGACTTTTATAACAAGGATGCTTGATACACTCATTCCCTTGATCTTATTCGTGTGCAAGGCCAGTTATGCCAAATACTAAGCGTGTGCTTTATGCCTGGACTCGCTGTACCAAATATTTTTTTTTACCCCAAATATTTACGTCGCAACAAGCAAAAAGTCAAGACACATCTCGTTTTTGGACACTGAAGTAGCGTTGTGAGACTCTTATCTAGATACCTAAGTAACAAGAAATCTATCTTCTCTAAAGCTGTACTCTCATATGATCTCAATTATCTATAAAGCCCACAAACTCGATAAAAAAACGTTTTTCAAAGCACTAAAGATGACTAAATACGTTGAGTGCTGCGCTGTCAAAATGTGTCCGTGACGTTTCCTAGTGTTATGCAGGTAAGGAAGCTGTCTTAGAACAAGGCGTCTGCCAATGGTGAACTCCACGCTGCCTCCAAGAAAAGTGCACTCATACCAGCTTGTCTTAAATGGTTTCAACGGGCTTCTGGCAAAGGATACCCTCTTCGGCCTGCGTCCACACACGAAACCATCAGCATATATATCCCTTGTAGTTATGGAAATTGGTCTTGGGGTACTTACAGCGGGAGCAACGCAACAAAGCGGCTGTTTGCCCTCACTATCACAGGCGGCTTGGAAGGACGGGCCATCAAGGATGCCGTTGTTGGCTATTTAAATCAGTAAACAAAAGATGCGTATTTGAATATTTCCAAATACATACGAAAACTGCAGTCGAGACCAACAACGCCGAGAACGTCGATAGAACAGCAGAGAGGGTTGGAAAAGATACCAGTAGGGCAGACAGCGGCGAGTGCGCCGGTAGCGAAGAGAGCAACGACGGAGAACTGCATTTTGAGGATGGTGATAATGTTGATGTTTCAACAGGTTAATGGTGAATATGGAAGTGTGGTGGTAATTGCTGTGGAAGAGGCTGATGAGGATGATAAGAGTTGAATTGAAACTGGGAGAGATGGTCGACTTTACACTTGGGCTTCCCTAGGATTTTGAGCCTGGTCAAGGTCTTCTCGACTAATATCTCTTTCGGCTATTCCGTTTTCCGTTATTTTCTTCCAATATTGGCCGAGCTGAGCCGACTATATGCAGGGAAAGAGAAAAAGGGCCCACCACAGCCTCGTTCACGCTGCACAATGAAAGATTTAGGTAGGGAGACTGAATCTAATGCGGTCTAGATGTTCACATCCTAGTCTCTTGATCATTTGTACAGTTGTCTGAGTTAGTTGCCTGGTCTGAGTAAGTCAAAAAAGCGCAAGGATGTCATGCGCCACAAGTAATTAACTGGGCTGCGCGCCATATCACTCGGTGTCGTATACTAGGTGAATTAAAAGGTGGTGCGCAACTCTTACATCTTTCCGTGTTTTTACTTCACTTTTTTCCTCTAGAGCATTTCTCAGAAACGTTACGGAGGTGGTAAAATGGCAGATGAAGAAAACAAAGGCCATTCAAGCCACTTCTTTGAAAACAAGACTATAGTAATTGCTGGGGCAGGTCATGCAGGCTCTGTATCTGTTGTTAGCCTCCAAAAGCTCTGGAACCCGAAGCTCAACCCGCCAACAATCATCATCTACGAACACGATGCACCTGAGATCGATGTTCGGAGGGAGGCTTATACTTTGTCTCTGACGGAATTCGACAATTCAGGCGGCCTTGTTGTATTGAAGAACTTCGGGTTACTTGATCACGCGCTGGAACATTCCATATATGGGCTTGACGGAGCTGGTGCTTTCAAGATATGGATTTCAAGCTGAAATGAGCAAGTTGCTTTCCGTAGGAAACCAGGCGGAGGCATCCCATCAACAAGCGTTCGAATTGCGCGAAAAGATATTCGCCAAGTCCTTCATGATAGATTCGATCTTGGCGATCAGTGGGTCGTGCGTCGGAAGGAAGATCAGGTGTGCAATCTAGATCGCAGCTCGCCAGAACAGCTGCAAGCAGTCATAGAGCAGGGCCTTGATCTTGGATCACACATCGCCAAGCCCTTTCGAAGCATAGTCAAGCGAACCGATCCCGAGACAGCTTTGCTCTTGAATTCACGAGACAAGCTGCCATTTGCTCATGACAGCATATTCAAAGTGCCCAGCTGCCTTTCTCGGCAATAGCAAACATGCCCTCAGCGCATTTGCAGGCATTGGTGGCAACCTGGCATTAGTGGACGAATGGGATTTGGCAGACCAGATTTGCAATCATAACAGCCTGGAAGACGCCGTCAAGGCGTACGACAGCCTCAGCGTACCAAGAGCGACGCGAGATGTCAAGCGATCCAGACAACTAGTAAAAGGTGCTCACGACACTGGATTGCACTATTATTTGTTTTTGTGCATGTTGTTTGTTGGCAACTTTGTGAGATGGACCCTGAATAAGATGGGCTGCTAAGTTGAAGCGGCAGCTACATGAGACGAAGACGCGGAGAATTATGGAGAAGCGGCAGTTTGGAGACCCAGATTTATGCGGAGACTAAATATTGACAGCTCAGTTGTATACAGCAATGTGCATAGAAGACGCCAGATGGTGCATTCGCATTATGCTTCAGAGAGATAGATATTGATCATTTTACGACTATTTCTGGAAAATTGATGACTGAAGAAGAGGACAAATCGGGTTCTTACCTGGGTCAAGGAACATCAATAGACGCTACTTACTCAATGCGGGCCAGTGTTAGAGCGCCGTTGGAGCGCCGATACAGTGCTGATAGCCAGTGTATCCACCTACCGCACACCCACTTAACGCGAGATACGCCAATTCGCAGCACTTTAGCGACTCGAGACGCGATCGCGACGCGGTGCATTTGCAATCTGCATGCATGGGTTCTCTCCTACCCATGCCGTCTCGTCCTCTGTCGCCGCCGCTTGGCTGCTCAGCGTCTTGATTTTCCAATTGCCGCCTGCGATTGTGCGTCTGTTTTTATCGTTGCCCATTCATTGTATCCCACGCTCCATCCAGCTCCAATATTCTAGCCATCCGCCATTCACCGGAGTCTCCAATTGCTTCCTGTCTCTACGCCGTCGTGAGCTGCCATCTGTGCTCGAGCCGCAATGCCAGGTGACAAGGCAGCGAGCGCTGCTCGCACGCCAGCAAAGGCCACCCGGCCAGCTGCCGCAGCCTCCTCTGCGACCAAACAGAAATCGATAATGTCGTTCTTCCAGAAGTCTTCGCCCGTTTCGAGCTCGCCCGCAACTCGCGAAAAGGTCTCGTCCGACATCCTATACTCCTCCCCTCTGCAAGAGACCAAAGCCAACTCGCTGCCAAAGACGAAATTCTTTGCCGAGCTCTCCACTCCAGTGCCTTCTAGCGATGCCCCGGAGCCCACCAGCTCACAAGAGAATATGGAATCGACTGTCAAGCGCTCCAAGGTCAAGTTTGCCGAAGCGCCGGAGAGTTCGGTGGCCCCCAGCAGCCCAATTCGAAAGGTTTGTATTGCCTTCTCTCCAATATTTGGGTCTCTGCAAGCTGACTGACGCTTTTTAGGGAAAAAAGGCTGTCAATTACGCCGAGTCCTCAGATGAAGATGATGAGCCTTTTGCCTATGGAGCGGCTTCACAAACTCGGAGGCGTGGTAGAGTCACACGCAACGTTGTCAATGATGAAGACGACTACGGTGGAAGCGATACCGCCGAGCAAGAGGATGAAGGTTAGTATTCACACACTACATAACGACCTATAAAAGCACGAGTCTGACAACGTCTATAGATGACATCGACGACTTTGTTGTATCCGACGATTCAGACGGAGAGACTTCTCGGCCGAAGAAAAGAAAGCGCCCCTCAAAACCTCAACCAGCACGCAAACGCACAAATGTCTCGTCTCCTGTCCAGGAGGACACGGAAGACTACCTTGCGGCTCTTGGTGATATAGACATAGAAGATGAAGATATGCCTACTGAGTCTACAGCCAAGCAGTGGTCTTATGACCCAGACTCTACCGAAAAGCAGCCTGTCGTACGGCCAATTGACCGTGTCAGCACAAAGGACCCCAAGATGAAGGAAAAGGCATATATGAAGGAGCCCGGCGAGCGTTATCCATGGCTGGCGACCATCAGAGACAAAGATAAGCGCTTGCCTGATGACCCTGACTATGATCCGCGAACTCTCTTCATCCCTCCAGGTGCGTGGAATAAGTTTTCGCCATTTGAAAAACAGTACTGGGAGATTAAGCAAAATCTCTGGGACACTATTGTCTTCTTCAAAAAGGGCAAGTTTTATGAGCTTTATGAAAAAGATGCAACCATTGGTCACCAAGAGTTCGACTTCAAGATGACCGATAGAGTCAACATGCGCATGGTTGGTGTCCCAGAGGGCTCTTTGGACCACTGGATCAACCAATTCATCGCCAAACAGTACAAAGTTGCCCGTGTCGAGCAGATGGAGACCAACCTCGGCAAGGAGATGAGAGAGCGAGAAGACAAGAGTAAAAAAGCGGATAAAGTCATTTCTCGAAAGCTAGGCTGTGTTTTAACTGCCGGCACCTTGGTTGATGGCAGCATGCTTCAAGACGACATGGCTGCGTACTGTGTCTCTATTAAAGAATCACTCGTGGACGATTTGCCTGCATTCGGTATTGCCTTCACGGATACCGCAACTGGTCGATTTTTCCTATCTGGGTTCGTCGATGATGTCGATCGGACTAAATTCGAGACTCTCATTGCTCAAATTGGCCCCCGAGAACTTTTGTTGGAAAAGTCGGGACTAGCAACTAAAACTCTGCGCATCCTCAAAAACAACACTTCCCCTACCACTATATGGACAAATCTAAAACCAGGAACAGAGTTTTGGGATGCAGACACTTCTCGAAAAGAACTATCCTTTGCCAAATACTTTGTCAAAGGAGAAGACCAGGAAGAAGTGTGGCCGGAAGCGCTCCAGGAACTCAAGGATGATGATCTTGTCATGTCTGCTGTTGGCGGCCTGACTTCGTATCTCCGATTCCTCAAACTAGAAGGGCCCTTGTTATCACAAGGAAGCTTCGAGGTTTACAAGCCTATCCAGAAAAACAGCACTCTTGTTTTGGATGGCCAAACGTTGACAAACCTTGAACTGTTCTCCAACACTGTTAATGGCAATACTGATGGCACGCTGTTTGGTCTGCTCAATAAGTGCATAACTCCGTTCGGCAAGCGTCTATTTCGCCAGTGGGTTGCCCACCCACTGTGTAACATCGATCGTATCAATGAGCGCTTAGATGCTGTTGAGATGCTGAATGATGATCCTACCGTCCGCGAGCAGTTTGCTTCGCAGCTGGTCAAGATGCCTGACCTTGAGCGTCTGATTTCACGCATCCATGCTGGTGCCTGCAAGCCAGAAGATTTTGTGCGTGTTCTTGAAGGTTTTGAGCAAATTGAGTATACGATGACTCTTGCTGCTGCCTTCAAAGGTGGAAATGGCTTGATCGACAGACTCATTTCGTCCATGCCTAACTTGGAAGAGCCGCTGGCTTACTGGAGCACGGCTTTCAACCGGCAGAGGGTTAAGGAAGAGAAGTTGATGATTCCAGAGAGCGGTATTGATGAAGATTTTGATGCAAGTGTGGCTCGAATCCAGGAGATCAAAGACCAGCTGAATGATCTATTAATGGAGAAAAAGGGGGAGCTCAAGTGCAAAACTCTCAAATATACAGATGTTGGAAAAGAAATCTATCAGATAGAAGCCCCGAAAGCTGCCAAGATCCCCTCCAGCTGGCGTCAAATGTCTGCAACAAAGGATGTCAAGCGATGGTATTTTCCTCAACTCACTGCGTTGGTTCGAGAGCTGCAAGAAGCCGAGGAAACCCACTCTCAGCTGATTCGAGAAATTGCGTCACGCTTCTGCCGGAAATTTGATGCTGACTACGAGACTTGGCTCAAGTCAATTCAAATTGTCGCCCAGCTGGACTGTCTTGTCAGTCTTGCCAAGGCGTCGTCCTCACTCGGAGAACCAAGCTGCAGACCTCAATTCGTCGAGGAAGAACGCAGCGTGATGGATTTTGAGGAATTGAGACATCCTTGCATGATTAACACCGTGGACGACTTTATCCCAAATGACATCAAGCTCGGCGGTGACCAGGCTAAGATTAATCTTCTTACTGGTGCCAACGCGGCTGGTAAGTCTACGGTTCTCAGAATGGTAAGTTTTCTCCATTAACTCTAACCCAAATTCTTTCCTGTGAATACAAATTCTGACATTTTCACAGTCTTGCATTGCCGTCATCATGGCTCAAGTTGGCTGTTTTGTCCCGGCCAAGTCGGCTCGTCTCACTCCTGTTGATCGAATCATGTCTCGCCTGGGAGCCAACGATAACATTTTTGCCGCGCAATCCACCTTCTTCGTGGAGCTCTCCGAAACCAAAAAGATCCTCTCAGAGGCCACGCCTCGCTCTCTCGTTATTCTTGATGAGCTTGGCCGAGGAACGAGCTCATACGATGGTGTAGCCGTAGCGCAAGCTGTGCTGCATCATGTGGCGACTCATATCGGCTGCATTGGTTTCTTTGCAACACATTACCACTCTCTTGCTACTGAATTTGAGAATCACCCAGAGATTCGTGCTCGTCGCATGCAAATTCATGTTGATGACGAAGAGCGTAGAATCACGTTTCTGTATAAGCTCGAGGACGGTGTTGCAGAGGGCAGTTTCGGTATGCATTGTGCTGCCATGTGCGGCATCTCAGACCGCGTCATTAAGAGAGCCGAAGTGGCAGCCAAAGAATGGGAACATACCAGCCGACTGAAAGACAGCTTGGACAAGGCCAAGACAGGATGCTACATTCCCTTGGGCATTCTCAGCGATATCGGTTCCTTGCTTGGGAACAAGGGCGACGTCGGTGCGGAGGGAGTAGACGTTTTGCTCAAAGCCATTGGAAGCTTATAAAATCTTTGCACTTTTTAGCATTGTGGCATTTGGAGCGGTACATTCATCCCAGAGTTTCAGACTGGTGTATATGGGCCATTGTTCTATGGATTGTGGATCATCAGCAAGAGGGATATAAAAAGTTAGGGCGCAAAGGGCGCATATATGCATGATGAAAGTAGCAACAAGAGACGCAAGATACGTATTTTTCTATGAATCGAATAATGATCAAAGTAGCTGCATGAAGAAATGTTTGTGATAAACCAATTAAACCAAAACTGTACTGTAATCTAATAAACATGCACCGTTTCCATCTCAAGTAATACAACGAACAAATCGAAGACACAATACAAATCTATTCAACCTAAATCCAAAATCCACTAACCAAAACACTACTCCTTCGCAGTCTTTTGCCGCTTCCTCGTCGATCGCCGAGTGACAACTTCCCCTTCTTGCACTTGCTGTGCTTCTGTATCCAATAAAGCTGCTTGCGACTTCGCTTTCTTCGGCGCTCTCTTCTTCACTGGTTGAAGCACAGCTGCTGTCTCAAGATTGACAGTGGTTTTCTGCTTTTTCTTCGCAGTAATGGCTTTACCCTTTCTCTTCCTCTTCCCATTAGTGTCCTTGTCCGACTCTACATCATCCTCATCTTCGTCAGAGTATCGAACATCGTTCCCCTGGCGATATGTTGGATCCGGCGTAGCAGCAGTAGCCTTACGCTTTCTCTTTCTCTTTCCGTTGGTGTCCTTTTCCGACTCGACATCATCCACATTCTCATCATCTGAGTACTGGACGTCGTTATCTTGGCGATATGTCGGATCCAGGGCCTTCTTCTTCACTGGCCGAGGCGCAGCTGCTTTCTCAAAGTTGGCATGCCCAACATTAGCAGGCTCAACATTAGCAGGCTCAACAATGGCAGTGGTCTTCTGCTTCTTCTTCGCCGTAGCAGCTTTACGCTTCCTCTTTCTCTTCCCATTGTCATCCTTGTCCGACTCAACATCATCCACATCCTCATCATCTGAGTAGTGGACATCACCCCCCTGGCGATACGTCGGATCAGCCACCGGCTTCAGCTGAAACTGCTGGCGCGTTCTCCCGGTAGCAGGAACATCGACTACATCGGGCGCTTCCCAGCCATTAGGCAAAGGAGCTCGCCCTCTGAAAGGCGGCCAGGGAATGTTCCACCAAGCCTCGTTGCTTTCGTTGTTTGGATCTGACCGCCAGTAGGTGCCGTTGGCGTTTGTAGCGTTGAGGGGATAGATTGTGCGAGCGTAGACGGGATATCGGCGTAGGAACTTTCTACGGAGAGTGGCAAGGGGCTTGGGCATGAGGTTTGCTGGGATCCAGCCGCTGCGGTTGGGGAGGCGTTCGATTGAGCCGATTCCACGGCGGATGCCACAGCATCGGCCAGGGTCGTGATGAAGCTAGAAGAGAGATTAGTTAATTAGCAGGATGTAGAAAGTCATTTTGGGGAAGCTCTCTCATACCTCAATTTCCTTCACTCTTCCAAGAGGGGATCTGTCCCGTTTATGCTTCTTAGGGGCTTTACGGAAACACTTTGAGCAATAATACTCTTCTGATGGTACAAAATTGGGATCATCAGGCAGAATCTTGCTCCAATCCGGTGACGGTAAACGCCGAGGAGGCTTGGAACGTCGGCCCTCTTCATCGATCTCGCTATCGTCATCGTCGTCGTCGTCATCTTCGCTCTCGGCTTGATAGTTGCCATCTCCATCTCTTGTGCGTTTTCTTCCTCTTGGCTGTCGGCGTTTCGACTTTGAAGGATCTGATGAAAGCTCTTCTTCGTCGATCTCACTATCATCATCGCCATCTCCCTCAGCGTGATAGTTGTCATCGTCCTCTCGTGTACGTTTCCTTCCTCTTGGCTTTCGGTGTTTTGACTTTGAAGGATCTGATGAAAGCTCTTCTTCGTCATCATCTCTCTCGGCCTGATAGTTGCTATCGCTCTCTTTTGTGCGCTTCCTTCCTCTTGGTTTTCGACGTTTGGACTTTGAAGGGTCTGATAAGAGCTCGTCTTCCGACTCGATGTCGGCAGAACGCTGCTCGTCTTCGCCAAAAACCGATCCCGCGTCTGAACCGGCTTCTGAAGATATGGAACTTACAAAGAGAGGGGATTCAGGTCTGATTTCGATATCGGGCTCTTTCTCGTTTTCCTCTGCTGGTGGAACCGGGCTTGGCTGTCGAACTGGACTTGCGCTCAAAGACTTTTGTTGCAGCGTGTTATCAGGGGCTTCTGTAGAAGGTCTAGGAGATGGTTCTCCATGCGAGGTATCAGAAATACTTTGGCGAAGAATGGTCCTGAGAGTTTCCTGGCTATGACGATCAGAGTCTGGACCAAGAATCGGAAGTTGAGAAACATCTTGACTGGTTGTTGCCTCTTCAACTGCGTCTTGCAGAGCCGTGCTAATAACAGCTGGAGAATCTGCCAGCACTTGATCAAGTGGCGTTGCCTTGGGCTCTTTTGCTGGCTCTGTTCGACTTGGCTGTTCATCCTTATCACCATCTAGACTGCCGTCTTTTTTATTTTGTCCCTGCTCTTCTTCAGAGGTAATGGCGGCTACCCTTATCTGGAGCCGAAGATTATTCTGTTGCTGGTCGAAAGCTGCCTCTTCTGGGTCTTCAAGCATGGCTATCGCCTTCGGGTTCCCCCTATAACAGGCAACCATATGAGCCTTATTTCTATCCCAATCCACCTGGGTCTCGGTATTTCTAAACTCTTCGCCACAATAGAGACAAAATCGACCAGACACTACACCAAAGCCTCTGCATCTTTTCTGATGTTGGTCGCGTCCAGCCTGTGGCAGACGAGACATGTTGAATCCGCAGCCAGAACAGTGAAGGCCATTTGTGTCATCCACATTATGTGAGCAATGGGACAACTGTCTGTCTGGTTTCCCGCTCTTGTGGGCGTCTGCTGCGCTTGACCAGACGGGTTTGCCGCAGAGGGTGCAGAATCTGCAGTTTGCGTCGTTGAATGTGCTTCGCTCACAGTGACTGCGGTGATATATTCGTTCAGTGTTGCTGTAGTAGTTTCTTTCACGACCACAACAATCACAGAATCCCCAAGCGTTGTCGTTTTGAGGCTCTGGAGAATTATTTGTCTCGTAAACTACATGCTCAGACGCCAAAGCCAAGGCGGAACGTCGAAGGCGCTTTTTGACTCTTCTAAGCGGTACGGAGAGGGTTCCCTCTTGGTCAAATAGCCGGATTGCTGCTTGACTGACTCCTAGTGCTTGCATGAGCTCATCTTTATGCTTCTCTCTGATATGACGATTAATCTTTGCCGCATCCCAGTGTTCGTATAGCGTATCATCACACCACATACACTTTCGTGCTGTATGGCATGCCTTTAGGTGCTTCTTCATGGCATTTTCATCATTCAGTGTGTATGAGAAATTGCAGCCATCATATGGGCATCTTACCGCCCGCTTCAAGCAGAGGTTTCGTAAGTCCCAAGCGACCCGTTGGAGCTCACCTTGCTCTGTGGGTGTCAATATAGCTTTGCTCACCAGAGGCATTCGGGGTCCTGTACGGAGCATGTGCTCAAAGGGTGGTGCGTTTGTTGGAATTTGAATACCCGAGTTTGCTGGCCAAGGGACCAATCCGTAGCGATCAAAGATGCTGGGCTGTGTTGCATATGCCTTTTGCCGCTTTTCACCATCGCTTGCTGCTTTCGTCTTATGAGATCGAAGTTGAGCCCAGTCTAAACGACTAACTTCCACAGGCTCATTGCCTTCTAACGATGCTCTTGTATGATCTGATTCAAATGGTCCGGCAGTACCGCTTTCTGGGATTAGTTCCGCCTCCTCTGCCCAGCTGACCTTCTTTTGCTGCTTTTTGGCCGCATGTGCCTCTGCCATGCGTCCATATCGCGGGCCCCAGACGCTGGTCTTTTGACTCCCAGCTCCCCAATTCCAATTCCATTTCTCAGAATCAATTATTCTGACAGTCGCTTTAGGGGTGGAAATTCTGGCGCGAATTTTGAACCACTCTTCGTCCGTGGTGTTAAAGTCGATAAAGAAACATGGAGCATTAACCTGGCTGTATATATACCCATCCTCTGGCAGGGGCTGAATGCTGATGAAAGATTTACCGCTTCTCACACTTACGGTCTGGCTTGTCTCATATCCTGTAAGTCGCATGAGCTCAAACACTCTGATCCTGAACTCATCCACTGTTGAAGATAACGGCGGTATCTGAACGTAGGATGGGGCTTCGCCGAATCCATTGGGATTTGCAATAGAGAGACCAGTGATATCTCCCTCCCACTCTGGATATAGAAGAGCAAAATTACCTCCATCAGCAAAAAATTCGGATAAGACAGAAGCATTGCGAGTCTCAAAATTCCCAGAACCGTCATCATGCAGTTGAATGAAATAAGACTTTTGGTTCCTGTTGGTCTCCGGCCCGAATGTTTCACAGCCGTCCAGCAAGCGGATATATCGGAGACGATTTGCTTCTTCACCAAAAGCACACGAAATTATCTGCCAGATGAGTTTGAGCGCCTCACTGATGTTCTCCTCGCTGCGCGAGATGCGTCCCAGGCGACAGTCATTGTTGTAATAGCTCGGCAGGAAAAAGGCAATTTCGTTTCCGTCAAGTCTAGTGCATTTCAGTTCCAACGTATCTTCACCTAAGAAGCTAGAAATTTTCTTCATATCATAACTCTTGATTGCTGGAAACCCATATTCTGGGGGGCTACTGTAGTCGATACCGGGGTGGTCCATGTGGAAAAGAGCGTGATGAAAGGAGCCCAGTAGAGGACCCAGTACAACCTCAAAGGCCGCTCTGACATAAGCGCTGTAGTGATCAAAATTCCAGCTGTTAACGTGTCCTTGAGTTGTAAGTAAACAGTCAGGCGTCGGAAACTCCAGGTAACAACTTGAAATGGGACCAGTTGACTCTGAAGTTGGCTCCATAGCAATATCAGCATGATGCCTCCATGTGACTTTGGCGACTTCGCAAGCTGATTGCGCCTCGCTAGGCTCCCAGTGGTCAGGCACATCTTCATCTCCCAACTTGATGAAGAATGAAGGTTGCAATGAGAGGTCCTGTTTGGAGATGTATTCCATAGATGCACTGCTGGTGTTCAAAGGAAAAGTGTCGGCAATGATGTCTATCAGGCTGTAATTCTTGGCAAAATGACAAATGTGGAATGTTGTGCTGTCCTGAGGTCCAAGGGATAATAATCTTCTAATGGCGTTCTCATATGTTGTTTGATCTCCTGGGACGAAAGCCACAGATCCCTGATAGCCATAGAGAGTTATGAAGTTGTCCCAATTGGATTCTGGAAGTATATATGCAGAATCCCCATCACATTCAGCGCCACCTGCCTCATAGTTGCCTGCTTCATTGTCACCTATTCCATTGTCGCTTGCTTTGTCATCGTTTGCTTCACCATCGCCTACTTCACCATCGTCTACTTCACCATCGCCTGCTTCATCGCCGCTTGTTGTATCGCTGCCAACTTTGTTACTTCTTTTGCCTGCTTGACGGCTCTGGTTCTTTTTCGCTTTGCCTTCTTTCACGTCAACGTCTTCACTGCCGTCTTCATCGCTGCTTGCGGCGTAGCTGAGATCGCCATCATCTCCTTCCCAGTCGTTGCCATCGCCAGGCATTTCCCAGTCGCTATCCTCGTCTATACCACCACCTCTAAGGCGCATCACCGTGTTCTCGCTCTGTTGATCAACGATGCCTTTCTGGAGCGGGGCATAGCTGAAAAAGTCGGCGAAGAGATTCGATAAGATTTTTGGCGGTAGTTGGGTGGGTATAGGATGTGACTGATCTTCTTTTCCTAGTCGAGTGTTAGTGAGAAACGTATTAAGAACCAAATAAACAAAGATCCGACTCACCTATAAGACTCTCGTCTCCCCAATTACGTTGCTTGTGTGCTGTTAAAAATTGTAGAGGCCGATCACCGACACTTTGCGGAGAATCTGGCTCTCGAATCTCCATTTTGTAAGTCATGTCGGTTAATGAGAAGTCGATTGGCTCAATGGGAAGTCCAAAATACAACATCGTCAATTTTGTGATTATTTCAGGTGCAGCATCTTGAAGTCTTGTCTGCAAGAGTGCGTTGAATCGAGCTGTGTTATCGTCTTGTATAGCTTTCAAGACTTTGGATGCAGATAGCATGAATAGACAAATCTCATGCTGTGTGAACTTCGAAGCCAAAATTTCACCAATCGGCGTATCTTCATCTGCAAAGAGATCTTCAAACATCCGATACGTGGAATTCCACTTCTCGTCACTAGGCGAAATGCCGAGATCGATCCGCTCCTGGGCTTCACTCTCAGTGACAGTCGAAGTCCATCTAGTGTCGCCTGTATCCGTATCCATGTCGTATTGGAGCGCGAGGAAAAGACCGCAGCTTGCTTATCGTAACGAATGATTGGCGGAAATAGATCAAGACAATAGATAATGAAGAGTTGCGCAGTTTGCTGTCAACAACGACTGCGCAAAGGTATTAGTGTAAGTAGGAGAAACCGCGCTCATGAAAATGAAAAAGCAAGTAGAGTATATTAATAAGAAACGATTACAAGTCGTGGAAACATTGACGAACAAAGTGATTTGATTTCTATTTAGACAACAAGTTTAAAGTAACACCTGTCTAACTATAGATCTTGTGGCCTTGAGCACAATCGCCGACGTCGCAAAGCAATTGCGAACGTCTCAAAGGGTCTTTGTTTAGCCTCAGAGACATGCTGTTTGACTGTGATAACTTCACAATTAGTATGCTTCACTACAAAAACTCAATAAACACTAAAGTTTTAGATGGATATCACTCATAATGTGTCTTCGTTCATGCTTTTGATTCTTTCATCGGCCTCGCATTGGGCGATTTTTGTCGGCTTCACTAATAGACTCCTATGCGCACATAAAACCTCTTTATTTACTTGGCCGACGCACGGACGTTTGAGAACCTTCAGATCATCTTTCGGCCACTTTCAAGACGTTGACATCTCCGAAGATAGATATACATCAAGGCCTTTGCCGCCATTTCCTTTGTAGTAAAACAAGGCGACTTACACACATCTCCGCAAAACTCCATTTACAGAAGCGGCGAATCCTAGCAGATGCCTACCAACTCTTCAGATTGTGTAAGTCCCTGCAAGCTCTTCCAATTTTTCTTGAAAGTCCGAAAAGTAATTGATCGCTTGGATAATTTTGCCCTCGCTCGTTCCAAAGCCGCTTCTGGTGAAAGCAAGCCTCCAAGAGCTCTCATTTTCCAGGATAGTGGAGTATTTCGCTAGATCCAAATTCTCTGGGGTGTGTGTGACAGCAAAGTAGTCTCCCAGATCATTATTCGCGGCCGTAGCGTCAAGGCGAGATAACTCACTCAAGAGAATGGGTGAAATGGTTACATGGTGAACGCCTGCAAGTTGCAAGACTTCTTCAACAGACGTTAGAGATGCAGCAAGGACCCGTGTGCGTTGATTGTTAGCATCGTAGTAGGCCTGTGCTTCACGGCAGAAAGAAAAGGCCTTGTGAGGATCAATGTACCTACAAAGAGTTAGTTTGGTCAAAGAGAAGCATTGAGACACATACCCCGTCTCAAAATGGACCTTTAGCTCGTTGATATATGGGGCAATATATGTGCAATTTGCATCGGATGCAAGTGCTGCTTGCTCCATACAGAACATAGTTGTCGCAAGAGTGGCTATTCCTTCTGCTTCCAACGCACGACATGCGCTTAGGCCTTCCCATGTAGCGGGTATCTTGATGCAGATACGTTTGGCGTCGAAATTAGGTGCCAGTGCTTGAAATATGGCAATGATTCCTTTGAGTGAATGTGAGCTTTGATCTTCCTTCGCTATGTTTCTGGAAGATTCGTGCATACTTTTGGCATTATTCACAGTACCCGTTTGTGAGTATGACAGCTTCGGGTTTGTCTGCACATGTAGATACCCTGTAACATGAGGAGCAATCAACAGTTGCAATTTGACCATCTGAGACTATTAGCATAAGATTCTTTACGCCCGTAGGGTAGAGTGTTCCTCACCATAACTTCGACGACGAATTCCTTCAAAGCTACTTGGCCTCGGATCTCACCCAGGTTGCCCATGGACTGGTCTATGCTTTCTCTTATCAGCGACTCATGGTATAGGCCAATATCATTCGCCGCAGGCTTGTTAAGCTCGAAATATGCGATAGCCTTTGTACATGCGAATACATGTAAGTGGTTAGTGGTTATGTAATTACGGGATAAGTGGCATGGGCTTCATTGACTACCTGGTTTGAAGTGCAATCAACGAAAGGTCCTAGACTTTTGGTCACTTGAGAGTTGTATAAGCCATAGTTCAGGTTTATCACCAACGTTCAAATGCTGTATATACCTTCGCTGTCCAGTGTATCGCAGTCGACAGCGCTCCGTTGTCGGAGAGCATCTAGTAGAGACGGCATTTTGTGAAAAGCTGTAATACAATTTCCAGAAGAGACTGAAATGAATAAAAAGTATCAGAGTTACTATTCGGAAACTAGGAATTCCAAGCATTGATCATACTTAGTTGAGATATTGCTGAGTTGAACGAGGAGTAAGGCTATTACCGTAGACAGCAGTATTTCACCGCACTTTAATATGAGCGTTGCTTTCAGCAATATGAATGGAATAAATATGAGACTTCAAAGACACAGAGATGTATCACAAATATTAGTAAAAAAGAGAACTTTTCTCCAATATGATGTTTGTATGGTCTCGCAACAGATGATTGCAGATTGGCTCTCTTCGAATTGCCTCAAGGCAACTGCGTCGGAGCTGCACGTGCCCAGTCACGTGTACCAACCCGATATCCGAATGCAGAGAAAACTCCAGATTATCAGCAGATCTGCGCTAAATCGCCAACGCTGCCGAGCTGCAAAACGACAAAAGTCCGCTGTGAGTATCGGAGAATGGATTGAGGCCTGCGGGACGCCATGCGCTCTGATACTCGGCGATTATGCGGTCACCATTGGTCATAGCTCTTGCGCCGGAGCTTCAATTGCTGTCCAAGTGCAGTATTCGAACATCGACAGCACGACGATGGCTCTCTACTAGTCCGGGCTTGAAAGCTCCTCGAAGCTCTACGACACCACTGGGTGGCTCTTTTTTCCTTCAAAACAGGCTCTTCGAAAGATCAAGATGTCTTGAATCTATAATATCGAGGCGCAATTCCAGAGCGACCTCAACCTCAACCTCAACTTCGCCAACCCCACCCCAAAAGCCTGCGTCGCAAACACCTCAATCGATCTCAGAGCTCGCTCCCCACCGCCAGCGACAGGCCCGCAAACAAGCTCTTCTTCAATCTTCGTCGTCCGAAGCTCCTCTGCCTCCTGATGCCTCCTCGCTCCTCACATCCGCCGCGGCGTCACAGCCGAAGGACTCCTTTCGCCGAAGATTTTCTGCATACTTGTCGCTCACAAAGCCCCGCCTAACCGTCCTCGTTGTTCTGTCGGCCATGGCACCCTATGCGCTATATCCGGTTCCCGAAATGCTGATGCCCACAATGACTGAGACGCCGAGTCTAAGCCCACTGACGCTTCTATTTTTGACGACTGGAACTGCGCTTTGTTCTGCGGCCGCAAATACTCTCAACATGCTGTACGAGCCATCCACGGATGCCAAGATGACAAGGACAAGGAATCGACCGTTGGTGCGAGGCCTCATTTCGAATCGTGCAGCGGCTTTGTTCGCCGCCCTTTGCGGCGCAGCCGGCGTAACCGCTCTTTATTACGGCGTCAACCCCACTGTATCGTTCTTGGGTCTTTCAAACATTGTCATTTACGCCGGCATCTATACCCCGCTGAAGGCGGTAACTGCATTCAACACATGGGTCGGTGCTGTTGTTGGTGGAATTCCACCCCTGATGGGCTGGGCTGCCGCTGCTGGCGAAGCTGCCACAAAGGACGGGTCCTGGAAGGAGCTGCTCCTGGCCAGTGATGGATCATCCATTGGCGGATGGCTGCTCGGAGGCCTTCTTTTCGCTTGGCAGTTCCCTCATTTCATGGCTTTGAGCTGGGGCGTCCGCGAAGAATACAAGGCTGCGGGCCTGCGCATGCTTGCGTGGACCAATCCGGCGCGAAACGGGCGCGTTGCATTGCGATACAGCCTTGTCTTCTTCCCCTTGTGCTTCGGACTTTGTGCTGCTGGCGTGACGGACTGGTATTTTGCTTTGACTAGCACGCCCCTCAACCTCTGGCAGGCCCGTGAGGCATACCGGTTTTGGAAATACGAGGGTCACAAAGGAAGCGCACGGGGTCTGTTCTGGGCCAGCGTGTGGCATCTCCCTGGCGTGATGATACTTGCTTTGCTGCACAAAAAGGATATGTGGAGTCGAGCCTGGAGAGCCGTTTTTGGAGAGGATGAAGATGGAGAATGGGAAGAGGAGGAACTTGAAGAAATGGCAGGCATGGCAGCTGCTGCTGCAGTTAAGAATGGCGAGACGACAAAGTCAAGACGGTGATTTACTATCATTCATTGTAGGAGTGTTTGATGATCTCTTTGTACGACGGGAAAAGGAAGCAAAAAAGGGAAAAATGCATATGTTTTGATATAGTGTCTGGGTGGCACGTGTACATTAGAGACATTAGAGGCATCACGCAACACTGTTTGTACAATAAATAGACGAGATTGGGTACTTTATCATCAAAAGTGAGGAGCAAAGTCATGGAAAGAGAAAAAAAAAAAACATTTATAATTCTGGTCCGCCGAATTCCCATGCAAATGATCCTTCTGTCACTATTATACATCATGAAAAACGCTGTTTTCATCCCATGATTTCCCCTTTTGCAATCTGACCCAAAAATGCTCTTAAATATTAGTGGTCAATCGAAAGATCCATCAAACAATCTGCATATCCTGTGCGTGTTTTTTTCTTCTTCTTTTTCTATTTTCCAGCAACTGTTTTCTCTCCTTCAGTTCTGGTTTTGTCCCTGAACTGGGCATATCGGGGATCAAGTAATGTCAACAACACCATGTGAACGCCTTTAAGATACCATGAATGCAAACAACTGTACAAAGACAATTAAGGAATGGAGCCGTAGCTCATGTGTAGTGACACGCATTGATAAACGCGGATTTTGTGTGTGCCGAGACGGCGAAGAGTCAAGTAAACCGAATGAAAGGGGGGTGATGTAACAACACAAAATAGGGGGAAAGGGGTAGTGTAATCATAAAAGAGTGTGTGCAAGAGCATCTCAGTATTTGCCTCCATGAGGACGGTGGGCAAGCGATTCCATGCCCCTCTCGGCAGAAAGGCGCTGGCTGTCGAGATAGGGGCTGCTGTCTTGGCTGGTGCCGGTGCCCCCGCGGGACACGTATCCGTGGCTCATGCTTGCAGTAGAGCTGACGCTTGAAGAGTAGCCGTGGCCACCGTAGTAGGGCGCTGTTGCTCCCATGCCGTAGGAGGTCTGGTGGTGCTGAGGGTGGAGGTGAGATTGGGGGTGAGGCTGGAGATGCTGCTGCGGGTGGTGATAGCTGGCGGAGCTGGAGTAGGAGTGAGTGCCGGACGAGCTCGTCGCGGGGCTACTGTAGGAAGCGTCTAGTTCATCAACGGGAGTCAGGCCGATGCCGGAAATGCCGCTATCGTCGTCATACCCTGTGAGTGCTCCCGTCTCGAGACGGTCACGGCGCGAAGCGGCACGAGCTGCGCTCTGGAGATTCTTGAGGCCGTTGGACATGCACTAGAGAGAAGAACGTACAGTGTCAGTAACAGTTGATGATGGGAACGAAGGAGAAAGAGATAGAATAGATATAATGACGAATAGTTGTCCTCTGCTTTGATGGGATATAGCATTGGTAGGAGGCATGCAATACAAAAGAGATAGAAGGGGGAAACCATCAGATGGAAGACTTTTAGGCTTACCTTGGCTTCAACAACGTTCCACTTCTCTCCAGTTCGAGCTGCTAGACCGCTCCAAATCTCCTTGCGCATGCTCATGTACTCCTTGGCCAGGATCTGCATCTTGCGAGCATCCCAGTCGTCGGATCCTCTCCTCTCCATCAACCGTTCATGACGCTTGCGGCAGGCATTGGGTGTTTTCGATGGAAAGTATTGCTCCTTGATCTGATTCCAGTTGAGCCCTTGCATGCGGGCCTGGAGGAGCTGCTGGTCGTCTTGTGGACTCCAGGCTCCAGAGCTAGGCCGATGCTGGGATGGCTGAGACGACACCATGGGGAGGGTTGGCGAAGGAGCACTTGTAGAGTATGGTCCGTATGGCTGCTGTTGAGACGTCTGAAGCGGCGATGGAATCGGCATGGCTGAAGAAGGAGGAGCGACATAGTAGGAGTCGGGCATCATGCGTTGCTGAGGGTACATGGAGGATGGTGGTAGGCCAGTGGGGAGGCCGCCATAGCCCTGCTCGCCGGAGTTCTTGGTCTGTCTGGGCATTGCGAAGGAGTTGTTGAGCAGTTTTGATTCGAGAGGAAATAGATGAAGATGGAGTCGATGGATGATATGCAAATGATGGAAGTGTTGAAAAGAGATTGGTGCTTGGATGAGGTGATACGAGACCGGCTCGTTGGCAAGGAAAAATGAAACAATTAGGTATTAAGAGTGATCGACTGGCGGAGGTCCTCGTGGTCACCGAATTGGCCTGCAATGCGGTCTACTTTGAGGGTCTGGTCCTTGTAAGAGGGGGGGGGGACAGCGGCGAGTCGTCTGCAGGGGGAGAAACTCAAAAATAGTGTTTGATGACCAGCAAAAGAAGGAATGAAGAAACAAGTAAGCAACGGAAAAGTAACAAAAAACTGAGTAAAGGAACAAAATAACACACAAAAACAAAAAGTGACTCTGGAGAAAAACAAAAAGAGAAGAGCAGGCTGCCCGGGGACATAGGCCTGCTTTAAGCTTTGCGATGCATCATCTGTCAAGAGGCTAGAAACGAGACCATCATGGCCTTGGGCGGCTGTCCGGATGAAACAAGACGGACTAAGCCCAATTAGACATGTACATGAAACGGCGCGCGTGTATCTGAAAAGCTCAGTCTGCCGAGAATGGCTCGCTGATATTGGTCGGGCTGGCACTACGATCGAGCCACGGGCGGTTAAGGGGAGCCTTTTTTAGGAAAGGCGGCTATCTTGTCTAGGAAGGCTTGCCATGGGACTACTACTCTTGCGGGTAACTCAGACGCTGGGGCTCTCTACATGGGCAGTATAGAATAAGCCTGGATGGGAAAGGAAATTTCGATGTTGTGTGGTATAGGGGGGAGGCAAGAGACCAGTGTAAGGAAGCGCTTCGCCCTGAATTTGCAAGGCGGCTAATACTAGTAAGATGGGGACCATGACAAGCATCAATAACATATCTCGACACTAACAAAAAAAAAAGTTCTTCTTCTCAAAACTCCACAAGCTTCTCTACATCCATCCGAGGTGGATCATACAGCCGTCAACGTGGTATGGAGAACTCGCTGCCTTGCAGAAAAAAGGGCATGTCCACGCTCCACTCTTCGCGATGAACTGCAGAAACGCGGCTGTGCTTATGGCCCCAGAGCCTGGCCGGCAATGACATCAAGGGCCATGCCTTTCCAGAAACAGCTTAAGGTCCACGGATGATGGGCGCGAAGAGGGAAATGAGCGGGATCATTGCATTGCATATTTTTTGGGGATCGCTCGTGGATGGCCTGCCAGCCGCGCAAAACGCCGATGGAGGTGCAAGACACGCTCCAACGCTCGGATCATGCGACGGCGCATGGCAGTTGAGCGCCCGGGAGCCCCCCCTGCGCGGCCCAGTTTGCACATGGCAAGATGCATGTCTTTTCAGGGCTTTTGCCGCGCTGCCTTGCCCTTGGCGATCCAGCTGTGGGCGGGTTCTTTTCTGTGTAAGTCTGGAGGTTGGCGATACTGGATGAAGCTGGTGGGGAGAGCGTTGGTAGCAGAGCGCGGGAAGGGGCTCCACTAGCGGGAGGTGCGCCATTGGCTGATTTGCAGCTTCAAGCGCGCGTCAAGGCATGGATCCACCTGTACTAGACCATATGCAGGTTAAGTGCCTTCTATCTTTGGACGGCTTGCCAGAAGCGCCGCGCTAGGATCTTACCGCGCTGGTCTGATTGGCCGACCGCGGCGGGTATCTCGTTGTACCTCCTCGCCTGGGAAGCGGTGCTACGGTACCTCGTCAACACGGCCATGGCGAGGCCAGCAGAGGCCAGATCCACGGAGTGGAAAAAGGCAATTGAGATAGAGCAGTCTCCACGGAACTAAACATTGGTCGCGGAAATTGGCCTTTGCGGATCGCGGGTCATGAGGGCGACGGAAACGTTTCAGGTCTTGTTGCGATGAGAAGAACTCGCCCTTTTGGTCTAGGGTTGTTGGTTGTAGGCTAGATTATGTGTTGGGCCAACAGCTACAAAAGCGCGTAACCTGCTGTTGGTTCTTCCATGTTGACAGCTGCTTTTTTTTTTCTTCGAGTAGTGGTTAATTATAGTCATTGGAGGAATCACGTCATGATTCCATTTTTAGTAAGGTAGTATTCCAGGCATAGCTTGCCGCGACGCGAGAAATAGATCGAGCGCTTTTTGGGACTTTGTCATATCCCTGGATGTATCTTTGCCGTCGATGGAATCTCTTTCCCCTTTGGTCTATACTTTGCTCCGCTGAAGAGCCACGAGTGGGTACTTACCCTATTGCTTTGAGCTTGGTTGTGGTATTCTCTGGAGGAAAACACTCGTTCAATATCGTATGGCGAAACACACACGTCTTGTGACTTTATTACTCACTTCTACATCGTTCTCGTGATACAAGACACTGTGTTTACAAATTTTGGGAGCAAGTATCTGTGGGGTTCACATCTTTATGGTCGTGTAAATTTACAAACCTATACTCTGTACCAACGTATAGAGCAATATTACACCGGATATGTGTACTGGGTAAGTAAAGCTTCCACGGAACGCTGAACATTAGAACCGCGTGTCGGATTTTGAACTTCTTCTTCAAGGTCTTATTACAAATTTCTTAAATCCTGTATCATCGAATTTGCGTAAAAAAGATGCTGTCATCAATTCTACTTCAGCTTTCGCCTATTCATTAGAGTTGAGTGTATCGTGAAACTTTATGTTGTACTGGCTACGAAATTCTTTTAATGATCTTGGCTACTACTCTGCCAATGCTATGGCGGCTCTTCCACTATACAAGATGGAATATCAAATCACCAAATTGTTAGAAGGCAACGACGATGCAACCTGTACGGTCCGCAGAAATGGCAAGATTTTTTACATTGAGATCTCGCCCTGGAGATTCGTCAATTCGCCTGCCTCAACAGAGAAGATACAAGTCTTACTCCAAAGTTCTACAGTCTGGTGAAGAGGTAATAGGTGAAACATACGATATCGACGTTTATGACTGGGTTATGGCACCATTTGGGCCCTTGCTCATTGGGCTCGCACCTGATCCATCGGCAGAGTCGGTAGGAAACATTCGAGTCACACTGAAAGAATATCTCTATCCTGAATTCTTCTTGTTTATACTCGATAAAATCGATAAATAGCTGTCATCCCATTGGCCATTATGTAATGTCTTTGAAGACGATTTTTGGATGACCTAGAATCCTGGCCGGGCTTTTACAACCCAACTGGAATTATCATCAGCCATAAGAATCCTGAAGATGCACTTTTTGAGCCACCAAAGAAGGATTTGACTGAGAAGGGCCAGATCGCATGTTTCTTTAAGCGCTGCCGTAGCAGTGTACCAATAGCCCGAGAGCTTCAAACATGTAAAAAGATTCACGCAGCTGGCTTAGACTCTCAAGTGAATCTTTGTCACAGGCACGGTATTGCGATGGTTGACAATAACTCTATTCTGGGGCTTTTATTAACACACATTGACGGTGTTCGACGATTGTCCAATATTGTCATCCCTGAAGAACCCAATGACCCTCCACGTGCAATTAGAGAACGGTGGATGGTTCAGACAAAAGATGCCTTATCAGCGCTACACGCAAGCGATATAGTTTGAGAAGAGGTAAAGGCAGAAAATATCTTGATTGGTGAGGAGGATAATGCTTGGCTGATTAATTTCGGGGTAGGCTACACTGAAACACGGGTTGACAAAGGCACAGCAGGGACCGCGGCGGGAGATTTTCCTGGGATGATTGAGCTGAAGAAACTTGTATTTCCTCCAACTTGATGGAAGTAGCCCCAAGGCAATACTGAGAGAATATCAGCGAGATTTCTGAACCTCCGTTGGACCGACAGTGTACATTTACTACGCAGTAACTATTAATGTGCTCCTTATTATGATGGATATGTGCAGACTTACATGTGTAAGATTACCTTGCCAAAACTACTATTAGCGTGATTTAACTCATTGCAAAAGCCCTGATTATCGAAAACTTAATCCAAGGTAATGGTAGCAATCAACTCTCTTCCAGCCATCAACTTCCTTCTTTCGCTATATAAACCGTTAGATCCCGCCAAGGCGGTACAAGCGGATATCGCCTTTGACGCCCCCCAATCAACGCCGCGCACCAAACTATCTTGGCCGCGGCGCTTTGCGATGGTGGATCATCGCCACTATGACGATGGGCGGGGAAAGCCAATTGAATGAAGGGCTATGATCGAAAAGAATCCGACATTTCCCACGAACTTGCTTCCCCGCATACTAAGGAGCAGTGAATCTGTCATTTGTGGACCTACAACAAGATATTATTATGGCATTTGCATCGTATTGAAAGGTTAAGCGAAGTCATAAACTCGATCCCTAGTTCACTGAAACGCCGGGAGCCGGCAATGACAGCCTTCTCCAGCACCAAACCATTAGTCATTTAAACGGTCTGTACGGAGCACATGGGCATGCATATCATCTAGATTTACTAGTGAGTAGCCCTCTCGCTGAGTTTCCCAATTTGGGCGCACATGAGATAACAGAGGAGGCGAGACGGGTTTAGCTGAGGTTAGCTTAGCCCTACCGAGAAATCACCAGCCAATACCTATTTTCAGAATCTCAATCAGAAAGGATAACAGATATTAGAAGGGCGTATTAGACCTGTCAATGCTCTTCTCCATAGATAGGCAGATACGTGTAAAAAGTCATATACCATGGTCAGTGGATTCTCAGCGGGGGCTTCCGGGCGGTCGGACCAGGGTACCGCATTATCGGCCTGGAACAGCCTTCACGGATTTTGTTCTCTTACAGATTGTATAAATACGACAAGCACAAACTGACCGAAATACGGCGGGCGGCTTAGAATGTTCTAACTAATAATGGGCATAAACCAGTATCACCACCAACTAAAACAGCCTTTTCGACAACAAAGGAGGGGAGAGTTCCGCGCCGATCCACGCTCTTGACGCCTCTCGGAGCCGCGACAAAACCGCACTGGGCTTGGAGAAATCTGGGGAAGTCCGGGGTCCCCCTAGCCTAGCACCGGCCTTAGCATATCTCAAGCAGGTCCTTTAGCTCTTCCGCTTCGTTTGTTATCAAAGCCCGCCCTTGACGCCGTCCTATCAGTTCCCCGTCGTTATCAGCTCCCCTGGGTTACGTACGTAGCGCACTGTGGCAACTTGAGTCCTTTGCCATTGATACCGAAATGGAGCCCCTTGTCTAGGCTGCTTATCGCCTAGAGCGAGCGATCGGGGCTGTAGGAACGATGAGAGATAAGCACAGTTGCAGGGTGGTGTGTGTGTGTGTGTGTGTGTTGCGAGTTGAGTGTAACCTTAGCGTGTAGGGATTGAAGATCCAAGATGAGGAGAAGGCCGAAGAGAGAGAGACATTCAAGTACCTCATAAACGTATCACGCGCGCCCTTGCCCGGCAGAAGGTTCTCTTGCTGCTTCTTCCTTTTCGCTTCCTCTTTTGATTATAACTGGGACAATGCCCTCTGTTTCCTGGTTATAAGTCTGGCGGAGAGTCTCACATTGTCACGCGGTAATTTGATATTCTGAGACAACCAACCTACTTATACGCTGTGTTTTTTGGGAATGCAGCATCGAGCTACGATATACTTGTCTCGACGGGATATTCTGTTGTGACAGAGTCTCTCTATCCATCACTTCATATTCTCTTTCTATAATATCTCCATCAGCTTTCACCTAGATTGATAAGACAATCTCATCCATCATGGCCAGCAACAGGAGCAACAGCAACAGCGGCGGCAGCACCAAGAAAGACGCCAACATGGCAAAGTTCATCGACCCCCACGACCTCGACGACTCCGTCGACCAAGCCACCCGCGACGCCGTCGACCTCGCCGCCCTCGGCCACAGCCAGGCCCTCTCGCGCAAGTTCGACATCTGGAGCATGCTCGCCCTGGCCTTCTGCGTCCTGGGCACCTACTCCACCGAGGCCCAGGACCTCTCCAGCGGCCTGACCAACGGCGGGCCCGTCGCCGTGCTCTGGGGCCTCCTCGTCGTAACGCTCTTCAACCTCTGTGTGGCCCTGTCCATGGGCGAGCTCTGCAGCAGCATGCCCACCGCGCTGGGGCAGGCGTTCTGGATCTCGCAGCTGAGCCAGACGCCGCTGGGGCGATTCGCCGCGTACATGTGTGCGTGGATCAATACGTTTGGTTGGTGGACGTTGACGGCGTCGCAGAATGCGTTCATGACGGAGTTCTTGCTGGGCATGAAGGTCATGTTTGACCCGGACTGGGATGGCGCGAGTAAAGGCTGGGTGCAGTTCCTCGTCTATGTCGGCATCACGATTACTTTTACGGCCATCAACCACGTTGGATGCCGCAATGAAAAGTTTCTACCGGGCTTCAATAACTTTGTCGGCATCTGGTATGTCGGCTTGTTCTTCGTGATTGGCCTTGCGCTGCTCATCTCTGTCGGAATCAAACACGACCTCAAGTACCAGTCGGCCAAGTTTGTGTTTGCCACTTGGATCAACCAGAGCGGTTGGCCTGACGGCGTTACTTGGTTCATCGGCCTTGTCCAGGGCGCCTATGGCCTCACGGCATTCGACTCTGTCATCCACATGGTTGAGGAGATTCCTGCGCCTCGCAAGAATGGACCAAAGACCATGTACTTGTCCGTCCTGTGCGGCGCCATTTCTGGATTCATCTTCATGGTCATGTGCCTCTTCACCATTCAGAACTTGGACAACGTTCTAGACCCTCCTACAGGTCTCCCGTTTGTGGAACTCTTGCAGGAAACCGTTGGACTCAACGGCGCTGCTGTTTTGGTTGCCCTCTTCATCTTCAATGGCATGGGCCAAGGAGTCAGTGTCTTGACCTCTGCTTCTCGTCTTACGTGGAGTTTCTCCCGTGATGGCGGTATTCCCTACTCCGCATACTTCTCCCACGTCGACCCTACCTGGAAGGTTCCCGTTCGTGCTCTGTGGCTCCAAGCATTCATCATCAGCCTTGTTGGCATCCTATACCTCTTTGCAAACACTGTCCTGGAAGCCATTCTCAGTGTCAGTACTATTGCCCTGACCGTCTCATACGGCATGCCCATCGTTGTGTTGCTCCTGGTTGGCCGTGACAAGCTGCCACCGGGAGAGTTCAAACTAGGAAAATTTGGCATGCCGCTCAACATCATCTCCGTCATTTACTGCGTCATCACAACAGTATTCTTCCTCTTCCCTGGCGACCCTAACCCTGCGCCAGCCGACATGAACTATGCCATTGCCGTGTTTGGTGTCATGCTCGTCGCTGCCATTGGCTTCTGGTTTGTCAAGGGTCGGGTTTCATTCATGCAAATGGATGAAGAGCTGATGGGTGAAGCGGTGCGTGAGCTCTCGTATGACGAGCAAAACGTTCGCGTGGGTTTATCAGCAGATGCTAAATGAAAACTGTACGATTTTGATTGGTAGCGGAGTTATGGGCTTTTGTTTTTAGTTTAATTCTGTTCAATTCCTTACTGAAATAAAGTACATATTGAGGCTATCGAGCTTGTAGATGGTTTACTTTCTATACATAATATTGTGTGAGTTTTGAAGTTGCATATATGCACTTATTTTGGCGCGTGCAAAGAACATATTGGCTACTCATAAAATACCACTTAAAAGCATAGCATCAATGGGAAAATGAGATGAAATAATGGTATTCGATGCCAAATACAAAGCGATTCTAAGCTTATACTGCTGTAAAGAGGAGCCCGCTATTGCGTCTTGTCCATCCATCAAAAGAAAAGTTGTCTCACCACCATTTATTGATCTAATTGCCATCGTACAGCTTACCCGCAAAATCACAAATCAAGTCCAGCATAGCATCCAGCACTCCCTCCTCCGCCCAAAAGTGCCCTGCCGATCCAATCTCGTGTCCCTGGAACTGCGACCCCGGCTGCGAGCTCAGCCGTCCCACCCAAGCACGCAGCTTGCCAACGGGCACAAAGATGTCATTGTCTCCGAAGACGGCCAGGGTGGGATTCCGCACCAGCTTAGCCTCCGCGTCGTCTTCCTGACGTGGCTTCTGCCTTGCAAACACCGACGGGACCAACGACATGGTTGCGAGATGCGTAACGAGGCCTTGCAGTGGAGACACGAGGAGATAGGCCGGCCGGGGCGTGATGAAGCCGCTTACTGGTGAGAGCTTGCCCTTTGCCGGTGTTGCTGCTACAGGCGGACTAGATGATTTCTCGGAACTGCTTGTAGGAGAAGTCTTGCGGGAGGCTTTCTGTTGTCCGCGTGCCATGGCGGCGCGAGCCTCCTGCACCGCTTGGGTTTGCCTTTCAGCCCAGCTTTCAGCCCGCAGGCGTATTTGGGCAGCATGAGATCCACAGTCCGGAGAGCTGAAAGGCTCAAGGACCTGGTCAAGGGGCGGCAGTTGAGTAGTGATCATGGCTCCGTAAGAGTAGCCCGCCATCATCAAGACGGGCGGCACGGTCTTTTCTGATGGCGGCTCTGCCATGCGGTGACCAAATGGATCCAGACGATGCAGATAATGCGCCATGAAGCCGACGAAGCTGGTATAATCGCCGCATTCCGGCTTTGCCGTCCATGACGTTCTCCCGGCAGACCGACCAGCACCTCTGCATACATGAATCTCATTAGCGCTCACATACTCTTAATTGGTGTTATCATCCACGCGTACCTGAAGTTGAATGTCCCCAGCAAGTATCCTTTACGACGCAGCTGCTCAGCCGCAATGCCCATCAACGGATCATCAAAGCTCCCGCCCATCGGCGCATAAGGATGCGCAAACACAACGGCGTGGCGCTTCCAAGGCGCGGCGCCCTCTGTGTAGAACGAGTCTGGGTGATAGACTCGGCAGTCCAGCGCGGCCCCATCGTGGATGCTGGGGATGGTCAGCGTGAATGAGGGCTCGGGCAGCATCTTCTTCTTTTTCGCATTTTAGCGACAACGAGAGGCGAAGCTGGTGATGCTGATATCCGCGTGGTGGGTCGTCGTTTGTCGCAGAATGGAAGCTTTGCTGCGGAAAATGGGGAGGGTCCAGTTATTCACCTAAGCTTCCTAATCTTGGCTTCGCCTTAGCTTTGGGCGCGACGTCACTTGCCCAGTTGATCGTTTGCGGCGATTGGATGGTCGAGGCACATGATTTTTGTGATTTGATGCTGTGAAGAATCACAACTATCCGAAGCATAACGAGTAATGTGAAGAGTTGTGCAGAATTTCATGGGTATCTTTCTATTTTTTTTTAGAACATTTCTTGCTATATAATCTCTATAACTAACATTTATTTCTGCTTACTGCTTCTTCTTATTCTTAGCATCCAATGCCTTCTGCTTCAACTCCTTTATAATTCTCTTGGTCTCATTAATAAGTCCCATGACCAACGGTACAAAAATCGGCCCAAGCAGCGGAAGATAGACGGCAATCTTGTGCTCGTCTGGGAAATACAGCTGTCCTACCATGCTCTTCTCGAAAAAGGCCCTCTCTGCCTCTTCCTCCGCAATTCTTGCATGCTTTAGTCCTTCGGGCCCGCCAAGATCTGCGCAAGCCAGTTCCAAGTGATGCATCGTCTTCGAAACGCCATCCGCGACGTTCCGGGGGATCGAAATGGAAGGCAGCGCGAGTGATAGTCGTGCAAGCGACCCTAGCGTGGATGATGCACGAAGCAAGAGGTCGGTAGATCGGATGCGACCGAGTGTGGAAAGCCTCAATGGCAGGGATCCAGACTGAGGTGTGCCCAAGAGCGACAAAAGATGTCCGCCAAAAGTCAGCATTGGTTGCTTGAGCGTTGCAGTAGATACGTGGCTCTCCGTGTCTGGCTGAGATAGTAGGTACACGGTGCCCCATTGGGGAATCATCCATGACTGCGAAGTTTCTGTCTCTGCGTCCAATCCAATCGTCTGATTTCCAATGTATATGACAAAGTTGACTGTCGGCGCCTTACCAATAGATGGCGACAGCGGCCACTCGGCGGCATTGATAAACGAGGACAGATGCTCTTTGTTGAGCACTTGGGATTGCACGCCGGGGACAGCGTATAGCTGAACTTGTGTGTCGATGGTGAAATTGTGTATTGGACGCAAGACTTCTAGCATCGGCCGGATATACTCGTCCAATGCAGCCTCAATATCCCAAGTATTAGGCAACCCTCTATCGGTGAAGAGAGAGAAAGTAAGATGGTAGGTGGGAGCGTATCGTAGTGATCGAGTCGTTCTCTTCGAGAGTGTCTCTGCAGCCTCCGGGCTCAGACCCTGAGGACGCACGCCTGTGGACATGGACGAGGTAGAGAGAAGGTAAGATATGATGGACTGTTCCTCGGCAAAAGTGGCGCGAAGCTCGTTTGTAATGTAGGACGCAAGGGGCGATGATGACGACGTAAGAGACGGAACATGGTTTGGAGGGTAGGTTATGTCGAGTACGGCAGACTCCTGGTTAAGCGATGCGGAGCTACTCGTCCCCGGCTTGAGTCGAATCGTCAGGGCAGTTTGGAAATCGTCTCTCGGAATGGGCGCGTTCCGCGGCGCAAGCTCCAGGCGCAGATGGTGGCCGGAGAAGTCGTTCAGATCGTCCAACGCATGCTGGGTCAGTCGGATGAGATTCTGCGCTTCTTGATCTTGCAGGGAGTCCGCCTGTATTGAGATCTGGAGGGGAAACACCGGTCGACAGGCCTATTAACCATGTAAAGTTAGCTGGGGTTCGACAAGGCAACGTCCTGGGAGCATCGGATAGCCATACCTTGCCGTCAGCCCATTTCAGCATGCTATCCAAGGGCAAATCAGCGCGATATATCGCTGTTGTTTTCCACCAAAACGGCACACCAAGCAGAAGCACAACTAGCCAGAATGACAAGACGACATAGGATCGTTGTTTGATAGCCGACCGCTTCTCAGGAGGAGGCAGAGTAGGCGAAGGAGCTGCAGCAGTCGCAGGCGCAGAATCGCTGGGCGTAGAATCGCTGGGCGCCTGCAAGGGTTCTGATTCTCCAGGCGCCATGATTGCCGTCTTGGGGAGATGAGAGAGAGCGGCTGGTCCTGGATCGGCTATTGCGCAGAGTCAATGCCTTGATGCTCCAGTATACGTTGTAATGAATGGATGCTATATCTGGACCCTGATGGGCCTGAAGCTAAGTGGCATTAATGACATTGCCAGTCCAGGAACGGGAACTCAGCTGCGGCGCAGTCACGTGAATTGCTGGTATTACCTGCTCCTCACTTGCTATGTCGATACTCAACATCATCGGATTGATGAATCTTCACATATGCTAACAGATTGTTTCTTTATTTCATTTCTCGCTTCTTCTTATACCTCTTCTTCGTTTTCTTCTTGAGTTTGAAAAATCTCTATTAATTACTTTCTTGAGTCTATGGCTAATGTCATATCAGAGAACAAGAACCACGCTGCTACGGCTGCTAGCTGAACTCAGATCCAAGCCATAGGCAGCTTGGTCCAAATGTGAACCAGAATACATCGAAATCAACCAAAACGCCCATCTGTTCCCAGTCATTCCGCATATCATCATTAACCCGCGCACTGGTCAGGCTCCGTGTATTGCCTAGCCATGCGCCACCTACAACGTCGCCATAAACGCGGGCAGCGCCAGTCCAAGGCCTACAGCTATCCACTTCATGCGAACATGGCCCATCTATCGCCAATCTCAAATTAGCACACCGCTTTATTGTTATCCAGTGAAAGAATGAGATATAGCACGACTTACCTCTCCAACACTAGGGGCTGCTGCGCTGCTCGTGGTGGCCGCTGCTGCTGAGCTGCGAGTCGCAGTTGATGACTGCTTGCTGGAGCCAGTCGGGCTGCTAACTGCTGAGCCTGTCTCGGATGGAGTCGGCGAGTTACCTCCCGCCGTTGTTCCTGGAGAGACATCACCAGTGGCAGTGCTTGGTGCGTCTGTTGGAGCAGGACCGGTCGTGGAAGGACCAGTCGTTGCAGGACCAGTAGCGGCGGCGACATCTGCAAACTTGGTGCAGAGGCCAATCGCCCCAGAGTTCTTCTCCAAGGCGCTCCAGATGGTCGGGTGAGCGCTTTGCCCTGTGCTCACACAGGTTGCTACTGCGTTATCCCACGTGTCTGGGTCGTAGTTGTTGTTATCATCATAGCACAGACAGCTAGCCTGATCCTTGTAGGATGAGCTATCAAAGTTGGAGACAGCCTTCTCGCAGCTGGAGACGTAACGCTCAACGGCAAGACAAGCGTCGTGAAAGACGCCAAATCCATTTTGCTGCTGGAACTCGGCCATGCACTGCGCAACATCGCCAACCGTGCTTTGCGAGCAGCACTCCGTTGGCATGCCGGTGAAATCTACTGTGCAGGAGCCAAAGCCGTATGGCTCTCCCTGGCAGAAATTCTTAACACATGCTGATAGATGGGCGAGTTAGCAGCGAGGTCCTGGTATAGAGTGTGTCAACTGTGAAACTACTGACTCGGTGCAAGCTGTGCATTGGAGAAATCACATTTCTCAATTACAAACTGGCAGGTTGTAAACTTGTTTTGAGCCGACATTGTGACTTAAGATTGCTTCTTTGATTCAGCGCTTTTGACCTATTCAAAAATTCACGAAACACGAAACAGGGCATTAAATGCCAAGACTCCGGCTTTTAAATATCTCTATTGCTCCTACAATTACTTGATTATCCTTAGCAGAATGTTGGGCATGGGATGCCTCAATACATCTCCAGCCTAGTTTTCAGCTGGGACGATAGCGCGTAAATAATGTGGCGGTAATGGCAGACTATTGAGACGGCTAACCCAATACTGGCGACGATCGTCCAGGCACAGCAACCTCGTCTTGCCTAATCTGTACTTGGCTGTTCAGTTCACCGAATACTTCAGGCGATTTAGGGCATGGCTTCCATGTACGGCAGAGCGGGTGTGGCGAAGCTGAAATGAAGACAGCATAGTTGATCTAGATAGTATCAAGAGCGCAGCCACGTCTAGCTGGCTGTTAGTTGTTTGCTCCAGGGCAAGCATAGAAGCTATCTTTTAGCTTCGGTGAGTTGATGTTCTGGGCTCAGCAGATCAAGATCCCTCTCTGGGGCAGATTCAAGCTTATATAAAAGGTCTCGAATCATGTCGACTCCGGACTGTGGCGAAGACTTTGAAGTGACCATCTTTGTCCGGCTATATCGGCATTAAGCTGCCACTCGCAGTTGTATGATTTGATGGATGCGTTGCTATTTACGAAACATACTGATACGTGCAGAACACTATCGCCTAGGCATTTGGCAGAACAAGAGAGAGAAACAGGAACGGCACAGACGCAGGCGCTACCTTACCATGTAAACTACTTGGGAAGCTTTTCTTGACTTTTACGCCAATACACGTTCTCCAGAATTCGAAAATCATGGAAAACGATACCGCATATCTAATCAGGGGCAGGATCGAAATGATGCTCTAGCAATGTATGGATCTGGACATCCTCCACCACGTTTTCAAATGTTCCATTTACAAAGCACATGCATCAACTAGAGGCAGCTAACTCCTTTGCCTGTGTTTGACATGTGTCCCCAAATCAGATTATACTAGCGATTCCATAGATCCATCCAACCGAGCAATCTTATCTATTTATACATACGAATTGAACATAACGACGTATACTCATACTCTGCTCGATTGTTTGGATCCATCTGGCTCAAGCATCCCGAACCTGCAGCTCTACTATCAGATCCATTACAATGCGGGCTGATTGAAGTTCACCTTGACGTGAATCCAGCATACAAGGCGTCATCATACTCCTAGGATGCACAAACCCCGTCACATCCCATACATGCAATGGCGCCACGCTACGCATCACACCAACTTGCATGGCTGCGTTGCGCCGGCTAAGAAGCATGGGCGATCTCACTTTGTGGATCGATGGCATCTGCATCGATCAAACGTCCACAGCCAAACGCAGCGCCCAGGTCGCACTCATGCGAGACATTTACAAGCAATCCGCGGAGGTGGGCGTTTGTTTGGTGAGGAAGACGAGGCGAGCAAAAAGGCCATTCAGTATCTGGAGGATACTGCGCTGATAAGCATGGACAATGAGCGGGGAAACATATCTCCCTCTTTTGGCAGGCTTGCAAGTGAAGAAAGTCTAGGACGACCCAATTGGATCTCTGTTTGAGCGATTGGTTCTCTCGCATGTGGACGAATTCGGGAAATGACGTTGCCGCCGCAACACCAAGTTCAGGTCCTCTGTGGGAGTATCTTACTACCTTGGGGTATTTGGCTATTGCACTAGATATGCTGAAAGCATCGGACTACCGATGGGGGACTGTCATTATGTTGTGCGATTACAGGCGTTTTTGAGTAGATGCTTGACAGAGAAATGCTTGACAGAGAAGAGGGAAGGGAGTGCAATCAAGCCGAGTCTGCTGGATATTTGCTTTACGGCACGGAAAGAAATGCACAGATCCAAACGACCGAATCTTTGCCTACTCGGCATATCCCAGGAGCTGGACATGACGGTCCCATGCCCAGACTACTCGCACCCTTTGAGCCGCATCTACGCAACTACCACTGTGGCATGTTTCACAAACAACCTTTCCATCGAATTCTTCCATACGTCTCCTCGGATCGCAGGCGAGCTGGACTGCCTTCATGGGCAATAGACTAGGGAGACCCTGCTTGGCCGAGCAACGACGCCCGTGCGACGGTTACAAAGACACTGTTGTAGGCTAGTGGGCTGTCCGCTTCGAGATTGGACTTTTCAGAAGCGACGCTTCGTATTGAGGTGCAAGGATCCGTTGTTGATTCGGTACGGCAGGTTGGACAACCGCTGTCGACGAAAAGCCGACAAGAGTCGGTCGTTGACGAGAGGCTTGTTTTGGACGGCCTTGCTGTGGAAGCGAATGGCTAGTGAAACCGTGAGAATTCTGTCCATGATGTGCATGCGGCTGTTGAAATCTTTGCGAACTTGATTGAACTTGCAGCTTCTATTAGATATGGGTACTAACGAAGTAATGATGATGAGAGTAATTGGTATGATTTGCGTGACACGCTTCTGGAGTATCACAGTTCTGGAGAAAAAACGAGGAGTATGCAGAGCTTCGATCATTATTCTGGCCATAGTGCAAAGCCATCGAAACCTCTTCACTTGCAGCATCTCATCAAAAGCCAAGGCCTTCAGACCGGCCATCCGCAGCACTGCAGTCATTTCTGGCTCTCACTAAGTATTCTGGATCAAGATACTACTTCAAAGTCTGGCTAATTGCCGAAAAAAGGCAGATATTCATTAACGCAATCGGGTTGGAAATGTTAATGCGCTTATCTCGGGCTTACACAATGCCAGTCATTCTTAAGCCGACGGCCCAGGGGCAACATCTTTATACTTATCATGCTTATATACCTGGTCTTGAGGATGGCGAAAGATGGGACAAGGATGGCTTGCTCGCCCAAAGACTGTGGTTGGTAAAAGCGATCCTTGTAGGCATCCAACAACATTATAATACTGCATCTGGATATAAGTGATTGTGGGTATGTACCGGCCGCCAGTTGGCTGTGTCGCGATAACCACCGTTTTTATTTAGCATATTCTGCATTCAATAGGTGAAAGAGGTCGAATTTATTGATATATCACCTCGCACAGAGTAACGGTAAGTGGCACCGAATGAATAATGCTGCGACGTCGGAATTCAATTACCCTTACCGAAAGGTGTCTCAGCAGTAAATCGACTCAGCTCCGAACACTGTGTGGACAGCGGCCGGGGCTTTTAATCTAATGGTGAGTGGCGATACGAAGAGATGGTGATGGCTAGACGAGAGCATATGAACGAGAGCATATGAATGAGTTTGTTGCAGCAGTTATTCAGTGCCAAGGTGCCTGCCTTGGTATTCTCAAGTACATGTATACATGCAGTTTGCGGTAAGTCAAGTTCTTAAATTAGTAAAATATTGATCTTTGCTGGCAGAATGTCCATTCATAGGCATCGTATTACCCTCCCTTTACCGCTGCATCTGCATTGGTCTATAAACATTACCTATAGCAAGCTGATAGTGGCATATATATATATATGGACACTGCCCACAAAATTCAGAGTTACATGCTCAATATCCCAGATTTGGCCTTGATGCCAAATTTTCATTAATATCATTTAATAGTCGAAATAAGTTCGGTTAAGCAGTGTTAGCTGGAAGCACAGGACAAAAGCTTCCGCAACACAGCGCAACCGACCACGCGACAACCCATTGCACGGCATAGAGTCCTAAAAACGCACTGTATCTAAGGAACAGTATGGGAATTCTCAACTTGCCAGATTTAAGAAGTCGTCGTTATTGCTGAATGTGGGCAGGGCCGCGTTGAGACCTGAACGTATATGCATGCAGATGCAGCTTCGCAACATGACAGGCCAGGAATCCCAGCCTTTTGCCAATACTACCCCCCCCCCCCTTGCTCGATCCACTGTGGACGAATCGAAACCCCGCACGCCCAGAAGCAAAGATGGAACAAAAAAAGGGACGAATGCTCCATCTTGGACTGAGCCTAGAGCCTAGCGGCACGGGCAGCGTCGATGAGCCGAGGCATCGCCTTCAAGAGTTGCCGCTAAGGACCAACACGAACCGGGAACGTGAAGCCGCAGTGACGATGTGGTTTCTTTTCCCCGCTGTGGTTTTTGGCTGTAAGGAGTAACTGATTCGCGGGGGATGCGAGTCGTCGCGGCGTCGGGTTTCGGTCGTTGCGAGACTCCGATTGTTGGGGTACTGCTACTGTATTGCGAAAGTTGAGTTGTGAGTTGGTTGCGGTGATTGCCGTGACGAGATGTTGAGGACGAGACGCTTGTGGAGTAAAATCAGAGTGAGGATATAGCGATTTATAAACGGTACAAGAGGCTGACGCGACTATTGTCTGTACGAGTTACTCATCACACTTAGACAGCACCACGCGCAATCAGCACTTACACAATCTCATCACTGCAAATTGAGACAAATGAAAAGCCATCAAAAACAGGGATCAAACCCGCCAAAAACAAAAGCTGAACCTCTCCTCGCAAGCCTAACCACGCTTTCTCCGCGGCCAAGTTCAGCCGCTCTCTAGCTTCTCTTCTCTCCACATTGCATCTACCTATTGCACTTTGGCGCGCACAGAGCTACAGGTACGCAGGCAATATGCATGACGCCGCAATTCCAGCACCTCCGCACAAAAGTAAAACATCAGTGGAGAAATTCTCATTAGTCTTGTATTCTTTTTTTTTCCTCTTTCTTTTCCTTCATTCTAGATATTTCGCATGCTATTTAATACATCCTAATCCTATTGTCTCTTTTCCTCTAGAATTGGCATCTATCTATCATCTAAGCGTAAATACATTCCCCTTCAGCTCAAGTAACGTGTAATTTCCTTTGTTGTGCGATTCCATGCGTGTGCCCCCTCAAGGTACCCCAATTCACAAACACATGTATACATACATACATACATCCACTTCAGCTCCGAGAAAAGCATTGAGTGCTGTTGGGCCAAAGCCCGCCTAAATGCCGAGGCTCCCTGTCGACGGTAATCCCTTTCTGGCAACGAGCAGTATGAGATCACATCCATGTTAGTGAATAAGGAACGGAAAAGGAAGACAAGACAAGGACCGCCTTCCTGTATGAGAGGAGAGCTGAGAGGGGAGGGGTGGAAATTCGCCCCGTGCGATTCAGGCAAGGGAGGAGAGTCGGGCCAACACTCACGATTCATCGCCTACTCATCTCAACTCACATTATTCTCACTTACATCTACATACAATTCCTCTACGCCAAAATGCCAGGTGAGTTCTTCATACCATGAGTATCCATACTTTTCACTTCAATATCTTCTCTATATACATACTCTGGTCAGATAATAAAGAAACAAACAACTAACATCCCCATGCCAGTCCCTCTCCCCATCGTCCTCCCCGCCGCAGCCGCCTCGCTGGCCTACCTCAACGCCAAATCCGGCTTCTGGTACGACTACGCCCTCATAAAGTCCTTCGTCAAGGCCTCCATCCGCATCCGCCGCGGCCTCAGGACCGACACAATCAACCTCTTCTACGCCCTGGAGAGCCATGCCCAGAGCGCCCGCTACGCCAACAAGGCGTTCCTCATCTTTGACGGCAGGACGCACTCTTATGCGCAGACGTACGACAAAGTCCTCCGCTACGGCCACTGGATCAAGACCAAGTTTGGCGTCAAGCCCAAGGATGTCGTGGCCATGGACTTTGAAAACTCGGATACCTTTGTGTTTGTGTGGTTTGCGCTGTGGTCTATTGGCGCGAAGCCGGCGTTTATCAATTACAATTTGACGGGGAAGCACCTGGCGCATTGTATCGAGGCGGCGAGCACGAAGCTCTGTCTGATTGATCCGGCGGTGGCCGCAAATGTCGATGAGGAGAGCGTGAAGAGCCTGCCGAATGTCAACTTTGTCGTTTTCACGCCAGAGGCTGAAGCCGAGGCTGCATCTACAGCTCCCGTGAGGAGCCCAAACGTGGATAGGACCGACGATGCCATGTCCAACATGGCAATGCTCATCTACACCTCTGGCACCACGGGTCTGCCCAAGGCGGCGGTCGTATCATGGGCGAAATGCATCTATGGGGGGAGCATAGTCGAGACGCTCCTAAATCGTGGCGGCGGCGACATCATGTACACGGTAAAGATCCACCCCATCCACGTCTAATCAGTTAAGTCAGTTGCCGTACTCACATGTAATCATTTCAGTGTATGCCCCTATACCACTCCTCCGCCGCCATCCTCTCCCTCTGCTCAACCCTCGTCGCCGGCTCAACGCAAGCCCTTGGCCGCAAATTCTCAACAAAGACCTTCTGGGACGACTGCCGCGCCTCAAAGGCCACCGCGATCCAGTACGTCGGCGAGACGCTGCGCTACCTGCTCGCCGCGCCTCCGCAGATTGACCCCGTCACCGGCGAGAACCTCGACCGCAAGCACAACGTGCGCCTCGCCTTTGGCAACGGCCTGCGCCCGGACGTCTGGGACCGCGTCAAGGACCGCTTCGGCATCGAGACCGTCGCCGAGTTCTACGCCGCCACCGAGTCGCCCGGCTCCGCGTGGAACGTCAGCAGCAACGACCTGGGCCGCGGCGCCATCGGCCGCTCTGGCTGGCTGCACTCGCTCATCACCAACAGCGCCGCGGCCCTCGTCGAGGTCGACCACGACACTGACGCTCCCTGGCGCGACCCCGTGACGAACCTGTGCCGCCGCGTCAAGCCCGGCGAGCCCGGCGAGATGCTGTACCGCCTGCCGCCCGAGGACGTCCAGGAGCGCTTCCAGGGCTACTTCAACAACCCGGTCGCCTCCAACTCCAAGATCCTGCGCGACGTCTTCGCCCCCGGCGACGCCTGGTTCCGGTCCGGCGACATCCTGCGCCGCGACCCCAGCGGCTTCACCTTCTTCAGCGACCGCATCGGCGACACCTTCCGCTGGAAGTCCGAGAACGTCTCCACCGCCGAGGTCAGCCAGGCCGTCGGGCTCCACCCGGCGGTGCGCGAGGCCAACGTCTACGGCGTGCAGCTGCCGCATCACGACGGCCGCGCGGGATGCGCCGCCATCTGCTTTGACACGCCCGTGCCGGACGAGACGACGCTGCGGAGTCTGGCCGATCATGTTAAGGCGTCGTTGCCGCGATATGCTCGCCCCTTGTTCCTCCGACTTGTCAGGGAGGTGGGCGTGGGGAGCCAGACGACGGGGACGAACAAGCAGCAGAAGACTAGCTTGCGGGCTGCCGGGGTGAAGCCAAAGTTGAAGACGGCAACTGAGACCGAGGACGGCAGCGATGCCAGCAAGGAAGAGGAGGTTGCTGACATATACTGGCTCAAAGGTAATACGTACGTGCCCTTTAGGGAAAAGGAGTGGAGGGAGCTCGAAGGCGGAAGAGTCAAGTTGTAGCCAGTTTCTGTCGATGAATGAAGCGATGAAGACGATGATATCTACGGCGACTATTACATATGTTAGTCCTTGCAACTGCTACTCAGCACAGCGCGTTCTCATACCTTGGTGGCTTTGAGTCCATGTAACAAACTTGATTCAAACATCTATTACATAGATAGTCAGTATATACTACAAAATCAGTCTGTACTCAGTACACATGCGTCCACCGCTATAATATGCAAACCAGAAAACGAAGCATGCAATGCAATATGCAACATGTAAAATGCAAAGGCTCAAGAAAGGATTTGAAAAAATGCGCAAGTTTCCCCATTAGTTTGGCTCCAGGCAACGCTGCATCAAATCGTGGCCGTTCATCAGCCAATGCATTTCAACATGGCCCGCCGATGCTTCGTAAACCTCATGTGTATATACCTGGAACATCTTCCGAATCTTGACAAAAGAAAAGAAACCAAACATTTCCTCCATCACAAAAGAGATATCTACATAAATGACAAAATCGCTCATTATATAAACATCAGAGTTTTCCCAGCTGCTCCTCTTTACTTTCTCCTCTCTTGTTTTCTCTTGTTTTCTGTTTTTCCCATTTCAATTCTGTACAATGGAGGCCATCATCACGCCTCTCATGGGCCTGCAATTCCCAATCCCACTCGCTGGCCACCGGTTTGGCCTCCATAGTTTGCAGCGATTCCACTCGCTCCCATGCCTGCCGCGCCACCAGTTCCCGTGCCGGTCCTCTCTCTCATTCTCCGGCCTTCCATCAGACCTCGAAGGCCTCGCTTTTGCAGGCCAATGACACTGCTAAGCTCTCCATTCCAGATGACGCCGTCACGGTCATTATCGCCAACCTCAGATCCCCATTCAGATCCACTCGTGCTTGTTGCACCAGACATCTCTCCGCTGGAGGCATAAGACGTGTTGAGAGTTGAGTTAAGACTCAGGCTGCCCGTGCGTGAATTCAGGTCCGAGCCGAAAGAAGAGTCGTTGGTGGTGGTAGCACTGAGGGAGAAGTCAGATGTAGACACCGGAGATCCGACGGGATCAAGACTGCCAACGAAAAAGTTGGGATTAAGGGATCCATCGATGCCGCGGCCACCACCAGCAGCCATGGCCGTTGCGTTGAACACCGCCGCGGCATTCCTGCTATCGAGAAGGGCATGTAGACGCTCGACGACGGCTTCCAAAAGCCCGTCGACTCTATATGGTCGCGCTATTTGTAAGAGTGAGCAGAGAATCTGTGGCGTGCACAGTGAAGAGGCGGGTGAAGGTAGAGAGCTGGTGTACAAAAAGTGCAGCAGGGCTTGAATGGTCAAGTACGTGTGAGGTAGGTAAAGGCATCGAGGCCTTGAGCTGGGCATCAGACTGCGTGGTGTTGGCGCTACGTTAACGGCCGCGGCCGCTTCATCTCCGTTGCTGTGCGCTGCGCCGCCTCCTCCGTGATGGATAGGTCCAGAGAGACCAGATGGTCCCGAGACAGATCCGCCGACAGACCCTACCAGCGTTGCCGAGTCGTCGAAATTCCTATTATTCGGCGTAATGGTCAAGGCCGATGCTCGCAGTGGATTACTGGATAGACCAGATCGCAATGTCACAGCATCACTTCCGTCCTGCGTAGCTGTGCCTTCTCGAAGGAGCTGGACAAAGTATGGGCCCCATCTGCGGGCAACAATTCGAGAGTTGACTGGTATTCGCTCCCCGCCGATGCACAGGATGTCCATGTCGGACAGCTCCCGAAACGCCAGTATCTTCTCTCCCAGGTCTTCGCTTGCGCGAGAGTGGAACCGGCCGCCAGCAGTAGCACCAGCTTTGCGCGCAAGGCTTAGGTTCATCCCAGAGTACGGGCTGCTAGCCGAGACGAATCCTGACATGGGGTCCACCTTGCGCGGGTTATCGAAGAAGCCAAATGCCTCAAGCTCTACCATGCAGACGTTGGAAAAGTTGATACGACGATGGTTGTAGTCGTCGACTAAGCTTCTCTTCCTGTTGCCCAGAATGACAAATGTATTACGTCGATTCCACAAAACACCTCTGTTCCAGCTGCCTTGGCTGAAAACGCTGCCTCCGGCGTCGATCCGACTCCAAGTGAGAGATCGAAGATCCAGGGCCCAGAGCGCATATTCCTGCTTCGATGACGTGAGGTATGTACCGCTGACCACAAAATGAGTATCAATGACACCACCATTGGGGAAGCGAAGGCCAGGCGGAGAATAAGTTCCCGACATGGCCCTTTCGGTCAAAGTTCCATCGGGACCCCTGATCTGGAGCTCCAACTTGACATCTAAGAAGTTATAATTGGAGTAAATAAGCATTGATGATCCCGGTTCTTGACCGGCAGTGCTCTCGGTACGCTGCTGGCCGTTCTGGGCGTTCATTCCAATCCTTGCGCTTACTGCCGGGGGCAAAGACGCGGCGACACTCCTATAGGCGCCGCAGCTCTTGCCCAAAGGCTGGTTCGTCGTCCACTTGAGGCTTCGGAGATTGAATACGCTGATTTGTTCGATGTAGTGGTTCGCGCCATCCTGTCCACCGACAACAATCAACTGAGCGCCTCCAGATCCGTCAATGTTGATGCCAATACGGCCTTCGTTGGGGTTGCCGTTGGATGGGTTGTGCTGGAGAGCGGAAAGAGGGGCGGCTTTTGAGGAAAATGTAGCTGATGAAGAGAGAATGGTCGCACAGTGGGCATAACGTCCTTGGGGGGGATCTTGTGCCGGCACATAAGACCATGTTTTTGTCGGGGCGTCATAGATGTGAATGTCGGACATGACGGTAACTTCGGGCTGTTGCTGGTCCGCTCCCATGGGCTGATTTGGCGCGGGAGACATGCCACCATAGCAAACCATCTTGGTGCCGCCAAGAGGGCACATGGAATGAAAGTATCGCGGAGGTGGAACATCACCAGATACTTCGAGTCTCGTCCAATGCCGGCGTATGAGGTCCAGCTCGTAGAGGTCAGAGGTGAGAGGCGCTGGACGGTTTCGAGTGAGGATCCTGCCGCCAAACACATACAGGCTATCGCCCAGAATCGTTGTCGTAGCTCCTACAAGCGGCGGGGGCTCCTGTCCAGTAGTCCTATGTACGTTGCACATCAAGCCCGATAGATGCGCTGAAGACCCTTGCGAAGGGCCGCCCACTGGAGTAGCAGCAGATGGGGTTTGCGCTTGAGGCTGCCCAATAGCGGGCGACATGCCTGCTGATACAGAACCATTGCTCCGTGGAGTCAATCCTTCCCTGTGTCCGTCTCTGTATTCATCACCACCACCACCACCGCCATATCTCGCCGAGCTCAGTGTAGCCATATTGTCTTGAGCATACGAATTCTCCTGTCCAGAGGCACCATACATCTGGTGGCCAGCGGCCGAGTTATTCGGATCCATAACGTCTAATCGATTATCCAATCGGGACTCCAAAAAGCGACTTTGGGGCGTATCTACGGGGGTAGAGCTTTTGGAAACGGCCCCAAAGGTAGCGGGTGTAGTCGTTGGGGCGACGACGGGCGTGGGATTTGTTTGAGCCGGCGTCTCTGGCAATGGTTTCTCGAGGCTGTGTTGTAGACTCAGCTGTCTCGCATGCTGCTGCTGAACCCTGGATATGGATGATGCTCTGGATTGGGACGAAGATCCTCCGTGGGACGCCGAGGTCGCGTGGCCCTGCGCAGCCTGGGTAGAAGGTTTTCGAGCGAGTCTACTGGAATTGTGTACAGGCCCTCGATGTGCGCCGTTGGTATTGCTGTTGTAATGATCGGTATGCGCACGGGGATCATTGGCCCCAGAATCGGAGTAAGTATAAAGGCTATTCGGCGGAGGGCTCTGTAAACCAGTCAGTGGTCCATATTCGGCCATGGCGTCGACCAATGCGTCGAGAGGCGCAAAAGAAAGGAAGAAAACGGTGGTTGAGCGCCGTCCGCAGGATCACGAGCGCAGGTGGAGGGAGGTGTATTAGGGGGGAGGCGAAAAAGAAGGAATCAAGAAAGGAAAGATGAAAGATGACAATGACAGTCCCCTTCCGGCAAGCTTGTCAGATGGGATCAGCCCGTTCCTGGCCAAAGCAAGTATGGGGGAAACTGGTATGTAATATGACCACTTCCGCCGGACAGCAGGGGGGGGGATCTCTTCTGACCGCACCGTGGTCGAGATTGCAAGACGTTCTCGCCACAGCACCCTCTGCTCGTTCAATCTCGTGCTTGCAGCAAGCAGCCGGGAAGATCTTCAGGAGCCCCGGGGCAGCGGTGATCCGGCAGCCGAGGAATCTCGAGCGGCTGAGCGGCAGGGCAGAGGAGCGAGATGCAACACGACACAGGGGCTTCGCCTCGACGAGCGAGAAAAGAGCGCGGTGGCCACCATGGCATGAAATGAGGCCTCAGCTGGCGGCCGAGGCGAGAGTCGCAGACGGGACGGGCACGAGGGCTGGGAGAGAGGGCATGACGTACCATTCAAAGGCGGCGGCCGGAACTGTCTGAAAGGGCCAACGTCGCACTCGTTGTTCGCTCTGGAGATGTGCGCTGCCCGTTTGGCTCGCGCGATGGAGCTGACGATGTGGGCACAGAGGGAGTTCGAGCAACAAAAAAAAAAGTCTCCAGCAAGACAGGCGCACAGACGCGAAGAAGGGGGGGGCGCTGTTAGTGGACTTGGAAGACCCTACAGGCACCTACAATGGCTCAATGGCGGAATAGCACGCTGGAGCCGGCGCTACAGCTGGAGGTGACAGTGACAGGCGGGCTCTGATAGGCTGTTTCGAGCAGACAATTGGGGCGACAGGATCGGTGGCGGGAGAGTTTTGGCGTATTGAAGCAGCAGAAAAGAGATGAAGTTGACGTTGACGTTGGAGCTAGACAGAGAATAGCACGACTCGATTCGAGGTACAGAAAGAGGAAAAGCAAGACAAAGAAACAAGTACCACAACGGCGGCCATCGGTACATGTACTCTACTACTCCAGCTGGAGAAGCATCCGGCGCTTCCTGAAGAGTGGGCGCTACTCCAAGTCTCTTATCCTCGCGATAAGCCGCTACCTGTCGTGCAGCAGCCGCAGCGCCCAGACCCTCGTCGCGACCTATCTATAGGTACAGGGTCCCTGCTGCACCATGCACGCACGGCGCCAAACTGCTCGCCGTATTCGCAGAGCCTGCACGTAATTATGGATATGAGGCCAGCTGATGATGTAAAGCAGCATTTGGGGCAGCTTGGCAGCATAGGGCAAACAAAGACTCGCTGTTGGCTGCTGCCAATGCAGGCGACGTCAGGGGCCCTGCAGGGGAAGCGTGGTGGTTCCAAAAATGAGGAGAAGGCGAGGGTTGAGGCTGTACATGCACGTATATGCAAACCGTCCGGTATTGATCCTGGGCGAACAAACAAGGAAACCGTGTCGTTTTTCTTTTTCTTTTTGTGTTCAAACTCTGTCTTGTTTTTGTCACTGACTTCATGTGCTAGCACTATTCCGTTGACTGAATCCCGTCACCTGAAGCAGCTCTGTGCGGCTCATTGTCGCTGGGACATATCGCAGCGCATACACATACAAGTAGAATTTCTCGCGTGGGAACCCCACAGGGCCACACTGATCTTCGTCCTCAGGTCCATCTATTGATTGGAACCTTGAGTCGAACAGGCTTCTAGATTGTCCGCTAAGCTTCTTACCAGTTAGACGCTGATGCTAGCACCGGGTCCAGCCATTGCTCCCCCTCACCGTAGACCAACACAATCTTACGATTATGAGATGGAGTGCAGCAATAAGAGTGTAGCTGGTGGAATTGGCCTCCTTTTGCTGCGACTCAATCTCAATAGGGGTTATGATCCGGGCTATGGAGCACCAGACCTTTCTGTATCTGTAAGTGTGCATGCGTGTATGTAAGTGCTACTACTGGTACTATATCAGCAGCAACTTGACAAGCGCGGAGGCAGAGAGTGGACACAGCTCGGCAGCAAAAAAAGAGAGGGGGCTGGTCAACCATCTTTACCTTCTTCTCTCTTTCTCGTTGAGCAGGCATCACGTTTTGATTCTCGGTTGTCCAAGCTGTTTGTTGGGCTGAGATGGCCCCGTCTGCGTGGATACTGGCACCAAGCATGCCCCCAGTACTGCGGTCACTGGGGCCGCAGGGGCCACGCTCTTCTTTGCAGAGATAAAGAAAAGAAACTCGGGGCTTGGCAAATGCGTCAATAATCTGAATTGATGGCAATGAGCACGAGGACAGGAGCGAGGAAGTCGTGCCATCGGCTCGCTGCCGTCTCGGCTCCACACTCTCTTACTCCTTGTTGTCTAGAAGCCTCGGGTCTTGTCCGTCATTCATGCTACATGCACATTCTTGCCGTCTTCTCAACGGGCTTTTTGCCGAGAATCCTTCCAGACTCATTCTGGCGCACCGCTGCCGGACAATGGATGGTCCAGGGTTCTTTGTCACTTTTCCAGCCGGGCATATTAGCACGTGGAATGGAATGGAGATGCTTCCAGGCTAAACCACTTTGACTCGTCATGAAACAATCGGCCCCGTTTAGAGCATGGCAATGGCAGACGTCAGTGCTCGAATAGATGAAAACCCCTGACTGCCTTCGGGATTGCCTGATTACGTGATTTCCGACGTTTGCGTTTTTTCCTCATAAGCCTTTTTCCAGAAGGAGTCGCCGCTGCATTGAGTGGATGGAAATTGGCTTGCGCTGAGCATTATCTCGTGGGAAATGACATGGATAGAGTACTTGCACATTTGCATTCCGTCTGCGAGGACGCTTAAGGAGGCTTGAAATAGAGCCCGCTTGCAAGCATCAGCATAAAGACTATTTTTGACAGCCGGTATTTGCGTATTTTGTTACGTATCGCTGATGCATCTGTTGTCGATCATGATGCCACTTTGAAGCATCTAAACTAGATAGTACGATACTATCCTCGAGCCGCAATTCCAACTGACTTTGCTCCTTTGTCTCCTTTTCACCGAATTTTGCGCAAGATTTTCTTTCCATCTCAAGGCTTAGGTCTCTCTGCACTGCCATGATTCGTATCGGTCGTGTTGCTCTCGGTTGCTTCGCAGCCCTGGAACATACTTATACCTGCAAGTGTCTCTACCACAAACCGTAGCTTAGTGAGTTATCTTTTCGGTTCGACTTACAAGTATATACTGAAGGATCGAAGACAACTGTTTATCACCGCATTAAGCTCACTCAATTGAATGCTTATATAACCGGAAGCTGTAATTAGCCAACATTTGAAGTGTAATTTAATGAGGCTCCAAGAGCTTCAAAAAGCTGTAGGGTAAGACGGGACACTTGCGGATGCAATTCCGTCTGCCGAAACTTTAACGCGTAATGCAGTCATAGTGACTGCGAGCAGCTACCCCTCTTCACCTTGCAGTATCAAATCGTTACAACTACAATTGAGATAAAATACGAGAAGTTGACGTGGATTTAACATCAGCCTGGATAGGCGCAGCTCTATCTTCCACCCCCCGGCCTTATCCACTAAATGTCTAAAATAAGATATCCCGAAGACACCAGCTCCAGCCCCTCGATGGATACGCCAAGCGAGACCACTATCCAAGACACTTGGGATGGCCGCAACTATTCCGTGCCCTGGCCCGGCGGCGTCTATCGAATCTTCGAAAAGGGCACCGACAACGTAATCGCCCTCAAATCCCGAAGTCTCTGCTTGCGCGACGTAGCAGAAAGCCACAACGGGTATGATCTCTGGCTTTGCGTCGAAGCACACGGCTACTTTGGATTCTTCAACCCCAAGTCGGGCACATATCTAGGCCACAACGGTAAACGAGACGAGATATATGCATCTGCCGTGAAATTCAAGGCCTGGGAATGTTTCACGCCGAGAAGCCATCCTGATGGCGGATACCAGCTGCTGACGCCATACTATGAGAGCACGTTGAAGGTGGTGTCTGTTGCTGATGACGGCCGTAGCCTCGTTAGAAGGCCTCATGGGACGACCTTGTGGGAATTTGAGAAAGTGTCAAATCACTGAAGCGCTCGAGATTTGCGCATTTTTCTGTCCCTCGCTCATATATATGCATTGGCTCGCAAGTTTCACTGAGCTAGCCTGCTATTTTGGAATTTTATAAATAAAATCTGTCCATTACACTCATCAACACTCTCACTAACACTGCACCCAAGTATTCCATAATTCTATGGACGTGATGCACACTTCACGAAGTGAGCTTGAACAAGCCTTGGATAATTAAAAAATCTAGGCAATATTGAGCTTACACATTAATCGGCCTGGTATCACAATAATGCAAAAGTGACAGCGATATCAAACAAGTTTGAGAAAGCTGCTTCGAATCTTTTGTCTTCATGATTTACCAGCGCCATTCTCAAATTTTGAGAGTCTATAGCAGCAGCCTCGCTTTTCACCATTTAACACCTGCATGCTTGCCTTCGATGACTTGATGGTATAATAACAAGGCGACTGCGTAGTTAAAATGGGTTGGGAATGTGTGGGCAACAAACGGCACCTATTTCTGAGGCCCCGCACTGTACTACGGGGGACTTCAAATCACATGCAGCCAAATTCAAGGCCTACCCTCGTTTGTGCACACATTCCCCATATGCTCGGGAGACCAATAATAGCGATTTCACAGCATTTTGGCGCTCCCCTAAAGCCTTGCCCTGTAAATTCCTGCAGCACGATGAGATTTGACAAGGAGACCAGCCAGAGCACTTTCACAGCATTTTGAAGCTCCCTCGAGGCCATTTCACAGCATTTTTAAGCTTCCCTAACGTTTTGTGCCATCGGCCACCGTAAACTCGGGCATTTTCTAGACTTCACTGCAAAGAAAGTGGATTATGGAAAAAGAAAATGTTTATAAAGTTTGGTGGTATCTCTTCATTATCCAATAACACGGCCATTTGCCCAGCGCTCAGATCAAAATATCCAAACTCCCCTCGCGGGTTGTGATGAAAGATTCATGTCATCTTTGACTTTTGCGTGGCACATGCCAGCCCTGTCCAAAAAGCGCCATGCTATTTTACTTTCTGGCAAAGCTTGCTATTCCCCCCTCTTAGCGTTTTTTATAGTATTTTTTTTTTTAGATTTTTATTTGCTTCTATAGCCTTCTCGTCTATGAGACCTCAGGCAGGGCAGTCATGCGCAGGTAAGGCTTGATGGTCTTGAAGTTGGGGAACAGCTTCCTGGCCTCATCGTCCTTGATGACGGGGGCGACGATGACGTCCTGGCCGGGCTGCCAGTCAATGGGGGTGGTGACGCGGTACTTGTCGCCGGTCTGGAGGGAGTCGATGATGCGGAGGACCTCGGCGGCGTTGCGGCCGGTGGAGGCAGGGTAGGAGAGGATGGTGCGGATCTTCTTCTTGGGGTCGATGAAGAAGACAGAGCGGATGGTGAAGGCAGTGCCCTTTTCGTCGACGTTGGTGGCGTCCTGGTGGTCGATCCTGTAGATGTTTCGTTAATATCGGAAGCTCCCTCTTTTCCACATATATAGCTACATGGATACTGAGACTTACATATCGTAGAGCAGGGAAACCTGACGAGACTTGTCACCAATGATGGGGAAAGTGACATGACCGCCAGTGACCTCCTTGATGTCGGAGATCCAGGTGTGGTGGGAGTCGACGGTGTTGGCAGAGAGACCAATCAGCTTGACGCCGCGCTTGGTGAAGTCGGGCTGCAGCTTGGCGAAAGCGCCCAGCTCGGTGGTGCAGACGGGAGTGAAGTCCTCGGGGTGGGAGAAGAAGACGACCCAGTTGTCGCCAATGAACTCGTGGAAGTCAATGGGACCCTGAGTGGTGTCGGCCTTGAAGTTGGGGGCTTCAGAGCCCAGACGGAGGACGGCAGCCATTGTAATGGGTAGTGTGTTTTGTAAAAGCTTGTGGTGTTTAGGAGAAGAGCAGTTCAAGAGAGAGAGAGGAGGAAAAAAAGAGAGTTTCTCGACGAGCTACTTTATATATCTCGCACTCCATCGACAAAACGTAATCGAGGGGTCCATCAACGCAACCCAAATCACCCAACTTCTCTCCAGCCGCCCCTCCCCCTCCATCTCATCATTCATTCCTATCTCATTTAGCTACTGCCCCTCCTTTTTTTCCCTTCTTAACACACACATGTTCTTAAGAAAGCACACATACCTATTGAGCAATGCCTGTTTGCTTACGGAGCTAAACATGATGAGCTGGAGGGGCGGAACCCCTCATCCAGCCATTTCCTCCCCAACCCAGCATCCAAGTTAAGCCATCTATAGCAGTGAACCCCACGATCCGCGCCAAGTGCCTGGTCTAAGGTGGTCCTCAAAGCGGCAAGGCGCCACGATTGCGTGCTGAGCTCGTCGCCTCATTGGCCGGCTGTGCGCATTTTGCAATTCGAGTCTCTCTGACGCAATGGGGCGCTTTGCGACTAGCTCCCGTGGGGTCGTTCTTTTTCTTTCTGCTTCTGTTTGTTTATGCGATAGCTGCAAGCTCTTTGGAGCAGAAATGAACAGGCATGCAGCTTACGGGTGGTCGGCGATGGGGCCACCGCCGCCGATGGGCCGGGAGGAGGGGCAATGAGAATTCGGCGGTTGCATGAGGCAAATAGCCACAGAACAGAGCAAGGTCCAATAAAGCATTCTAACTTGGCGCTTCCAAAGTAAGCCTTTATTTAGTAGAATATAGACATAGTCGTACACTTGATTAGGTGGACTCATTGAGACTAATGGTTCTGGAACCTTTGGGGCCAAGTCAGGCTCATTTCTCTCAACGTGTTGCTTTAGTTGCTTACCCCATGCTATTCATTGAGAATCAGTCGCAGGTTGTCGGTAATCCAAGTAATAACCACTCGGATCTGGAATCATTGAAATCATGATCCACTTGTCGTCTCACTCAGGAAAGAGTAGGCGAGCTGCGCAGAGTCATTTGGCTTGTAGATTTGTGGGAATGAGCAGTTTTCCGTTGATGCCACGCTGGCCATGATATGCTGCCAGAGTCATTCATTCATTTTTTCCCCTTAGACTATATCATTCTTGTGTTGTCTGCCTAGGAAATATTCTGTGCAAAACGTAGATAGCATATGTAATCGAAAGAGAATTTGTACAACACAGAACATCAGCCTTACCCACGCCTTGGCTTCCAACGTTTACCATTGTCAATAAACTGCCGCAGGCTAACTCGTCTTGCTCGTCTAAATCACCCCATACCAATCCCATCTCACGAGTCTAAAATGGCCACTCAGCCGCCGCGCGCGCATGTTAGTCTGGCGTATGATTAATACACGCTCACCCGAGATCCTAGACCCAAGGGCGAGCACCGACAGCCCGATATCCGCTCTTGAACCACTTTACGACACAAAAGTATAAACGCAACACAAACAAGCTCACTTAATACCCGGTGGTGAGCAGAAATGAAATCGTGCAAAAAGGAAACAGCATGAATGATCATGTGTTGAAAAGTCAAAAAGATCGACCACGCCAGGAGTCGAACCTGGAATCTCTAGAGAAGGTGTGTAAACCGAAATTTCAGTGAACCGAAATCTAGCGCCTTAGCCATTAGGCCACGCGGCCCGGGGATGTTATTGACTTGGATCATCCTTTTAGTAGTAATAAACGCAATAGCCATCCATTTTCGCCGAGGATATAAACGCCAGAAACTTTCTACGAGGCAAGCAGGCGATACGGTCGTTCCTTCCATCATCGCAGGTGCCCAGGAGCTAGCGCTGTGTCAATTGCCTATTCTGGTAATGTGCCCATTAAGGTAAGCGGCAAAGAAGATTGAATAGCTGACTGATGTTATTGTTGTTGATTCATCCATCCTCTGACTATTTAGAAACGCATTTCTCCTCTAGCTAATACGATCCCCCTTCTCTTGTGCCTGATGCTCACGCCGAAAAGTAATACTGCCACCCCTTGCCCTGAATTCAGTAGCTTGATTTCCAGTTATCCTCTATACCATTGATGGGCTGTCCAAGAAAGAAAAAACACTATTGACAAAGTCGCTTATAAACAAAAGGAGAAAAATAAAAGAAAACAGGGCTTTCCGGCGGTAAACAAAGTATGCGATAACGCCATTCTATGCTTGTATTCCGTGCAGCCTTGGTATGTCAAACACCAATGCCGTCCTTCCCCTCCCGTCACCCGGTGGGGTATATGATCGTCACATTAGAGACCTCCAACAACTTGGCCTACAGGACCAAATGCGCCGTAATCAGCCGGTTTGGCAACTTGGCAACTCCTTCGATGAATGCGGGCTGATTATCATCTGGATCACTTTCTTCCGTCACTAGCTCCACCTCTGTGTCGCTTGTGTGGTTTGGTTCGCTCGTCTCCATTTCATCGACTGGAGATATCACAGTGCCTAGCAACGGTACTGCGAGGTCATCCCTGCTAGCATCAAATGGTATCGGCCCTCTTGGTTTGAGATGGATGATATTTGCGGATTCAGCAGTATCTAGTTCCCCGTTCACGCTGCGTGGAGGGGTTAGGGGCCTGGAAAAGCTGAATATTGGGTTTGGCTGGGAGCGAGATTGAGCGGCAGCGAGCTGAGGCACATGCGTTTGGCTCATACTTGATCTTTTCATCTGCGGCTTGCGAAGAGGATTAGGAGCTAAGAGTCCTCGGCCTCTCGAGGTAATTTCAAGGCGCTCTTCCTCAGCTGTATCCGAGTCCGTGATGTCGCTCTCCAGAGCCAGACCGGCTCCTGGCAACATACGAAGACTGCCACCGGAACGTCGCCGCTGACGCTTCTGGCCATGGCTAGCAACCGGTAGTCCAAGATTTGGCTGATCGAATGCCTGGTCATGCTTATGCTGCCGCAGGCTACCCATGTATGAAACAAGACTTCTCAGATTGCTCTGGCTCTCTGAAAAGACGACTCTTGTCCGAAGTCGGTGCACTGCCCGATCCAGTGCTAGCTCTATGGCACAGCTGTCACGTATCCTGGAAAGCTTTGGCCAAGTTGCTCTTTCACCAGCAAGACAACATTTTAACATGAAATCAACGGAGGGGTTGCTAAGAAGCACTGGAAGGTTGTCGAGCGACATGTCGGGCAGAATGTTGATATTGCCAGAGTACTTTTGACTGAGAACGCTTCGAAATTTTGTCATCATATTTGGGAAAAAGCCCATTTCAGCCATGAACTGTAACCGATGGAGGGCCTCGTCTCTGGCCAGCGACGTGCACGTATATAGCCAGTCCATCTCATCGCCAGTGCTTGCGCCAGTGCTGGCACTCTTGATGATATGTTTGTTTTCGGGTGACAGGTGATCATCTTTGGAGAGAAACGGAGTGACGTGAGGGTTCACTTGAGATACGATGAAGTGATTGACGTTGAACATTTCCGCGAGGCGTGTCATGGGAAGATCATTGTCCACCGAGCCATCAATAAACCTTTGTGGCGTTGGATTCCATTGACGATGCTCGCCTGTTATAGGGTCTTTAACGAGCAATGGCGACGCATTGAAGATGAGAGGCACCGAGCAAGATGCTGCCACGGCAGACCAGACCATGACATTGGGCGAAGTGACGTAGTTGAGCAGCCGCGGCAGCTCGTATACAGATGCGCTGGAGACACAGATGTTGAGGATGCGGCGTGTGCGATTGTACGCCTCTTGAAACGTAATGTCACCCATCATTCCCCTCATGACTCTCCTAAGGTGGGCAATATCTGACCAACAGCCTTCCGTCAATAAGCGGCGAAAGTGGTCCAGGAGGCCATCTTGGTTATCTTGGGCTTCGAATACCGCCAAGTCTCCATATGGGAACTCTTTGATTAGCTGTGGAAGCTCTTCGTCCGTTCTCGTACACATGACGGCACAGACGATGCTTCCAGCGCTGGCGCCAGATATAATCCTGGGAAGCAGTTGGTTTTCAAATAAAGATTTGAGGACACCGACGTGCGCCATGCCAAACGTCCCGCCCCCAGATAATAACAGGGCACTTCGCCCAAAGCTCTGGCGCGCAAGTAACATGCCCTCCAGCAGATCCTTGTGTGCGATGCCCTGGTCCGTCGCATTGTGGACAATAGCAGCATCTATAGTTTCGATTGTCGATTCAACGTAGCGCTCGATCAGCGTCTTTGTGCCAAGGTAGGAATGCCGGTATAGATCGACGTTGCCCATCCCGCCGAGATCGCGTGACAAGGAGGTTCGGATGAGGTGCATCATGGTGCGGATATCGTGGCTCTCTCGGGCCTCGTCGAGCGCTTGAAGCCGCTCGTCAATGAGCTTGGGGTTATAGTCCCCGCTATCTGGATCCTGTTTCCAATCATCGTTGCCTTCGAGAGCGTCGAGTTCCTGCGCCGTAGCTTGCCATTGTTTCAATGTTTCGGCCTGTCTCGTCAGTTCTAATCTGGCCACGCCAAGGGGATCAATAGGCACGTACACTCTTCATGCGCAGGTAGAGTATGCTTTTTCTTTCCTCGACCAGCCTCGCTTGCTCTCTCTCCTCATTACTCATACCATCTTTCCAAGATCGTAGGAGGTTGGCCGCCCCCTTGACCGTCTTGGTGACGGTTCTCAGGAGCGTCCGGTCCACATACGGCAGAGGCTGAGAGGACGACGAGCTCTTTGGTCGCTTGGGTGATTGCGGAGAGTTGCTGCTGCTGTGTATCGGGCGTATCGGAGATGTACCGAGAAGCAGATCGGCCATGACAAGGCTATCCTGCGTTTACAAGGGCATCCAGCAAGCGAGGAGGACGTTCAGGTCGACAATAGGAGGGTTCGGCGCGGCTTCAGTCCCATTCCAGGCTGCTTTGGCAGGTGCAAGAACACAGTAAGAGAGATTATCAAGTAGATAGGTGTTATAGAGCGATGCGATCCAGGAAGATATATTGGCGACAGGAGAATGGAGACGGGGAAGCAGGAAGTCTGTCGTGGAATTTGTTGGATCTGGGGAAGCGATGCCGGGCTGAGGATGCAGCACCACACTTGGTGGGAGCATCTGACCGCTCTGCCACACCCGCTGATGGCATCTGCGTGGGGACCGTTATAGTGGCATGGAGTCAGCTTGACATTGGCGGCCGCCGTCTGGTACTGCCGGAGCGGTACTGGTACCAGCCGGTAGTTGGTCACAGTGCGCTAAAATACGCCCAAGTGTTCTGTGGAGTTGCCCCAACCGAACCAGCCTGAGGTACTGTGTACTTTCGTCTGATAGCAATCGCCATTACGCCACGTACCATGCATCGCTGCTGCAGGCCACCCACATCTCCCGCAGCGCGTCCACGTGCTGTAAGGCCGCTGTGCTGTTGCCCGCAGCACGCTGACTCTGGGGGTTTGCAGATGCTGGCGATCGATATGTCAACCTTCACATGCCAGAGCATCAGTTAATAGCCGCACTCTCTTGGGACTCTCTGCAGCGTTCTGTAGCGATTGGGCACAAGCACATGCTCCGGCGGTACCCTGGCGGCTCTGGTCGGGTACTGATCGGGCTGCCACTGGCATCCGCAGCCCGGAGTCGCGGTACTCCAGAATCTGGTGCCCCAGGTCCCCAGACTGTACTCTGCCGGCCTAGAGGCGGTAAAGCCTAGCTCTATCTAGATGGCCAGATTCCAATAAAGCTCTAGAAAGGGCGGCCTGGCACCGCGGGTTCCGAAACGTGCTGCATGACGTAGCGAGCGCGCGAATTGTCTGCTGATGTTACGTTCATGTTGTCTTACCCTGACGGCAGAAGCTGAGCGGCTGGGCTCTTCATTGCTCGAATCCTCGCTTCGTTAAGCTAAAGAATTGTTGATGCGATAGTAGCTAATAAGAAGGCATTTGGAACAGCATCGACATGTCACGCTGACGTCTTTTGTGTTATGCCGTCTAGGGCTATTGATTCAGTGTTATTCCCGAAGAGGCACACCACGTGGGGAAAAGCGATCTAGCGAACGCTACGCAGGTACCTGTGTACTTGCAAAGCTCGTGCTACGACATATGGCCGTGGAACAGAGGACTGTTTATCATCTGTTTGTAGGACAAATGAACTGGTTAAATGAGTCAACAGATACGAAGCGATAGGCCTATTTGCTTTTGCAATCCCCAAAGTCTGCCATATTTGGCAGCATTATTCAAATAAGCTGTCATATGGTGTGACGTGTGTAAGCCGCCTGTGACTCATGTGCGCATGTGGGAATGACTGGAATTTGATTGCAGCAGAGTAGTGAAACGACATCTGGATCAAACATTACTATTAAAAGTAGAAGATTCGCATATTTGGATATCGCATGTAAAAACCATAGTTTTCATTAGGCAAGCGCATTCCTTTGATCTTGAAAACGGCGGATTTAAAAGCGATTCCCATCGAAGCGAGACATACATAGTGAATCACGAAGTCATGGAACAAAATAGCACCACAGCTGAAGTGACACAATCACATGCTGTCCAACAGCAGAGCCCATCTTTATCACAAGGCAGCGACCCTGCTGTTGATAATGTGCCACGGCAAAGCTCACCTTCATCACAAAGTAGCGACCCTGCTGCTGAGTCGGTTGAACAAGAAGTAGCGGATGAAAGCTACATTGAAGGCCGGTTAGATATTGACGAGAAACGAAAGAGATTCGACGAGACATCCTGCACAGTCGAAGAGAAAGAACTGTCTGATCTGTTCAAGAAGGGATTGCTCGCGGATGGAAGCACCGGCCCCTTAAAGGGGGATTTCACATTGCACGATCTTCCCCAGCTAATCGGCGACGAGGCATGTAGCGTTCAGTGGAAAACTTCAAAGCCAAAGCCAAAGCAGAAGGCGTCGGGAAGCTCCAGGAAGAATGCCCAGGAAACAGGATTAACTGATGATGAACTGGCCAGCATTTTGCAAGCTTGTCCAGGCTTGGAGGACTCCATCACCAAATCCTAGATATTTCTTGGTAATCGGGAGAAGAAGCTTCAGATGATTAAGCTGATTCAATTTCAAGTCTCACTTATCGCTTCATTACTATACATCAGTTTCATTTCTGCTCCCAGCCAACAAGAACTTTTGCTAGCTGCTCGTGGCGAACCAAGGCCGTCTCGAACGTCGGTTGTCCTTCCGCCACACCATCCGCAAACTTTTCATACAGAAGACCGACGCTTCTTCCTACGACTGGAAGCTCTTCCTGCCAGCTCTGCCAGCTCCATTCAATCTTCTGAACCTGGTCTGTGGCAAAGTCATGGATCTCGATGGTCACGGGAGCATCATAGGAGTTGGCGTGCAAGGAAGATCCGCCAAATGCCTGAAGTCGAATCTCGCCCTTCTCGCCGTTAATTGTCCACGAAAGAGGGGGCTCGCCAAGGAAGGGCTGTCCTCGACGGAAGCGGAAGAGCACACTGGCTCCCTCGATGGCGATTTGAGAGGCGGCAAGATTGCCGTCGATGATGACGAGATCAGGGACGTTTGACTTAACTATCTCGACGACTTCCTTAGTTGAAGGATTGCGGAGGAGGACGTTGGGGCGCTGGAGCTGGAGCCGTGACTGGAGGTCTTGGACGTCTCCAAGGACATGTTGGACTTGGTCAAACACTGCTAGATGTTAGACAAGAGAACAAAGCTAATGATAAATCCGTGTCGCTGTAAACTTACAATGTCCAACGCCAATCGTCACGATATTGCCACCAATAGCCAGATCAGTGAAATACTTTAGCCCGGGCAGCAAGGCCTCCCGATCAACGGATCCGCCATTGGCCCTAATCTCACTGCTGAGAACCTTTCCAACCTTGCCTTGTTGAAGCAGCTCACGGAGCTTGACAATAGGAGGCGCTTGGCGCCCCTGATTACCAACCAGCGTCCGACTACCGCTGGCTTTGGCTGCTTCCGCAAGTTCTTTTGCAAGAGGCGCGCTGTGGGCTAGCGGCCATTCCACATACACGTCCTTTCCGGCTTTGACGCTGGGCAGAGCAGTAGAGTGGTGTACATCGACGCGGATGCTTACAACGACTAGGTCAATGTCTTTGTCGTTTGCGACGTCTTGAGGGTTACCATAGGCCTTTGTCTCGGGAGGTAGCTTGAACACCTCAATGGCGCGCTTTGCAGCCTCGACGCTGCTGTTGCAGAGGGCTACGATTTGATATCTTTCTCGGCCGCGTGCAGATAGCAGATAAGGAAGATGAGCAGAGCTTGCCCAAGATGTAGTTGCGGACCCTGAAAGGCCGATGATGGCAGTGCGAATAGGTGCCATAATGACGGATAACGTTATGTAACTTGTTGTTCTGTATTGCTATTTCTGAACTGATTTCTAAGAAGGTTCAGTTTACTTATAGTCACATATATATACTCTTCTCAAGTTCTCGCTAACTGCAACTCAATACTCCTTGGCTATTGCGTGTTGAAGCAGGATATCATGCAATAGGGTGGAGGGTGTACGTGATTTCTAAGCGAGCAATTTATAATATTAGTGGCTGCGAACGACAATAGAGTTTCTGGTTGGTTGGTTGAAGATGGCGGGGCGAAGTTGCAAGCTGTCGGAAATAGATGATCCTCCTTGCCGTATACTAGAGTAATGGCTTTTCATTCTTTCCGCGAGGCTCGTTCTTTCCGATGCTGTTATCGAACATGTGCTGCTTTTGTTATCTGTCAAGGATGCTCTTCTGCGTTATCGAACTAGTAGCTCTACCCTATGTTTGTTTGGATTGTGTAAGAATAGATGTGCCCAATTATTGAGATCTAGAACAATAAAGTCAGATAAAATCAGGGGTACAATTTCCAACTGTTTAATTTCGGTTCCAAACTGTTTATTACTAATGTTGGCTCTTTCAACTCCGACTTGTGATGCATACTATCTATCCATCCCCGCAAAGATCTATGAGCTGGTTCCCCTCACCTTGGGATGTTAGTGCATTCTCGGCCCACGACTGGTTCATTCAGGATGAAAAGCGATAGAACTCTGTAGAATGGCCTTGGTTGGGGCTTCATCAAATTGCGCCAAACTGTAAATTTGATGTCGATTCAATTGGAAGTGAAGTAAAAATGTTTTTGATAGCCTGGGAAACAATTTGCTGTGTGCGCTGCAATACCTATTCTTTGTCTGCGACACCAACTCCACACACCACCGGCGTAATGGATCCTATACGCGTCGGATGAATTGGCTTGCACTTCATCACTTTTAGGGCTTATCAAAACCGAGTAGACGAAGATTGTCTACCTTTTCGCATTTTACTCTACCGAGATTGGTTCTAATTGATACTTCCACATTAGGCATTGGTAGTAACCCTTTGAATGTTGTTTTTGTATCTTCCAGTTTAGCAGCTAACAAGAGCGCCAAAAGAAACATCTCACAAATACCGCAATGAATTCGTCACAACGCCTGTCCAACTATGCCGCCTTTACTCGTCTCGACACTGGCATCAACCAGATCGGCCATTTAGATGTAGAGAAGGGCACGATCCAGCCACTAAGTCTCCTCTCCGGATTCCCTATACAGGATCTCTACCAGGTCATCGAAGCCGGGCCTTTGCAAATCGCCGCTTCTGGCTCTGCCCTTCCCCTCTCATCAGTCAAACTCCTGGCACCAATTTCGGGCCGTGATGTATTGGCTGTAGGCAAAAACTACATGGAACATGCAAAGGAGTTCAACGCCTCGGGATACGACAGCTCGGACAAGGTTGACCTGCCAAGCCACCCGGTCATCTTCACGAAGCGCGCAACCTCCATCATTGCTGATGGTGAAAATATCTTTCTTCACCCGGACTTTTCGAAGAGTGTGGATTATGAAGGCGAGATAGGAGTTATTGTTGGAAAAGCAGGATTCCGGATTCCTAAAGAGAGGGCTATGGAGTATGTTTGGGGATATACTATTATTAACGACATGACTGCGCGGGAGAGACAGAGAGATCATAAGCAATTCTATATCGGAAAGTCGGCCGATACGTTTTGTCCCATGGTGAGTAAGACTGTTTAGAGTGCATTGAAATTTCTCATCTTAACTTTGGTAGGGTCCCGCTGCGGTCCCTAAAGAGGCTCTTCCTTCGGTGCTGCGAGTCCAAACTCATGTCAATGGCGAGCTACGACAAGATGCGACGACGGATGATTTGATTTTCGATATCCCTACGTTGATAAGTACGCTTTCTGAGGGACAAACATTACTGCCCGGCGATGTCATTGCTACTGGAACAGTAAGTCTTCATGCTGCATCTGCTCCCAAAACCACTCTGATGAGATTTCATTAGCCTGCTGGTGTTGGCATTGGACGAAATCCACCCATCTTTCTCAAAGAGGGAGACGAAATTACAGTCACTATCCCTGGTATCGGCACGCTGCACAACAAAGTCACATCTCACAACACAACTACTGAGCGTCTCGCTTCTCAGTCTGTCTTCAGTCTCAGCAACGCAACACGCTCCGTGGGCGCTACAGCCGGATTGACCAATATCAACGGCAAGCTTCTGCATTACAAGCATCTCGGTTCCGGGGACAACAACATCGTCTTCGTTCATGGCCTCGGCGGTACTTTGGAATATTTCTCACCTCTTATTTCAGAAATGAACCTCCCAGACGTGGCATCGTTGCACTTGTTTGACTTTGAAGGCCATGGTCTTAGTCCTACGCACCCGTTGAGCGTCTTGACGGTGGATTCTTTGGCAGCTGACCTCTCTGGCATATTTTCGCACGCGGGTATCACCGAATCGAATCCTGGAACACTTATCGCACAAGCAATGGGCTGTATCGTTGCCTTGAAGTTCGTTCTTAACAACCCTGGCCTCGTCAACAGGCTTGTACTTTTTGGCCCGCCGTCTTTCCCACTCTCCGAGACTACTAGAGGAGTTTTGCAGGAGCGTGGAGAGCTCATTCGCACATCAGGATTGGAAGCCGTGGTTGATAAGATTGTTCTTAGCAGTACGTCTGAGCATACGAGGAGCACGAATCCTCTTGTGATTTCAGCAATTCGACTAAGCTTGCTTGGGCAAGAGCCGGAAGCATTTGCAAAGGCACTGCAAGCTTTTGCCAAGGATGAAGCACCAATGCCTGTTGAGAAGCTCAATGTGCGGACATTGATTGTGACAGGAAGCGAGGATAGGGTCTCTTCGGCGGACGAGTATGCCAGCAAGATCAAGGAGGCAAGAATAGTAGTGCTGCCGAATGTTGCCCAGTGGCATGTATTTGCAGACCTGAAAGGAGTGTCGGATAGCTTGAAGTCGTTTCTATGACTTGAGCAGGTATCGCGATGAGAGCAAAGTGCAAGGTGCAAAGTGCAGTAGCTTAGTTATAGTAAACTTACCATGCTCATAGCAGCAACACGTTCTTATAGAAATGGCGCAAAGCTGAGGCGCACTAGAGACACGCATACATGTAGCTCATAACTCTGAAGGAATTAGCCAGCATGCAACGAATAAGCTAGACTCTGGGCTATTACATCACTCTCTCTCATAGCTATCAAGCAGCTACTCAAATCGGGTACTAGAACAGAAACTACTTTTGATTTGCACCTATGAAAGGCCGCAGGTGCCTATCCAAAAAATCCTGGGGGAAGATGGAATGAATCCTTCAGCCCAAGCGCTTCTCCTCATGTTTGTTTGGGCTTCTACGTCATAACTACATGCACTTACAGCATTGGATTATTCGATTGAAATCATTGAGCATTTTGAATTCATTTCACTTAATCTTGATTGTTTCACTTCATTCAATACCCAATAAAGTCAAAGTCTTACTTCAACCCTATTTATAACGCTGTGCACTTTTGACAATCGCGTCATGTCCAAGACCATCACCGTCTTTGGTGCGACTGGCAACCAAGGCGGATCCTTGGTCCAAGCCATTCTCGCAGACCCAGTGCTCTCAAAGGAATTTCAAGTCCGTGGCGTCACTCGCGATGTGAAGAAGCCAAATGCCCAAAAGCTCGCGTCCATGGGCGTTGAGATGGTCACGGTGCGTTTCAATTCTGCCTGATCTTGCCATGTTTCTTATAGACCGTATAATACAAAAACACCAGAATCTACAATGTACCCGCATCATCATCAATTATGCTCTAATATTGAATGTATAAATGGAGATAGGCCGACATGTCGTCCGCTCAATCAGTCGCCCCCGCCGTCCAAGGCGCTCACACCGTCTTCCTCGTAACCAACTTCTGGGAGAGCATGTCGGCCGACATTGAAATCTCCCAGGGAAAAGCCGTCGTCGACGCCTCCAAGGCCGCAGGCGTGCAGCACATCATCTTCTCGTCGCTCATCAACGCTAACAAGGCCAGCGGCGGGCGTCTGTCCAACATTTCGCATTTTGACGGCAAGGCGGCCATTGAGGAGTATATCCGCCACAGCGGCCTGGCCGGCACTTTTGTGTTGCCGGGCATGTTTATGAGCGGCTTCGAGACGATGATTCAGAAGAATCCGGAGTCGGAACCGGCAGGTTATACGTTGGCATTGCCAGTTGATCCGCATAAGGCTATAACGCCGCTTTTTGACGCTGCGGCAGACACGGGTAAGGTTCCATGCGCTTGAAACAGTTGTGGTACTTTTTTGTTATTGATAGAGACATTCTAGGCAAATTTGTAAAAGCAGCTATAAAAAACTTTCCTGCTCAATCTGGAAAGCGTATCCTGGCCGCGGCAGATTATTATACAATCGACCGACTCATCTCCGAGTTCTCTCAAGTGATCGGCAAGCCCGCGCAGGCAGTCCAGATTTCAGACGACAAGTTCAAGTCGTTCCTGTCGCCAGCAGCGGCACAAGAGCTATTGGAGAACATGAAACTGCTGGAAGACCCTGGCTACTATGCCGGCGAGTCTCTGGAGCCGAGCCTGGGCCTGCTGGAAGAGAAGCCGATAACTTGGAAAGAATTTGTGGAGAAGAATAAACACAAGTGGGCGTAATTTCGTCTATCGAGATTGAGAGTGAGATGGCACTAGGATAGCTTAAAATAAAACGTATATTCAGTTGCTTACGAGGTAGAGAGTATCTCGCCTGCCTATTGTATACTTGCTTTAGTCTTACATTGTAGCCAAGAACTGCCGTATCAACTGTTTGTAACGATCGTGGTGCCACCCACTTGTATAAGATGACAGAGAGCTAATGCTACCCAGTTTCCGTTCCAGTGATTAGCGAGAGAAGAGTAAGATTGCAATAATTACACTTTATCCAAACCACTCGATAGTATCGTCTCACATATATCGCGTGCAGTATTCAAACATTTTTTTTTGTTACCTTCCTTTCATAGCCATGACTCGGGTGTTGTTCAATCATAAGCACATCATGGCATTTCACTCATTCTTACCTATTTCGTATTCTGCTCCGGGCAAATCTCCAACTGACTGATGGTTGCATTGCATTGTAGCAATTGCGCATCAAATCAAACGTAGGGCTCAAGTCTTTTGATCAAGTCGCTGACTTCAATTTCACCCTTTTGCTCGGAATGATGGTGGCGATGGCCTTTGTGTGGGGGAAGAGGAATTCGGTTGACAACCTGGATAACACCATTCTTCCCCACGCCATTGGGCACAACCACGCGGGAATAGCCATTCACCTTGATTGAGGCGAAACCAAAAACGCGAGCAATATCAACGCTGACATGCGCATCGCCAAGCAGGGTTGGCAGATCAAAGGTCTCGTGCGAAAGTGGTTCAACTTCGGACTTGTCGTCCTTGTCGTCCCTCTTATCGTAGAATGCATCAGTGTACAGTGTGGCGTTGGGCACAATGTTGTACTTGAGAATGGCCTTGAGATACTTGCGACCCTTGCTAGTGTTGAACAGAAAGGCGTTGGCTCTTGGGCCCAGCCAATTAAAGGCTCCGTTGGTGGGGACGAAAACGGTGCTACCCTTCAAGTTGACGCCATGGATAAACTTGACAAAGTCGGTCTTCTCATACGCCAACAGCAGAGTTGAGAAGCGATCAGGGAACAGACTGATGATTCGGCCGAGATAAGGGGGCGGGACTAGGATATGGTTCACGGCATGGATAACACCATTCTTGGCAACCTAGAGTTGTGACTTGTGAGCATCGCAATTTGGGAACACAACGAAAAAAGTAATCGAGAGGGCCCCCGCTCGTATAAGTGCGACAAGAGGATCGGGTTGGCTATTAATAGCCTGCTTGATCAGCGGGGAAACACTCACTATGTCAGCAGCGACAACCTTGCTGTAAAAGTTGATCTTTACGCCGCCGAGGCCGACAGAGGTACGAAGACGCTGCGGCTCACCGCCCAGCAATTCCTCGTCGTGGGCAGTCGGCAGCGTGTAGGTATGCAATATCCTCTTTGCAGGATACTCGCCGAGGCCAATGTGGTAGCGCAGCGCGTCCTCGACCACCTTCTTGCTGGGCTTCTTGTGGTCGTCTGGGATGTCCTCGAAGGCCTTATCCAGCGGCACAAAGAGGGTGTAGTTGCTGTCGGTGCTGTTGAGCAGCTCCACCACGCCGGGGTGGTCGTCGACTAGCTTGGCGAACTTGGTCGTGTACTTGCTCTTGGAGATTAGCTCGTATATCGTGTAGCTGCTCTCGTCGTGGTGGCCGTGGCCGGCGGGGCTGCCGAAGTGGTCGCCCGTGTAGCCCAGCCCAACGAGATCGGCCACGGCCTGGCTAAAGTCCTCGTGGATGTGGCCGCGGATGCTGGATACGGCGTCGAAGAAGCTCTCGGCGGCGCTGCGGCCCTCGTCGTCGTTGTCCAGGTGGTGGGAGCCAAACATGACATTGTGCAGGTCGGCTGGATCATCATCACGAGTCCCGGCCAGCGGTGCCTGATTCACGGCTGCCTCGGGCAGCACCAGCGCGCGGGCTATGGCGGCCAGCGACAGAGCAGCGCCCAGGACAGTGAGCTTGGTCATTGTGGTGGATATCAATATCAAATGGTAGGTGTTTTGTGTCAGGCGGGCAATATCAGGTCCTGCTGAGGCTGTAGCTGTATGTAGCTGTAGCTGTAGCTGAAGCTGTCTAGGAGCGGCGCAGACAATGTCTCAATGCACCATCAAGAACGCTCCAGGCGGTGATGATGGAGGAAGAACGGGCAGGCATCGCATCTCATCTGCAAGGGGTTAAGACACCGCTCCATGTGAAGCAAGGTTCGAGCTCCAAGAGGCAAAAGCAGTGCGTAAGGGTTGCTGCAGCTCAGAAACGAAACAAGCGGATGCCCCACCGCCAGATCTATTTCAGGTAGACGGAAGTACTCGCACCCGCTGAGATTCAGGTGTCAAGCTTCTATATCTCCGAGTCGCCAGCGCCAGAGCACCGCTAAGCCTTCTGCGCTAGCCCCCAAAGACCGCGGATGGCCTCCGTGCTGAAGGATCGGATCGTCAAGTTTCCGGCAGGCGGTGCAGGGTCTACCTGGGCGTGACAAGAGGCCTAACAGCTGCGAGTAGCGGGACACGCCACCGATCAATGACCTCACGGATCAGAGCACAGCAGAGCAAACAGCTAAGCTGAGCTGACGGGAAGAAGCATCTGCTGGGAATGCGCCAAAGCCACCGGATCAGCATCCACCACGCGCAATTGGACCATCGACGCGCAACACTTGCTCGGCTCTCGAAGCAGCCGGCGGCCTAAGAAACTATGTACCGTATCAACTCCCCGCCGGAGCGCCGCAGCACCCGCCGTGGTACCGCTACACCGTTGCAACCAACGTGCAACTAGCGTGGAGTTGTCGTCGTTCGCTCTGTTGCTAAGACCCTGAGCCAGCATTTTGCAGCATTTTGCTTCCCAGCGCTAGACGAAGCGAGAAGAAGCTGTTGACGAATGTCGTTTGTTGTCAACAGTTGTACTGCTGCCAACAAGACTCAGCCCTGCGAGTCAACGCCTTGCCACCAAGGTCAACGCCTCTGGCTGAGTTGTCCGTCTCGTGCCAATCCTTGCAACTAAGCCAGGCTCATCCGTCCAAGCTTGTACAACCCTGGGGCTGGTACAACCGCTCCCAACGTGCTTCACATCTGGACCGAGGGGGCGAAGTAATGCTCGCTAGCCCGTGGTGGTGGGCCAGCGATATTGCTGACAGGACAGACCAACGCTGAAGCCTCACCAGTGCTTACTAGTGCCATCCAGCCATGCGGCTCTAGGAAAAGCTGGGATCAATGCGTCCCCGCCCAAGTAGATGCTGACCAAAAAATAGCACTGGATGCTCCAGGGAGGGCCTTGCACGAGCTGGTGCGCTGCTGTTTAAAACCGTTTCGCGTCCGCCTCGTCTTCTCGTCTTCTGATTTCTTTCGGGAGAAAAAAGTAATTTTTCTTTTTTGGCTTGTTGGCGTCCAAGTACCACGACCTTGTGCAACCCCAAACCCGGTTTCCAGCCATCGCAGCAACACGAGACGATCAAACAACGATTCCACCAACGACCTCCGCTAAATAAAGTAAGCTTTCTGCTTCTCAGCGTCCACACCCACCGACGTGCGCCAATTACGGGGGACTCGAGGCTGGCGGCGGGGCTGAATCCTGTCGCTCAACTGTGCTGTCAATCAATCCTTACGTTCGCTTGCAAGCCGCTCGGCCCCGTACTCGTACTCTATCCCGTCTCTCTGTGGTGGCTAGAAATTGCCTGACAGGGGAACTTTACTATTTCTTTTCCTCTTTTCCTCTTTTTTTTCTGGGCACCTTTTCCGGTCAGATTAAATGCCCGAAATGCTTCGCAAGAAAGAGGCGTTTACGCTGGTGACGCCAATCCCAGGCTTCATCCCGCGACAGCTGGCCATCGACATTCTGCACTCTCACAGCGAAGTCCTCACGCTCAACCCGCTTGTCCTCGGCCACAAGCCCATCCCAGCGCCTCGCAATGCCGCCGCCGACGAGTTTTACAGCACCTGGTACGAAATCGAGGAGCGCATCCAGGTGATCCCCGGAATGGGCAAGATGGGCGCCGGCAAGATCAAGTTCAATGGCTGCTTCCACGACATGCCCTGGGGCCTGCAGACTCACATCTATGCGCCCATGAACATTGACCTGCGCAACAAGTATCGCATTTGCGGCAACCAGCCCGGAATCGAGCCGCCAGAGACGCGCGAGATTGGCCTGGAAAGCCTGGGAGCCCCCGCCGACGGCCTCTACCTGCGCGAAGACATCGAGTTCAAGTGCAACATTGCCATGGTCACCTTTGTCAGAGCCCAGCTCAAGGCTGCCAACCGGGAGATGGTCCAGCGCATCATCAAAAAGGCCGAGCTCCTTGATGCCGGCGTTCTCCAGGCCATGATGGAGGACGGCAAGCTCAAAACAGTCAACCCGATGGATCGCTCCGTCACGCCCGCAGTTGGCTCGATGCAAGATCCCAGACGGCAATCTGCTTACGCGCAGAGCCCACACTTTGGACACCAAAGCCCACAGCTAGCACAAGCGTCCCAGATGCCACCAAGCTACTCGCCGAACTACCCCCAACACGCTTATCCTGCTGCTGCCCCCTCCCAGACGCCTCAGCTGCAGGACCCTCGCCAGTCCATGTACCAGCAGCAGCAACACCAGAGCATGTATGCGCCACCGCCAATTCCACCCAAGGAGCAAATGGTCATCATGGAGCTTCCGGGCGACTTCCCTCCTCAAGTTTCTCCTGGACTTTACCCGTCTCCGCTGCCCAGCCCGGGATATCGCCCAGCCTCGGGATCATCAAGCGATCCTCGATGGTCACAACCTCAGCCAAGCCCAGGTTTGGTCAACCCACTCAGGCTGAGCAACGTGAGCCAACTTTCCACGAGCAGCGCAGGCGGAGGCCATCCTCATGGCTTTGTAAGCGAGCTTTCGACACACAATGAAAAATCAGAGTATTAGATGCATTTTGCTGCACTTTTGCATTTTCTTTTCTCCTTCTTCTTATTTCGACGAAGACGAGATGAAATGTCAAACACACCCATGGCGAATGAAGAAAAATGATGTTTGTCAGAGATGAAAGAGAAGCTCGTTAATACCAAAGATGACGGGGGATTTGAGACGCAATCTTTTTCGTCGACCAATACACTATGCCGTATCTCTCAATTTTCTTTTGTATTATTCTTCTGTACATATATACCCCATCTAAAGACGTGTGGCACTTCTTTTGTTTTATTGTTATACCTAGGGAACTTTGGAAAAATAATTTGGAGCTTGGAATACCACTTAGCGTTATGTTTGGTAATCAATACATGATCTCATTGCTTTTACATCTTCTATTTCAGTTGATTCAAGTGTGTTATAAAAGTGATGTGAAGAATTTTATAACTGAACAAAAGGTACCATGTCTCATATCAAAGACCAACAACGGCCATCCATACCAAGGCCAATGCAAGAGTAAACCCAAGGCCTGGGACTTTCACAGCTGTCGCGGCATTATCATTCGATGGAGAAGTAGTTGGTCCGGGTGCTGATGAAGAAGTAGCTGACGGTGCCTCTACGGATGATGAAGTCGATGATTCTGCAGAGAGATGAGGTGTAGGCAGCACTATTGGCTTGTTGGTCTCATGCTCAGAAGACGAAGTCGCCAAGGAGGCTGATGTTGATGTTGGCTTTGATGTCGATGCTGGAACCGAAGCTTCTTCATGGCTCGTTCTGGTGGAGGCTAGGCCCTTAGTAGTGCTTTGGTCATGAGAACTCGTTGGTTTGTCGATGCTATTTGTCTTCGTTTCCTTAGCAGTGGCACTTCCAGCATGCTGGCAATAATGTTCAAAGCCGTTCTGAAAACACGTCTCTCCAGCACGGCAGTATGATCCCTCCGGACAGCAGACTGCTCCTTCAGGCATACAATGCTTGTCACCACAAGGTACTTCGCCAAAATCGCAGACAACTCGACCATCGCATATTTTCCCAAAGGGACAGCAGCCGTCTGTAACGCACGAATATCCCTGCTTACAGTAGCCGTCGCCATCGGGGCAGCAATATGCGCGAGGAGGCATGCAGCCGTCATTGCAGACTAGCTCTCCTGGGCGGCATGGCTCGATGGCGGCGGCGACTTGGAGGGAGGTGCCCTGGAAGAGAGAGGAGGACGGGAACTGGGCTATGAGTCGTGCGTGAGGCTTATGTGAGATGGAATCTGTGGCGGCGAGGGCGATTGATGAGAGAGTGAGGAGTGAGAGAAAGTTGGTGATGGTGAAATGGGTATGAATAGACTTCCTCATGACTGAGAGACTGGAGGCTTTGTTAAAAGTGAATTACTAGACGGTGAAGAGCCTTATTTACTTTCATCAATAGACGGCGGTACGCCTTTTCTATATATATTCACGTTTTACTCGTTGCTTCTGAACCTTTCTGCTGAATGTATTCACGGTTATCATGCCACTCACTTCGTTTAAATCGTTGAACAATATAGCGAAGAAAGCCTCGAGTCCCGCTACTGCAGCCAGCAACGTTCAGCTCGTCTTGGCATCATGCAAAGCGACCAACAGACCGCTTTAATCAAGCCCAAGCTAGCACACGATGCTTTTATCCGATTCTTCCTATTGGAACCAAATCTGTTCACATGAGCATCTCACTGCATGCTTTATGCGGATTGGTATGTCTTTCAGCCCAACTTGCCTGCCTGTTCGTGCCGTTCCACATGTAAACCAGGGAAATTAAGCTTATAGGTGTGGTTAACAGGGATTGACTGCGTTGCTGGAGATATTGAGCCTTGGCGCACTTGGTTGTGTGCAAGGCTAGTGCAACGTTGAGGCTCAAAGGCATAGTGAACTAGGCGACGTGGCATGGCTTCTAATGAGCAGTAGGATCTGTAGCTTGCCTACAGCTTTGCACCCATCCTATCGTATTTCATCTGTGTGTCACCAACTGCATGTAGATATAAGCTTATACATATGTTTGCCGAGCATCGGCAACACACTCTGATAGAAGAGTTCACTACTGCAGGTGATGGATGGGAGCCAACATCAAACCCGCCGCGAGTATTCTATCAATGTCGCCCTAATCACTGCAACCTTTGTGTCAATAACATACATGTGCTGTGCCCTTCTATGAGTCAGCAATTATATTGAAAATAAGCTTTCTTATTAAAGATCGAATCCTATATAGATTATTAGCTGCTATCAATATCGTATCCAACCACGTGCATTGGATAAACGTCAAATCTTTGCACTACCACGTTCTTGCTGAATCACTATGTAGTCTGATAGCTGGTCGGAACTGTTTTTTAATTGCAGCTTGATTGCGTGCGTTTCTCGCAAATCTTTGAATGCGGTCTCTCATCATTTGATGCGCTCAATGATGCTCTAAAAATCCAGATGCAACAGCGCTATTATAATAAACTCCATACCAGCACCAATGCTCTCAAAGCCAATAAGACTTTATTGTCGCGCTATGCTGACGCTGCGCACCGCGAAAACTTGGACATAGAAGTAAGTTAGTCATCACAGCTAGCATCAAGTAAGCTTCATGATAAGGTAACATTGCTTTGTGAGCGGCTTAAACATCTTGTGACAGATGATATGCATCTGCAGCTAGGAAGAGTAACCTGGGCATATCGTGGTTTAGCTCCCGTTATTAGCCCTGTTGATCAGAGCTTAGTTGACTCTACCGAAGCAACAAGTTCTCAAATAAATAGTAAGCTTACATGATAATTTTTTTTTTATTTGACTTGGTTTTTCTTATGCCCTATAACAATTATGCCTGTATAATTACACATCGTGTACTGCCATCCTGTCTATGACCTATAATCTTTATCCTCCATAGGTTTCAAATCCTTGATCATCGTTGTATCGAAATCGCTCAGCCCAGCTGCGGAGTTTGCCAAAATCTCGGCATTGGTGTGGAGTACCATATCCGTCCACGCCTTTTCGAGGCGTGGCAAGATCGTACTTTGGTTTGAATGGTTCTAATGTAGAGTCGGATGAACACAAGATGCTCTCGCGGAGATAGTCTAGACAGTGGAATGCATGGGAGTGCGGTTCGGTAATGTTTGATGCCAGGGCGTCGAAGAGTTCTACTTGAAGAAGATACTTCGTAATTGTTAGTCTATTGATCTTGGTGCAAGACAAATAGGACAGTGATGGATATGGCATACCAGACAGTGTAATTGATGGAAAGTTGCTATTGAGAACCGCCCGGTACCATCGTTGCTGGTGTCTCGGATGTAGTCGGGCACTGGGCCTGCAGCTTCTATATTCTCTATCGAAACATAGCCCTTCCCCTCTAAAATGCCATTAGCAAACTGTTTTTTTTGCGTTATGTATAGATATTGATTGGTACGCCAGGTAACGTACTGGGAAAAAGGTTCATCCAGGCTGCGCGCCCCTTTTCTGTTCGTGGATCATCATACACCCTCTCAGGCATGAATGCCTTTTGGATCGGACCAACTAAAAGCTTTGTCAGTCAAAATAAAGAAATAGACATCAATGCTCTTACGAGGTGGAATATCCAATCCTGGGAGTAATTGTACATTCTCCCTAAATGCCGGTTTAGGCAGTACAGCTCTCCATACTATAAGGCTCGCCACGATAGAGACGATGGAACTCAGCAGAGCGACAAGAGAAAAGTGTATCAATGTAAGGTTAGTTCTTCTCTTTTCCCTGCTCTGCAAAGGAAGGTTTTCGCTCTTTGAACTCAAGAGCGTATCCTCATCTCCAGAGCTGAAGCTTTGTCGAGACATGGTGCCGCCACTTAGAGGCAACAAATCGAAAGAGACAGAAACCTTCGATGCTTGTCATATCTTCTGTCTATAATTACGTGTGTTGATAGCCGTCGGAAAAGCTATGTAAGTGGTTGACTTAAGCGCACTCAGACGGGAAGTTGGTTAGCAACACTGAGGGGTAAAAGGTTACTGGCCTGCACCCTGCAATCATCCAGTTCGGAGGTTATTACGTGTTGCGTGGTTATCAGCACTAGTGGCGGCGATGGGTGTCTGAATCAGGAAATAGTTGTGCGATGCCCTCATCTGGCGAGGAAAGATTTGGCGGGACTAGCAAAAGTTCATTTTACCAAACCAAACCGCTTCTGTCCACAACTCACAATAGACATGGTTCAAATACAAATTAACTATTCGATTTAACCTTGCAGCATCTGTAGTTGAACTACTGGATCTATAACTGTAATTGTTAGTCGACTAGCTATGCATGCATGACTGCATCCCTGGGCGTAATATGACATCCTAGGGTGCAATGTCCAGGACCTTATCACCCTCTTTCAACTCCACTACTATATCCTCAAGCGTCTGATGTGCGTGAACCCACTCTCGTATTGGCTCCCAATCGATGCATTTGTGGTCCGTATTGAAGTCCACGAAGGATCCGTCCACTCCCTGCTCCTTGTCCTTGACCCAATACTGTCCGAAAACTCCCAAGTCGGGTTTGCACTGGATCACCTGCCGTAGCATATCGACGCAGTGCGTTACGTGCTTGGTAATAGTCTGCTCATCTTTGCCAAGATGATGTCCCGGATAATTAGGGCTCGAATAGTAACCGTAGTTGTAAAAGAGGGCCTTGCGGATCAAGTTGAGACAATGCAAGTGGTGGTTAAACTCGAATAAAACTGGAAACTCGCCCGACGGAGTTTTGAGATGGTCCAGACTAATACCGGCGCGAGTTGCTTGCGATTCGGAGAGTAGAAGAGGTTTTGACGTGGTTCCGAGGCCTTCCCATGCCGCATCAACTTCAGGAGATGGAGGAAGGCGGTAGAGGGAAGTTGAGTTGGCAAGAAACGTCCCATCGTAGTGAACTGAACGATAATGAATTGGGATCTTAATCGGCGTAGCTGAAAAGAAAAATGTCAGTAACTCATATCTTTGGAGCCAAATAAGACAAAGATGAGAAAGTAAGCATACGATTCTGCTGTGTATGTCGCACACAAGCTGCATCAAGATATGATGCTCGGTGAACGTAGATGTAAGTCAAGATGTGTGAGCCTAGAGAGAGACCGAGCAAGACGGCCAAAGAGTATAGTAGGTAATCACGCCTGCCACGACTCCGAGTCTCATATTTTGAATGTGAAGAAGAGCCCAGGAAGGGATCAAACTCTTCAGTAGAGCTATCTTCTCTGTCTTTATCCATGTCTTTGCTGGCAGACTTGCGAATTACTGCGGCAGCTACAAGAAAGTGCCTTCTCTTCCTCGACGCAAATTATAAGACGCTGTTCAGAGGCAGTGACAATCTGTAAATGCAAGGATTAACAAGCCAAGGCGGGCTTTTTGTGAGGTATACAAAAGTTCTAGAGCTATTTTAGACTCATTTCGAGGTGTGTCACGAATCAACCCTATCTTGGTGCTGAGAACGCAAGATTTCACATTCCATTTGTAATATTTTGGATCTAGGGCGATAGATGTACGGCATGAAGACTTCTTTGGGCTTGGTAGTAATTGGCATCTTTCAATGATTGAAACCCCGTTGGAGAACGAGGACCAGTAGCTTATCGTTACCCACATGTACAAAAGTGTGGATACTATGTTGAGAAGCTTCGAGGACAATGGATGTTAGTTTCTCGCCGGCTACCATGGTGGTGGTATTGTATATTTTAAGGGGAGCATATTGCCGCCTTGACAGTCTCCCTTGTCTCTTTGACTAGCAATTCATCTCACTCCTGACAATACGTTGGCAAAAAATTTACAAAAATGAAGACATCTCTGTTCCTTGGTTGCATTGCAATCGCGACTTCAGTTGCTGCTGCTCCTGTTCCTGTACGAGCCATCAATCATTTCATTGAATGGGCCAACTACTTACTGTTATTTATAGGACTCTGATACCGTTGCCAGCTACCAATGGAAGAAAGACACTCAAGGCACTGATGGAGTGGCCAGCTACGAGTGGAAGAGAAAGAGGGACACTCAAAGCACAGACGGTGTTGCTAGCTATGAGTGGAAGAAGGACACCGAACACACTGACGGCGTTGCTAGCTATGAGTGGAAGAAGGACACCGAGCACACTGACGGCGTTGCTAGTTACGAGTGGAAGAAAGACACCCAGCACACTGATGGCGTCGCCAGCTATGAGTGGAAGAAAGACACTGAGAGCACCAACGGCGTTGCCAGCTACGAGTGGAAGAAGAAGCGAATTTAGACCTCAATAGAGATAGCTTCTGGCAAATACGAAATGGGTTTTGTATAGCCAAAACCACTAATCAAATATTACAAAGTGGTGAATCCCGTTAGAATTGAGGAGTTCGTCTTATCATATGGCCTACTAAGTTGCTTCAAGGATCCTCAAGACTGCATGTATCTAGTGTGACTATAGAGCGGAGCAACAAGTAATCGGTGACCCTGTTACATGACATCTTCGAACGATGATATCAGTCGTATGTATATGTATTGCCACATTATTCCTCCAATTACGCAATTATGCGAAGAGAACCATTTGCTTGCGGCGGGGTTCGACCTACTGCCCACTTACATGGTCTACCAAGCGGGTATCAAAAAAGCAGGGAATACAGGAATATTTAAACAAATTGAAGGGTAAGTATACGCACATAAATGCTTCTATGATTCCAAATGAATGTGACGCATATCGCTGCTTTGTATACGGATATCTATCTGCGGTCCCTTTTTATATATAACCGCCTGCTTCTGTTCTTTTGAGCGGGCGATATCTTCACCCAAGGCTTTTTATACAGTCTAGGTGCGTGGTATGGAGCTTCGTTTACCCTGGTCACCGAATAGATACATGTAGAATACATATTGAATTGCAAGGGTCTTGCGGTGGCACATCATTTTGCCTACTCGCATGTAGAGAAGTGCCATTACCTACATGTAGTAGGCCTAGCATCAAGCTTATCCATATACCTTAAGTGTGGGCCATTGTCAGCCAAAAATTTCCTCAAGAGGAAGCGTGCATTAGATTAGGTAGCAGGACCATAAGCGAACCCGCCAGTTTAATGGAAAGCGAGGGGAATGCTGGACACGAAGTTGAGAGCTAGCACAGAATGAAAATTCAACAAAATACGTATCCAGAACGGGCTGCGAAGTATTAAGCGGCTGAATTTGGGATGTTCTTTCTGAGTTGTATATTTGCTGGTAAAGCAGGCTGTAACAACGATAGGCCTGATTCAGAAGAAGCTATTTGGTGCAGCGTGACCATATGCCTACAGCAGTAACAAGTTTAAGGGCAATACTGCAGCTAGCCATCAATGCATGTCATAGGCATACACAAAAGTTCTCAATGCCCACTAATTTGTCAACGAAATCCATCCATGGATGTCAATTATAAAACTATCAACTTCATTGCTCCACTCCGGCCGTATCCGAGATTCGGATAACAAGCTTTCTTGCACTGACTGATCCACTCTTGAGTCGTTGAAGCGCGCTCTCTAAGCCGTATAGTCCGCCGGGCACAACTTCGTGGGGGTGCGCACTGAACCATCCTTCGTTCAACCCCCTTCCGATAAACTTCAGCATCACAGTTGTGAACTGGAGTATTCCTAGTCCTTTGCTCTTGAAAGTAGATTTGACAAGCGCTTCGTTCCCTAATCCACATTGGGACATCTCAACGGCTGTATTATATCGCGGTATTCCTTCGGAAATCTCATCGGTTGGAACCGGCAGCACAACGGCCATCTTTCCGACATCTCTGTCTATTATCTTGCAAACGTTCCTAATGGTGCTCTTTTCGCTCACAGCATCAAATGCAAATTCGAGTTTCTGGTCTCCCAGAGCTGCCTTTATCGCTTCAACCACCGCATCATCTCCTTGGCGATAGTCAATAATGGTATCGCCACGAGACCGGTCGATCAACGTCTCTACAAAGTCGAGTCCTCGTCCAGCAACTGCAATAATGGGGTGGATATTTGACAACACCGCCAGCTTCAATGCGTAAGCGCCTACCGCAGATGCGGCACCGTAGATCAGAAACGGCTGCGGCTTGTCGCAAGGATCCCAAGGGTACGGAAGAGGAAGGCGGAAATACATTCCCAAGCAAGATGTTATAACTGCTAATGGTATAGTCGCGGCCTCTATCAAGAAAGATTAGTGAAACTAACAGTTATAGCTAGCAATGATCCAAGGCGAACCTTCGAACGAGACATGATCCGCCAAGTGGAATGTCATGCTTTCGTATGCAATAGCATACTCAGCCCAGCCTCCTCCTGGACTCAACGTTTTGTGGAAAACACCGACTCGGTCGCCAACTTTGAACTCGGTCACATGTTGTCCGACTTGATGAACAATTCCTGAAAAGTCGTCTCCTTCGTTGGTGCGCGTCACTCCAGGTACGGCGCCGTCGGCAACTTTCCAATCTTTGGGGTTCAGTCCTACGCAGGCAACCTTGATAATCATCTGATAGGCTCCTGGATTCGGTATTGGTGAGTCAATAACGTCGACCTTTGGCCCAGGGTAGGTGACTGCCTCTTTCATCGTCATTGCTAGAGCATGAAATAATTTCCGCTGATTGTATATGCTATTGAGCTCAGTTTAGCTGGAGTTGCTTACCTCGGACCGTCTAGATCCTGAAGGTGATGAGTTGCAGGTTGAAATCGCAATGATATCAATACATTACAAACAACTTATACCTCGGTGATGCGGAGTTTACAAGCAGTACCTTCCACTTCGCTGCTCCTTTGCTGAATCATATCCGCCATGCCGAGCGCAATTACCAAATCTAAGCATCATAAATCGCATACAACGCACATTATTCATGCCAGTTCCAGGCTAAAAGGGTATCCAGTGTCCCTAGGTAGTTACTCGACAAGGCAATTCATATGCCGAGTGGGTTCAACGACCGGTCCCGAAAGGGCATTACATTGAATTTTGGAAACGTTTGATACGCCAAACGCCATCTCCGCAAGCCCGCATCTCCACATGTTCGAGATCAATTGTCCGCGAAACATAAATCTTAAGAGTAAACAATTACAATTTTAGCAGGCAATTAAACATATAACAACTGTGTGGACTTCATCTATGCTACGACTAGTACAACTGATAGGGAAATAAACTTCAAATATGCTACGAGCAGCGTATCAACGTTTTTGCAAGTGTACTAATTCCAGCCTTGAGGGTCCCATTTTTTAGGCGCAAGTTTTTGCTTTATTGGTCTATATGCGAAAAGTGGTTGGAGATAAACATGTATTTTGTATAAGTGAGGCCAGAGAGACAATCATAGCTGCATGCGGAACTGTGCACAAATTGCGGAGTTTGTAATTACTAGAATCTTTCAGCCCTTTCCGATTGTCAACCACAGACCCTGTGAACGGTAGTTTTCAATGAATTCTTTACTGAACTAGTAATGAAACAGGCTGCTGAACTCAAAAATAGATTTATAGCCAGCCCTTGCTCAATTGCCGCGACCATGTCGCCGCGAGAAGGGTGGCGAGTATCAAGTAAGTCCACATCGTCACCTCTATCGCTGGACGTATAGAATGCAGCGTCCTGAATTTCTTCTGTCGCTCATCTCTCACGAGGAAAGAGGCTCTTCATCTCTGTAAGTCTGGGCTACAGCAGTGTTTCATTCAGAAGGACGAGGTATGAATCAAAGAAAACAGATCGTACCCAATGGTTTTATGACAGGTAAAAGTCTATTCCCTTTCACTCCATAAGAGCCAAGCGTTCAGATTGACGAATTCCCAATTATGTTATACAAGCAGTTCCAAGCTCTGTGTATGGAATGAAGTAGCCGGCTTCGTTATGTGAAAGTCATACGTGATGAATCGTTACCGTGCTGTTAGCCACCATTTCAATGAGTAGCTGTTTCAATAACAGATCAATCACACATGCGCTATTGCGAAGCTTAGATTGTAGACGAGGCAATGTGGAACTAATTAGCTAGGAATTGATAGAAATAGCTATTCTAATGCATAATAGCCGCAGTGAACATTAATCTACAGCGATCATTTCGAATAAACCCCCGATTGGCAAAAGATAGCATGGGCTGGAGTAGGTTCTGTATTTGAGTGTTGATCAAAATTTGTTCTCGTTGTTTATGAATTTTTATTTTCTCGAGATACTCCAAGCTCCGTCCTCTCGATAGCACTCTTAGTTGGCGTTGGGTCACGTGGGGGCATCTGGACGAATCACAAACCGATATCCGTGCAAATCTGGCAGCCCGGCTCTCAGCTCCGGGCCAGCTTCAAGCCCTCGCACAGCGTCAACCTTCGCTTCCTTTCGATGACAGCTGAAGAAGATCAGGCCCTTGGCCGTGCCGACTATTGGGATAGCCGCTATTCCAAGTCGGACGGAGAGGCGCCGACGCACGAGTGGTTTCGCGCCTTCTCTGACCTGGAGCCTTTCTTCCGCAAAAATCTTTTTGGCCTGCAGAGCTTCCAGGCAGAAGACAACCCACTGATTCTGCATCTTGGGTCTGGAGACAGTGTCTGTCATCGCCACCCCCAAACAAGCTGTTCAGCTGCTAACCCATCCTCTGCGCAGGTTGTCCCCGCCGAATTAGCGTCTCGCGGCTACAGACGACAGCTATGCATCGATTTCTCCCCTGTCGTCGTTGAACTTATGACGGAACGCCACAGCAAGGTGGAAGGGATAGAATGGAAACACATGGACGTACGCAATATGGATATATCCGACAAGTCTATCGACGTTGCCTTTGACAAGGGAACACTGGATGCCATGATACATGGTAGTCCCTGGAGCCCTCCCAGCGAAGTCAAGGATAATACAAGTAAATATATGAGAGAGGTAGGCTTTTTTTCCAGCGTAACATAGTAGATCATGTCTTTCTGACAGCGCTTTTAGGTCCACCGAGTGCTGAAGGATCATGGGGTGTTTCTATACATCACCTTTAGACAACCTCACTTCATAAAGCCACTGTTAAACCCAGATGATTTGTGGGACATGGACATGCAGGTGCTCGGAGACGGGGGCTCCTTTGACTACTACGGATTTGTGATCAAGAAAAACCCCAACTCTTTGGAAGCTGTTAATAAAGGAATATGAGCGGGAAACATATGGCCGCACAACAGAATTGGAATAGCGCCACGATGGCGACGATTCTCCAATTCTCTTCAGGTTACCAAAGGTACCTTAAAACTCACCTCTTTTCCAGAGGGCCGAGTAATAAGAGAGTATGAGCCCGCATACGACCTCTTTCTAAATTCAACAGACACTGATGATCCGTTTGTTGCATAGTCCTCGTCAGTGCTGCTTTGAGCTTGACCGATGGCGGACAGGGCCAACTTTGGCCGCCAAAATGCCTCGAATTTCATCCTTGCAGATGACTGAGTTGGAAAAGTCGTCAATTTGCGTGCAATATAAAGGGGACGATTCGATGACCGTATCACCTTTGATCTTTTCCAAACTCGCTTCTGCTTATGATTCGCATGACGAATAAATAGAGTCATCTTTGGCTTAGTAGCTGATGGCTATATAAATGGATAATAGACGATCGGAAAGCTCGTGGAACTATAACGGAGAGAAGCGTCTTTCGATAGGAAGATTCGTCAAATTTGAGAAACATGAATCGGAGAACTGTAAATGCGGACGGCAAGCGTAAACATGGAAGGGTAGCCTCCAGGACTTGATAAGAATTATTAAGTTGATAGTGAATGACGGCCATGAAGTTGTTATAGCATGCAGGGAGGTACTTATAGCCAAGGAGTGGAAAGCGAAGTTATTTCTGGCTGCGCTGCGCTACTGCTGTGTGCAATCATATCGCTGCAGGAAGCGCCTAGACGATGTATCTTGGACCAACGGTTGAGTTTTGGAGCATCGAAATTGAACAAGCAAATCGGATTAGGTGTCGTCCTTGCTTAGCGCTGGGAATATGAAGGTAGGCCTTAGTAGCCAATCCACTTCGATTCCCGATGTTTGAGAATCTGCGTGTCTGACCACAGCATTAAATGAGGCACAGCCTACATATGTATGTTGCAGCGCTTTTTCGTTTGCCTACATATGTAGTAGACATCAGAGCATATAGGGGACAAACTCTATATGCATCTACTAGCCCCTCACAATTACCATACCTACGTGTACATGTAGGTAGTTGCCTCTATATCTATAATTAGTAGCACCTGTGACGATCTGTTGTATGTCAGACCAATAGCTTCTACCCACACAAGTACTTTTACAGCTCATTCTATAGCAAGTAATCCAAGTTGCTACATTGATATCCAATATCTAAGGGATTCAATTATGATGGCTCCCTTGTCTTTCTTTTAATAAAGGACTGCATTTGAGACCTTCTATTCTCTTTACTTGTAAAGAGAAATCCTATTGGTGGGGCCCAGCTATGCAATCCAGTAGACATTCTTATCCCTTTCGCCCGCCAAATCGGACCATCCTTTAAGATGATTATACTTGGTGAATCGCCCATGTGGCTGGTATCATGCGCTAAGAGTTGAGTGGGCTGGTGCTGGCGTGTCAATAGGAAACGGATCGTTGCCGAAGAGCTCAGCTGGCTCGGCTTTCGTATTTAGCACCGTTCGCTCGAGAACCTACTGGACTCGTTCCGGGCTCCCCATCGGTAGTTCAAGCTAGCCGTCTCCACATGTAGACGTGGACATGGCTGGCGTGTCGTATTTCGTTCTGTAAACGAGTCATCCTTGAACATTTAGAAGACGACGGCTTTTTGTATGCCTTACCTACCACTAACATTAGCAGACCCATTTCAACTTGATTCTCAAATCTGCACCGTTCACCGGCATTGTTAAAGAATTTCCGCACTAAGCCACTGAGCTCTGGGTTCCATTTCCACATTAATGAGCATGCCTCCATGTCAAGTCAATTCGTTAAGTTGGAGCAGCATTCTAGAAATTGACCATAAGGAATATAAAATGAACCGTAATATCTTTACATCAGTATCAATGAAAATGGCATAAGCTTAGTTATGCCTAGTCTCAGAGTTGCCTTTCTGTTTACGTAGGACTAATTCCAACAACGCTTGATACCTCATTTGGGGACATGTTTCAACAGAGGTAAATAGAACAAAAGAGCTTGGTGAAAAAGCAGCCCTCTGTCAGGTGATAGGAAAAGAACGGGGAAGGGGGCATTCTTTCCCGTTACCACCGTTCACTGCTTCTGGGAAGATCCTGAGTTGATTGAAGTTTGGCAACATAGCTTCGAAAAGTGCGCTGGCCAAGAAGCCAAGGTCTTTGCTGAATGATGAAGACTGGGAACCGCTCTGAAGTTACCCACTGTATATTATTTTAATATACGGGTACGAAATACGATGATCTACTATCGTAGGCGTGGGACAGCGATAGTAGCCTCTTCTCCTTGCCAATTATTTTCTAGGCTCCTCAGCTGCGCCTCTGTATAATCTCTAGAAGTATTTTCGAAAATGCCTGGCGGTTTCATCTTGCCGGGCTTTATCCTTAATCTGACTCCAGGAAATGGATAAGTCTGCCTTACAAAGAAGGGGCTGAACAATTCGCTACGCCCAATTTGCTCTGATAATTCATTACATATACACATTCCCAATAGCCCTAGAGGCAAATATGTGTAAGAAGACTACATTTGGGGTACAGACTTGTGGTACGTAATACTGTTTATATCATGAAGATCAATAATCCGCCTAGCAGATACTTGTGTTCAGCCAACTGACTAGTTTTGACTAGAAATCTGTGAGTAACAACTCTTTAAGCAACCCCCCCAAGTAATCTCCAAGTCAAAGCAAGGGGACTTATCGCTATTACAATAAGGAATACCTTACTCTCCAGTTAAGACGTGAGTGTGTCTATGAGCTCGCTACCCGACTGGACTTGGCGCTCGGCGAACGCAATGGTTTACAAAGTCGGCCTGTGCAAGGAATAATAGGGAGTGGAATCCAGAGGGTTTCATCGTCTCTCTCTTGGGCTATACATATATCCGCCTCAATGTTCCACATAGCTATGGTGTTGCGCCATCCTGGCTAACGTCGGAGCATATACCCATCCAAGAGAACTCAGCCACCAGTCCCGCCGTTTAGCTCGGCCGCTCCGCCAAAGCAGTACTGAATTTTGACATATAATAGTTGACTCTTCTCGTTGAGAGGCCCATATCAAATCTTGAGAAATGCTTTGACATAAAATCATAGCATCCTTTGTTTTGCGAATCGTACATCTCTTCATTCCTTGTTCTTTTGCTCTTCATGGATACCGACACCCAACTTCTAGTAGGCGCTTTGATCGTCCGAGATACAAGCTCCAGTATAGAGGAGTTCAAGCTCTATCACTACAATCCTACTATCGGCGGAGCTGTTGCCTTTGTCCTCCTCTTCTTGGGCACAACCGGCTTTCATACGTACCAATCATTCCGGACCCAGTGCTGGTTTGTCATTCCCTTCATAATTGGCGGTATTTGTAAGATTCGTTCATCCGTCATTCTATGTAGAAAAGAGAACAGCAACGTCTTTTACCTAACGCTGATTCTCCGCCAGTTGAAGTCATTGGCTATGCTGCCCGTTGTGCATCCGGCAAAGAATCGCCAAACTGGACTCTAGGACCGTATATCACCCAGTCTCTCCTCCTTCTCGTCGCACCTGCTCTCTTTGCCGCGACAATCTACATGGAACTAGGGAGAATCATCTCCCTAGTGAATGGCGAGTCTCATTGCCTCATTCGAAAGAACTGGTTGACCAAGATCTTTGTTTTCGGAGACATTCTTTCCTTTTTTCTTCAAGGTGGCGGTATGTATAAAACCAAGCCTTATCATCGTTAACTTCATTCTCCATCTTTCCAAAGGGCAATAGCTAACATGTCGATTTCGTCTAGGTGGTGGTTATCAGGCGTCAGGTACTGCCTCTGCTCTCGAGACCGGAGCACACATCATCATTGTTGGGCTCTTTGTGCAGCTCGCCTTCTTCAGTTTCTTCATCGTGGTCGCTGTCAAATTCCACCTATCCATCAATCGCGTGCCCACGACTCGTTTATCCAACGAGCTCTCGTGGGAGAAACATATGAAAGTCCTCTATGTGGCTAGTATCCTCATTATGGTGAGATCTATTTTCAGGGTGGTAGAGTATCTCCAGGGCTTCAACGGGTATCTGCTTCACCACGAAGCATATTTATACATTTTTGACGCGCTGCTCATGTTCTTGGTCATGGTTTTATTAAATTTGGTGCATCCGAGCGACTTGGCAGCATCAATGAAGCACAAAATCGCGACGGATCATGAATACAATTTGAGAGTGTTCGACGAACGCCATCAAAGACTTGGGTTAGACATGAGCTAGCGCGCGTGGATTTGAATTCTGTGATAAAGATACTTTTGGATTACTATTTGTTTTAAAAGTAAAAGTCTTTATCTTTTAGATCCTCAAAGATAGCCTCATTTATACCTGTATAGATAAATATGTAGATAAATATTGCTGATAGCCAATAAACAACTACGGCAGACCTACAATCTGTTTTGGCCATTCTGTCCACGGTTTCCAGTACTCTCCTAATAAGTCATCAATTACTTCTACGATATTCCTTCCCCATCTCTCAAAAAACCAGTAACCGTTCAAGCTATGGATCACCACACCAAAATAAGCAAAGAGCAGCATCGCATGTGGTTGCCGTTGGTGTAACCGCAGAAAATATTCCTCGGGCGTGGTGTATATCCAGACAAGAGGCCCAGATAAGGTCCTATTATAAGCCATGTTCCCCGCGGTTTCAGAATTCATTGTTTCAAACTGTTTCATATATGCTAGAGATTTCCTGAGAGAAAATAACGCCTTGTCGTAGATTTCACGGTCGCCACTAACTGCCCATAGGTTGCCAAGGCTGCGGAAGCGCTCATCATCGGCTACACGCTCGGAGTCCGGATCTAGGTGGTCCCAATTTCCAATGCTCAATAGCGAACTCAATGGCCCGAATCGGACGCGCTGGTAAACGGGATCTAGAATGGCCTGTACACCGCGTACCATTGGAAGCCACTCCGCGCCTAGGATTCGTGACTTTCGGGCTGCCGGGGTCATGTCAAACTCTGCATCGTCGTAAAGTTGCCCGTACATGGCGAACACATAAATGATGTTCAACGAGGAGCAAGCGAACAGCGCATCACTATTGCTATCATTCATACGCTCAATGCCGCGCTGGAAGCCCTGCAGTGCCTGGCTATGATACCGCATAGCCTCCAGTGTCAGCTGCTTTCTTCTTTCCGGGTAAAGGTATGCCTGGTGCAACGCCGCCAAGCTGAGAATGGCGTGCATGACAAAAGTGTGCTCAAACGCAATCTGCGGAAACACGGTCTGCCAGTAGCGGCTCACGTCGGGGAAGTCTGCAACGCTCTGGCTCGTCGACCACGTCCAGTGGTGTAATAGCGCCATGTCCTTGATGGTGTAAGTTGGAATTGCGCCATCACTCTCCTCAGCCCTTCCGAGCGGCGAATGACAGGGACGGCTTGCTGCAGCGGGCAAACGAGACTGCGGCAGTCGAGCTGCAGTGGCAGTGGTAGTTGTACTTGTAGCTCTTGTTGTCACACTGACGGGCGACGAGCTCTCTTTGGCCGGGTGAATCGGGAGAGTATCCTGAGATGGATACAGACATGGGATACTTCGTCGGAAACAATGTCTACAGCTCGGCTTCTCTTCTCCACACTGTAGAGACAAGGCGTTAGATGGAATTGATTTGAGTAGGTACTACAGCACCAGCGCGATCAGGCGCAGTTGCGGGCACACAGGTCTGCGGAAAGTTACCTTCACACGTCTCCTCCTGCACTCGGCACACCCTGTTCTCGATTTCGTATGAGCTCGGCGCTTGCTTGCGGGCGGAGATGAGTCTGCCATTCCGTGGCTAGATGGCACAGAAAACGTGCGTATGGAATCGCTAATTGCACAGTAAAGAGAGCAAGGAGAGGCGGAACCACGAAAGCGCGAGCGAGAGAAGACGAGGAACGAGCAGATGCGAGCGTGGCGATACACTTTTCCATTCCAACCGATTACCAGATGGGGAAGGGTGGGTCATGTTCGGACATTTGAAGTATACGAGATACGAACGCGCTACGGCGATTTGACCGAAGAACTGACGGGTCCATTTGCGGAACGAAGTACGATGAACGAATCTGCATGGATTCATCCTTGCTTCCAAGTCCCACCATCCTCTCCTCTACAATTGGAATCTTTCTAGTCAGAGGGGCTTTTCTGAATTTCGAATTGAAGTAGGGCAGACAAGAAGAACACAATGGCAATACATTAAGTCGGCGACTTTCTACATGTTATTTCCTCTCGAAGCTTTGCCTTATATTCAAGGTCGTAGTGCCATACCACCTTTACACTCTGTATTCACCGCCTGCGCAGGACCTTTTCCTTAACCGCCCTGTTATCATTGTTACTCCCCGAGTTAGATTCCCAGTTGCACATGGGACGGCCTCAAGACACGACACTACTGGTTGCGAGGCTGGAGCTTGCTTGCTCTATGGAATGAGCAGGCAGAGAGCAGAGATGGCATTAGCTTGGATATTGTGAGTTGTGTTCAATTGCACTCCGGATTTAGGATTCACATCTGTACAAGAGAGGATGAAGACTTGGCAAAAAAATCTCAGAGACTTTCGCTTCTATTTGGACGCGGGGAGTCAACGTATGTATCCGAGTAGAACTTTATTCCATCTTCAACCTATTTACCGTTATAGCCCACCACTGTACATTATACACCATACTTGAAGTCTAATGCTAAAGCAAAACACTGAATATAAAGTACAAAGGAGACAACCTTCAAGTACCCATCCATCATACCCGATGAGTTTGGTGGTGAGAGGATCCCTTCTGTTTCAAGCTGTTGTTTGCGCCAACGTCTAAAATATAGGATGATTCTTCGGAGGAAAGTGAAGACCGAAGTTGTCTTGGATGAACCCAGAGAAATAGAAGCATGACGAGAAACATCAGGGTAGCATCGAAGATGTAGACAAGGTACTCGTGGCGAAGTAAGAAGCCGTTATTACCCATCAAGTACTCAACAACGCGGAAAATGGACCGGACCATAATGAGCAAGGAGCCGATATACAACGTATACATGTGCTTTTTCCATTTGGCAAGTCTCAGATCCGATGCGGCTTGATGTCGTGCGAATCGTACCTGAAAGACTATAGCAACGACGATGAAAAATCCAAAGAAAACAATTTGGGCAAAAAGTCCAGCAGTGATGATTTTTTCGCCGAGATTGAGGAACTCTAATGTGCCAGCTGCTTGAATACCGCCCCCTGAGCCCCTCGTCAGTACGTCACATTGTATGTGAGAAGTCATGAGAAGTCATTCTGCGAACTTACCGGCCATTTGTAGAAGAAATGAGACGACATCTCCAGCGACAAATACCTTTGTCAACCATCTCCTCGGCACCAATGAGAACTGTTCTCCGCCAACGAAGACCATAATCTGGCCAAGTATTATATAAATCGATGCAGCGAACAACGCCGGTGCCACAAGAAGTAAGATGCTTTGAACGATATATGGGCCTAGAGCCCAAATGTCTTTGGCAGATATAACCCGTCCGATGTAGCCGACGAGTTCAACTACTTTATGTTAGCTTGCCGAGTAGCCGCTGTGTCGACAAAAAGAAAGGAAGTAAAAAACCCACAAAGACCACCGATAATGAATGGCGTGAATGACCATGTTCGACTTGTGACGATGATAGCGATGTGTGCAATAGTCACGATAGAATAAAGAGCGATGAATATGGCAGCAGCAGGAACGCTGGGATAGTATCGGTAAGGTACCCAAGCGTTTGGATCGTCAAGCGAAGGTTTGTAATTTTCGAAAGCCATGGTAAATGCTATATGCGTAAATGGATAATTAGGTCAGATGAATAAAATAAAAATGGTTTGGCAATCTCGTTGCCCTTTGGTCGACAAACTAGGGCGAATATTAGACAGCCAGCAAGTATTTAAAAGAATTACAAGCTCAGCGAGTCCTTGCTCACACTTTACAGTTCGAATTTGTTTGACCAAGAGAAGACCCTCTATTAAGACAATTTTGGGTCTCAAAGGCTTTTCAGCGCATTGAGCGCATTGAGAGTTCCGCTTTCGATGTCCTGGCATGAACTCAGCTGGTTAAACGAAACCGAGTCCCCATTTCGTATACGCTCTCCATCGTAACGAGATACGAGGCATCAGTTGTGCGCCACATAACAAGGTCCACTTTAGCCCCGAATAGCATCGAGGTTTAGTTCACCCCCTGGTTCATTCACTTCCAATTGGATTTCTCCCTATCTGTTGATTGCCGGAATAACATTAGCACCAGATCTATCATGCTGCTTACAACAGTGTACGTGGGGTTTAAATTTACAATTTTAAACATATAAAAAGGTAAAAAGAAGAGAGATAAAGACTACTTAAATTTCTCAACAAGTTGAAGACACACGAATCCATCATTGCTTTTGGCCAATCTCTCTCACATTGCTTGGCATAGCCACTTGTCTAATGACGCATTGTCAAAATGAACGGCTTAACCCTGCTTCACCTAGTTGGCACAGCGATAGGAGTTAAGATTTTGTTGCAGAGAGAGAAGTACCGCGTTTTGTATAATACATCGCGTCTACGAGTACATAGGTAGTACTTGATGAGCAAGTTACGGATAATAAGAGAGATGAAGATCTAGGAAGTGCATCACCTGAATAGGAAGAAAATATGTGGAATTTGGATGGTATCGAGATTTGATGAGAGAGTAAATGGAAACTTTAGCTCAAGCAGTATAATGTATTGATGTTTCCCTTCTAGTACACAGTAACAATGCTTGATTTCTCAGAAAGCGCTCTATCTGTCAGGATCTACCTAGTCGTCGTTGTAATACTTTTATTGGGATAAAAATTTTTTGAAAATTCCAAAGGTCGCTTGATCCCTCACAGGGTCGTCCATTCTGCGCATTGTCGAATAAGACCAGTATGGCACGAGGCAAACCAACCATACCAGCACCCAAAGGTATCCCAAGGCGCGCTCGATGCGTCGAGGGAGCTGTATAGGACTAAACGTATACAGCCTGCAGACTGTATCTTCTAACATGATCCCGAATGCCTGGCTGCTGAAGAAGATCAATTGCCCAGTTTCAGACCCCTCAGCCTGATGGTGTAGCATTGCAGATAAAAAGAAAGCGAGAGCAAGCCGCGAGTAGCGCGAAATCAGGCTTCCACGGGGAATAACCAAATCAACAATCCAGTCAGCCGGCCCAGTAAGCGCTTTGCGCAGACCTTGGTGATAGTAATTGCTGTATGCATTCAATTAGCTTCAGCAAGGCGGCTAGAAGGTGGTAAAACATACCCCCAGAATCTTCTCACGGAATACGCCTGATTCGGCCAGCCTTGCCAGATGGGAGGCCAGCTCTGAGGCTGGTCACCACAAAGGACGGCAGCAATTGCGAAAAGATTGTAGACCCCGATTACGCCAAGGGCTGCGTTAATGAGAAAGACGATGGTGGTAATCACTCGAAAGCCGATGTCTTCTGAGGTTGCCCCCGTGCCAGCAAGCAGATACGAGATGGTTTGCTTTTCCCTCGTGATCATACTTGAGTCTGGCGGAGGCCCGGCGGAGCAGAGGTCTATGAAGAGATAGCAGGCGATGAAAACGCCCACTCTTTTGAAAAGAAAACGTACGCGTCCAGATATGGAGTCGTCTTCTGTTGAGGCTGGGACGTCGATCTGCCACCTAGTTCCGATGCGCCGCCAGTTGAATGGCAATGTAGCTGCCCGAAATGCCTGGCGGATGGGCGTTCTAGGGCCGCCTAAATGAAGGCCGGAGTCTTGAGGGCCGACATTTGACACGAGCAGGATCTCAAAGGCGTTCAAGAATGTCGTCCAGGTTGCGCCTAGCGCGAGAGATATGAAGGCGCGATTTGGGAAATATTCCAGGAGGCTGAGCTGGAAGCTGTATGTCACGGCCGCAAGCAGAGCGATAGCTGCGGCGCGGTAGAGGGAATGCGGTGGTAGATAGAAGAGAGAAACTTCAAAGAGGGCAACGGCACCGACCAGAAGATATAGAGGCTGTGAATAGATGTTCATATCCATTTTAAGTGATCAGAGAGTGCAAATCTTAAGGACCTCGCCGAACGAAAGAACAACTTCACGTCATGCTGGTTGTGAAGTGAATGACTGAAGTCGGAATCGGTTGATGGAACATCCATACCCAAACTTCAGCCCCTGGCCTAGTCCTTAGTGCTTACTCCACTACCACGCAGAGGTTGCTACCACCAAAAGACCTAGAGTCTTGGGATGCAGAGAATGTAAGACACCCACCTCATGAAAAGAGTTTGATGGGAACCAGAATTTCAACCGTTCATCGTCGCGTGTGCCTGTGTCTGGCGATTCTGCGGCTAAGAATGTCACTACTCAGAGCCCGGTATTTGTGGTTTTGACGTATGTATTTTCACACTAAACTACTAGTAGGTACTGGGTAAGAAAGTAGACAACAGAATGCGTCGAGAGAGAAAAGTGAACTCGAAGCTAGACAATGCTTGGTGGTTAAGTAAGATCTATTGTTATGAAAGCTGATCCCTTTTCTTTAATGCGTTCAACTGAGTTGACACCTGCGGAATGATAGCTTCCATCCCCTTTAACAGTGGTCCTCTCAACGATCCACCATCCTGATACTGGCTGAATGGTTTGTAGACCATATGGGTCTTGTTTCGATGGTGGTGTTTCAACTTTTTGGGATTTGCGAGACATCGTGTCTGCTGGGATTTCCCGTTGCTCCAAAGAGAAGGCTTGGATTCCAACAGAGCCTGCGACCATTGTGCAATCACAGAGTTCTTCATTTATCGTCACCTTCACCGGGACGGAAGCTGAGCCTGCGGGTAAATTTTTCACTTGAACTATCGGGTATAGCTCTCCATCTAGCCCAGGGAGTGATGACGCATGCGACGAAAATGTTCCCTCCTCGTTCCAATTGCAAAATGCTGTGATCCAGCCAGATAATACCACATATTCGCCATCCACAGGGGGACGTGTTGTTACCATAGTGTTCCAAAAGCTCTTGATCTCTTCGCTGGTCGGATGGGTAAACGAATGAATCATGTGCCGCAGTATTGGACGTAGCATGTTGGCGAATCTTGTTAGCGGCGCGCGATCAAGCTGATATAGGTAATCTATCCTGCCGTTTATTTCTTGCCAGTCCTCGATTTCTCCCAGAAGCGTCACAGAAGGCAGTCCACACAACATTACCAGATCACATTCGTAGTATGGTTGCATCGTTCCCATGAGCAGCGCTGAAGCAACAGCGCGGTCAGTATCAGTCGTGGTCGTAAACGATGGTGTCGCCCATAACGGATCTTGGATTTCGTCAAAGATCTCATCGTTCAACTTTTGAGCAAGGTATGCATAGATTCTCGATCCACTACTGTGCCCGTCGCGATAAGCCAGGGTTATTTGCTTTGTCCCCTCGGGTAAGACCGTATTGCAACGCAGCCTCTTTGGCTTCGAATGCTTGCCGAGGTAGAATCCAAGTTGGGAAAGTATCGCGAACCAGACATTATCAGGCCTGATGGTAAGGTGATGGTGTTTACCATATGCGATGTAGGCAGAATAAACAAATCCGTTGGGCGACGCTGAGATGTGGGATTCGCTCAAGAAGCTGGTAGCGAAGGAGCTCCCCAAAATACGTTTCATACTCTCATGTTCTTTTGGGTGGACTTCTTTCAGAAGCTCACTGGCTGTTCTCACTTTGGGAGCTTTCCAGTTCTCAGCGGCTTGATTAGCGATTGTCACTGTGACAGGCATGTTTGCCTGCTCGACTGAAGCTTTGGTAGAACTGGATGACTCCAAGGAGAGCTCGGTGCATCGGTATCCCTCACAGGGCCTCGTACGTTGAACGAAATGATGAAAATGAAAATGTTAAACATGGAGATGGAAATATTTATGTTGCCCTTGTCACATACGCACTACAGATATGCTAATCGTGTGTTTACAGACCTATCTACATGAAGATAATGAACTCTAATAAGCGAACGTCCCTATGTCGTTCCTTCCAACATTATAGAGGCAACTGATGCTCATTCGGGAGAGGATTGTTATGGAGTCGGGTAGCTGCTATGCAACATGTAAAGCGTGCTCTAAACAGCCGTTTAATTGCCAATCAATGTGCCTTTATATGGCACTTTGAATGATGCTTCGGCACATCATAGACCTATCTAAAATCGACGTCGCTGCGACCCCGCTACAAGGCGCACACATCATAAAAGACAAACAAAAAAAGGCTTCCCAACATGAAGACGCGGCTTCAACTGTTCTTATTCACTTTCGGACTGAAGCATGGCTTTGTATCTGTGAGATTTGGGCACAATGGCACAACAAGCTTCGGATGATAGGCCTTCGCATCAGGGCTCAATCTCATCGGCAGGGCAACAAATGATGTGACCCCGCTCAATCAACGTAAGTCTCCAGACCATAATTACAGCGACCGCTATTATTGAAGCCGTCACCAGTTTGGGCACAGTGGCCAACGTTAATGCAGTCGAAGAGGATGATGGAATTGCCGACGACGGGACTCTGCTTCACTCGGCTATCACCAGTCAAAATGTCCCACTGGTCTTGAGATTGCTCGATAAGGGTGCGAGCCCCGATGCTCTGGACTCTCTTGGATATGCCCCATTGCATTTGGCGGCCCATAAAAGAAGACGCACAAATTACCACATGTTGCTTGAACTTGGCGCGGATTCGCCAAGGTATCATGCCATTTTTGACGCTTCGTGAAGCCACTCCACTCCTTTTTGTAGCGGAGTCGAGAAGCGCCCTCGTAGTTGCAGAACTGAGTCATGGAGGCTGCGATGTTAATCTTTCGGATAACTGCCACTTCGAGAGTCTATTATCTACGGCAGTGAAGTATGGTCACTACGATATTGCGAATCTGCTGTTGAAGAACGGCGCGAACGTGGATGGGGATTGCCGTGCGACATTGAGTCCCCTCTTCCAAACGGTTGTGCAGCATCGAGGCGACCTGGTTGAGCAACTCTATCCTCAAGGTGCAGATATTAACCTCCTAGACGCAGATGGAGATACAGCAATCTGTCAAGCGGCCTATCAAGGAGACATGGATATTGTCAAACTTCTTCTTAAGAGCACTAATGAAAAAGTACCACTCAGTCTCTTCGATATACCTGACTCTGGCCGCATTACTGATGAGCGTGATCCAGCTGTGTATGAAATGAAGGTCAAGAATACGCTCATCACCTGTTAGTGGGGAGACTCGTCTTTACTGAGTTGGTTTTTTAACTTATCTACTTGGGACTTTCTCTCTCAGTGGGAACGTTTCGATCAGACGATGAAAATATCAAAGAGCATGCCATTTTCAGAGTTGATCCAAGAAATACGCAGACAACTTTTGTGCCTCTAACAGAGCGTGATTACGAATTTAGATATAGCCTCGCAATCCAGCTTCAAGCCAAGGATGCCTTTTGGAGTGTGCAGATGCAGGAGGGTATCATAGTGTCGAAGGAAGAGAGAGTGGAAGCACAAACAAAGGTCAATTCCGCCAAAGTCAAGAGCTGCCCGATTGCAGACCGCGTGCTGACTATTCGAGATTCAAAGGGGCTTTCGGGGGTATGATCACCAGTGCTCTGTGTATTTGGTGTTTTGAAATGGGGTAAGGATTCACAATCATATAGCTTGATACCGCTGGGAAACTGTGAGTCTGCCTACTCAAAAACTCCTATCTCTACGGCTAACATGTGCATCAGCTGCTCCATATCACTTCCTAGAATATCAAGGGAGCGAGAATCTAAGTGCTGATGATAAAAGCTAGTTCATAATATTATAGAGCGGGCATAGGTAAAAGTAAGGTGGCTGATTACAAGAGGCCATTGGTTTGGAGCCTTGTTCATAAACTGCCGTACAATATATGCACACAACTAGGCTGCTATTCAAGAGAGGAGCCCAATCCGAAACCGTTGATTGCTAGACATAGCAATACATTTTCCCAGGTTCCAGAAGACAAGGAGAAACAACCAATAGCAGGAAGCTATACGGGCGCAGCAGCATTACCCTGAGACTTTGACGCAGCATTACATAAAACAGTTATTATATGGCGTTGCTTAAAATGCTAACAAGAATTAATCGCCGACACAACAATTCGTCGGCTGAGTCACTGGCTTTGAACCATGGAAGCCTTTCACACCGCTATGAAGTTTACCCATTAAGTAGTAATTTACCAGTCGCTTTCACAACGTAAGTAAGTGGTTTTGAGTATAAACAATTATACGCCTATCTATGCATATATACCTATTTATCCCAACCGTCCTTTTCCATCCAACCGAGACCTGGTTCAGCCTTGAACCTATTACAAAAAGCTATTTAATCATAGGAGCAAGAAAATGAGCATCCTCAACGAAACAAGGTATACAACTATATATGTGAGCACGTGTTTTTTTTTTTTTTTCCTTTATTGTTTGTTGCAGTCATTACTCAACCATCTCTCCAATGAACGGCTTTCTTCCATACACCACGAAAATGGGCATATAAGCGTGTATACGTGGGTCGAGAATTTCTTCTCGGACTCTGACGAGTGATAGCTAAGTAGGTCAACAAGTCAGTATAATGACGGTGAAGTGAGGGGATTCCGAGTCTGCAAACCTCAATTTCGTCTTGAGTACGGCCATAAGCTCTATTCATGAGTAGGGTGGAAAACCCGTTCAACCCCTGCGAGAAATTTTGTCCCCACATCCAGCCCAGGTCCTTGAGCCGCTCATCCCTAGGCCACGCGTTGAGCGGTAGTCTGAAGACGAGCTGCTCCACGTCGACGAAGCCGACTCTCTCGAAAATTTCTTTTAGGCTGGAGCCCAACGTTGCAGGGCGATTCAGTTTTTCGCAGGCGTCTCTCATTTCCTGGAACCATGTACACATGGGTCCGTTGGGGTCCATGGTGCCGTCATCGCAGCAGAAAAAGGCTTCGGTTTCCTGTGCCTCGAACCAGCCGCCAGGTTCGAGCGCGTCAAAGGCTTGCTGGGCAACTTGTTCCTCAAAGGAGCTCCAGCAGCCGGCCGTGAGCCGTGTATGTATATAGCCAAACTTATCTGAGTAGCTCCACGGCTCCGATCTGTGATGGATGGCAGTTGGTTAGTGGGGAGGGGACGAGGTTCAAGGCGCGTCTGTTGGTTGGTTTAGGCTACTTACGAGTCTTCAACGTAGAACTCAACGTTTGGAGGTACCATGTCGGGTTGGATCGGGGACAGGTCCGTGCCAACAACTCGCGATGAAGGAAATAAGTCGCCCATCTCGACGGCCCAGTCCCCCACACCGGTAGCGATGTCGAGAATGAATTGCGGAGGATCCGATCTGGAGAGCGGGGCAAAATAGAGCCTATCGTCGAATAGTCTCTTGATTATGGGCCCTTGAAGCGCCAGGCGCTCTTGTTCCGTGAGGTCATTAGGATAAACGTATGCTGAGCATCACAAACAGTCATTGTCAGTCTGATCCGGAGGTGAGCTGCCAGTAACAAGGGCGAGGTGTCTTACATCCCGCATGGTAAGCGTGATAGGTGCGGCCGAATTCTTCGGGATAATCCAGTACACTGGATGATAGAGATTCATCGTCGTCTCTGCGCACGGGACACACGGGTAAGTCAGAGTCCAGCAGCGCAACCGAATGTCTCACAATACGCTTACATCATTCTCATGGCAAACTGCTGCGCGGTATAGGGTCAGTACATGAATTCTTGAGCGCATGGTGGCGTAACGGGATCTGGCGGCGCAGCAACCTACATCCGGCTCAATGGCATCGTGGAAGTCAAAGGTGAACTGGAAGTCCCTGAGCTCCGGCAGAGCATTGCGCTCGCCATGTCTACGGAGAGAGTTGGGCGGCAGTCCCATCTTGTCTGTCGAGATTCGAGGTGTGAGGTTGGTCCAGACGTTGCGATGAGGGTCAACGGAAGCCGCCGCAAGGACGGTCCTTTAAAACAGTCGAGCTGAAAGTCGGCTAGCGAAACCAGGCCAGGATCGAAAACTTAACTCCACTAGGGAGAGAGGCTAGTCGAAAGAAGGCGCCCGCTACTTGTTCTCGAGGCCTGAGGCCAAAGGCTCGAAGAAAGACGGATCGGCTCTAGTCATGGCCTATCTCAAAGTCTCCTGGAGTCTAGTCTTTCAGCTGTATGGCATTGTCCGCACCGGCAGTGGCGAATTGGGCGCTTCACATCGCCAACTTGGAGAGCCAACGGCGTGGTGTCTGGAAGATGATGCTCACCCGCAATTGAGTGCTCGGATAGCGCGTTTGCTGTGCAGGGGTCGATCGGCTTTACACCAGACTCCCGTCGCCGAGAGACTCCACTCTGGCAATGGCACCCAGCAATTTTACACCGCTGGAGTGCTGTTAAAGGGGCTAATCCTTCAGATTGGTAACCAATGAGAGCCTGTCAGCGTCCTGTTGGCACATGTCACAGATGCGCAAGTGTGGACTGTAACCCGAGAAATTGGGACTGAGCATTACCTAAGACGGCCGCTCTCGTCTGCCTGTGGCTTGCGATGACTTTTTACCAGATTGCGTTTGACTTGGTGACGGGTACTGGGTACTGGGTACTGGGGACAGGGCTAGCATACATTGAGTTAGGGGCACGTTCTGCGTATGGTTTATGCTGTGCTATCTCTCTACTCATCAACAAGCGATAACCTCCCATTGACCTTTATGTTGCCATTCTTTGTAAAACCAATCAAGAATTCCCGGATAACGCGAACATCATCTGGCGTTGTATCAACCAGCTCTAGATTAAACCGGCGTACAAAAGCTGCAACGGTGAGGAACAATTCCATGTAAGCGAGACTAGAGCTTTGGTCAGCAAAGGGCAAGGCAGGCTATATCGCTCGGGATCACATGGGTGAAGATATAATTACTTGATTCCAATGCAGTTTCTGCTTCCTTTGGTGAAAGAGACTAGATGCTTCTTGAGATTCTGGCCCCTCTCGGCCGCTTCAATCCATCTCTCGGGGCGGAAGGCGTCGGGGTCCGGGAAGATTGTTGCGTCCTTGTGGACGAAATAGGAGGCACTGCTCATTGGAGTCTTCGGCACAATGTTAGACAAATTAAGCAAACCGAGATGAGAGGGGAGGTGATTAGGCGTTTAACGCTTACTCCTGGTGGAATAACATAGTTCTTGTATGTTAGTGTCTCTGCCGGAGCAACGCGCGTGTACCGGCCCAGTACTGGGGAGCCTATACGCAGGGATTCACTGATGAAAGCATCCTAGTGGCGTAGTTATAAGCAACATTTCGCTGTGAGCAGGGATGAAGGATATTCTTCTCACATACCAGATACGGTAGGCGCTCGAGCTCAATCCAGGTCGGTGTACTGTCTGGCGTAGGCATCAGCTGTTTCAGCTCCGCCTGCAACTTGTCCCTCACCGCATTATTCCGGGCGAGGTGGTAGAAAGCTACGGTTAGCACAGTCGCTGTCGTTTCTGTTCCTGCACCAATGATGCCAAAAGCTTCGTCTCTTTGCCGGTGAAAAGTTCTTTCTTGTGGCGGGATGCTCGGATCCGCCAGGGTAGCAAGCATCGATTTCCTCTTGCCAGGTATCTCAATACCCTTCTGCGCATATTCTAAAAAGGATTCGAGGAACCCAAAGAGTCCCGCTTTTCCCGGCATAAGAATAGACAGTGTCCGTGGCGAGAGAAAAGTTGATAAGGTTACTAGCCAGGGGAAAAATCGGGAAATGTGAGTAAAGCTCGCAGCATCCGCTGTGGCTAAGCGGACATCGTTGCGAAAATCAGGGTCCTCTATAAATCCCCAGTGCTTGCCGCAGCAATAGGACGTGATAACATCGGATGTCAGCGCTGAGACGGCATCATCAATGGATACTGTAGATTGGGCAATCCGGTAACCATCAAGGCGTTTCATGAGCGCCTGAACTCGTTCATTCATCATATCCGAAAGCTCCAAGACAGAGCGCCGTGAAAAAAAATCCTTCAGAAGACCTCGGCGGAAGTGGTGAGTCTCATGGCTTACACATGCCACCATAGAGCCGGGCAAAGCATATGTAGGCACGAATTGGGGATCTTTCTCTCTCTTTCGACTACTTGAAGCATAGATTTCATCATAGAAAGCGGGATCGCTAATGTGAACCTCACGAGGGTTGATGCGAACTATGGGTCCTGTTTCGTCCGCTCTTTAGTAAAGTAAATTTTAAAAAGAGGTGCAGAACGCGCCTAACCGTATTTCTGGTGCATCCTCTCCATCTCGAATAAAAACTTGCCCGATAGAATGACATTGTAGTAGAATTCATAGAGATGTGAGCATGCCGCCAGCTTTGGGCCGGGGATATGGGATAGCGGGTGGAAATAGAGGCGATATATAGCCTTGATGCTGATATAAGCGCCCAAGGCTGCGATAGCAACCCAGAGGCGGAGCATATCCTCCATCATGATGATGATGTTCCCGTACAACTCTCGGATCCTATGCGTGTCAACAATGGCAGCCTTTTGGTCTTCCAAAAGCAAGAAACCGAAAAAGTGGCCTGATTATCGCGGCTTTGAGGGTGTACAAACAGGCCGAAACGTACGTGTAGCTGCGCAGATCCTCTTCACAGGATGAGTGGAAACAGTTTTATGTAGGACTCTGTCACACGTGCCGCCGTCGCAAAAAGGAAAGCACAGAGTTGGTGATATCACAGAAACCATGCTCAGCCGGGGGTTTTCATCAAAGCGGGATTTTATTTATGACAGCCTTGGCTTGGCCAGCGCTAATGCGGCCCTCAGCTCTGAGACCGCGACAATACGTAGCTAATCTATGGAAAATCGTTTATAAACGTGTTCTATTCAAATGTGACCCGTCCATGCATGAAACTTACCCTGCCTAGGCATGGTTACATGCATGCATGACCAAAACGAAAAATCGTGCAGATGGTGCGCCAATATTTACTCACAGGCATGTAGCTCGAAGCCAATCAGAAGAACCAAACCCTCCACAATGGCTCCGAAAAGTAATGGAAATATACCGTAATAGTACAGCCACCCTCGGTGATGACAGTTCGGATCTCTGGGGTTTTTGGGACACACAAATTTGTAGCCAGAGGCCAATCATGTTGTTCCATATGAACCAGGTAGATGTGCCGTCACATCAACTGACCACGAGAAATATTACTTGTACGATACACTATTATGCCTTGGTTCCCACCTGATCCAGCTCGAGGCTATCACAGAAGAATCCTGTTGACTTCGGCTTCATGAGTCCATCTTCAAGCTGAAGATATCCGGTGAATTGAGTCCTTCCGAGCCTTTTGGGCGTGTTTGACCCCGCAGACATTGTCCGACCTCCCGTATGGAGAACTAGTAATCATGGATGGAGAACAAGTTACGAGGGTCAACCAACATGCGTTTGCATTGCTGATAACGCAAGGCTAGCTAGCCAATGACAAGTACTGAGATCCATCTTGCTAGACACGACGTCCATGAATCGTTTGCCCCGTTGTGATCTAGAGACGCCGGCAAGGACGGTTCCCCGCCGTCATGCCACTATTCAAGCGTGTATATAAGTCGCCCGCAGCTGCCCGCATTAATGCGCAGAGTAGGCAGAAACATCACTTCTTAAATCACATTCACTCGAGTCAAATTGTATGAAACAATGTCTAAGCTAAGAAATCGTGTTGCTCTTTGGCCTCCCAAGGGCCAATCTTGGAGCGGTGTCACACTGGACGATGCCAATATCACTCTTTGCCAGTCATGCAAGGTGAGCATCTGCTGGCAGGGCGTGGGGGTCTGTGTTGGATGCGCCTCCGGACTTGAACGGCCCCTCCCCAGCAAGTTCTTGAGGAAGCTGCGTGAAGAGCTTGCATGCCGCGACGCCACTGTAGCACTGCGGTCCATAGATGGAAGTGGACGAGTCGTGCATCACGGAGGGGTGGAGCGGCCCGGAAGGTGTGAAGACAAGTCCCGCAGGGCTGATTTGTGCGACACCATCTCACTGTACGCACTGAAGAACGGTTGGGCATCCTGGGGGCTTGACAATGCTGTGAAACAGTTGCGTGAGCCTGAAGGGTCAGGCTCTGCTGCTATTGGTGTGTATAAGCGCCAGCAGCCCATCGAGGACGACGCCGGACCCATGAGACACTGGTGTTCCTGCGGCAATCGGAAGCACGAATCGAGTGGCCAGTCCCAGGCGGTGCTGATTGAGGTGGCCATTGCGAAGTTAACAAGCCAACCAGAGGAGACGTCTGCAGCTCAGCTCAGAGCATCGGCGAAAAAGCGCAGATCGCTGAAGAAGCAGCCTGTTGAGACTTCAAGACAGCTGAGGTCAGCCACCAGACGGATCAAAGCATTCAACAGCCAGCCCGGAGCTGCAAACGGTGCCTCAAACGGCACTTCAAATGGCACTTCAAATGGCACATCAAATGGCGCTCCAAAACCAGACAAGGAGTCTTCCCGAGCGCTCACAAAGGAAAAAATCGACTTTGCTTATGAGCGCTGCATGTGGTCGGGAGCGACGCCGGAAATCTTCGCGGATATAATGTGGCTGGCCGGGCCGGGCCGCAGTCACATCGCTAAAGAAGCCGGCAAGGCCAGCGAGGAAATCGCCAAGGGCGCGCGAGGCTCGGTCGAGACGGTGCTGCTGCACTATTTCTTTCTGAACAACCACGTCAACACGCTGGAGCAAGGCCTGGAGCTGCTGCTGCTCGGCGTCTATCTCACGGCCCTGGACCACGGCCTTGTCCGGGACAGCGACTTCACAGAGTTTGCCGGCGATCTTGCGCGCCATACGAATACGGGCCGCTTCACGATTTCCTTCATCGAGCTCGTGGTCCAGTTCGGGTCGTCCATCCTGGACTGGCACGCCGGATGCATCTCGACGCTGGGCCTGATGCGCGGCCTGGAGCTGCGCTCTTGGGTGTACGGCGTCCAGTGGGATGCCATCATGCACTACGAGCTCGGCAGCGAGGAGGACTGGCAAGAGAAGCTGCCGTCGTGGATGTGCGTCGCAGCAGCGCTCGGCCATGACGTGGGCGACCTCTGCGCGGATACCCGGCTGGGCTCTACGGACAACTGCTACTTTGCGGTGGGTGCCGTGGCTGGATACGAGGGTGTTGCCGCCTGCATGGATATCTTGTGCGACGCGCTCGAGGCTGTCGTGCTCCGCGATACGCGCGGCAAGATTGATATTGGGTGCATTGCCGGCAGTGCCTGTGCCACCTTTGAGCGGTCTGGTGGAGACCTGTGTGCGTGCCCCGGCGATGAGACGAGCTCGCCAGATTCGTGTGAGGGCATGGGCCTGCTCTCCAACCTGTGCCGCGACCGTCGAATTAGCCCTGGCGATGCGGCTGACCTGCTGGGCCTGAGGGATTCGGTGAGGCAGCGATGTCAGGAACTGCCCCGACCTAGGCGAGCCCGCACAGCCCATCTCGACCATGAAGAGCGCGAGCAGGTTTATGCAGAGGCTTTGAGGGTCATGGGAACAGGCGAGAGCGGCAAGTCCGCCCATGCACGAATGCAGCTGGCATACTCGAGCGCCGCCAAGGATATGTGCGGCCTCCTGCGGAGAAGAGCAGCTTATCTTCGCCAATGTCTTGGAGCAGGCAGGGATGTGCTGGACCTGAGCGGCAACTGCATGTGTGGTGGAGAGTGTAGCTTATGGTGAGGCTGGAGCTGAGATGGTGTTTGATGCTAGGTGTTTTGAGGAAGTGACCTCTCATTATTCAAGAAGAGGGGGAATTGTAAGCTTACGATGAGTTGACACGGATATAGACAAGTACACGTAAATTATGTTCCAATAACAGTTTCATTAGGTCAATGATAAAGTTGATAAAGTTGATAAGTCGAGTTCATCTTAGTAGTCACTCACTTGCAGGCCCGGCTTCCTCAATTGGGTAAATGAGGCACATCAAAGAGGAATTAATGGGCAGCATAGTATAATGGTATGTCTAAAGAAGACGCCATTACTAGATGTTGTTGCCTTTATTACGTTACTAGAGCAGTCTGTATGTCTGTTCTGCTTTGTACTGCCCATGTCGCTATCACCAACATCGTTGGCACATAAGTGGGCAAGTTAACCCACACTTACAAGAAGCAATGGGTCAGATGACTGTATCTAAAACAATTACATAATGGGATTGATCAGCGGGATTGCGCAATCCAACTACTTGCCGAGATTTTAGCCCTCTACTCCAAAAGACTGGGTTATATCTAGATGAACCGTAAAAAGAGGCCTCACTGACAATTGATCTATACAACTTACAGTAATAAGCCGTTGACATTTCTACGTTCAAAACAAGATGTTGCTTTGTTCTTTCATATCAGAATGTTACCAATAACTCGGCCTCCGGCTACTGCTCTGCGCTCCGATATGGAGACGTATCCCTGTACTGGTTTCTCTCAACATAGGTATGAAAGCGAAGTTCCCATGGCTAGCACTACTCGGATTGGCATATTTGCGGAGTACATCGGTCTCTGCGGAGTACGGAGTCATGTGGGGTAGAAATCACATCGCCGTTGTTCACATACAAATGAGTAGGGCAGACCGGCGGTGTTTTCTTTACCCCCCCCTTTGGGAGTATACGATCTGGGAAATAGCTACGCCATCCCTAGCTTAAATGCGTACGTTGGAGGCCGTCAATATCGGCTATCTCATATGACCCTACGTGAGTCTTCGCTTGATCGTAGCATTTTGAACAATCTCGCTAAGAGCCGAGATAACGGCATCATTTCTACTGCATTAAGTGCTTCTTTGCATTTCGATTTCATATATTTGAGTGGCGTAAATTGGCGAATTAGAAGAAAGCAGAGAGGATATTAACAAAGCTGGAATATGACCCTTTCATATGAGACTACATCCTGATGCTAACAACCATGTATATTATGCCCTTCTTTTATCACTCAACCTTGCAGAGGGTGTGCCTGCAGGAATTGTTCAGCCGCTCTCATCTCCTCAGCTGACGGCAGGTTGGTGATCATGAGATACAAAACATCCTTGAAGAATATTAGCAAAATGCCTTCATGAGTCTTTTGAATGAGATGAAGAAAGAGCCTAATGCAGACAAGCAATAGACGGAAATATTATCTGAACGAACCTCATTTATAAACTTCTTGATACCGCGAATTAGGGCTCCGGGCCCAACGGTTCCCAAGATAGTCGGCCCTCTTTCCTCTCTTCGCATCTCTCTCCTGTCTGTTTTCCTTTCGCGTCGAGCGTCTCTTCTTGCACGTTTACCTAGTCTCCGTTCGCTCACGCCGCCGCCGATGGCACCGCCCGTCAGCAAAGCGAAGAGACTGCCGCTGCTGGCTGGATGGTTGGGATCCGCGTAACGTGAGTGAAACTCAGGCTTGACGCCCAATTGAGCAAGCTGGCTCTCTGGATGATCGTTGGCCCATTGAGCCTGAGCTCGTTTATCCATGTAGTCCATCGCGAACAGCATGCTTCGCTTCATGCCGTTAGGTTGCTTCTTCTCAGCATCTTCCACGGCCTGTCGCCCTTCAGGAGTGGCAGAGAGCTTGTCCAAAGTTGGAAACACCAACGGTGCAGACTCGGGCCATTCAAAGGCAGTTGTTCCATGCGAAGCTTGCATTTTGTTGCGGATTCCACTGCTTTCTCCTGACCCTGACCCTGAGACATTCTGAGCAGCTTGATCGATGGCCGCGTCAAAGGTGACCTGTGTGACGACTTCGCCAGGCTTGCTCGGCTTCCAGGTCAAGATGATGGCTATCAGTCCAAGTGGACGGAAGAATTCCGCATTTACTTTGTTCAAAAAGGCGTTTGTCTTGGAGCGGCTGTGTGCTTGGAGGCTCACTTGGGTGGTTATCTGTGCGGCGATGGAAACAGCAATTGTGACAGGTTCGGGGACATGCTGTACAGCAACAGCTGCCAGGTTGATGGCGTTGATCCATGGCGATGGAGCAGTTGCCAGATTCAGCTCTTTGATGAAGTCCATGAATGTCATCTGGTCAATGCCCACGTTCTGTAGCAAAGGTGCATAAGCATGTATGAATCCGCGAGCACGGTCTCCTGGTCGCCGCTGCGGAAGAATCACAGGCATTGGTAGTTTCTGATAGTGGCTTGGTGGCAGCATATGATTTCGTACGAAGCCTTCAGCCATCGTGTTGGCGTCAATGTCCTGTTCCATAACGGTAGCATAGTCGGGTGGTGGCTCTAGTTGTGATTGAGCGGCATCAAGGTTCCACGCTGCCTCTTCCAGATTTCGAGATGTCTCGGGGTCAGCCTTCAAGGGCCCATCATGTTCGTCGCTATCTGAAGAGTCATATTCCTCGCCTTGATGTGAGCCGTGGTGCTGTGGCTGCGCTTCATCATTCTCGGCCGATCTTGAGCTTTCTCCAGCTGTGGCAGCAGCTTCTTGTGCTTTCTTCTTCTCTTTGTGATTATGGTAGCTCTCAGAGGCCAGACCTATACCAGCGGCCACGCCTCTGACAAGGCCGCTCACCAGCCCTCTAGGTCTACCATTCTGAGAGTGAGAACTCGATGGCGATAAAGACCCATTTCTATCATCGTCATACTGACCCCTAAAGGCTCTGCCTCTTCTACCTCTGGGTTGCAGATACCTAAACGAAAAATTAGAATTCTCTAATGACATGGCTATACTTCCTCCTCAGGGTCTACTTATACACACCTATCATAATCGTCATTGCCCGACATGTTTGTCGATTGTCCGCGGTTATCGTAAATTTTGGATTAAGATATATCAACATCAAATAAGTATTCGATGAACCACCCCTTTTATTTCAAGACCTCAGAGAATGGCTGAATGATTGACAGAGTCCTATACCTTAAATAGGAGTGGCTATGTTCGAATCCTTCCCAACTACACGCGTAAATAGTTCGCGGCGACACTCTTACGCGGATCAAGCGGCACCCACTGCGGGGTACTAATCGAAACGATTACTCGTTTTGGTATGCACCAGTGACGTGACGCTATTTAGTGCTTTGGTACCTATCCTGTTAATCTCCGAATGAAGAAGAGATTCGGCAGTGCATCGATTACGCGAGTAAGTGGATAGGCAACCAGTATTAAAACAATTCTTCTTCTTTTTTGATAATTGATGTTCATCATTATCTCTTACAACCAACTCGCGAAACTAGATTCGCTGTTACTAGATGTTATTGCTGTTATATCTGACTTGCTAGGTAGATACATGTACGCCTTGCACTTAGTAAGTCTGCAACTAAGAATTCGCCAGGTGGTCGCAGGATTTAGAGCGCCTTAGGGGCAAATACTAAGTACCTAACTCGCCGTAAAAAGCCTGCTTGTTTCTAACGCTCTACTGCTCTGTAACTGGCTGTTCATTATCCAGACAACTGCCAGAACTAGGAAAATCCACATTGAGCTTATCAGCACTAAAACGTCTCTCACCAACATTCATGGCTTTGGAACGAGCATTGTACCTTAAAAGTCAACACTAAAATAGCGAATCCTTTAGTCCTTTGACGCAGGCAAACAAGCGATAATAGTCAATCGTATAGAACTAGCTTCAAACCCAAGAAGTGGCGCAAAGATAAGACAGTTCATTAAGACACACATATATTTAATCATGAATATGGTTTACCAGCAATTATATCAGCAGAAAAGAAAAAAATATGTATATTTCAAGAGATATTGCTGAAAATATCTCGATAAGCCAACCTGCTCTATAATCATGTGTTATCAGATACACCTGATATGAGATGCTGGCCGCCCTTTTCCAGACTATTACTCGTTGTGGATTCTTTGTCCGCAAGCCCATATTCCGTAGAATGGCTGTTGCGAAGTTCAACATGTTTCTCAATAAAGGTACATAAAAATCCCACGACAGAAACAGATGTGACAATCCACCAGACTACCTTGAGAGCCCTTACATAGATATCAATTACCTGGTTCCGTGTAGGTTCTGGTAAGTCGGATATGCCACCATGTTGCACAGCAGCAAATGCGTATGCACCACCATCTACAAGCAAATTGCGTATTGCTTGATCGTTGATAGAACTGATGTGAGAATTTATTTGGCCATTGAAGGCGATGGAAGCCATGGTAGCACCCCAGACAAGCCCAAACGACCGCACAAAGGAATAGGTACCTGTCGCTACCGCCACATCTGACTCGGGAAGCGCCGCTAGAGTAGAAGGCAGTGTCGCGGTGAAGATGATGCCTGTACCGCCCGAGGCAATTACTTGGTAACCAATACACGCTGCCCGGGAGGAGCTTTCATCTAATGTCGAGAACAAGCCAATTCCGATAGCGCTAAGCGCGAATCCTAACCAATGTAGGGGTATGTATAGGCCAGTCTTAGACATGAAGGCTCCAGCCATTCCACCAAACGGCATGATGGCGAGAGCAAAAGCCAAGAAATAAACGCCTGACATCAAGGGAGTTACTCCTTTCACTCCCTGAAAGTAGACAGGTAGGAAATAGTTGATGGCCTGGAGGATAACTGCTCCTAGAAAGATGATGATGAACCCTCCAGACGATGTTCGGTGCTTGAACAGGCGAGGCGGCATGCTTGGTTCTCGACAAATGGACGAGGCTTGATGTATATGGAATGCGATCCAGCCAAGGACTCCAAGAACAAGGGGCAAGATTATCCTCCATGATTTCCACGAATAGCCACGCGTGCCGCCCATAATCAGGCCAAAGAATATGCTCACCATGGACGGGA